TCCCTCTCTTTCTCTTCTTCCTCTTCCCTCTTCTCTCTCCTCCATCACAATCCAAAACAGTAAAACATAAAGACCCACTCCATACTTTTTTTCCCTCTTCTTCCCTTATCTCTCTCGCTCTCCTCTATCTTTTTTTTTTTTTTTTTTTTTTTCTTTCTTTCTTCTCCTTCTCTTTCCCTCTCTTCCTCTTCTCTCTCGCTTCATCACAATCCAAAACAACAAAACATAAAAACCCACTCCATAATTTTTTTTTCCTTTTCTTCCCTTCTCTCTCGCTCTCTTTCTCTTTTTTTTTTTTTTTTTTTTTTTTTTTTTTTTTAAGATTGAGTTGAGAGACAAAGAAAAGCTGAGTTTCGGAGGCTGAGGGATTCATCTGAAGGTTGAGTTTAATTTTGTAAGTTCATATCGTGATATTATCGATAATATCGCGATATATTGTCCATTTAAAGCTGCAACTTGAACGAAAATATTGTTACTGAAATATCGGTGAAATTATCGATAAATTGACGATATATATATGGAAATGTGCTAAAATATCACTGCCCCAAAAAAATGATAATTTCGCCGAAATATCGGCAAAATTAGCGATATTTTGTTCTATGGTCTCAACTAATACTATGTGTGGGATATGTTAAAGTTTGGTTAAAGGTGCCGAGTTCAATATTGTGTACACTCAGGTTCCTCAAATGGAGACTATCATCACTAAGTGAAGGTTCAAGCCCGGAATGCACGTACACTTATTACATTTATGTATTATATTGCCCGTATATATTATATATTTTTCACTGTTTTTTCGTCATGGTAAAATTTTGAAAACCTTGTGGGGGATTGTTGGAATTTTAAAAGGTTTTAAAATTTAACCGTTTTATTTATTTAATTATTTTGGATGTTTTATTTTATTTATTGTGGGGGTTATAAATATTTAATATTCAGGTTTTATTTCTTTTTGATGAATGCCTTAATTTTTTGGTTGGTGAACTTTTATGGTTGGTGAAGGTTACATGTTTTGGATGCCTATAAAAGGTCACTCCTCCTTCACATTTGAAAAACACAATATACTATCAGAATATCACATACACATTCTAATTCTTTCCTTTTCTAGTTTTACATATATTCTCTACTTTATATTATTATTATATTGGGCAATGGTCATGTGACTTGGATACCTATATCTGTCTATGAACGTGCTCATAGCGGATCTTGAGTTTGTGTATAAAGGGTCGTATATTGGAGTCTTGTAGACCGTTAGTACCTGCACGTAGGGAGGCTACAAAGGCTTTAGGATAGCGTCTTTAACGTGCTTCACCGTACCAAACTCACCTTCTTACTTATTATTTATTTTCCTTTTACTTACCTATTATTTTGTTTTCTTCAATTTCATTATACCTTCAAAGCTTTCCAATTTGTTTATATGTTATTTATAATATAATTTTTTTGTATTTGGCTTTACGGAAATAGGGAAATTATTATTTTTTACAACAAATTTAAGTGAAAAAAAGATCTATGGAGCAAATTGATAATTACGGTATAGTAAAGGAGCCAAAACGGAACATAACACTTGGACTAATTTAAATTCTCTCATTCTCCCCTCATTTTACCACTTGAGCATTTGGGTTTCAAATTACATAAAAATTAGGTCCAATTTATTCTGGACTCAATTAGTCACATTTTAGGCCATAACCAAATTAGGACCAAAACCACAGCTCTCTCCCACGTTCTCAATTATTTGAGCCTTGTAATTTGGTAGTGAGACTGGTGAATTAAGATTAAAATTGGACCGGAATACTGAAGGTTCATACCAGAAAAAAGAAAAAAGAAAATGTAAGGGTGATTAAAGGGAGGTCAATTATGGCGGGTTGGGAACATTCAAGGTTCAGACTGAAAAGCAAAGAAAAAGAAGAAGGAGCACTTAAGGGGATAGAACGGAAGGAAAGAGAAAATGAGAAGTCAATATATTATACAGACGGTTTTTAAACAAAAACAGACGTATTGGACATATATAGACGACGAATTTTCAACAAACGTCGTCTAATTCTAACTACGACGGTAGTTAAAGAAAACCGTCGTGTATAATAATACAGACGACGGTTTATTAAAAAACCGTCGTCGTATGCCTAAAAAAGCGTCGATATCCTAGTTTATTTTCAAGAACCCAAAACCTTATTAAGAACACAACATATACATTAATTTCTATGTTGGGTATTAAGAACACGTATACTAAGCATGAAACCAACATATACTAAGCATGAAAACAATAAATCCATTCCAGATTCAAAATAACAGAGAGTGATTAAAAAATCGGACAACATTAAATCCATTCCCAATTGATCATGAAAACATTAAACAAAAAATCCATGAACCCATACCTCCGACAACATTATTAAAAGATTGCAAAACATATATCTAAAACCCTTTAACAAAACAACTGAATATCATTCAACGAATTTACAAGGGGAAGATAAGGGTTTGTACTTACAGGTAGGCAGAGCTCACAGATTATGGCCTACTTGGATTCGACGGAGCCTGGAGAGCCCAACTTTGAATTGGAGTTGAAGTGAGATAGCGAAATGTTAAGGGGATTTAGAGCGAAATATGAAAATTTTAGGGTTCAGGGTTGCAAGTATAAGACTTAGGGCGAAATCTGAAAATTTTAGGTCGCCGCGAAATTTTTTGGAAAGCACACTCTTTAAAACATCAACGGAAAAAAACAACCGTCGTTAAAATTTCACATTAAACATGACGCTTATTACATTAAAGACGTCGTGGTAAAACTATTTATGACGCAAAATCTAAAAACCGTCGTCAAAACTAAAATAAAAAAACCGTCGTCAAAACTAAAAATTAAAAATATACCCTAAACCCTAATAAAGCAAACACAAATTATATTTTTTTTTAAAATAATTTTAGAAAAGGGATTAGGGTTTTAGGGCCAAAAATATCTAAACCAAAAAACCTAAACCCCAAAAATATTCCTTTAACCCCCTAAACCCTAAACCATCAAACTATAAGTGGTATTGTGACTCATCAAAACAATTTTATTTTTGGTGGTCATTTTAAATTTGTATTACTCAAACTGCATTTAATTAAGCTTAAGGGGAAAGATAATATCTCAATGACTTCATAGGAGTTGACGTTGCATTTTTTGGATTTATTTTAAATTTATTTTGAATATTTTGAATTAAAAATAATAAAATATTCTTATAAACAACAACAAACCACGTCAGTGTTAAGAAATTAAAGACGTTGTAAATCCTAATAAACGACTTACTTGTAAAAAGGACGTCGTTTAAAAGCGAAACCATGGCGGAAGTTTCACCAAAACCAATGTACAATCATTATTCCATGACTCAGACACTGAACTTACCGCCGTTTATTTCAAACCAACCACGTCGTCTACTGAACCAATAGCGTCGTTTGAATAACCTTTTACGTTTTTTTTTTTTAAATCGATGACGTTGTTATTCGTGTACAACGTCATTTTAAAGGAACGCCGGTTTTGAAAGCGCACTCCGTAAATCATCGACTGAAAACATAAACACCGTCGTTAAAAAATAATACCCTAAACCCTAAATTATATATTTTTAAAATATAATTTTAGAAAAGGGTTTATGGTTTTACGGCCAAATATATAACAACCATAAACCCTAAACCCCAAAAATTATCCTTTAACCCTAAACCCTAAACCCTAAACTATCAAACTATAAGTGATGTTATGACTCATCAAAACAATTGTTTTTTTGGTGGTCATTTTAAATTTGTATTACTCAAACTGAATTTTTTTAAGCTTTAGGGGGAAGAAATATATCAATGACTTCATAGGAGTAGTTGACGTTGCATTTTTTTGATCTATTTTAAATTTATTATGAATATTTTAAATGAAATAGAATAAAATATTCCTACAAACACCAACAAACCACGTCGGCGTTAAGAAAGTAACGACGTTGTAAATTTAATAAACGACTTACTTGTAAAAAGGATGTCATTTAAAAGCAAAACCATGGCGAAATTTTCACTCAAACAACATCGCATCGACGTACAAACGGTATATCACGACTTAAACTAAAAAGGTGTTGCCGTGTAATTTAATTACCACGTCATCTCTGTCATCTAAATATCCTTTTATGTCAGATTTGTTTCAAACGATGACATTGTTATTTTTTACAACTTCGGTTGTAGTAAATGGAACATGCATTAAACGTCACCTATACTTCCTTTAGACGTCGTCTGTAATGTATAGTCGTGTTTTTTTATTCCTCTTGTTTTATTTTTTTACAAACTTTTGTACTCCATAAGACGACGGTTTTTGACATAATTATGTCGTTGGAACGTTATTACACATCGGTTACGCAATTTCTTTTTTTAAAATTACGAAAACCTCAACAAATTTTCTGGGAAAAAAAGGATGTATATTATAGACAAAATTTCTACAAAAACTTGTCTAATTCTAACAAAATTTGTACAAAAACTTTACTAATTCTAACAAAATGTGTACATTATATAAAAATGTCAAGTGTTCTAAAAATCCTCTACTCCATATGAAGGCAAACAAACTCTGCCCATTCTTTCCTAACTTCATCAATGGCTACTTGGGGGTATGACGCTTGATCTTTTCCCTTCGCAAACTGCAATCCATAAACAATGATTATTAAGCTTTATAAATAAACAGAAATTCAATCACATATGACGCTATTTTTCATAACCGACGTAGTATATCGATGCAATGACGGTAATTTTAAAGGACCGTCGTTGATAATACAAAAAATCACATAAAATAAATCTGAAAATTTTCTTCTTACCGTCTTCTCAAACTCCAGGGAAAGATCCATGATGATGTCTCTCATGAAGTGCATGACATAATAGCCGCATTCTACACTACTTGGTTGCTTTGGTGTGCCTGGCAGAGTTTTCCAAATGGTTGCTTTACGGCCTTGTCTGCCTATGTGTGAATTATACATTTTGATAGCACTTTTCAATATGTTTTTGGCCTCCTCATCAACCACTCAATTTCCGGGCAGAGGATCCAGAAAATAGACAGTTTCCTTTTTTGCTCTCACAATGAACAAGACCCAATGACGGCTGCACAAAATTAATATAAAGGTTAAACAGTTTTATATGCAGTGCATCATACAAACAAAATCCTGTTAAGGAGACTAACCCTGGATTGTAAGGCATCATGAAAATCTGTTCACCATATGTCTTTTGAAGTCGATTGGCTACCAAACGTGATCTTTCAGTTAATGACCCAGCGTTGGCACTAACTTGAGCAGGGTCGATAAAGCCAACCATGTTCAACATATTTGCAGCTTTCAAATTATCAAATAGGCACCTAAATATATATATGAAATGATCACATGACTTTTTTGTTCAACAGAAAGGAGAGTGTGAAATAAATATTTGATAAGGACAAACCTCATATATACTGCAACCACAGTAGCCCCAATTTCTTCCATGCCTGCAAACTGTGTAATATCTTCATGCAAAACGAAGGTACTACGATCATCACCAAACACCTCCTTCTCAATTGTAAAGGTCATAATCTTCTCTTGAGGCTTTAGTGTCGTTTCCACATAACGACGAAGGGATTGTAAAGAAGATGGCACCTCCAGCTTTGAATAATCAACTACTTCAATATTCTGTTTAAAGAAATAAAGCAAAATAAAATGACGTGGTAATTCAATAAAAACGACGGTTTAAAAAAAAAAACGTCGTCTGATAAAAATTTAAACGACGGTAACAAAACACCATCGTGGTGAATAATTTATTACGTCATAGAAAACAAATTCCGACGTCTAATTAAAATGTAAAAATTCAATTGAAAACAAAACTGTCGTGGAAATTTAAAACAAACGACGGTTTAAAGAAAATATCGACGTCTGAAATTTGAAAAACAAATAAAAAAGGCAAAGTTATGAGAATTTACCTTTTCATCTTGCTTTTCATCTTTCTTTTCTTCATCTTGCTTTTCTAAATCCCTAGATTTCTATTTTAAGAAATAAAGAAATATATATATATATATATAAAAGACAGATTGTACAAAAAGTAAAAAATTAAATCAAAACGTCGTGGTAAGGCATAACATAAGACGGTGTGTAAGAATTATGGATGTCTTAAAATCATTAAACAATGGTAAATAATAAACGTCGTGGGGATTTATCTATTACGTCGGTAAGGACTAAAACCGTCGTCTAAATCACCATAAAAGTTTTCAAAAATAACGACGTCTAATGGCGTGTAAAACAAGTAAACTAAATACGACGTGGTATTGAAATCCAAATGACGGTTTATTAATAAAATCGTCGTGGTATGTATTTCAAACGACGGTTTGATTCATAATAACGACATCTAATAGCTTTTAAAAAAAAATAGAGAATTCAAAGTTTAGATATGTTACCGTTTCATCCTACTTTTCCCCATACTTGGCAGTATCATCCTCAAAATGTTGAGATCTCCCATCAAGAGCCCCAGAGCAGCTTGCTTTGTTCGACATTGGATTTTTGGGACTTTGCTCTTGACCTTGGTTTTGATAGGGGCTAGTTTTCGGTTTAAGCATGCTTGGATCAAAATTGGGGATGAGTTGGGAAAGCTGACTCAGTAAATTTTCCCTCTCAGCCTCTACCAATTGCTTGGTTCTAGCCTCCATCTTTAAAGTCTCTTCCCTTGATCTAGCTTCCATCTTCAAAGTCTCTTCTTGAAGGACAAGTCTTACACTTTCCCTTAATTGATCGGCAAACTTTACCCTCTGTTGTCTAGGTAAATTGAAGTATTGCCTAGGGGAAATCCTAGCACCTACCCCTCTAACTCTCCCTGGATGCTCGGGACCCAAAGCCATTGTCAACACATCATTACTGCCAGATACAGTAAGACTTCCTTCAGAGACTTGTTTTTGTAATTCATCCTAAAACAAAGATATATAAAAAAAGTCAGCACAAGAAAACACATGAAGGTTATTTATAAACAAACGACGTATTATATAATTTCACACAACGCAATAACATAGCAATCAACGTTATCATAAATTTATCACGACGATACTTAACTAACGACGTGGTTAGAAGTTTCAAACGACGCAATAAATAAACCACCGACTTCTTATGCTATAATTACAAAAAACAGAGTAGTGATTCCAAATTCAGACCTGTAACGACGTTTTTTAAAACATCTTGACGTAGTAATATCATTCACACGATGCAAAAATATAACATAAGACGTAATAAGAATTATCAGGGCAATACACAGTTTAATAAAAGTTTAAAACAGAATGAGTAGGCTTGCAATTAATTTTGCTTTCTCTGCCACCTTTGGATCCGGGATGTTACCATGTTTGTCTTGTCTAGCTTTCTTCCATAAGGTAGATCGATCAATTTCTACCCCGGGCATGGTTTCCTCCAATTGATCCTCCAAACCAGCATATCCTTTTCGAGACAATCGATGATTGTACTCAAGTTTCTCCCTAATCTGTGAATGTTGAAAATGCACAGACACAAATTGTTCGTATAACCTTGAAGCTACAAGGGCATCCCATTCTGCTTTCTCTATGAATTTATATAGTTCAGGGGGTTGGCTTAATTTCTCCTTTTCCTTGATGAATGGAAGGATATGATGCCTCATTAGTGTAGACTTGAAATCCTTCCATTTCTTGGCAGCAGAAGATAACACCAGGTTCTTGCCCCCTTGACCTACCACAAAAGCCATGTCAACAGCTTCCCAAATCTGCTTTTTTATATCCTTGGGGATTTCAGCCCATTTCTTGTCCACAAGTGGGACTCTGGAGCGTGCCAACACAACAATGTAGGACTGCATCTCAGTATGTGCAGGGCCACATACTTTCCCCCTTTTATTGTACTCAACAACTGACTTGATTTTCTGATATTTTCTCTTCACAACACGAGGCATTGTGCTTATACCTCGACCTGACTTTGAATCCTCAGAATATGTTGTCGTGCTGCCTGGTTCTATCTCAACAGATGAAACAAACTTCATCTTCTTCAAGGACTTGTCTTGAGGATTTACCATTCTAAGCTCCTTACCTCCATTTTTTTCAAGCCAGAGTCCTTACTTTGGTCTTGAGAAACCATGGTTACAGACAAATCAAACCTGAAAGTGAAAATATTTCAGGAAAAAATTAAGAACACAAACGACAGTTATTTATAAAACACGACGTATGATAAGATTTTACACGACGGAAAAACATAACATCAGACGTAATAAATGTTTAAAACGATGGTACTTAAACAACGATGAAACAATATAACAGAAGACGTAATAAGACCTTATTACGGCGATATTCATATTCCGTCGTGATATTTAAATTCAAACGAAGTTAATATTAATATAACGTCGTGGTATGAAAATTTACACGACGTGAATAATAAGATATCGTCGTCTATATAAGATGGAAAACAAAAACAGTGAAGTTGTTCCAAACCCTTCTTTCTTTGCCTTTGTATTTTATCAAATTAGGAAAAACAAAAACCATGGTTTAGAGAAATCAAACCTGCAATGAATATATCTTAGACAAGCAAATAAAAAAACGAAGGTCATTTTAAAAACAACTTATAACAACTTTCAGACGACGCTAGGACGACTGACGAACCGTCGTAGCCTATAAATTTAACCACGTAAATAAGAAGCTACCGTCGTCTTATTTAGTTGAAGTAGTTGTGTTCAAAGTTGGAAACTTTCCCTCTTTGTCTGTATATTTTATCAAACTTGGAAAGAATTAAAATGATTTTGGCCAGAAAAAAGGTAAAAAGATTTTCAAAACAAAAACCATATGAGCATGCAAAACAGCATCAAAAATAGTGAGAAATGCTTACCTTTTGCGTGCAATGAGAGCTTTCTCTCGGAGTTTGGTGTTTAAGTTCAGAGACGACGACGAAGACGAGAGGAAGATGATGAGATACACCGACAGTGCTCTGAGAAGGAAAAAAGACGAAAAAGTTTTCTCTCGGAGCTTGAAATTTTTTCTCGGGTTTGGAAACAGTGCAAGTGTAAGTCAGGTAGACGAAAAGTTGAATATATTCACACACCGTTTCATAAAACGACGCGATTAATAGAAAGCGCCCTAGTATTATATATTAGACATCGGTATATGTTTTCACCGCCCTAGTAAATTTGTTTAACGACCCTTAGTTTTCATAAAATGCCGTGTTTATATACAATTCCACGATGATATTATCTTCAATAAAAATATTAATTAATTAGTTTCCCTAGTAAAGTTTTTTCTTTTACCAAAATAAAAGAAAAATTAATTAATTTTAAAAAGCAATAAAAATAAGACGGCGGTAATAATAAAAATCGCCCTAGTATGTACTTACCACGACATTAAAATAACATCAACCGACGTGGTTAGTGAAAAAAGCCTTTTGACTTTTTGTATTCCGAAAACGACGTGGTTAGTTGGGCGCTACACGTCAAAAGTTTACTTTAAATAAGTAATATTATAAGTTACCACGTCGTTTTTTATATTAAACCGACGTGGTTTTCAAACACCTTGTTGACTTCATTTTAATAACTGACATTGTTTGTAATTTAATACGTCCTACTTTTGTACAGAATCGACGTTGATTTGTTATGAAACGGCAGTATTTTAAATGTAACCGACGTGGATATGAAAGTTTTTGTATAAATAGAGTTTTTAGTTTCAGTTTTCTATTAGGGTTCCAATTTTTTCTTGCCCTCTGTCTCACCTATTAGGAGGCAATTGTTTGGATGTTGATGTGTGTGTATGTTTGTGTATCTGATTCACAAACATACACACATCACCTACGTTCAAAAAATTGTCTATCTGAATGCAAATCTGTGGCTACCGTCGTGAAATTTTAGGAGGCAATTGTTTGGATGTTGATGTGTGTGTGCGTTTGTGTAGATACACAAACGCACACACATCGTCAACTTCCAAAAAATTGTCTCTCTGGTTGCAAATTTGAGGCTGCCGTAGTCAAGTTTCAAAGGCAATTTTTTGGATGTTAATGTGTATGTGCATTTGTGTATCTCAAAGACACAAATATAGAGCAGGAAAGAAACACTGTTTGCTGTCTATCTGATGAACATGACCACAAATGTTCGTGTATGGAAAGCGTTGAACTCAGAAGGGACAAACACCAATATCATTAAGAATGTGCTGCAAGTGCAACCCAATTCATCAGATGTATTTTTCTGTACTCTTATCCTTAAACTCAAAGCAAATAGTCTATCCCTCACTAATCCATTTCATGTTTGTTTCTTACAGGAGGAGAATTCTTGCGCAATCTGTTTTTCCGAAGACATGTGCTCCCCTGACCTTTCAACAAAATAGGCCACAATGTGCTCTGATCTAAATGATTCCCAAAAGGCTGCAGTTTTAAACTGTATCAGTTTGAGTAAGTGTCATCACCATAATACTGTAAAACTAATATGGGGTCCTCCTGGAACTGGAAAGACCAAGACAGTCAGTATGACACTCTTTGTCCTCTTTAGGTTGAAGTGCAGAACACTAACATGTGCGCCGACCAATACTGCCGTGTTAGAAGTTACGGAACGACTCTTGAGGTTGGTTAATCAGACTCTTGAATATGGAAAGTATGGACTAGCTGATATAATTCTATTTGGGAATGTGGAGCGGATGAAGATCGATAATTATAATGACCTTTTTGAGGTATTTCTTGATAGTTGTATTAGTATTCTGTCCAAGTGTCTTGCCCCTTTGTCTGGTTGGAAACATTGGTTAGAATCCATGATAGGTTTCCTTGAGGATCCAGAGCAACTCTATTCCTTGTATTTAAAGGAAAAGAGGGAACAGCACAAAAAGAATGATGAGCACGATGAAGAAACTGATAATAGCAGCTCAACAAGTGATGATGAGAGTGATCTTTTGACGTTTGAGGAGTATGTGAAGAAAAAATTTGATTACTTTAGTGAGCATCTGAAAACTTGTATGGTAAACTTGTACACCCACTTGCCAACATCTTGCATTTCACTTGAGGTGGTGAAGGATATGATTAGAGTTTCGGATTTGCTAAAGTTGATTAAATCTATATTGCATCGGGCCGGTGTTGCTAATGAAAGGTTGCAATCACTTCAAAAAGATTGCGCACAAATTCTTAAGTCGCTTCGTGAATTTTCTATTCCAAATTCAAATGACGGACAAACAATAAGAAATTTGTGCTTGGAAAATGCTTGTTTAATATTTTGTACTGCGTCAAGCTCTGCAAAATTGCACACTGAAGGAATGGCACCTGATAGGATTTTTAGTACCTGCGCAAACAGGGTTAAAATCACCGAAAATACTTGCAAGAATACAAGGTAATTGTAGTATAAGTGCTCATGCAAGGTCGTTGTCCCCAAAGATTGTTTGACTAGTCTGTAATTAAACTAACTCTTAATTAATAACTAAAATAGATTTTATCAAAGATTTGAAGTTTATGAATTTGTAAAGATTAAACTAACAGTAAAAGAAATCTGAAAGTTGGGAAATAATAACAGCAAAGAAGAAAAACGATTTCTTTTTAAAGACTAACAATTTAGAGAAAACTAGGGTTTAGCCAACACCGTCGCAATCCTATGCAATTCTATCAATTACTTATGAATTTCCACATAAATGCTTTGAAGGTTAGGTTTTCCTAATGCATATTTTCCTTGTGATGTTCAAGCGAAAACGTATATCTAACATGCAATCCGTCTGTGATGTTCAGATCAAATATAAACATGCCAGACTCATTAAGCTTTGTGAAAACCCTTTGAAAAACCATGCAACCCTTAAGAGCGTGATGTTCGCCTTAAGTGAACTTACAATTACTAATCACAAGAAGCCCTCTTCAATTTCAGGGTGATGTTCCAACAGAAATTGCATCAAATTACTTGTCTACATATCCTAATGGTGATCAGTCATTAAAATAGATAGATAGTTTTAAACACAGTGATTAATAATTCAAAGCAAACATGCATCCATTCATAAGCAAATTAATAAAACTACATATTCATGCTAAGGCTTACGGCCTCACCCTAGCAATTGCTCCCAAAGCCAAAAAGAAGTTCTAAAAGGAGCCCCCTAACTTGCTGTGAAAAGGACCTTAAATACCTCCTAAAACCTAGCTACCCAATCCCCATAAGGAAACTAAGTTAAAGTAAAATAAGACTAGGAAATAAAGTCCAAATTGGATTAGGAGAATCTGCCCATAATCTGCCCAGCCACGTTTTAGTCTCAAATCTCTCCCAAATCTGGCCCAAGATAGCTCGTTTTAAAGATAAAAATATTCCGAACACTTCTCCAGAAGGCCACGAACCCATCCGAGGTCATCTTGGGCTCCAAAATCGCAATAAAAGCCCAAAACGTCACTATTCCAGCATAGCGCACTGCTCCTTCATTTATTCGCCAGGAAATCATCGCTTGGTGGAAAAGTCTGATATTTTGATACGATCAAGCTAAGTGACTCACATACGTCCTCCAACTGGAATTACTCCAAAATTCGTCCATTTGATTATGTTTTGCTCCAGAGGAAGTCGAAAGTCCTATATTGGAAATATAATTCAAAGTATCAGAATTCTTCCAACATATTAACCAAAATATACTAAGAATGAGGTTAAATATATAATATAAAATCGACTCATCAGCACCTCTGGAAATGTTAGTGATTGATGAAGCAGCTCAGCTGAAAGAATGTGAATCAGCAATTCCCTTACAACTACCTGGTCTTCGCCATGCTATTCTCATAGGAAATGAGATGCAACTCCCTGCTATGGTTAAAAGCAAGGTTTTCTTTTTACCCTTAGTTTTCTTTAGGTTTTTAAATAATGAGAAGCTTATACACACGCACACATTCATAAATATATTAACATCTTAGCAAATATACTTGTTAGCTCTCCGAGAATGCTGAATTTGGAAGAAGTTTGTTCGAAGGACTTGTACTGTTAGGCCACGAGAAGCTCCTTCTTAATGTCCAGTATAGGATGCATCCATTGATCTGCAGGTTTCCGAAACAGGAATTCTACAACAATCAGATACTAGATGGTCCAAATGTCAGTGAAGTAAGCTATGAGAAGTCCTTCATTGAGGGCAGAATGTACGGGCCATACTCCTTTATAAATGTAGCCAATGGAAAAGAAGAATTTGATCGCGGGCATAGTCTGAAAAACATGGTTGAGGTTGCTATTGTATATGAGATAGTTTCATGCCTTTACAAAGGTAATTACTGTCCTTAGCTAGTTGGTGTTCTTAGTTGTTTTAAGAATATGCTGCTTGACCCCACACCTGACGGATTGGGCGGGTGGTAAAGTGGGGACAGTATCGGTGTTGTTAGAGTGGGACCCAACGGGCAGATCCAAATTTTCAACATGGCATCAGAGCCAAGGCCCGTACAAAAACGACGCTTCTCCCCCCCCACACAAAAAAAAAAAAAAAAAAAAAAAAAAAAAAAGACAGGAAACTCTTAAAAATGCCAACGAAGCTTGAAAATAGCCGACCTCTGAGTTCCATTGAAAACAAGTGGGCCCAACGAGAGCCGACCTCTGAGTTTCAATTGCCGATGTGTGGATCTTCACGTGTGATTACACGTGAGGGGGAGTGTTGGAATCCCACATCGGTGGAGTGAAAGAAAACAAATGGGTTTAAATAGAATTACCACACTCTAACTAATACCGAGGCCTTTTTGATAAAACCCCACACCTGACGGATTGGGTGGGTGGTAAAGTGGGGACAGTATCGGTGTTGTTAGAGTGGGACCCAACGGGCAGATCCAAATTTTCAACATGGCATCAGAGCCAAGGCCCGTACAAAAAACGCTTGACGTCACTTGTCCCCTCCCACCCAAAAAAAAAAAAAAAAAAAAAAAAAAAAAAGACGGACTCTTAAAAATGCCAACGAAGCTTGAAAATAGCCGACCTCTGAGTTCCATTGAAAACAAGTGGGCCCAACGAGAGCCGACCTCTGAGTTTCAATTGCCGATGTGTGGATCTTCACGTGTGATTACACGTGAGGGGGAGTGTTGGAATCCCACATCGGTGGAGTGAAAGAAAACAAATGGGTTTAAATAGAATTACCACACTTTAACTAATACCGAGGCCTTTTGTGATAAAACCCCACACCTGACGGATTGGGCGGGTGGTAAAGTGGGGACAGTATCGGTGTTGTTAGAGTGGGACCCAACGGGCAGATCCAAATTTTCAACAGGTACATGATACCTACTACTCGGTAGTTTTCTTAACTTTTCCTTCTTCGCCACAGAATTTACTCGAACAAAGAAGAAGGTTAGTATTGGGGTAATATCACCTTACAAGGCTCAAGTTAATGCAATTCAATTGAGAGTTAGAAACTACTGTGAAGTTTCTGGCACAGATTTCTCTGTAAGTGTGCGATCTGTTGATGGATTCCAAGGTGGTGAAGAGGATGTGATAATTATCTCCACTGTCAGATGTAATGGGAATGGATCTGTAGGTTTCCTCTCCAATTGTCAGCGAGGAAATGTGGTTCTAACTCGTGCCAGGTATTACTGCATGTTACATCGTAGCTTGCTCATGTTGTAGATTAGATGTTTTGTGAATCATTGGTAGTTTTGATGAAGTTAATTTTTTGTGGTTGTGTTGATGTAGGCATTGCCTCTGGATATTGGGGAATGAAGCGACATTGACTAACAGTAACTCAATTTGGAAGAATCTGATTCTTGATGCAAAGAAACGCGATTGTTTCTATAATGCTGATGAGGACAATAACTTAGCTCAGGCTATTGCAGCAGCCCTTCTAGAGCATAACCAACTACATACTCTGCTTGATGCTGATTCTATGCTGTTCAAAAATGCAAAATGGAAGGTATGCTGCTACTTCTGGTTTTCCTTTTTTGTAATCATCAAAGTATTTGCTTATGTGTTCATTAGCAATAATCAGTCTTTTTCCGATATAGGTTTGGTTTGCCAACGAATTTAGGAATTCAATAGCAGAAATTAAAGACACCGAGATTCGACAAGACGTAATTTCTTTAATAAAAAAGCTTTCTAATGGTTGGCGCCAATCTCAGAATGATAAAGTGATTATAGGCCATGGTGGGACTTCTGCTGAATTGCTAGAGACGTATGAAGTCAATGAGCTGCTGTATCTCATTTGGAGCGTAGAAATTCACAAGCAGAACTCAGATTTTGTCCAGGTTATGAAGATTTGGGACATTGTCCCACTTTCTGATATTCCTAAACTTACAGAGCGCCTTGACATCGTCTTTGGGAATTACACCGTCGATAAGATGATGTCAAACAAAGTAGGGCAAATATTCAATTATGCTAAGATACACTCATATTGACTCATATTCACACATATCTTCTCATCTTATTATTCTTCTCCAATATGGAGGTATTTATAGAGAAGTAGAACCCTAAATAAAATAGGAAATAAATCCAAATTACAATAGAAAATAAATATAAATTACAATAGGAAATAAATCTCAATGATAATAGGGCTAGATAAATGGGTAAGTAACCAAAATCCTAACATAGTAAGGAACCAAAATCCTAACTAAATAAGGACTCGCCAACACTCCCTCTCAAGTTGGGCAAAGATATTTCGCAGGCCCAACCTGACAAGCGAGTCACAGAACACCATACTTGAGAAGCACCAATTGTAGAGAAGGTCTTTTAGTCAACCATGAGTGAAACAAGTGACAAACTAAAGCAAAGTTTGCAGTGGAAACATAAGAGCAAACCCTAAAAAATAGGGCACATAGCAGAACACAGAAACCCTGTGAGCACGGCAATAGGTAAGGCAGAACACAGACAAACTAAAGCAAAGTTTGCTGTGGAAACATAAGAGAAAACCCTAAAAAATAGGGCACATATCAGAACACAGAAACCCTGTGAGCACGGCAATAGGTAAGGCAGAACACAGATACTCTGTGAGCACGGCAGTATGTAAGGCAGAACACAGAAACCCTGTGAACACGGCAGTAGGTAAGGCAGAACACAGAAGTCCTGTGAGCACGGCAGTAGATATGGCAGAAACCAAACCCTAAAAAATAGGGTAAGGCAAGGTAAAGCCAAACCTCAAAGAAATAAGGTAAGGTAAGGCAAGTAAAGGCCAAGCAAAGGCAAGGTGGCAAGGCATGGTAAAGAAAGCCCAGATAGGGCAACAAAACCATAAAGACATGGTAAGGTACGACAAAGGCAAAGGCAACCAAACCCTAAAAAATAGGATAAGGCAAGGTAAGGCATGGCAAAGAAAGTTCAGAGCAAAGGCAAGGTCAACGGTCATGATCGCAGCGGAAAAACACACAAGCAAAGGCACGAACATGGTAGAAGCATCAACAACAATGTCTCTAGCAAGAGACAACAAAACTGACAGCATCAAGAGCAACACAAGGCAGGGACATAACATGCATCATCAATAGTAATCAACACTGTCCCCAGCAAAAGTCATAATAGGCAGGAGCAATAACATTGTCCCCAGTAAGAGACCCAATAGGTATGAGCAACGGTATTGGCACCAGCAAAGGACACAGTAGTCGGCAACAATAACAATGACAAATACTTCCATTATCGCAGAGACAACTTCTCTTCACTCCCCCTGGGCAAACAACTGTGGTAGCAGCAACAACAGAGACAACTTCTCTTCACTCCCTCTCTCCCCCTGAAGAGAAGAGGTCGTCGGAACCATAAGAAAAGTGGCACTTAAGAAACAGAAGCGGACTGACGCTCAGATGTAGAAGAATCAGCCATGGCAGATAGGTAGCTGAATTGCAGCAGAATAGATGAGCAGCAGTGTCACTCCCCCTCAAATCCGACGATGTATGAGAGTCGAGATTTGGAGAAAGTAACACCCAAATAAATAAGAAAACACATATGTTTCTGGGCAGGAAGTGAAACACATTATCAAATGGAAAAAAGAGCCATATAGGCGTGCACAAAGAGAGAGGACCAGAGCGGATGTGCAAAGGGAACAGCGGCAGTTTAGCTCGACAGGACAGAGAGAGACAAAGGCTAGCTAGGAGAAGGCTCGGCGAGTGGTGACGAGGCTGGCGGAGATTTGAGATGGCTCGGTGAGCGGTGACGAGGCTCACGGAGGAAGGAGATCAGGCAATCAATGGCCAAGGGGCGTGTTGCCCATATGGTATACATTTAAAAGAGAGGCTCGCAAGAGACTGAAACTAACATGGGCTCAATCTGATTTTAACAGAAAGCAAGCTCATAGAGAGATGAAAAGTAAGAGAAAAAAGGCAGCAGTAGGCATGGGTAGAGAAAAAGAAAGGTAATGACTCAACATAAACACGGTAAGGACAAAGACAAGGGTAAAATTGCAGAAAGGTGCAGCTATGGCTAAGGCAGAAGAAATATATGTTGATTATTAAGGAAAGGAGAAACAAGGATTTACATCAAGGTGAAGACCCATGATGGGTTAGGAATGAGGAACGCCAATGACTCTCAATTTGTCAGAGGATCTCAAGGATTAGTAACGACTCTCAAGGAGACCATAAACACAGGTCATAAGAAAACCTAGGCTCTTATACCATGTCAAACAAAGTAGGGCAAATATTCAGTTATGCTAAGATACACTCATATTGACTCATATTCACACATATCTTCTCATCTTATTATTCTTCTCCAATATGGAGGTATTTATAGAGAATTACAACCCTAAATAAAATAGGAAATAAATCCAAATTACAATAGAAAATAAATATAAATTACAATAGGAAATAAATCTCAATTATAATAGGCCCAATTTATTCTGGACTCAATTAGTCACATTTTGGGTCATACCCAAATTAGGCTCAAAACCATAGCTCTCTTCCTCATGTAATGATTTTTTTTTTAAAGTTATTTTTTGTTTCAATGGGTAATGATTCAAGTTTGGCTTAGTTTCATTTTCGTGGCTGTCTCCACATTCTCAATTATTTGAGCCTTGTAATTTGGAAGTGAGATTTGTGAATTGAAATTAAAAAGGGAGCGGAAGACTGAAGGTTCGGACTAGAAAAAAGAAAAATGAAAATGTGGATTGCAGTGGAATATTAAAAGGGAGGTCAATCATGGCGGGTTGGGAAGATTCAAGGTTCATACCGAAAGCAAAGAAAAAGAAGAAGGAGCATTTCAAGGGAAGAGAAAATGAGAAGTCAAAATGCTTGACAGGTGGGAAAATGGGGTTTGTTTATTGGTTTCAAATGAGTGGACTTGTAGACATTGTTGGATTGGTGAAAATGGAAGCTGCAATTTGTTTGGTCTCGTCTGGCTATACTTTGGCTTAGTTTCACTTCCATCAAATTGAACGGTTCTCTTGCTTCTTCTTTCTTGGTTCGTCGAAGCTCTTTTTTGTTTTTCTATTTTGAAACGTTATTTTTTTTGCTTTTTTTACATTTTCTTTATTGTTTTTAGTATCGTACCTTGTAAAATGACAAATTTACCCTTATAATTAACGGAAAATTATAGGGTGGGCACAATTTCAGGTGAACCCGATCATAGTGAGTTGGGTTGGCCTAAAAATGATTGGACCTTAGGTTCAAAAAAGGGTTAATCGTTTTATTAGTCCCCCAACTTTGACTGGATTTCCATTTGAGTAACCTGAACTTCCAAAATGGTACTTGTGGTCCTTTAACTTTAGTTTCATTTGGATTACTAGTCCCACCATTACTTTTATCAATTTTTTCATTAAATTTAGGGGTAGATCAGTCTTTTCAAGTTGGTTTTATTATCCCCTTTATGCAACTTGCCTTCCCTCTGAAATAGACCTTCGAGAGCCTGCCGCCGAAAACCTAAATAACCAAAAATTGCAATCCACTTCTACAACTCGCATATTGGTTGAGTAAAAGTTGGAATCGTCAAGTTTGGAAGCTTGGAGAGCAGATTAGTTCGAAGGATGGCAAGTGATATGTCTCAAACATCATCAATGGAATCTAACCAAAGCCCCAAATCGGTGAAGTATTGTCATTGTGGGAGTTTGATCAAATCAAGGACTTCATGGATAGACATGAATCTAGGAAGACGCTTTGAGGCTTGTGATAACAACTAGGTAAACAATTTTTTATTTTTGGGTTTATGCAAAAAATATTATGTTCAGATTTTGTACTGATGAAGAATTGGATAATACCGAAGCAGAAAAACAGAGTTGGAGAGCATTATTTTAGGTGGTTGGACAAGGAGACATGTACAAGAAGGAAGAATGTGGTGCCTTATCTGCTTAGAAGAATAAGAATGATGGAGACTAAAATGAGGGAGACAGAAGACATAAAAAATGTTGTGGTCAACACACTTCAATCCTTAGAAGCTCGAAACTTGGAAATGGAGGGCATAATTGAAGAAAATAAGGAGGAGTTGGATTACGCAGTCAGAGACAACAGAAGGCTTAGACTTTTGCTGGAAGACAATATGATGAGGCATCGACAAAGTGAATGTAGGATGAGTATGGGCTCTTGTATTTTATTTATGGTCATTGTGATGATGATGATCATGGTGTCGAACATGTCTGGAAAATGTATGGGAGTAAGGGCAGTGAAAACCATTTTGGAGCTAATGTTATTCCAGAAATTAGTTATGCAATCTTGTAATGTTATTAGTTATGCAAAAGGCTTATGGAATTTGAAGACTTTGGTTATTTGCAATCTTGTAATTCCAAATTCATTGACCTCAATCTGCATACAAGACTTCTTAAAATTAAGGCATACAAATGCACATGAAATAGTAGAGAAACTTTTCACATATGCAGAAGAATGAAACTTACATTTACTACAAATTCAAATGTTCACAGATAAAGCCTTTTCTACAAAAGTGCAATCATATGACATGTTTAATACATCCCCAGATCCACCACATGTTCCAAAATGATAACTTGTTACTCAAACAGAGTATAAAACACACTTAATCCCCAAAAGAGCCATGTTTAAGTCTCAAAAGGTATCCCCAAAACAGCAGTCACAACATAGTTAAATCCTGGATGAACCCAAAACAGTTACAAAACACCATTCATCTTGCAGTGCATCTTCTTCTCATTGGTAACTTGTTTGGTGGTTGTGAAGATGATGCATCATTGGTTGTTCCAGTGACTCTCCCTTTGCTCATTGTTTGAGATGATAATCTTCCAAAGCCTCTCATTCTCCCTATCTGACAGGACCAGACCCAAATTCCACTTTGGAATCCGAGCCAAACCCTGTGGGTGTCCGACACGTAGCTAATGTCGGGCACAAAGACCAAATTGCCCTTCTACTAAAAATCCATTTTTTAAAATAAGATTATCTTCTGCTGAAAATTCGGCAGAGTTTCCCCTGTAATTTACTCATTTCCCAAAATTTCCACCTGTCATCAAACATTTATATAACTCAATCGTTCAACATGCATTCAATTATATCCAAATAAATTAAGCATCATAATATTTTGGTCTCAAGTTAACTCAAATAGATCAATCTGCTAACAAATTCACCTCAACTTTCAGAACAACAATAATGCAAGGATAATCTCAAACATTCTCACTCGTGGCTGCACCTTGTAACTATAGACTGCCTACGTACCCTTACTGAGGGATCAAGCCACACATAGCTCTTTTGTTGCAAAATCACGCTAGTTCTCATATTGTATCTCAGCTTTCTGTTTCAAGCTTCCTGGCATTTCTCACATGGCAATATACAATCAATTTATTATATAAAAGCATTTATATCAGGTAATCATGCTTGGAAAGCCATAACCATTAATTTCTCGTGACACTAATGGTGACACGTCCTGACCTGTAATCCTCGCTGGACTCAGGAGACATCTGGTCAACCTGATCCACAATCCTCGCTCCCACGTGAAGCAGAAATATCTACCATTATCCTATCAACAGAGTTTGTTGGACGAGTGGCAAACTCTTCGTCAAGACGACATGCCAGTTGCTGAATATATTGCAAAATTTGAGGAATTCATGCTGAGATGTGACATAAGGGAAGATCAAAGGATGACCCTTTCTCGGTTTAGATCAGGACTTCGTCTAGAGCTTCAAAGGGAATTAATTCCTCATACGGTGAATACCTTGGAGAGGGTTTTTCAGAAAGTACAAGAATTAGAGAAGTATTTGAAATCTTCCAACATAGTCAAGCGAGTGGATCCTTACAAATCTGATTTTCGTGCTGGTACATCTGGGACAAAGCCTAACGCAACATGTAAGGGTTTCACAATGACAAGTTCGGTTAGAATTGACAAAGGAAAAGGAGCACTAGTGGATACACGATCAACATCATAAACATTGACAAACAAACTGACGATCAAGACAATTTTGAGGAAGATTCTTATGAGCCCCAACAACCTGCTGAAGATTGTGGAAACGACTTTGAAGCCCCTCATCCAACATTATCAGTAGTAAGGTGTACTTTGGTTCAACCAAGGAAGGAAACTGAGGATTGGCATAGAACTTCCATTTTCCACACTTACATCAAGTCTGGTGATAAAGATTGGAAAGTGATCATAGATAATGGCAGTTGTATCAATGTTGTATCAACACTTACTGTCTCGCGTCTTGGCTTATCAACCGAAGAACATCCTGAACCACACAAAGTAGCATGGATCGACAATACTTCTTCAATCCCTGTTACCCAGTGATGTCAAGTTCCTATTCAATTTTCATCTTACAAGGATCATACTTGGTGTGACGTGGTGGCAATGGATGTGGGCCATATTCTCTTGGGAAGGCCATGGATATACGATCACAACGTGACCATCTTAGGTCGAGAAAACATATGTTCATTCATCCATAAAGGGAAGAAAGTCACGTTAAAGCCACTTCAACCCAAGATTGTGAATAACCCTACACCAAGCAAGGAGGAAAAGAGTCAAGTAAGCAAATCCAAAGCCTTGCACATCATTACTTTAAAAGAATTTATTAAAGAAGTAGAAGATGCTCCCATATATGTTCTAGCCATTAGGGAATCATGGCGTTTCGCTAATATGGAAGTGCCTTCCACGGTGAGACCGATTTTAGAAGAGTATCAGGATGTGTTCCCCGATGATCTCCCAAATGAACTTCCTCCTCTCCGAGACATTCAACATGCGATTGATCTTGTTCCTGGGTCAACATTACCCAATTTACCTCACTATCGAATGAATCCCACAGAACATGCAGAGTTGAAGCGACAAGTTGATGAACTTCTTGCTAAAAGATTTTTTCGAGAGAGCCTTAGCCCTTGTGCCGTACCCGCTCTACTCATACCTAAGAAAGATATCACGTGGAGAATGTGTATTGATAGCCGGGCTATCAACAAGATTACAGTCAAATATCGGTTTCCCATACCAAGGCTCGATGACATGTTGGATATGATGACCGGTGCCACTATCTTTTCCAAGATAGATTTGAAAAGTGGATATCATCAGATTCGTGTTCGGCCAGGAGATGAGTGGAAGACAGCCTTCAAAACAAAAGACGACCTATATGAATGGTTAGTCATGCCTTTTGGACTAACCAACGCGCCAAGCACTTTCATGAGAGTTATGACACAAGTTTTGAGGCCATTCATGGGTAAATTCTTGGTTTATTTTGATGATATCTTAATCTATAGCACCTCACAAGATCAACACCTTAGCCATCTAAAGCAAGTCTGCACGGTTCTTCGAGCAGAGAAGCTGTTTGCTAACCTTAAGAAGTGTTCCTTCATGTCTAGTGAAGTTATCTTCTTGGGGTTTGTTGTGACGTCTGAAGGCATGAAAGCTGATTCGGAAAAGGTAAAGGCTATTGTTAGTCGGCCAGAACCAACAAATATCCACGAAGTGCGTAGTTTTCATGGATTGGCCACATTCTATCACGACTCCTCTCACGGATTGCATGAAGAAGTGAGAATCATACCACTAAAACATAGTCAAGCGATAATGGAAAAACTATAACTTAGTAAAATCTGGAAAATCTAGAAATCCTGGTGAAATCTGGAATCTAGAAAAAACATAGTTTTCCTATTTTAATCTGGAAACTAAGATTTCACCCCGACCATAATGATAATCTTGGATTGGCTGATCGCTTCTTCCTTCTTTTGTAAACCTTAAAAGGTTTGTCATAGATGTCCGCATCAATTCCCCCGGGCTGAAGAGAGCTCGACTCCGGTGAGATAAAACTGTAGTAACGCTCAAGAATGTCGGGATCAATGCGTTGTAGGTCCTCTTGTGTAATCCAAGTACTATCTGAATTTGGTCTATTCTTCCACTTGACTAGGAATTTATGATATCCACCTTGTCTAGTAGAAACAATATGATCGTCCAAAATATCTTCAACAATGTCCTTTTCTTTAGGCCTAGGGTGCGGTAAGAGTGGGGTTAGGGAAGAAAAATCAGATATAGAAAATGGATCTGAATTCTCGGCAGAAGTATTGTCAAAGGCGGCAGGTTCCTTGTATGGCACCAAATCTTCAATATTAAAAATTGGGATGATCCCCATTTCAGGAGGAAGCTGCAACATATATGCATTTGAGCCTAATCGCTTCAAAACTTTAAAAGGTCCCATGCTACGAGCTTGCAGCTTCTTTGCAATTCCCTGAGGAAATCGTTCTGGCTTAATTTGAACCATAACAAAATCACCAACTGAAAATTCCTTCAATCTGCGATGAACATCAGCATCCCTTTCATATGTGGCATTGCTATTGTTAATCCTTTGAATAATCTCGGCATGTAAGTCATGAATGTGGTGTGCAAATTCATTGGCAGACGCAAATGATCTATGCGAAGCTGACATGGGCATGAGGTCTATAGGAGCCCTAAGTTTATGACCATACACAACTTCAAACGGACTCATCCCAGTTGTTCTGTTGACTGAATTATTATAAGCAAACTCCGCAATAGGTAACACATAATTCCATGACTTAAAGTGCTCACCAACCAAACATCGCAACAAATTGCCCAAATTTCGATTAACCACTTTGGTTTGCCCATCTGTCTGTGGATGATAAGCGGAAGAAAACTAGAGTTTAGTACTCATCATGAGCCATCAAGTCTTCCAAAAATAACTCATGAATCGAACATCACGATCCGATACTATATTCTTAGGCACACCATGCAAACGAACCACGTCATCCATGAAAAGTTTAGCCACTTTAGAAGCATCGAATGTCTTAGAGCAAGGGATGAAATGGGCCATTTTGGAGAAACGGTCCACTACCACAAAGATAGAATCGTGCTTCCTCAGTGTCGTCGGTAGCCCAAGTACAAAATCCATGCTGATATCTTGCCATGGAACATGGGGTACCGGTAATGGAGTGTACAACCTTGTATTTTGCCTTCTATGTTTTGCAAGTTGACAAGTACGACATTGTTCCACAATCTTGGCAACATCACGTTTGAGACTTGGCCAATAAAATCTGTCTTCCACAAGAGCAATGGTTTTGTCTCTCCCAAAATGACCAGCTACTCCACCAGCATGCAACTCCAAAACCAGAAAGTCTTGTACTGATGTGCGGGGAACGCAAAGTTTATTACCCTTGAAGAGAAAACCATCTTGTAAAACAAATTCATTACTTCTGGATTTGTCTTCTAAAAGTGCAGCATATACCTTCCCAAATCTGGACATATCGGATAGTCTTCTTTCAATCTTTCAAATCCAGTAACTTCCACACTCATAGTACTTATAAGAGAAACCTTACGACTGAGAGCATCTGCTGGTTTATTCTCCACACCAGCTTTATGTTTCAACACAAACGTGTACTCTTGAAGGAACTCAACCCACTTTGCATGGCGGGAATTTAATTTCTTTTGTGAACCCAATTATCGCAGAGCCTCATGGTCTGAAAATAAAACAAATTCTTGTGGTAACAAATAATGTCTCCAATGTCTCAAGGCTTGAACAACTGTGTAAAACTCTATCATAGGTAGAATATTTTTGCTTGGCTTCATTCAATTTCTCGCTGAAATAAGCCACTGGATGTCCTTCTTGACTCAATACTCCGCCTATCCCTACCCCTGACGAGTCACAAGCTACATCAAAATGCTTTAAGAAATCTGGAAGACGCATTACTGGAGCCTCAACCATTTTAGCCTTAATCTCTTTGAATGCTTTTGCAGCAACATTATACCAGTGGAATTCTCCCTTCTTCATGTAATCCGTGAGAGGAGCCGTGATTGAACTAAACCCACGAATAAAACGACAATAGAATATGGCCAATCCATGAAAACTACGCACTTTGTGGATATTTGTTGGTTCTGGCCAACTAACAATGGCCTTTACCTTTTCCGGATCAGCTTTCATGCCTTCAAACGATACAACAAACCCCAAGAAGATAACTTCACTAGACATGAAGGAACACTTCTTAAGGTTAGCAAACAGCTTCTCTGCTCGAAGAACCGTGCAGACTTGTTTTAGATGGCTAAGGTGTTGCTCTTGTGAGGTGCTATAGATTAAGATATCATCAAAATAAACAACCAAGAATTTACCCATGAATGGCCTCAAAATTTGTGTCATAACTCTCATGAAAGTGCTTGGTGCGTTGGTTAGTCCAAAAGGCATGACTAACCATTCATATAGGTCGTCTTTTGTTTTGAAGGCTGTCTTCCACTCATCTCCTGGCCGAACACGAATCTGATGATATCCACTTTTCAAATCTATCTTGGAAAAGATAGTGGCACCGGTCATCATATCCAACATGTCATCGAGCCTTGGTATGGGAAACCGATATTTGACTGTAATCTTGTTGATAGCCCAGCTATCAATACACATTCTCCACGTGCCATCTTTCTTGGGTATGAGTAGAGCGGGTACGGCACAAGGACTAATGATCTCTCGAATAAATCCTTTAGCAAGAAGTTCATCAACTTGTCGCATCAACTTTGCATGTTCTGTGGGATTCATTTGATAGTGAGGTAAATTGGGTAATGTTGACCCAGGAACAAGATCAATCGTATGTTGAATGTCTCGGAGAGGAGGAAGTTCATTTGGGAGATCATCGGGGAATACATCCTGTTACTCTTCTAAAATCGATCTCATCGTGGAAGACACTTCCATATTAGCGAAACGCCCTGATTCCCTTATGGCTAGAACATATATGGGAGCATCGTCTACTTCTTTAATAAATTCTTTTAAAGTAATGATGTGCAAGGCTTTGGATTTGCTTACTTGACTCTTTTCCTCCTTGCTTGTTGTATGTTATTCACAATCTTGGGTTGAAGTGGCTTGAACGTGAATTTCTTCCCTTTGTGGATGAATGAACACATGTTTTCTCGACCTAAGATGGTCACGTTGTGATCGTATATCCATGGCCTTCCCAAGAGAATATGGCCCACATCCATTGCCACCACATCACACCAAATATGATCTTTGTAAGATGAAAATTGAATAGGAACTTGACACCGCTGGGTAACAGGGATTGAAGAAGTATTGTCGATCCATGTTACTTTGTATGGTTCAGGATGTTTTTCGGTTGATAAGCCAAGACGCGAGACAGTAAGTGTTGATACAACATTCATACAACTGCCATTATCTATGATCACTTTCCAATCTTTATCACCAGACTTGATGTAAGTGTGGAAAATAGAAGTTCTACGCCTATCCTCAGTTTCCTTCCTTGGTTGAGCCAAAGTACACCTTACTACTGATAATGTTGGATGAGGGGCTTCAAAGTCGTTTCCACAATCTTCAGCAGGTTGTTGGGGCTCATAAGCATCTTCCTCAAAATCGTCTTGATCGTCATTTTGTTTGTCAATGTTTGTGATCAGACTTCTTGTTGTCTCCTTCGTTGGGCATTGGACAACAAAGTGTCCAAAACCTTGACATTTGTAACATCTTTGTGTTCCACCATTTCGTGTATCCACTAGTGCTCCTTTTCCTTTGTCAATTCTAACTGAACTTGTCGTTGTGAAACCCTTAGTCGTTGCATTAGGCTTTGTCCCAGATGTACCAGCACGAAAATCAGATTTGTAAGGATCCACTCGCTTGACTACATTGGAAGATTTCAAATACTTCTCTAATTCTTGTACTTTCTGAAAAACCCTCTCCAAGGTATTCACCGTATGAGGAATTAATTCCCTTTGAAGCTCTGGACGAAGTCCTGATCTAAACCGAGAAAAAGTCATCCTTTGATCTTCCCTTATGTCACATCTCAGCATGAATTCCTCAAATTTTGCAATATATTCAGCAACTGGCATTTCGTCTTGACGAAGAGTTTGCCACTCGTCCAAAAAACTCTGTTGATAGGAGAATGGTAGATATTTCTGCTTCAACCTTTCTTTCATCTCACTCCAGTGGACGATTGGTTCTTCACCATCTCTCTCTAGCTGTGTTTCAACATTAGTCCAAAACAATCCAGCTTGACCCACCCATTTTATCTTAGCAAATCTCACCCTTCGAGCTTCAGACATGTCATGCCACTTAAAATAGCAATCCATGGTAGCCAACCAGTCGAGGAGTGCTTTAGGATTTAGCTCACCATCAAAATTAGGAGCGTCAACTTTCACTGATCTCATCACCCTTTCATCGGGGTCTTGCTCATAGCCACGATGAAAATTGTGTCTCTCTGCGTCTCGATCATTCCTTCTATCATGACATTGTTGATCATGATTCCTCTCTTCTCCATTCACACTTGCTTCATCATGTTGGTTAGCTGCTTCTAAGTCTGCAAGGCGATGTTCCACGAGTCTGGATCTTGTGTCTGAATCTGCCACTTGCTTTGATAAGTTTTCCATCATCTGATTAAGACGTTCAAAGTCCATCTCTGGCTCATCTGTCTTTCCAGACTTAGTTGGAGCCATCACTTGAAAAATGGTGTGAAGACAAGAAATATTCGAAAAGTTTGAACCCAAGGAAAACGAAAACCAGGCTCTGATGCCAAATTTGATGTAGGATATGGGTGTATTGAGTATTGGGGTAATTTAGCGGAAGCGAAAACAATGGAAAAACAGAAAATAAGTGGTAAAAGATGCCTTGGCTTCACACCAAAAGAGTTTGGCTTCACACCAAGGAGTCTCCAATCTCTAGAAAGTAAACTTTTCTTATTATCTCAAATCTCAATTTTAAGAACTACATAGAGAGTATTTATAGCAAACTAAACCTAGAGACAATAGGATAAAGATCCCTTACTAAAAAGGAATCCTAATCCACAAAGGAACCAATCCAAACAAACTAGGAAACTTAGATCAAATCCTACTAAAAATTGGAAAAACTAAAACTTAGTAAAATCTGGAAAATCTAGAAATCCTAGTGAAATCTGGAATCTGGAAAAAAAATAGTTTTCCTATTGAAATCTGGAAACTAAGATTTCACCCCAACCATAATGATAATGTTGGATTGGCTGATCACTTCTTCCTTCTTTGGTGAACCTTAAAAGGTTTGTCAGAGATGTCCGCATCACCACGGTCCGGATATCTCTAAGACTCGTGGGGCAAAATATGCTAGAAAAACTTAAGTTATTTACTACCATATCCAATAATAAAAAGATAAAGGCAAACCACTTAAATAAAATAAAATAAGATAAATTAAAGCAAAATGGATTAAAATAAAATAGACAAGCTCCGAATACTCTTGTATCAAACTCACGTAAGGTTCATAAATAAACATATAGATATATATATATATAATTCCATCTATTACTTGTAAAACAAATGTGACGCTTAAGAAAATAATGATAACTGTATAAAATCCTCAATTTAGTTTAAATCCCAGAACTTAAATTTTCTCCACCTAGGCGTACCCCCCTTTATTTCCGTCAAATCCTGATATTCCGTCAATTCCCCTGGCAGGTCTCGATGACATAAGGTCAACCCGAGCTGCAAACTGGCAGGATTTAGGGGACCGTAGTAAGCCTGATCCGTAAACTGGCAGGTCTCGGAGACAACACTTCAATCCGAGCCGCAAAGTGGCACCATACGGTTCAAGCGTCCTCGAAACTCGTGGGGCATTATCAAAATAACAAACTGTCTCAAGGCAACTGGGGGTACCCTCGTGGTGGGTTTGAAAACCATAACCCGTCATTTATATAAACTTTCAATAAATTAGTTCTCAACTAAACTTAAAATATATATATCCATATATATATATATATATACCAAAATATGATAAAAAAAACCAAAAGCAATATGTTTGTGCCTAATAAATCACGGTCGTCATAAGGGACCTCTTCTCGGCCGTGGCACCTGTTCATGGATTGAAACGGCCACGTTTTGTCAGACATTTAGTCTTTTCGAAAGCAGAAGAAAAATACGAAGGCAGGATCTTCTCGGCCTCACAACCACGGCATTATGGGCCGAGGCCGAGGTCCATGAAAGACACGGCCGAAGATACTATGGTCAAATCGTCACGTGGCCTCAGGGTCCCATGCCCCATTTAATGAAGTAGTGCCTCTGACCACCGCAACAGAACCACTGGGTGCAAGAAGCATTTAATGCACGAGGGCAGAAGGGAAGTGATTGAAGTCAGGATTTGGTAACAGGAATAAGAGTGGTTAGGCGCAAACATTCTCACAAAGCATTCTCACAGCTTGAGGTCAGATCACCAACCACCGGTCCAAGACATTAAATGCGTTCCCATGACCAAGGGGGCAGAACCCACGATCAGGGTGGTGGCCGAGATTTGCCGAGATTTATGGGGGTCACACCACCATGCTTCTCAACCCCAGACCACCATGCTTCACAATCCCAAATGCCGATTTGACTATCCACTTGCCCCGCCAGACTCCACCACGCAGGTCTTGTCAGCCTCGAATGTCCTTCCGGGACTCCAATAAATACTAAGCTCAGGACTACATTCAAAGGGTTCAAACACCAAACCAAAAGCCTCCCACGGAGCAACTTATATTTTCTGTAATGCACTTTCAATACCTTTATTTGCTTTCTTAGGAGTAGTGGTAGACTGTAAGGAAAATCCATTCATCAATATATCATACGACCCTTGATTTTCAAGGCGCCGGAGCACCACCTCTGTTATCGCCTCACTCACCCCATATATCATACGACCGTCGCTCTCTGAGCAACACGCCGGAGCACCGCCTAAAAACCCACCACCAACACCACCACTAAACGGCCTTGTAGCTCAGGCCGTGAACCTGACGGCCGAGATTTGTTCCTCACTCAGTCACAATCGTTTGATTAGGAGTCGAATGCAAAACAGGCGCAACATTGAAACCATCTTCTACCCGAACCTCATCATCACCTCGACGCACGGTAGACCGTGCTGGCATGCCCGCACACAACCGCACCACATCCAAAAGGAGGACGTCACGTGTTGATGCACATCCCCTCGGCCCGGAGCACCAGGCCACGAGATTTGCGACGGACCAACACAATAATTATTCCTTTTCAACTACTAAATATATGTATCAAATACTTAGCTAGTTTGCTAGCCATATTGATCTCTGATTAGCACATCATTCAAATATTATAATAATAATCTTACAACATAATTAACCATCTGAATATATAAGCATGTGATAAATCAACAGATAATTAAATACTCATCCTGAATTCACATAAAATCAAGAAATTAAGACCATAAATAAACCAATTGAACACTCGCACGCACCAGAACTTTCTAAAAGCCTAAACATATTCTATTGAGCTCATCCTCATTATTTAATCCAAAGTCCTGGCCCTGGGCTCCTAGAAGTGCGTGCATTGAACTGAAGGTCATTCTCAAGACTATGTAAGCTTTTCCACTTATTAGAACGGTCTAGAAGTGCCTCAGGACTCAAAAAGCGATAAGTCCCAAAAAGTCAACCCGAGACCCCATGGGATCCGCAACGTCAAAATTCTGCTCCGAGAGTTCCTAGAGGTTCTAGCATGCCTAGGACTTATGTCCTGAGAGTTTGGTCTCGATCGGACGGTCGGACAACTCACGATCGCACGATCGGATGGTTACTGTAAACCTAGCTCTAGGGTTGGCCTTTTCGAGAGTATCCGGGACTCCAATTCATAATCCATTGAATCCTACACAATCCTGGAATTACATAGCTCAACCTATAAGAAATTGACTGCGATCCAACAGTTCAAACGTATTGAACCCGGAAATCGCACAATATGCGAGACCCGTTCGGGGTCCAAACGTTGTCCGAATTAATATCCGTGAATTCCTATGCGCTCGTGAGGACCAAGAGATCATTTTAGGTTGAAAGTGACTTCACTGAGCTACCCACGAGCCTCCACACGCGCCGGTAGCGCGTGGGTTGCATGATCAAATTCCGGCAATCGGAAATCTTCAAAACGGGAAACCCAGCTTCCTACCCTAGGTAAAACACCCTATTTGGAACCACTTTAGTTCTTGGACCTACCCCAAAAAGTGGCCGGAAGTGGCCGGAATCGCGGTCCCAAAACTGACTGAAATCCAATTCGAAAATCGAACTACCTAGGCTTAAAATTGAGAAATTCCTACCCAACTATCAGCTAGATCCTGAAAAATAGGTGAGAAAGCATACCTCACTCGCATGAAACGGTGGCCGGAGGGGTCCAAACGAGCTCTGTGAAATTCCGTCAAAAACTATCCAAACCGCCCTGTTTCGTGGTGGTTTTTGGCGACCACGATGGCGGATTGAGGCTGGGATGGGCTGGGACTGAAAGAGGGAAGTGAGGTGGTTCGTTTGACACCGGTCTTGCTTGAATTGGTGGTCGGAGTTGAGAGAAACCCCCTCCTCAAGTTGGCTGGTCGAACTGCCCAGAATGCAGAAATTCTGGGTTTAAAAAAAACTGAACTTCGAGATATTTACGGTTATGCCATTAAACTTCTTTTTATCATCACTTCTTCGTTACAACTCCAATTTGAGCCCACTACGTGTCTACGGACTTTTTTCGTCGTGCTCTACACAACAGTACAACTGAAATTCCCAAATTCCTTCCCGAATCAAAAGTCAACTTTTATACTAATAAAATATTCCAAGGGCAAAACAATCTTTTACCTGAATAAATTAATAATTAAAATTTTATTTAGGACTGGGATGTTACACTCTCCCTCTACCACCCCTAGTTGATACAACCAAGAAGCAAAATTTGACAGAAGTGATTGAGGTTATTCAAATGATATATGAAAATGTGAGTATGAAACCATATTCAACTATCACTTACAAGTTGGGCCATTTGATTTGGTCCAATTGGTGCACTTCCTTTGATATTTGAAGGTAATGTAAGAGGTTGAGGTTGAGATGATGATCTTCCTAAGCCTCTAATTCTCCATTTACTTGTACCACCCCTAGTTGTTGCCACCTACAAGCAAATGTTCACATATGTGATTGAGGTTATTCAAATGACATAAGAACATGTGAATATCAAACCATCATCTTCAAATATCACTTACATCTTGGGCCATTTGGCTTTAGCAACACTACATTGGCATCAGTAAATCAAAAACCGATGCTATGAGTACATTAGGTATCGCTTTTATAAATTATGATGCTAAAAGGTAAAAAGACATCAACACAAATATTTTATTTTTGTTAGCGATGTCTTAATACCAATTTAGCATTGTCTGTTCTAACGACTAATGCAAGCTTTTTTTTTTTTTTTTTTTTTTTTTTTTTATTTTTTTAGTGCGGGGCTTTTTTTTTGGCAAGCACTGACGCTAAAAGTATAATTCAACGCTCCAGCAAAAAAATTCCTCACCTTCCCTCTCCTTTTTTCATACTTCCATTGACGAACTTGGCCCCTCACCCTCGTATTTTTTCCCTCAATCCCTCCCAAACTTCTTTCCATTTTTCAGCATCTATCTCCTAAAAATTTATTTTTTTTTTTTTTTTAATTTTTTTTTAATGTTTTTGGATCTCTTTTCATCCTCCTCTCTCTTTCCTCCATCTTGGACACTCAAAGTTTGGCCACAACAAAAATAACGTAAGGCATTCGAAGAAAGGGAGAGCCATAGGCATCCTTCTCATTTCTGAGAGAGAGCTATGGAAGTCCCTTCGTTAGGGTTTTAACCTTTTGCGTCGCCATCCTCTTCTACAATGGCGTCCTCTTCTTGTCAGAGTCGTCCTGTGAGATTATTTAAGTTAGGGTTTCAATGTTTTGGGAAATTTCAATTAGGGTTTCAATTTATTGAGTAATTTCTCTAATCTTACTGTGTTTTTCTCTCTTCAACTGTCTTGTTGTCTCTTGGATCTCACTGCTTCTCTGGGCTTTAATCTAATGTATAAAAATCTCTAAGCTTTCGATGTTTGGGTGTTTTTGATTTGGTGTTAATGTTTCTGATGTGTTTTCATCTTTCTTTAATCTTCTACTTTTTTGTTTGTTTTATTTATGTATTTATGTTTCTGGATCTCATGCTTTCTTTTGGTGTAGGTATTGGGAGGTGAAGGATCTATGATTTTCTCTCTCTCAAGATTGCTATATTGCTCAGCTCATCTCTGTGCTCTCAATTCACTACTACAAAAAGTGACAAAGACGACCATAAAAAAACGACGGTCTAAGGGAAAACCGTCGTTGTTTTTTAAAAGACGACGGTTCTATAAAACCGTCGTGTAATAACACCTTAAACACCTAAAAAATGGAGATTCCAATGGTTGTTTCTAAAAAACGACGCACCTAATTAAAAAAACCGACGTCTTATTGAAATAGGATTTCCGCAGAGTAAAATCTAAGCCAACAAAGAACGGAAGAAGGTATGAATAGACCGACGTAGAAAGTAAAGACGACGATGTCAAAAAAAGCCGTAGTTTTTACTCAGAAATTAACATGACCAAGTTTTCGTATAAGGCACCGTATAATTACAAATAAATCCACGGCAGTATAATACAAAATACCGCCGTATTAAATTAATATACAACTACAACAAAGATAAATATATCGACGTCTTTCTAGTATAGTTCTATGATGGTATCTTTAACTCTCACCACATTGGGGTTTTTCATTTAACGACGTATTATAAAATTTACCGTCGTATTTATTCACTTTATATGTCATACCTTATATTTAAACCGTCGTCTTAATAAGAATTTTTTTTGAGATTTTCTATTTAAACCCCGCACTTCTCTTTGTTCACCCCACTACTTAAATCATTAAGCTGTAAGTTTTAGGCTTAATTATGTACATGCCCCCTGTGCTTTCCAACTTATCTCAGATTACTACCTGTGGTGGAAAACATCTCAAAGTACCCCCCAACGTGCAAAAAACTGTCTCACGTTACCCTTTCCGTCAGTTTTTTTGAAGTTCCGTTACGAATGTTACTGTTCATCTCCCCCAAAATTCCAGAACAGTAGCCCCTCCCCTTTGTTACTGTTCATCGCTTATTTACCCTCCAAAACTCAGAAATTTCTCCTAACCAACACAACTAGCAGCAAGAACAACTCGAGAGGTTGAAAAATCATACCTGGATCGAAGAAAATGGTGCTCGGAATCGCCCGAACGAGCAATGGAGATTTTGGGTAAAAACCGGCCAATTTCTTGCTTTTTTCGGTGATCCAGACGACGGTTGGCAGCGGCTGAGATGTGAGGGTGGTAAAGGACAACGTGCTGGTTCTTTTGATATCCATGTCGTCGCTTGGGGTGGCTGGAGGAGGCGATGGCAGCCCAAAAACTGGTGCGATGAACAGTAACAAATGGGATGAGCTGCTGTTCTGGAATTTTGGGGGAGATGAACAGTAACGTTCGTAACGGAACTTCAAAAAAACTGACGGAAAGGGTAACGTGAGACAGTTTTTTGCACGTTGGGGGGTACTTTGAGACGTTTTCCACCACAGGTGGTAATCTGAGATAAGTTGGAAAGCACAGGGGGCATGTACATAATTAAGCCTAAGTTTTATTGTTGTGTAAAAAGACAAAAAAGGTCATCCAACTTGATAATTAACCTAGTACATCTATACACACACACCCCACACACCCCACTACTCTTTATATTAAGTTTTAGAAACCTCCTTCCAACTTCCTGTTTACAAACTCTCTCTCTCTCTCTCTCTCTCTCTCTCTCTCTCTCTCTCTCTCTCTCTCTCTCTCAACCCAATAATACCCAAGTGTTAGAATTTCAGTTACAGTTCTTGGAGAGAGGTAAAGTTGTTCTCTTTCTCTAGAAAGTATTAAATTTCGGACTTGGGGTTTCATTTGTTTGTGTTTTTTTTTGCTGGGAACAAAGAAAATTGAGGTGTTTAAATAGAAAATCTCTTTTAGTTCTTATTTTTCAATTTGGGGTGTATTTAAGGGTAGTTTGGGAAGATAGTGGGGTTTTCTTAGAAATTGTGAAAATTTAAATTAAAAGTTTGGGTGAACTTAGAACATGGGGTGAACTAAGAGAAGTGTGGGGTTTAAATAGAAAATCTCATTTTTTTAACAATTTATTTCTTGGATTTTGTTATCCTACGTCGGTAGATCAACTTAATGACAAGAATTGAAATAACCACGACGGTTTATATAGAAAACCACCGACATAATCAGAATTTTCTGAGATCCCAAGGGTTACGAAATCTTACCAAATGGAACTTTGTTCCTCACATAATCTTACCAGAAAGACAATATTTTAGAGGTTAATGATGTATGTGTATTTGTGTCTTTGAGATACACAAACGCACATACACATTAACATCCAAAAAATTGCCTCTAAAATTTGATGACAGCAGCCTCAGATTTGCCATCAGAGAGACAATTTTTTGGAAGTTGATGATGTGTGTGCGTTTGTGTATCTACACAAACGCACACACACATCAACATCCAAACAATTGCCTCCTAAAATTTCACGACGGCAGCCATAGATTTGCAATCAGAGAGACAATTTTTTGAAAATTGGTGATGTGTGTATGTTTGTGAATCACATACACAAACATACACACACACCAACATCCAAACAATTACCTCCTAAGAGGTGAGGTGAGACAGAGAAAAGGGCAAGAAGAAGTTGAAACCCTAATTGAAAACTAAAACTGAAAGAACTTGTGAAAAAAAACTCTATTTATAATTAAAAAATCAAATCCACGTCGGTTATATTACACCTAACGACGTTTAACAAAAATAATCCACGTTGCGAAACAAATATATTGCGTCCTCTTAGTCTCAGAGCAAAAAACTAACGACATAATCAATTAAGTAACTGATGTAGAAATTAAAGATGTCGGAAATTATAAACCTACCGCCATCTTACGCCAAAAAAGACGACGGTAGAACAAAAAACCGTCGTTGTTTTTATATTCGTATTTGATTTAAATCAGTCACCCAAACAAGAAACTTTACAAATTCTAGAACATTAATTTCCGTCACTTAATTTCCATCATTTAAATTTCCTCGGGAAAAAAAACTCTATTTATAATGCACTGTAATTGAAAACTAAAACTGAAAGAACTCGGAAAAAAAACTCTATTTATAATTAAAAAATAAAATTCACGTCGGTTATATTACACTTAACGACGTTTAACGAAAATAATCTACGTCGGTAATTATAAACCTACCGCCATCTTACTTTAATATACTACGACGACAAAAAAAACTACCAAAAAAAGACGACGGTAGAACAAAAAACCGTCGTTGTTTCAATTTTATTATTTGATTTTAATAGTTTGGTCTGTTCTCTTTCTGCAGGACTTGGATAGTTCAAAGCATTGACAATGTCTTCATCATATCTCCCAGCAACTACTAATTCGATTGCTCATGCTTTAGAGGCCATCTGAAGCCATTTCTATTCTTTATCGCATTCTTGAAAACCCATCTTCTTCTTCTGAAGCTCTACGGATAAAGGAACAGGCTATCACAAATCTGACGGATCTTCTTAGACAAGAAAATCGAGCAGAGGATCTTCGTAACCTTCTCACCCAGTTGAGGCCTTTCTTTAACTGCAAAAATTGTACGTAGTATTATTGATGTAGTAGCTAAAGTACCAGGCACATCTGATCTTCAACTTTCCTTCGACAGCGAGTGGAGGCCAGGCTTGCATCTCTTTTGATGGAAAGCAAGGAGCATTCAAAAGCACTAAGTCTCCTATCAGGCTTGATCACGGAAGTGAGAAAGCTAGATGACAAGCTTCTTCTTGTGGACATAGATTTGTTGGAGAGTAAGCTCCATTTCTCTTTGAGAAAGACATCCAAATTATTGTCTTTGTGATGTGAGAGAGAGTGTCTGTGAGAAAGGAAGACGAGCCTCCAGAAGAACTTGGAACCCTAAATGAAACTGAAACTGAAAGAAAGCGTCAAATTTATACAATAAATCTTTAAAATCCACGGCGGTCGTTACACACAAACCGCCGTTTAATTGTAAACATCAACGTCAGTTATTACTTAATATACGTCGTATATTATAAATAATCCACGTCGGTATATTACAAAAAAACGACGTGTTAAATCCTTGTACCATGACGCGAGAGATTAAGTTATCGACTTTTCTTTTGGAGTTTACTACGACGGTACCTACAACACTACTATCGTATTTATTTACCACGTCCTAAGTTCAAATTACCGTCGTAGTTTTTTTATTTATACATCGTCGTTCTCTGTAAACCGCCGTCTTATTTTTATGAAACGGTTTGTGTATATATTCAGCTTTTCGTCTACCTGACTTACACTTGCACTGTTTCCAAACCCGAGAAAAAATTTCAATCTCCGAGAGAAAACTTTTCGTCTTTTTTCCTTGTCAGAGCACTGTCAGTGTATCTCATCGTCTTCCTCTCATCTTCGTCGTCGTCTCTGAACTTAAACACCAAACTCCGAGAGAAAGCTTTCATTGCACACAAAAGGTAAGCTTTCATTTCTCACTATTTTTGTTGCTGTTTTGCATGCTCATACAGTTTTTGTTTTGAAAATCTTTTTACCTTTTTTCTGGCCAAAATCATTTTAATTCTTTCCAAGTTTGATAAAATATACAAACAAAGAGGGAAAGTTTCCAACTTTGAACACAACTACTTTAACTAAATAAGACGACGGTAGCTTCTTATTTACGTGGTTAAATATGTAGACCACGACAGTTCGTCAGTCATCCTAGCGTCGTCTTAAAATTGATCTAAGTTGTTTTTAAAATGATCGTTGTTTTTTTATTTGCTTGTTTGATTTTAGGTTTGATTTCTCTAAACCATGGTTTTTGTTTTTCCTAATTTGATAAAATACAAAGACAAAGAAAGAAGGGTTTGGAATCTTATATAGACGATGGTATCTTATTATTCACGTTGTGTGAATGTTAATACCACGACGTTATATTAATATTAACGTCGTTTGAATTTAAATATCACGACGGAATGTAAATATCGCCGTAATAAGTTCTTATTACGTCTTCTTTTATATTGTTTCGTCGTTGTTTAAGTACCATCGTTTTAAACATTGATTACGTCTGATGTTATGTTATTGCGTCGTGTAAAATCTTATCATACGTCGTGTTTTATAAATAACCGTCGTTTGTGTTCTTAATTTTTTCCTGAAATATTTTCACTTGCAGGTTTGATTTGTCTGTAACCATGGTTTCTCAAGACCAAAGTAAGGACTCTGGCTCGAAAAAAAATGGAGGTAAGGAGCTTGGAATGGTAACTCCTCAAGACAAGTCCTTGAAGAAGATGAAGTTTGTTTCATCTGCTGAGACAGAACCAGCTAGCACGACAACAATTTTTGAGGATTCAAAGTCAGGTCGAGGTATAAGCACAATGCCTTGTGTTGTGAAGAGAAAATATCATAAAATCAAGCCAGTTGTTGAGTACAATAAAAGGGGGAAAGGATGTGGCCCTGCACATACTGAGATGCAGTCTTACATTGGTGTGTTGGCACGCTCCAGAGTCCCACTTGTGGACAAGAAATGGGCTGAAATCCCCAAGGATATAAAGGAGCAGATTTGGGAAGCTGTTGACATGGCTTTTGTGGTAGGTCAAGGGGGCAAGAACCTGGTGTTATCTTCTGCTGCCAAGAAATGGAAGGATTTCAAGTCTACACTAACGAGGCATTATATCCTTCCATACATCAAGGAGAGGGAGAAATTAAGCCAACCCCCTGAACTATATAAATTCATAGAGAAAGCAGAATAGAATGCCTTTGTAGCTTCAAGGTTATCCCAAGAATTTGTGTCTGTGCATTCTCAACATTCACAGATTAGGGAGAAACTTGAGTACAATCATCGATTGTCTCGAAAAGGATATGCTGGTTTGGAGGATCAATTGGAGGAAACCATGCCCGGGGTAGAAATTGATCGATCTACCTTAAGGAAGAAAGCTAGACAAGACAAACATGGTAACATTCCGGACCCAAAGGTGGCAGAGAAAGCAAAATTAATTGTAAGCCTACTCACTCTGTTTTAAATTTTTATTAAACTGTGTATGGCCCTGATAATTCTTATTACGGCTTATGTTATATTTTGCCTTGTGTGAATGATATTACTACGTCGGGATGTTTTAAAAAACGTCGTTACAGGTCTGAATTTGGAAACGCTACTCTGTTTTATGTAATTATAGCATAAGACGTCAGTGGTTTATTTATTGCATCGTTTGAAACTACTAACCATGTCGTTAGTTAAGTAACATCGTGATAAATTTATGATAACGTCGATTTCTATGTTATTGTGTTGTGTGAAATTATATAATACGTCGTTTGTGTATAAATAACCGTCGTGTGTTTTCTTGTGCTGACTTTTTTATATATCTTTGTTTTAGGATGAATTGCACAAACAAGTCTCGGAAGGCAGTCTCAGTGTATCTGGCAGCAATGATTTGTTGACCATGGCTTTGGGTCCCGAGCATCCAAGGAGAGTAAGAGGGGTAGGTGCTGGGATTTCCCCTAGGCAATACTTCAATTTACCCAGACAACAGAGGGTAAAGTTTGCCGATCAATTAAAGGAAAGTGTAAGACTTGTCCTTCAAGAAGAGACTAAGAAGATGGAAGCTAGGTCAAGGGAAGAGACTTTAAGGATGGAGGCTAGAACCAAGCAATTGGTAGAGGCTGAGTGGGAACATTTGCTGAGTCAACTTTCCCAACTCATCCCCAATTTTGATCCAAGCATGCTTAAACCGAAAACTAGCCCCTGTCAAAACCAAAGTCCTAAAAATCCAATGTCTGACAAAGCAATCTGCTCTGGGGCTGATGTGAGATCCCTACATTTTGAGGATGATACTGCCAAAAATGGGGAAAAGCAGGAAGAAATGGTAACATATCTGAACTTTGAATTCTCTGTTTTTTTAAAAAGCTATTAGACGTCGTTATTATGAACCGTCGTTTGTATTTCAATACCACGTCGTATTTAGTTTACTTGTTTTACACGCCATTAGACGTCGTCATTTTTGAAAACTTTTGTTGTGATTTAGACGACGGTTTTAGTCCTTACCGACGTAATAGATAAATCCCCACGACGTTTATTATTTACCATCGTTTAATAATTTTAAGACGTCCATAATTCTTACATACCGTCTTATGTTATGCCTTACCACGACGTTTTGATTTAATTTTTTTACTTTCTGTACAATCTATCTTATATATATATATATATATATATTTCTTTATTACTTAAAACAGAAATGTAGGGATTTAGAAAATCAAGATGAAGAGAAGAAAGAAGAAAAACAAGATGAAGAGAATAAAGAAGAAAAACAAGATGAAGAAAAGCATGATGAAAAGGTATATTCTCATAACTTTGCCTTTTTTATTTGTTTTTCAAATTTCAGACGTCGATATTTTCTTTAAACTGTCGTAATAAATTATTCACCACGACGGTGTTTTGTTACCGTCGTTTAAATTATTATCAGACGACGTTGTTTTCTTTAAACTGTCGTGTTTATTGAATTACCACGTCATTTTATTTTGCTTTATTTCATTAAACAGGGTATTGAAGTAGTTGATTATTCAAAGGTGGAGGTGTCATCTTCCTTACAATCCCTTTGTCGTTATGTGGAAACGACACTAACGCCTCAGGAGAAGATCATGATCTATACAATGGAGAAGGAGGTGTTTGGTGCAGGTCGCAGTACCTTCGTCTTGCCTGAAGATATTACACAGTTAGCAGGCATGGCAGAAATTGGGGCTACTGTGCTTGCAGTATGTATGAGGTTTGTCCTTATCAAATATTTATTTCACACTCAAATTTGTGTTGGAAAAAAAAATCATTATAGGATAAGACGTCGGTGGTTTATTTATTGCGTTGTTTGAAACTACTAACCACGTCGTTAGTTAAGTACCGTCGTGATAAATTTATGATAACGTCGATTGCTATCTCATTGCGTTGTGTGAAATTATATAATACGTTGTTTGTTTATAAATAACCGGCGTGTGTTTTCTTGTGCTGACTTTTTTATATATGTTTGTTTTATATATTTAGGTGTTTATAAATAACATGGTTGGCTTTATCGACCCTGCTCAAGTTAGTTCCAACGCTGGGTCACTAACTGACAAATCACGATTGGTAGCCAATCGACTTCAGAAGACAGATGGTGAACAGATTTTCATGATGCCTTATAATCCAGGGTTAGTCTCCTTAACAGGATTTTATTTGAAACTTCTAACCACGTCGGTGGTTTATTTATGGTGTCGTTTGAAACTTCTAACCACGTCGTTAGTTAATTACCGTCGTGATAAATTTATAATGACGTTGTTTGCTATGTTATTGCGTCGTGTGAAACTATATAATACGTCGTGTTTTTATAAATAACCGTCGTGTGTTTTCTTGTGCTGACTTTTTTATATATCTTTGTTTTATATTAATTTTGTGCAGCCGTCATTGGGTCTTACTGATTGTGAGAGCAAAGAAGGAAACCGTCTATTTTCTGTATTCTCTGCCCAGAAATCGTGTGGTTGATGAGGAGGCCAAAAACATGTCGAACAGTGCTATAAAAATGTATAATTCCCACATAGGCAGACAAGGCCGTAAAGCACCCATTTGGAAAACTCTGCCATGCACACAAAAGCAACCAAGCAGTGTCGAATGCGGGTATTATGTCATGCGCTTCATGAGAGACATCATCATGGATCCTTCCCTGGAGTTTGAGAAGACGGTAAGAAGAAAATTTTTAGATACATTTTATGTGGTTTTTTGTATTATCAACGACGGTCCTTTAAAATTACCGTTGTTGCATTGATATACTACGTCGGTTATGAAAAATAGCGTCGTCTGTGATTGAATTTCTGTTTATTTATAAAGCTTAATAATCATTGTTTATGGATTGCAGTTTGCCAAGGGAAAAGAGCAAGCACCATACCCCCAGGCAACCATTGATGAAGTCAGGAATGAATAGGTAGAGTTTGTTTGCCTTTATATGGAGTAGAGGATTTTTAGAACACTTGATATTTTTATATAATGTACAAATTTTGTCTATAATATACATCCTTTTTTTCCCTGAAAATTTGTTGAGGTTTTCTTAATTTTTTTTTAAAAAAAATTGCGTAACCGACGTGTAATAACTTTCCAACGACATAATTATGTCAAAAACCGTCGTCTTATGGAGTTGGAAACAACGTCATCGTTTGAAACAAATGCGACGTAAAAGGATATTTAGACGACAGAGATGACATGGTAATTAAATTACACGGCGACACCTTTTTAGTTTAAGTCGTGATATACCGTTTATACGTCAATGCGACGTCGTTTGAGTGAAAATTTCGCCATGGTTTCGCTTTTAAACGACGTTCTTTTAACAAGTAAGTCGTTTATTAAATTTACAACGTCGTTACTTTCTTAAAGTCAACGTGGTTTGTTGTGTTTGTAGGAATATTTTATTCTATTTCATTCAAAATATTCATAATAAATTTAAAATAGATCAAAAAATTGCAACGTCAACTCCTATGAAGTCATTGATATATTTTCTTCCCCCTAAAGCTTAAAAAAATTCAGTTTGAGTAATACAAATTTAAAATGACCACCCAAAAAAAAATTGTTTTTATGAGTCATAACATCACTTATAGTTTGATGGTTTAGGGTTTAGGGTTGTTATTTATTAGGGTTTAGGGTTAAAGGATAATTTTTGGGGTTTACGGTTTATGTTTGTTATATATTAGGCTGTAAAACCATAAACCCTTTTATAAAATTATATTTTAAAAATATATAATTTAGGGTTTAGGGTTTAGGGTATTACTTTTTAACGACGGTGTCTTTTTACAAGTGAGTCGTTTATTATGATTTACAACGTCTTTAATTTCTTAACGCCGACGTGGTTTGTTGTTGTTTATAAGAATATTTTATTATTTTTAATTCAAAATATTCAAAATAAATCCAAAAAATGCAACGTCAACTCCTATGAAGTCATTGATATATTTTCTTCCCCCTAAAGCTTAAAAAAAATGCAATTTGAGTAATACAAATTTAAAATGACCACCCAAAACAAAATTGTTTAAATGACTCATAACATCACTTATAGTTTGATGGTCTAGGGTTTAGGGTTAAAGGATAATTTTTGGGGTTTAGGGTTTATGTTTGTTATATATTAGGCGGTAAAACCATAAACCCTTTTATAAAATTATATTTTAGAAATATATAATTTATGGTTTAGGGTTTAGGGTTTAGGGTATTATTTTTTAACGATGGTATTTATGTTTTCAGTCGATGTTTATTTTTTTGACGACGGTGTTTATGTTCCTTTAAAATGACATTGTACACGAATAACAACGTCATCGATTTAAAAAAAACGTAAAAGGTTATTCAAACGACGCTATTGGTTCAACAGACGACGTGGTTTCTTTAAAATAAACGGCGTTACGTTCAGTGTTTGAGTCGTGGAATAATGAATTTATGTTGGTTTTGGTAAAACTTTTGCCATGGTTTAGCTTAGTTTTGACGACGGATGTTTGATTTTGCGTCGTACATAGTTTTACCACGACGTCTTTAATGTAATAAGCGTCATGTTTAAAGTGAAATTTTAACGACGGTTGTTTTTTTCGTCGATGTTTTAAAGAGCGCGCTTTCTAAAAAATTTTGCGCGACCTAAAATTTTCCGATTTTGCTCTAAAATTTTCAGATTTCGCGCAACATAACATTTCGCTCTCTCACTTCAACTCTAATTCAAAGTTGGGCTCTCCAGGCTCCGTCGAATCCAAGTAGGCCATAATCTGTGAGCTCTGCCTACCTGTAAGTACAAACCCTTATCTTCCCTTTGTAAATTCATTGAATGATATTAGGCTGTTTTGTTAAAGGGTTTTAGATATATGTTTTGCGATCTTTTAATAATGTTGTTGGAGGTATGAGTTCATGGATTTTCTGTTTAATGTTTTTATGATTACTCTCTGTTATGTTGAATCGGGAATGAATTTAATTTTGTCGGATCTTTTAATCACTCTCTGTTATGTTGAATCGGGAATGAATTTATTGTTTTCATGCTTAGTATATGTTGGTTTCATGCTTAGTATATGTGTTCTTAATACCCAACATAAAAATTAATGTATATGTTGTGTTCTTAATAGGGTTTTGGGTTCTTGAAAATAAACTGGGATCTCGACGCGTTTTTAGGCATACGACGACGGTTTTTTCATAAACCGTCGTCTGTATTACTTATACACGACGATGTTCTTTAACTACCATCGTGGTTAGAATTAGACGACGTTTGTTGAAAATCCGTCGTCTATATATGTCAAATACGTCTGTTTATGTTTAAAAACCGTCGTTTGTATAATATATTACTTGTTATTAAAACTTTATATAATCTACTATAGTGATGGTCATTGCTTGTCTTTTCACTTTATTATAGATAATAGGGTATAGTGTCGGAGATGGATAAGTCATGGATGCACTCGGATAGAAAGTCGAAAGCATATGAATTAGGGGTGGAAGCATTTTTGAACTTTCTGTAGAAAATCTTCTAACTACAACACATATCCGTTGTCCATGTGTTAAATGTGTGAATTTGAAATTGTTTGGGGTTGGAATTATAAAGGATCACTTATACTTTAATGGAGTTGACCAAAGCTATAAGAATTGGACATTTCACGGAGAACCTTGGGAAGCAACTACTAATGCTAGTAGAAATGTTGAAGAAGATGATGACCATAGTAGGTGCAGTTTTGTGTCTGAAGAAATAGAGATGGATGATAATGATTTTGGGGATTTTGGATCAGATCCTTATGAGTTTTCCAATGTGATTGGGGATGGAGATCAACCATTGTACCCTGGTTGTAGAAAGTACACGAAGTTATCGGCATTAGTGAAGTTGTATAATTTGAAGGCAAAACATGTGATGAGTGATGTCTGTTTTACAGAATTATTGATACTTCAAGGTGATTTGCTTCCAGAAGGAAATACAATACCAGCCTCTATGTATGAGGCAAAAAAGACTTTGTGTGCATTGGGGCTGAGTTATGAGAAAATGCACGCATGCCCCAATGATTGCATCTTGTATAGGAAGTAGTATGAAGATTCAACTAATTGTCCTACTTGTGGTATCTCAAGGTGGAAGGAAGGCAAAGATTCAATCTTGAAAGAGGGTGTGCCAGCGAAGGTGGTGTGGTATTTTCCTCCAATTCCAAGGTTTAAAAGGATGTTTCAATCACATGAGACAACTAAGAGTTTGACTTGGCATGCTGCTAGAAAATCAATTAACGGTCAGATGTCTCATTCGGCGAATTCCCCGTCTTGGAAACTTCTTGATGACAAATGGCCCGAGTTTGGTAATGAGCCGAGAAACTTGAGATTGGCTCTTTCATCTGATGGATTCAATCCCCACAGTTCTCTCAGTAGCAGATATAGTTGCTGGCCAGTTATCTTAGTTACATATAATCTCTCTCCATGGCTATGCATGAAACGAAAGTTCATGATGTTGACCTTATTGATTTCCGGTCCTAAACAACCCAGAAATGATATAGACGTCTACTTGGAGCCTTTGATTGATGATTTAAAATCTTTGTGGGATGGGATTAGAGGAGTGTATGATGCACATAATGGAGAATACTTTACACTCAGAGCTGCATTAATGTGGACAATTAATGCTTTCCCCGCCTATGGAAACTTATCTGGTTGTGTTGTTAAAGGATATAAAGCTTGTCCAATATGCGGCGATGATACACCTAGTCACAGGTTGAAAAATGGCCACAAAATTTGTTACATTGGGCATAGAAAATGGTTACCAATCAATCATCCATATAGGAAGCAACGTGCAGCTTTTAATGGGAAACCTGAATATGGCACGCCTCCCGAGCCATTAACCGGAGAAGAAGTGCTGCATATGGTTGAAGATGGTGACAGAGTTTGTTGGAAGAAGAAATCAATATTCTTTGATCTCGAGTATTGGAAATACCTTCCTGTGAGGCATGTCCTAGATGTTATGCACATTGAGAAGAATGTTTGCGATAGTATCATTGGTACATTGCTGGAGATCCCTGGAAAAAATAAAGATGGGATTGCTGCTCGATTAGATTTATTGAACATGGGGGTCAAAACTTATTTGCAACCCGAGTATGGAGAAAGACGTACTCGTTTGCCTCCCGGGCCTTGGAATTTGTCAAGAGCAGAGAAGAGAGAGGTTTGCAATTCTTTCTATGGAATGAAGGTCCCTGAAGGTTATTCTTCAAATATAAAAATCTTGTATCTTTACAAGATTCAAGACTTCTTGGCCCTAAATCACATGATTGCCATACCTTAATGCAACAATTGCTCCCTGTGGCAATTCGTTCTGTTTTGGAGAAGCCTGCAAGGTATGCAATAACTCGTTTTTGCTTCTTCTTCAATGCTATATGTGCAAAGACGGTTGATGTTTCCAAGCTAGATAAGTTGGAAGAAGATGTAGTAGTTACTTTGTGTTTGCTTGAGAAGTATTTTCCCCCTTCATTCTTTGATATCATGGTTCATCTAGTAGTACATCTTGTAAGAGAAGTTCGTCTATGTGGGCCAATATATTTTAGATGGATGTATCCGTTTGAAAGATATATGAAAGTGCTAAAGGGGTATGTTCAGAATCGTACTCGTCCCGAAGGTTGCATTGCTGAGCGGTATATAGCTGAAGAAGCTGTAGAGTTTTGTACCGAGAATTTATCTGATGTTAGTACAGTTGGAGTGCCTTCAAGCCAAAAGATGGGAGTTTCAAAGCCATTATCAGGTTGCACAGTGAGCGTAGTTGATCGGGACCTGTTGAACCAAGCACATCTATATGTCTTGGAGAATACGGAGGAAGTCCTACCTTATATCGAGTACGTATGAGTTTTATTCTTTAAGTTTCCATTTTAAATTATTTCTTATGTTTATCTTATATGTTTGGGACCGTAATGCTTGAATTTTTCGTGTCATGTAGGCAACATATGATCCACATCAAGACCGCTTATCCAAAATTTAGAAAGAGAACAAAGTGATGCAGGATAAGCACAATAGCACTTTCATTCAATGGCTACGCTTCAAGGTATATGTTATTGAATAACATATTGGACTTTTAATTTTCTTCTTTCTATGTTAGATTGAATTAAGATATGATTAATTTGCAGGTTCAAAGTGAACTTAATGAGGAAGACAATCATGGCGTATCAGAAAATTTAAGGTGGCTAGCAGCTGGTCCAAACATGGCAGTGCCATCATATAAGAGCTATCTTATTAAAGGTATTAAATTTAACATCAAGGCACAAGATGATGTGCGGACAACTCAAAATAGTGGAGTTTATTTACTTGCACATACCATGCAAGTTGCTAGTGCCAAGGATAAAAACCCAATTCTCTCAAATATGGGTTTCTATGGTGTCATTCAAGAAATTTGGGACCCTGACTACCAAAAGTTTACAATCCCAGTCTTTAGGTGTGATTGGATAGATAGTACTTCTGGTCTTGTAGTCGACGAACTTGGATTTACCCTTGTAGATTTGAGTAAAATTGGACATAGGAATGACCAATTTGTTTTGGCTTCTCAAGTCAAACAAGTATTTTTTGTTGACGACCCGATGCATCGTGGTTGGTCGGTAGTGTTATCAATGCCTAATAGAGAATATAATGATGTTATTGGTGATGATGTCTTAGGTGATGTGAGAATTGAGTGTGAGCCATTTACTAGAGGGATGCCAAATGTTGACACATTTGATGAACTGGTGGGTGAGTTTGGGAGTCAAAATATTTGAGATGGGTGTGAAGATATATGGATTGAATGATGCTTATGTAATTGGCAGTGTATGACATTAATTTTGTAATATATTGTAATGTGGTTTCTTCACTTTCATTATACAGGTTTTGACCACAAAACAATCAGTACAAAAATATTGGTTCAAGATTACAAACACGACGGTCTTGATAAAAATGTGAAAAACAAACATATGTTCTAATAAAAAACGACGTTTTGGAGCATTCAATGACCGCAATATATTTACCGACATCTTAAAGCAACGTAACAATGAAGAACCACGACGCTATTGTGAAACAGCTATTAAGGATATCACGTCGGAGAAACATAAAGAGCCACCATGTAATTCCAAATAACACGACTCCAATCCCATAATACCGACGTCTAAAAGACGAGATATCTAACCTAAACGTTACAAAAGATGACGTCGTCTTAATTTTACTACGTCGCATGTTCTTTCATAAACGAAGTGGAAAAGGATTAATTCACGACGGTATTTGAAATCCATTGGTAAATTTGTCGACGTTAAGATATATTTGGAAGTCGTTCCTTTACAAAAACAACATTATATGAATGTATCCACATCTCTTTTCTTATGATCATGTCGTTAAAATTACTTTACACCGCGAATTTCGGATAAACAACGCCGTCTAATAGGAATTAGACGACGGTAATTTTGTTAATGATGACGTATAAATTCTTAAACACGGCGGTCTTTTGCATGATAACGACGTTGCATATTTATGACATCGTCGTCTATATAAATGAATGTGTCGTAAGTAATGACCCCAACATATTTTTCACGTCGTTTATTTTCAGATCGTGTCATTAAAACAATTTTACACGGCGATCGATTGAGAAACGTTGCAGTCTGGATGCATTAGACGACGATTATATTTTAAAAGATGACGTATAAATTCTGTAATACGACTCTCATTTATTTGGACCCGACGTTGGTTATTGAGTACAACGTTGTCTGTATAAATACATGCATCGTAAGTAATGACCCTAACATCTATTTCCACGTCATCATTAATAGAAAAATTGAAGTGGAAAATTTATTTCACGACGGTTGTTGAAAATGTAGTGCCGTAGTAGGAATCAATAACGTCGTCGATTATGTATTTAAAGACGTCATTGTTTTATGTGTCGTGAAAGGTAAATTTAACGGCAGTGAGTTTTAGTTCTCGTTGTTGTATGTATATCTTGTGGCCATGTTTTGTTAATATATGTCATATGTTGCCTTTTTAACGACGTTTTTTTGTTAGAATTGGTCGTCTATTCTCATCCTTGACTGTTTTTTTTAACTCTTTTTCCAGTACACAGACGTCGGTTTTTATTTGTTAATGACGTTGTTTGTTTTAACGATGGTTATTTAGCGTCGTGGTTTGATTAGGGAAAAGATGTGGGTCGATTTCACGACCATTTGAAAACGGAATACACGACGGTGAATTCCCGTCGTCTTTTTCCTTTTTTGTAGTAGTGATTTTTGGTTGCTGCAGAGATAGATCAGGCGCCACCGCTTTTGAAGTCTCCGGTAATCTCTCTCTCTTTCACTATACATTTATGTATATAATCCGGAATTATATACTAATTATGTGATTATGGGCATAATCAATATCAGGAACGCCAGCAGATTGTTTGCCTTTAGCATTATCAGAGGCATTGTTCGCATGGTCAAAGCCTGCTTTGGTATTATTGATCGCTAACTGTTTGATTTGAGGTTTGTTCAGATTTCTCGATCAATCAATGATCTTTCTTGATTTTCAGGTCGTTAGTGGAATAAACAGAGGATCAAGCTCTGTTTATAAAGGCTTTCTCAGTTATTTCAAAAGGGTCTTGTTTATAAAGGCCTTAAGATTGGTTGGTTGGTTGCATTGTGTTTTCTTCAACTGGGTATTGAGAATTTCTGAATTCAACAGGTTTTGGTCATTAGTGGTGGGGGATGACATAATTGTTTTTCTTTTTTGTAGGTCGTGCCATACGGTACTGGCTGCAAGATACCGCTCTCCAATTTTGAGGGCGGTCAAGAATATAGGGTTTGTGATACTTCTGTTGATATTTTATACAAATTTTGCTGAATTAGTTCTATCTTTGTTTGTATTGCTATTGTTGAATCTTGTTAATGTGTTGAATCTTGCTATTGTTGAAGACAAATGTTTGACATTGATACCTTAAAATGGCTGAGCTTGTATATAGATTTAACCCCCTGAATATCCAGGTTCGTAACCATCACTCACATGTATTATCTTGCTTTTGGCAAAATATTGGAAGGCTGTCTTGTACACTAGAAATTGTCCCAACGTGTTATTAAATTCTGCTGGAAGTAAATTCATTTGTTCACTTTTCTACTTCATAGCCTGGTTGCTATTAGTTATAATTATATACACTTTCTTAGCCTGGAAGTAAGCCAGATGCACTTATTTGTTCCAGCAATTTATGATTGTACAGTAGCTGTTCCCAACAATCAGCCACTGCCTACGCTGTTGAGAATATTTCTGGGCAATCTTCTGTGGTAGGACCATAGTCTAAAATATCGATGATATCGACGAAATATCGAGGATATTTTGGTTTTTTCGAATCACGAATATTTCGGAACATATCCATGTACATAGCGTATAAATATCGACAATATCGACGATAGTATCGGAAAATATCGATGTCGATAATTTCGCTCACACTTCAGCAATCTTTTGTCAAAATATCGGTGTAATATCGCTAAAATATCAAAAATATCGATGTAATGGAAAAAAAAAGGAAAAAGAAGAAAAAAAAATAAAAGGGAAAAAAGGGAGGAAAAAAAACACAAAGGGGATTTGAACCCCTCCCATTTTACTCCTCCAACACCTTAACCACCATATATCACTTATGTTTTAGTGATAATATGCTAAAATATTTATATTTATATGGGTGGCATGTTAACAATTACATGTAAAACTATTTTGGGGATTTATCATTTGATGAATACTCTTCACAATACACTTACAGTACACATAGAGATGATGAAGATAGTGAAAAATTTGAACCTCATAGGAACTCCATGTGGTACTAAGTCACTCATGTATCTTACCATGCAATGTATAAAGTGTAAAATATTGTAGTAAATCATTATATATAAATGATTATGGTGTGTTTAATCTTTTTTTCATTAATTATTACATATTTTCTACACTCACAGTGTTTGCCAGCTCGCTGTATAATCAACTTGAATCAGTTAAATCCATCATGTAATGCATTTCCTTCTAATTTTTTATTATTATAAACTAAAAGATAATTGACTAAATAAACATTCTCCAAAGTTTCAATAAAAATTTCCAAGTTTTTCTTACAATTTCCGTGGTTTTTATTCAATTTTTATCGATCAATAATATCCCAATATTTCCATCGAAATTTCCATATTTTTGGACTACCGACATTTCCGATATCATCGATATTTTAGACCATGAATAGGACAACAAAACTCTTTCTGCATATGCTGATAAAGTTACTTGTTATTAGATAACTAACTTTTTTTTAAGTGCATCATTAGTTTCTTGTAGGGAAGTACATTACACATTCTTACTTGTCATTGATCAGTTTTTAGCTGCATATCTCAATTGGTGTGGTACATTGGAATTGCTTGATTGTTTTTCTCTTAAATAGTGAACTGTTTTACTTAGGAACCTTTAAATCATCTTGCATGGAATCAACAGGGTTTCTTAGATATGGTTTGTATTTCTTTACTACTTTTGTTTTACTAATGTCCTAGTAATGAGGTAATCTGTTTGTAAAAATAGTGCAAATTTTTAAGATAGCATTTAAGTCAAAAAGTTTGAATCCAGGAATAAAATAGTGGAGACCATAGAAAATGTTACCAGGCCGAGGTTCAGGGATATATTTACTGGCTGGTTTAGCAATAAACAAGCTTCTTTTCAAAGCACTTACATGACATGTGGAAATGGATCTTTAGCATATAACTATCATATCTTTCCTGTATCTTCTCAAAAAAATAATAATCTGGTTCCACACATAAACAACTTGGGCAGAAACAACTTCACTGATTGCAATGTGGTAAGCTTCAATATAATTTTTTTTTCCCTTCTCTTTTTCTGAAGCTTCAAATCAGTTTTTCTTTGACTTTTGCATTTTAGCTCCTCAGTATGAATACAAAAGCAATTGCATATATGATTATATATAGCCTCTGCTGGTGCAAATTTGATAGAACAACAATCCAGCTTGTATATTGCTATTTTATAAGCATAATTTGTCAATTTATGTTTTGATTGTTCTTTTATCTAAGATAGATCATTTATTAGTTTGGGTAGTTTCTTGGAAGTTGCAAATTTAAGGTTCTCTTTCAATTTATGGAGCATTGTTCTTTCTGTGGTAAATTGAAATTGGTTTCCTTATTTCAGAGACTCATGTCCACCCAAATAGAGCTAGACGGAAGGGCACGTACACCCAAATGGAATTGGATGAGGTGCGAGAAGAATTGGCAACTCATGCCCTATAATGGCTTTTTGATTGAACTAAACATTCCTCCTTCATTTTACATGTCTTTCTAGCTACTATTTTGCTTATATATAGACAAGTATTGATCATTTGTGGTGTGGGGCTGGAAAAATTGTGATTTGGATGTGACAAGTACGGATCATTCAAGTGTTTTGTTTATATATATAGACAAGTATGGCAATGGCAACACAATGCCTAAAATTAGATAAAAACAACCACCAAACATCTATGATCACTAATGCCTAAAATTAGAAGTAGCATTAGCATTTATATAACAACCATTGCTATTGGAGGCTTTTCATGTCGGCAAAATAGAAAAAGCGATGACGTATAACATAATTCGCAACAGCACTATTTGTTTCTGCGATGTTGTAATTGATAATACGCATCAGTATAGGAGATACCACTGATGCTGTAATACCTCTTTAGCCTCCTCCCTTTTGAAACTACTGATGCTGTTTTAGGTTCACTACAAAAAAAAGGGTCATTACCGACCAATGTTTTCCGAGGGCCTCAAAATTCCCTCGGTAAAAGTGTTTTTTCCGACCAAAAAATGTTGTCTGTCGAAAATACATCATGGGGCTGAAATTTATTTCCGACAAAAGAATTACCCTCGGAAAAAGTCTCTAAGATCGTCGGAAATGTAATTTATTTGGCGGGAAAACTTTGCGCCAACTTTATTAACGACAAAAAACATTTTCGTAGGAAATAAGATAATTATTTCCGAGGGGCTACTCATTCCGTCGGAATTGTTTGATTATTTCCGAGGAGCTTCTCATTCCGTCGGTCGAAATTGCTACAAACTCTTTATAAATTAGCCTTTGATTATGAAGATTTAAAATCATGATTCCACATGTTTGAGTTAATGAGAATCATTGGATCTAATAAATAAAAGTGTTATGAGATAGAATGTTTTGATTTGTATATGAACAAAGTTGAGTTTTCGTGCTCCATTATTGTTTGTGGTTGGTCAAACTCAAATACAACATTAATATATTAGAACATCATTAAATCAATGGTACCAAGCTCAGAATCTTCCCCAATCTCCATACAATCTAAGGTATTACCTCACCTTTATTTCTCAAGTTTTTGATCTTTATTCATTGGTTGTTTGTTTGCTAATTAATTGGCTCCAATTTTTAGTCCTACTGATTTGTGTTTTTTTTTTTCGGGGTTTGGTTGTACTTATTCGTGTTAGTGTTTGGAAAAAGAATTTCTAAATTTAACTAAGAGTGTTAAACGAGTGTTTGAGTTAAAAAGAATTTCTGGTTCCTCCATTGATTCCACATGTTTAAGTTAATCAGAATCATTGGATCTAATTAACAAGAGTGTTATATGATAGAATGTTTTGATTTGTCTATAAACAAAGTTGTGTTTTGTTATTACTTCGTATTTTTATAATTCAAAAATTAGATTTTTAGAGTTTTAAGGTGAAGAGGATGTTGCAAGGAGATTTTTCAGTATATTTTTCTTATTTTAAAATTTATTTGTTATGAGGTTTGTTCGAGGAACGCTAAATATCCTCGGTATTAAATTTTGCGCCTCTTTCCCCCAAATTTTTTTCGCGTACCGCCCAATTTTTCGCTTCAATCAAATATTGCGCCTAACACTGCAAAAAAAATATAAAAACTAAACTAAACAAAACAAAAAACAAAACCCTAACTCGCTCTATCTCATCCTTTATGACCCAAACCTTTCCTTCCTCCCCATCTACAAACTCTCCAGTTCTCACCAATCTCACTTTGAGTTGAACCCACACCCACCATCGCTCCATTTTTGCCGTCGTTGCTCCAATCGAAGAAGCCATACGCCGTCGTCATCGTCGTCTCCTCTCAACATCTAGTTGCCGGCGCCTCTATCTCAATTTTAGGTAAGTTCCATCCCGTCTCATCTCATCTCGGTTTGATACCCAGCCTCTGCCTCTAACTATCTCTCATCTCCATCCTCTTTCATCTCTCAATTGGTGTCACCGATTAAATCTCAGAGGCAAAGCAGTTCACTCTCTCTCTGGTAAGCGTCTCTTCCTTAGGATTTTTGGGCTTTCAGTTTTGAAATGAAATTGTGGGGTTTGAAGTGAATTGGTAAGCGTCTACTTTGTTGCTCTGAATTGAAATTGGGGCTTATAACTTACATTACAGTCAGTGCATACTTATAACAATTGCTGCTTCCATTTCTCACTTTCATAAATGCCAATGCAGACATCTATAGAGTAATATGGTTTGTTTATTTATTTATCATAATCAATCTCAGTATTGTTGGAGCACAACATGCAGCACTTAACCAGAGCAAGCTAAAAAATTTGCAGGCTCTGTGATTACCATGTTATTTCTTCTTTGGTTCTTCTATGTGTACTCGTTTATCATTATTTAATTAGTTGTGTTTGGCAGGAGTTTTTGGCCAGAGTTAGAGAGCTTTAGCGATAAAGGATTAGAGCTTCAGCGATATTGGTGAGAATTTTAATTTTTATTCTTTATCAAACATATAATTATTTTTTTTCTTATATCAATAGAGTCATTTGGTTTTTGGGGCCATATCTCGAGATTATCAAAACAACCCTTTTGCTGGCATTAGCTGGGAAGTTGGACCCAAGCTTGAAGGTCAGTCCTCAGCTTCACCGTGTGCTTTGAACCAATTTAATTATCATTAGCTTGACCTGTTATACTATAATATAAAAATATTTTCAAACAATTTTTCAATCTGGGTCTTTAATTAGACATGAGATATGTGGAACAAGGTAGATGAGAAATCACTTATAATGGATATATGCTGAATGAATTTGTGCCACAGAAGACATCTGCATATATTATCCAAACCAAAACAAATCATATCATAATCCATTATCAAAGTAACTCTCTTCATTTATATGTAACTTTGGAAATGAATTTGGTAGCATTTTAACAAAAGTTATGCATGTGCCATAGAACTTTGTGGGCTTGCTAGAAGAGAAAAGGAGGCTGGGATATTTTCAGAGCCAGAAGTAGACATTTTTATGAAGGTATATATTTATGCGATTTCACTAAACCCCGCCTTCAATGCATTGATTTTTTAAGCTTATATATCTGAATTTCTGGTTTTTTTTATATTTTATTTTATTATTATTTCAGGCTACTTCAATGGGAGGAGTTGAGAGTAGTCTCATTACTGACTATACTCTCAGAGTAAGTAAATCCCATTTCAAAATGAAATCACTCTTCTTTCTAATTTGTCACCAACTTTACTGACTGCTGGTTAGCCTATTTTATTTCCTTGCACTTTGACTTGTGACAACCATTTTGTCTTTGAAAGTCTTTTTTATTCTTAGAAACCACTGAAATGCTTTAGTTTTTAAATGTGAGAAATGAAGAACCTTCCTATTAGTTTGCTGATGTAACGTCTTTACAGGTTTACTTGAGACCTGACATTGGAGTTCTTATGTTTATAATCTTAGTTTAATCTCAGTGGACTTTTTAGTTTTGTCTGAGCTGGAGTTTGCATGTTCTCAATGTGTTTCTGTTGGAATTCCCCAGAGGGCAGGATCTTCATGAATATCAAAGTTATTGATAAAATTAAATGCTACTGGGGCATTCAGGAAGACTGCAAGTTGAGAGACTTAGTGGTGAAAGATGGTATGGAGTAATCAGTAATGTAACAATATGTTTCAGTTCAATATGAATCTAATATTTACTCTCAGGTTTTAGTCGCCTTGAGTTTGTATCTATTTTTTTGTTATTTCATTACTCTGTCATGTATTGTTTTCTTTCTTGATATATTTGATTTAACACATTGACTAAAAGTTTGTTTTGGTAACAAAACTAGCTCTGTTCTTGTTTTTGTAGGATTAACAATGTTATTGTTAATGGGAAGCAGAAGCAGCCCATCATTAGTGATGATTCCAACGAAGCTATGAAGCATGCTTTCGAACTCTTTAATGTTTGATTGGAAGTAGGCTTTGGGACTAGTGATATAGGACATAGCTTAGGATTGTAATGAATATTTGTAATTTATTACATTTGTCTTTTGTTAATGATAATATATACTATTTTTCGAACAACAATTTCTCAATTGAAATGTTATTCATAGTTTTGGACCAAATTTTTGTACGTTTAATGCAAATAAATGTAGTTGGAAAAACATTTTCGACAAACTTCCATGTCGAGAAACCACAATTCCAACGAATTATATTTATCACAAATAGTAATTGAGGGTCGGAAATACTATTTTCAACAAATAGTCATTGGTCGAAAAAATAGCATGGCAAAAACAAAAGATCTCGATCAAAAATTATTTCCGACAGGTGCGCAAGTATTTGCGACTGCATTTATGGTTGGAAGTGAATTTGTATGATTGTTTAGAAAATTTATTTCCGATAGAAATATAAGCAATATCAACGAAATATGGGTGTCGGAAATACATTATTTCCGACGGAATGGTCAGAAAAGAAGTATTTGCAACCAGCGTTTTAGCGACGACTTTCGACGAAGTTTTGCCGTCGAAAAAGGGTATTTCCGACGGCAAAAGGCTTTTTGCTATGAAAAAATGCCCTCGCTAAAAGCATTCTGTTTTGTAGTGGTTTAGGCATCAGAGGTCAACGTTTTTTTGGCACATGGAAATCATTTACGCATCAGAGTTTACCAAATATCCGATGTTGTAAGTATAAAAAGGCCACGGATAATATATGTTGCCTATTACATAGTAATAGGCAACAGGCTTGAATACCACAGTATTTATGGGTAATAGGCAGCTAAAGGCCTTTTTTGGCATAGTGTTTGGTCTAATTACTGCCCTTGCTTGGATATTTGTAGAAAAGGCTTCAGTTTGGCCTTGGGCTTGGACTTGGACTTGGACTTGGGCTTGGACTTGGACTTGGACTTGGACTTGGACTTGGGCTTGGGCTTAAGGTTGAGGTTGAGATGATGATCTTCCTAAGCCTCTCATTCTCCCTCTACCCCTACCACCCCTAATTGCTGCCACCTAGAAGCAAATTTTCAGTTTCAGTTATAAACATTGAGGTTATTGAATGACAAATCAGACCTGGTTCAATATCACTTACTAGTTGGGGTTGGCGTTGGGCTTGGGCTTGGGGAGCATGAGTTAGGGCTTGGGGAGCTGGAGCTTGGGCTTGCCCTTGGGGAGCTGGAGCTTGGCCTTCAGTTGCTTCAGCTTGCATCTGGAATCATTAAAAAATTAGGTTAGGTGAGGTTTTAGGTCATAACATAAAGGCAAGGAATCTTAAGGCAACTTTTACCTGTTGGACCGTTTCACATCCTTTTCCGTTGTGTCCTTCTTGACCGCATCTTGTGCACCGAATCTTGATAAAGAATCGTCTGAGCCTTGTAGGTTGTGGTTTCCAGTTCGGTGGTTTTTGGATTTGGCGGTACTGAAGCTGGTATTTCCACCTCCCCTGGTTCTTTTGTCCTCACCTTCCTTGTCCTTCCTGGTTGGATTCTGAAGTTGGGAGGCTTAATTGCAGGTAAACTACTCCTTGGCCATTGGTCAATGGAAGGAACAGGTCCAATGATAGGGCCATATGTTTTTAAGTAACCCTCTTTCTTGTACAATTTATCCACATTATCCTCTATGTCTTCATTTCTTTGGAAAATAGCAGAAATTGCATGTGGGCAAGGAATCCCACATAAATCCCATCTTTTACAAGAGCAAGTCTTTGCTCTTAGATCTACACCAAATTCTCCCCCATACATATGACTTATTTGATATTTCTTCTCCCGAGCCAACCTTGGTATGCATTAACTTGATGCTAACTTATTTTTCTCTATTATGTTGAAGATTCTATGACCAACAGTATACCTCCAATGTTGACAAGATGCCCTTCTATTAGCCATCCTAATCATAATATACATCCTTATTCTCTCAAGGCATGTTAGGATTGGCTTATCCCTTGCATCCAAAATGGGTGCATTAAAGTTTTACATAGGTTATTTAACAAAAAATCACACTTATAGTGTGTTGCAAAATGAGATCTTGACTAATTTTTTGCTGGCCTCTCAATTAGCCACCCCAAAGAATCTAGATCCTTCTTCATATCATCCATCTTCGCTTCCCACCAAGGCAATGTGGTTGCCCTTGCAGCAGCCCATAGCAAATGTTTTAGAGCAAGTCCTGTGTGCTGGCCTCTGAAGTTGTTATACAAATGTCTCATGGACATTCTGTGTTCAGTATTTGGTAGAACTGTTTGCATAGCAAGAATTAGCCCCTTCTGTTTATCACTTATAAACACCCATGCCAAACTATTTTGGATCCCCAAGTCTGCAATTAAGAGTTCTATAAACCATATACAACTACTTTTGCTTTCTATTTCAACTATAGCATAGGCCAATGGAAACATACCATTGTTCCCATCAACACCAACTACAGTCAAGATTTGCCCTAAGCAGGGTCCTTTTAAGTGGCAACCATCAACACCTACGACAGGCCTACATCCTTCTAAGAAACCCTTTTTAGAACTAGCTAAACAAATATAAATCCGTTCAAACAATGCATCTTCACATGCTAGTTTTGTTTTATTTACCACAGTACTTCCTGGGTTGGTCTTCTTAATTTGCTCTGCATCATCCCTTAATCTCTCGTATTGTTCCTTATACGAACCTTGAATGACTTTCTTAGCCAATTTTTTTGCCCTATACACTTAGTTTTGTGTAAAGTTCATTGCATAGTGTTCCTTCACCTCATCTTGAAGTTGCCCTACCGTCCAATTGGGATTTCTTCTCATCTTATCACAAAATCTTTGTGAAATCCAAGCTGAATTAGCATATCTCAACCTGTCTACTCTGCCACATGTATGTTCAGCATGTATAGCCTTTACTACAAAAGTGGATTCCTCTTTATCAATCCTAGATGCATAAAGAACAAATGCATAGTTCCTAGATCCACGACACAGGACCTTCACCATTCTCTTGTCATTTTTATCAAATTTCAATAGCTTGTCGTTTACAATGGCATACTCCTTTATTGCTTCTTTCAAGTGCTCCCGATTTGCAAATTGCATCCCCAAATGAAACTCTAGATTTTTAAGGTCAGTAGCTCTCATATATCGCTTGAACTTTGGTAGGCGAATCCTCTACTTTTTTGTCACATGTTGACTGCTATTCTCATCATCTGAGGTGTTCCCATCAAAATATAAAATATCAGAATCTGTCCCATCATTAGAAATCTCTCCTGGCCCCTTGTGTTTCAGTCTCAACATTCACTTCTTCATCACAAGGCATATTGATGTCTGCATTACAACCTTTGTTTGCCTCCTCATCTTCACTAAACTCATAATCACTATCCACAAACTCTGAATCTTCTTCTTCTTCATCAACTACAGCTTCACAATCTCCAAGCGAAACAACATGCTCATTAGTATCTAAAGCCTCATTAACCTCCTTCATTTGGTCTTCATTAAATCTCCTATAGTTGTATTCTTCACTCTACAAACTAGGCCATTCCACAGATGTTTGAGTTGAGTCCATGTCGTTTCGCTTTTTTTTTGTTTTGTGAGTATAGTATAACACTAACACTCTATTACTTGTTATGCAGCCAACCATGTCACATATAACACTGTCATTGTCAATGAGCTTTACATTAGTTTCACCATTACTGTCATACATCTTACAATGTATTTGCAAACCTATCTCCTTCTTAGTTAGGTCCACTTCATATCCTAACGCTATACCTATTTTCCTTAAATCCAAGAGTGATAGATACTCATCCACACAGTTGTCCAAATAACACAATGTCCTCCCCTTATACTCCCCATCTTGTACAACACCCCCATGGTGAATTTCCAAAGTGCAAAACTCACCCTTATCTGCAAATGAAACAGTAATTTCAGTTCAGTATATTCAACACCAATTTTTAAAATCTTTGTTCACCTAAGTAAGGAAAAATCACACTTCAATTAAAGCAAGGATAGTACCTACAAAATGTGCTAATGTGTGTAACTGTGCAATCAATTGACACAAATCAGACTAGTAGGACCAAAAACCCTTAAATTCAACCAAGGATAGCAGGACCAAGTATGCACTCAATGTCTGACCAAAACACAAGATATGCGTTCAATGTTGAAATAAAGACAAAAGAAAACAGTTTTTTATTTGCCCAAAAGAGAGACAATAACAAAACCCTTAATTGCTACATAGCTGGAGTAGACACAAACAAAATTCCAAAACAACATAAAGCAATTAACATATAAAAAAGCATTTCTTGTACTTCCATTAGCATCGCATACTGTATATGGGGGGGATCTCTAGACGTCCTAAATTCAAACTCCATCAAAGTTGTTGACAACAACTATCGACCCCACAATGAGAAAACCAACATGTATCAACCCAGACGACCTTAATGCACAACGACCCAAACAAAATCAACTAAAACTTGTTGTCCAATTCTTTAGCTTTTTTGCTTTTGTTTGAAAGCTTCGTCTGTTTACTCTTTAGCTTTTTTGTTTCCTGTTTGGTTCGTACCTCTGGTCAAAGTTCTGATGTGTTATAACTCGTATAAGAGAATCTAAAAGAGTAAAAGTCTTTTTGGTCCCTCAAAACCAACCTGAAAAGACCCATCTACCCCTAAATGTAATGAAAAAATTGACAGAAGTAACAGTGGGACTAGTAGTCCAAATGAAACTAAAGTTAAAGGACCATGGGTACTATATTGGAAATTGAGGTACTCAAATGCAAATTCGGTCAAATTTGGGGGACTAATAAAATGATTAACCCTCCAAAAAATTATAAACCGCTATGTACGGGTTGAGTTATGGATTGGAACCAAAATTTAAAAATAAATTTAGGGTTTGTAGGTCTAATGGTCCTTAAACTTTGATCTTATTCGCATTTTAGTCCCTCAATTTCCAAAATCGTTGGTCTTGCCGTCAATTTTGTCAATTTTTTTGTTAAATTTAGGAGTAAATGGGTCTTTTCAGGTTTGTTTTATTTCCCCCCATTTTGAAAATCACCTTCACTCTGTTGTAGCCTCTCGCCAAAATAGCCATAAAGAACCCTAAACTGCAATCTCCTTTATAAGTTGGTGCTCCTCAAATTGGTTGAGTAAATGTTGAAATCGTCAATTTTGGAGTTTGGTCAATTTAAGAAGGTTTTTAAGTTTTTAGTTTTTAGTTTTTATTTTTTGGGTGAAAGAAATATTCATATAGTAGAAATTAAAAACAATACGAAAAGAAAAAGTTAGGGTTTTTAGGTCCAATGGTCCTTGAACTTTGGCCCAATTCTCATTTTGGTCCCTCAATTTCCAAAATTGTTCTCGTGGTCCTTAAACTTTAGTTTTGTAAGCACGAATACTCCTGCCGTCTCTTCTGTCAAAATTTTCTTTAAATTTAGGAGTACATGCGTCTTTTTATGTTGGTTTCATTTCCCCCCTTTTCAAACCCACCTTCCGTCAACAAGTAGTTGCAGACCAACCCAAAACAACTCGAAAATTCCAAAGCATTGTTGCTGGTCCATACATTCAATTCAAGCAACCTATTTTTGCCTTGCTTGCTTTTTTAATATATCCTTATAAAACCCTCATTCCCAGTACCTAAACCAACATAATTCAGATGTCCACAGAGGAAGTTTCCCTAAGCTGCTTTATGTGAGAGACATGTGTAAACATAAGGATGGGGTGTGGGTTGAGAGAGAGAGAGAGAGAGAGAGAGATCGGGTTGGGGTTGTTGGATAATTGCACGGTCTGGGGTGTTGGATAATTGAAGGGGCTAGGGTGGGTTGTGGTTGGTCGGGGAAGATAGTGCATGGAGTGTTGGCAGGCCAGTATGGTGGGTGTGTTAAGTAATTGCAGGGGGTATGGTGAAGGTTGTGGTTAGTCAGGGAAGGTGGTGGCTGGTGTGGCTGAGCTAGGTTGTGGTTGGTAAAGGGAAGGAGGAATTGCTCCACATATATCATGAGCCAAGTAATTTACATTTTTGTCCCTTAACTAATCCCCATGTGCACACATGGTCATTTTTGACACAAAAAAAAAATTGACAGAACTGACGGCAGGACCATTGGTCCTAACAAATCGGAAGTTGAAGGATCACAAGAACGATTTTGGAAAAGGGTTATCTACTGTAGACATCCCTGAACTTGGCCCCTAGTTGCATTTGGGCCCGTGAACCTTTTTTTGAGGCAATTACATATGTTAACTCGATAAATAGTTCCAATTGGGTCCTATCGTCCATGTTTGTCAATTTTTCAGTCAAAATGAGGAGTAAAAGTGTCCTTTTGAGCTACAGAGGTAATTGTTTTAAGGGTTTTTAACTGTAGACGTCCCTGAACTTTGCTCCCAGTTGCAATTGGGTCCGTGTACTTCTTTTTGAGGCAATTACATCCTTTAACTGGACAAGTAGTTCCAATTGAGTGATGCCGTAACAGAGTAAAAGAGCTAAAAACTTAGAAACCACAAAAGACGGGTTTGAGGCAAAAGTCAAAGACTAACGGCTAGTGAAGAACTTCTTGATCTTCTCCATATCGGCGGCGGTCATTTTGAAGGTGTTGTTGGATTTGGCCACATCAACCAACGACGTGGCGTAGCTGGCTACTATGGTGGCGTTCATTCTAGCTCCAAAGGCGTCACCACTGTTACAGCGGCAACGGAGGAGGAGAGCTTGAGAGGATGGGGTTACGGGTGGGTTCTGGGTTCTGCAGGTTGGGAGATGGGGGGGTGGGTTACGGGTTGGGTTAGGATCTGGGTTTTGAGGGGGTTGGCTGAGGAAGAGGGGGAATGAGCTACGGGAGAGAGGAGGAGACAGAGAGGGAGAGTTGAGAGAGAGAAGGACATATTCTGTTACGGCAGGACTCAATTGGAATTACTTGTCGAGTTAAATGATGTAATTGTCTCAAAAAAAAGTTCATGGACCCAATTGCAACTGGGAACAAAGTTCAAGGATGTCTACAATTAAAAACCCTTAAAACAATTACCTCTGCAGCTCAAAAGGACGCTTTTACCCCTCATTTTGACATACAAATTGACAGAGTCGGATGGCAGGACCCAATTGGAACAACTTGTGAAGTTGAAGGATGTAATTGCCTCAAAAATTCACGGATCCAATTGCAAGTGAGGGCAAAGTTCAGGGACGTCTACAAAAGTTACCAAAGTTCAATGACCATTGAACCTTAAAACCAAGAAAATTAACAAAAATGACGGCTAGACCATTTGTCTTAACGAAACTAAAGTTGAAGGACCACAAGAACAATTTGGAAAATTTAGTGAATCAGGTCAAAGTTTAGAGACCATTAAACCTAAAAACCCATAGGCTTAATTTTAAGTTAACTTGACTGAACCGCCCAATCCGATCACAAAAAGTTTGAGTTGGGTTAGGTTAACCTAATAATGACCGAGTCTTTAGCTTAAGAAATCATAAACCAATATATAAAGAATTGAATCATGGGTTAAGACTAAAACTAGCCGAACCCAACCCATGCTTGTTAGAAATTACACTAGAAGGGATATATTTCTTTATGAAGAGAAGAAGAACTAAAGTTTTCAGAAAAAGGAAGAAGATTGCTCAGTTAGAATTTTATATTCATTGTCTCAATCTTCCTCTTTACATATTGTTTACATTTATAATGTGTGTATATTTGTCCTATATAAGAAGTCTCTAGAATAAGTATACAGAAATGGAATATGCTATATTCATCCATATCCTATCAACGTTAGCATGGAGTGAGCTGGCTCTTTAGTCTTCAAATGAGCTGTAGTGCACAGCTGCTGAATGTCTTGAGTAGTTTGCTCTTTTTCCTTAGGCTATTGGGTGCCTTGTGAATGTATTACTTTATCATCCCCTCTCGAGCTAAGCAGCGGTGAAGCAGCTATGAGCTTGAAACAATTATATCGAAATTGGGCCTTTGGCAAGCTTTTGGTAAAGATGCCAACAACTTGGTGGTGAGAGGAGACATGACTAATGGAAATGGAGATACTTGTGACAAGTTGACGAATGTAGTGATAATCGATCTCAATGTGTTTAATTCAAGCACGAAATATGGGATTTTGAGAGAGGGCAAGAGCACTAACATTGTTGCAAAGAAAGAGAGGAGGTTTGAGGAGGAAGAAGTGAAGATCCTTGAGCAAAGAACATAACCATGTGATTTCAGCAGTTGTGTGAGAGAGGGCATGATACTCACTTTCGGTAGAGGAGCGTGCAATGGAGGTTTGTTTCTTTGCACTCCAAGAGAGAAGGTTACTGCCAAAGAAAACACAATAACTAGTGGTGGATCTTCTGTCAATTGGACAACCTACCCAGTCAACATCTGAAAAAGCTGTGAGAGTCATGGAACCTTTGGTGAGAGATAGGACTTGCTATGGTGTACCTTTAAGATATCGCAAGATGCATTTGGCGGCAGTGAGGTGATGAGTTCTTGGCTGATGCATATGTTGGCAGACTTGATTCACTGAGAATGCAATGTTAGGGCGAGTCCATGTAAGATATTGTAGAGCCCCTACAAGGGAACGATAGGGGGTGGGATCTTGAATAAGGTCACCAAAGGTTGTGTCAAGCTTAATGGTTGAGGAAGGAGTGGAACAAGGCTTGGCATCAAACATTTTTGTTTTGGTAAGGAGATCTGTGATGTATTTTGTTTGGGAGAGAAAGATAGAAGTGGGTGTGCGATGGACCCCAATGCCAAGAAAGTAATGAAGATTGCCAAGGTTTTTTCATAGAGAACTTGGAGTGAAGGGTGTTAATGAGGTGAGTGCATGATGTTGATGAATTTCCTGTGATGAGGATATCATCAACATAGACTAGAATGATAGTGAGATGTGCATCAGCTTTGATGAATAAGGAAGAGTCAGCAGTGTAGGAATGAAAGCCAAGACACAACAAGCAATGGTAGAGCTCCTCATACCTAGCTCTAGGAGCTTGCTTCAGCCCATAAAGTGATCTATTGAGTTTGCATACATGGTGCGCCCTGTGGGGATCTTTGAAACCTAGGGGCTGCTGCATAAAAATAGTTTCTGTTAGTGAACCATGAAGAAAGGCATTTGACATGTCTAGTTGGGTGACAGGCCAGTCAAATTGAACTACGAGAGAAAGCACAAGACGAATGGTATTTGTAAATCCCAGACTTGGAGCGGGTTTGCATTGGGTGGGTGTTTAGGGGATGAGAGGTGTGAAGAGAGGGGGAAGCGGTTGGATTGGAGAGATGGGCAGATTAGTGACTAAATGGTGGTCAAGAGAGGATGACGAGCTTGAGGTTGATGAGGATGAGTGAGTAGTATTTGAGGAAGATGGTGTACTGTTGGGAATATGATGAGATATTTGGATAAGTGGAGGAGAGTTTAGGGGAGGTAAGGGGCTGTTTGGGGGATGAGTTTGTGGTGGGGAAGTAAAGAGAGGTGGGGGAGATAGGAACACCATTGGTGATGTAGGAATGATAGTGCTGGTAGGTTTGGGAGAGTGATGATGAAAAGGAAATGTGGTTTCAGCAAAGACAACGTGTCTAGAAATGTAGACTTTGCCTGTAGTTGGGTCTAAGCATCTGTATCCTTTGTGTTGAAGTCCATACCCTATGAAGACACATTTTAAGCTTCGAAAAAAAAGCATATGTGAAGTGTATGGTTTCAACTAAGGGTAGCATGAACAGTCATAAGCCTTCATGAAATGATAATCTGGTTGACAATTAAAGAGTTTTTGAAGAGGTGAGACTTTGTTTAAAATAGATGACGGCATTCTATTAATTAGATATACGCCATCGTCTGAGCTATTTCAACCCAATAGCTAAGAGGAAGATTTGATTGAGCAAAAAGTGTTCGAGTGAGCTCAATAATATGCCTTTGCTTTCGTTCAGCCAAACTGTTTTGCTGTGGAGTATGTGGCCAAGAAAATTGTTGGGAAATGCCATGTGAGTTAAGAAAGTTTTTGAAAACATGGCTGGTGAATTCTCCACCATTATCACTTCTAAGAGTGCATATTTTATGTTTGAAAAGTTTTTCAACTTGTAGCTTAAAAATATGAAATGCTTTTAATGTGTCTGCTTTGCTTTGAAGAGGATATAACCAAGAGAAACGTGACCAATCATCCACAAAAATGACATAAAATTTGTTACCAAAAAAGAAGGCTTGTGGGGCAGGGCCCCAAAGGTCTGAATGTATTAACTGAAGTCGAAATTGAGAATTACATTTAGAATGAGAAAAAGGTAATTGTTTGTGTTTTCCTATAGAGCAATCTGAGCAGAATGGAAGATGGGAGAGTTAGCCTTGAACATGAAGCTTGTTGGATGAGAGAATGTGATGAAGAACATTTGCATTGGGATGGCCAAGACATTTGTGCCAAAGAGAAGAGGATGCAGTTGTGGTGCTGAGACAGAAAAGAGAAGGCTTGCTTTTGGAGAAGTGGATGGGGTAGAGACTTCCTTCAGTAGGGCCTTGAAAAATTATTTTCCCCGAGAGATGACCCTTCATGATACATGAGAAAGGGGTGAAGGTTAAATCACATAGATTATCATTTGCAAACTTATAAATAGAGAGTAAATTGTGTGTAGCTTTGGGAGTATGAAGAATGTTTTGCATATGAAAGATGGAGGTTGGAGAGTAAAGAGTGGCATTACCAGTGTTCTGAATAGCTAAGATGTCACCATTGACAACATTGACTTTCTCTGGACCAGTGTATTCAGAAAGAATAGAGAGGTTGCTGAGGTTATTAGTGATGTGATTTGTGGCTCCGAATCAGCATACTAAGTAGAAGAAGAAGATGGGTATATGGAGGTGTAGGAGGCAAATGGGTAAGAAGGAGTTGTGGAGTGGGAGGGTGAAAGGTTGGGAGAGGGAAAGTGGCCTTGATAGGAGCTGTTAAGACGATTTTTGCATGTGAGAGCCCCATGGTCTGGTTTGTTGCAGATTTGGCAAACAATTCTTGGAGTGAAATAATTGTTTGGACGAAAAAATGATCGAGTGGGGTTAAGATTATGGTTAGGGTTAGGATGGGATGTGTGTTGAGGTCTAGAAAAACGAAATGGGTGTTGAGGGTTGCGAGAGTTTGGATTTGGGTTAGGATGAGAAGAGTTGGAAAATGAGCGAGCTTGGTTGGAATAACGATTGTTGGAGTTGGTTTTAGAAAGGTGAGGTTGTGAGGAAAGGGATGTTTGAAAGGCATGAGATGTGGGCTCAGAGAAGGAGCTGAGTCTTGAGCTGAAGGCAAATTCTTCACTCAAAAGAAGGGCATGAAGCTCTTCAGAGGTAATGGGTTCAGATCGAACCCTGATGGAGGTGGCAAATGAATCATAATCAGATGGGAGACCATTTAAGACATGTGCCACAAAGTCTATGTCATCTAAAGGGGAGCCAGTTGCAGCTAGGCTATCAGCTGTGCCTTTCACTTGAAGTGGATGAACCAACAGTATAAGGGAGGATATTTTCAGAAATGGATGAATTTATCCAATTTTGCAATGACGGTCTTGTTTCATCCATTGGACAAACTCAGGATTTGTAGTGGAAGTGAGTGAGCCTTCTTGGATGGGTAGATATTGAGGAGGACAAGGCTCAGATCCATCAATGATAGACAACATGTCATAGCTTTGTAGGACTGGGAGGAAGAGTTCCTTCCATAAGTAGTTTTCTCGGGATAATTTTACGAAGAACAAGGGAAGAAATGTTTTGGGTAGCAACGGGTGGGTAGGAGGGAGAGGAGAAGCAAAGGAAGAGTAGGATGATGAGGACTCATGATGGTCAGAAAATGGATTGATAGTGTCTTGGGGGGGGGGGGGGGGGGGGGGGGTCCATAGATGAGAGAAAAGGAAAAAACTTTAGAAAAAGGTGAAAAATGATGCTGGGAAGAAAGGAGAGAACCAAAGAGTAGGAGAATAACCGTTGGGTATTAGGGCATGATACCACGTTAGAAATTACCTAGAAGGGATATATTCCTTTATGGAGACAAGAAAGAAGGACTGAAGTTTTCAGAAAAAGGAAGAAGATTGCTCAGCTAGAATTTTATATACAAATTTATAACTAAACCCAATCCTAGACATGTATTTATAAAAAAACCCAAGCACTATTTAAACATAGAAACACACCCAAAATCAACCCCAAAGTCAACTTTTTGGGTGTGTTTATAAATGGGTTTTGAGTGTGTGTAATGATGGGTTTTGGGTGTGTTTATAAAGTGTTTTGGGTGTTGGGTTTTTTTATAATTTCAACCTCCATTTTGGGTGTTTTAGTGAAACTCCCAATTTTATATTCATTGTCTCAGTCTTTCTCTTTACATATTGTGTACATTTATAATGTGTGTATATTTGTCCTATACAAGAAGTCTCTAGAATAAGTATACATAAATGGAATATGCTATATTCATCCCTATTCTCTCAACGTTAGCATGAGTGAGCTGGCTCTTTAGTCTTCAAATGAGCTGTAGTGCATAGCTGCTGGGTGTCTTGAGTAGTTTGCTCTTTTTTCTTGGGCTGTTGGGTGTCTTGTGAATGTATTACTTTATCAATGCTCACCCTTAGAAAATTGGATGAAAGTGTAAAACTTTGTCAGCATGTGCTAAATTGATCCTTCAAAATAATCTGAGGGGTAAATTGGCTGAAAAATTAATTCATGTGTTAAACTCTATAGTCAATAGTCATGATAGTTGAGGGTGTTATTTGGTAGTTTACCCTATATATCAGCTTCTTTTTACTGTTGATTGTAAACTTGTTTTTTGTATTCTCGCGTCAGTGCTAAGCAAAGTGGAATAAAACAAAAGCCATTGTGTTATTTGGTAGTTTACCCTATATATCAGCTTCCTTTTACTGTTGATTGTAAACTTGTTTTTTGTATTCTCGCGTCAGTGCTAAGCAAAGTGGAATAAAACAGAAGCTATTGTGCATATATATATATATATATATATCAGAAGTTGGGGAATTCAGTTGAGTAAGTAATAATTATGGATGAGGAGAATGAGGTGAAGAAGCCTTTTGAAGTTGCAGATAGAAGCTTAATAGACTTGGTCTTCTCTTGGTCTCTGAGGAATGTTCTCGACAGAGATCTTTACAAACACCAGGTTTTCTTTCCAGTTATTTGTCTCCTCGTGCATATCTAGCTAGTGTGTTGTCAACTTTCCTTTCATCTCATTTTATAAATAATTTATATTGGTAAATGCATGAGTTTTCAGTTCATATATGCATGAGTTTATCAGACCAAAAAAAATTGCATGAGTTTATATATATAAAATAACTGCCATTAGCTTTTATTTACTTCTTTCAATCTTTTTCTTTGGATTATATCTAAATTAGTGGTAAATTAGCTCATAATTATATATGCGTGCACCAAAATTCACTTGCAGGTGACCGAAATTCCAAAGACATTTTCGACAGTGGCGAGTTACATGAAGTCATTCATTCCTTCACTTATTGAGGAAACACATGCTGATTTACTCTCAAGCATGATGGCTATTTCGGAGGCACCTATTTGTGAGATTCTGACGGTTGAAACTTCTAACCATCATAAGGCTCCCAAAGACTTGTTCTATGAAATTAAAGTTAGGAAGACGAGAGAAACCAAAATTAATGCACGAAAATATGAGCCACAGGTTGGAGATATCTTTGCCTTGACTAATATTAGACCAAAATGCATTGATGATTTGAACAGGCCGGGAAATTTCTATCTTATTGCATATGTTCTAGGATCGAAACATGACAGCTCAGACAAGATCCCAATACTCTTGTCAAAGCCTATCAGTGGAGAAGGATACTGTTGTGTCCCGGAAATTAAACTGCCCCAAATAAACAACGAATTGACCCATGTCAATTTTGGTTCAAACAGATTCAAGCAAATACAGAGCAAGAGAGAAACACTGTTTGCTGTCTATTTGATGAACATGATCACAAATGTTCGTGTATGGAACGCATTGAACTCAGAAGAGGCAAACACAAATATAATTAAGAATGTGCTGAAAGTGCAACCCACTTCACCAGATGTATTTTTCTGTGCTCTTATCCTTAAACTCAAAATCCTGCACACTGAACCTTGTTCATGTTTTTGCATAAAAATCATATTTGATTGGATTGTCAACCATGTTTAATTGTCATTTAACTCTTAAAGCAAATAGTCTATCCCTCGATAATCCGGTTATGTTTGTTTTACCTGCCAAGCTATTATTTGACTATTTTCACATACCTCACTAATCCATTTCATGTTTGTTTCTTATAGGGTGAGAATTCTTGCACAATTTGTTTTTCCAAACAAATATACACCCTTGCCCTTTCTAGAAAATGGTCCAAAATGTGCTCTGATCTAAATGATTCCCAAAAGGCTGCGGTTTTAAACTGTATCAGTTTGAGCAATTGTCATCACCATAATGCCATAAAATTAATATGGGGGCCTCCAGGAACTGGAAAAACCAAGACTGTCGGTATGTCACTCTTTACCCTCTTTAAGTTGAAGTGCAGAACACTAACATGTGCTCCAACCAATACTGCTGTGTTAGAAGTTACGGCGAGACTCCTGAGGTTGGTTAATCAGTCTCTTAATTATGGAAAGTATGGACTAGGAGATATAATTCTATTTGGGAATGGGGAGCGGATGAAGATCGATAAGTATAACGACCTTTTTGAGGTATTTCTTGATACTCGTCTTAATATTCTGTCTAAGTGTCTTGCCCCTTTGTCTGGTTGGAAACACTGATCAGAATCCCTGATAGGTCTACTTGAGGATCCACAGCTACACTACATGTTGTATGTAAAGCGAAAGAGGGAAAAACACAATAAGGATGATGACCAAGATGATAGCAGCTCAACAGGTGATGATGAGAATCATCTTTTGACGTTTGATGAGTTTGTGAAGAAAAAAATTGTTTACTTTAGTGAGCAGCTGGAAACTTGTATGGTAAACATGTACACCCACTTGCCAACGTCTTGCATTTCACTTGAGGTTGTGAAGGACATGATTACAGTTTTGGATTTGCTTACGTTGATTAAATCTATAATGTATTGGGCTGGTGTTGCTAATCATAGGTTACGATTACTTCTTGAAGAATATTGCACTCAAATTCTTAAGTCCCTTCGTGCATTTTCTGTTCCAAATTTGAATGACCGACAAACAATAAGAAATTTGTGCTTGGCAAATGCTTGTTTAATATTTTGTACTGCGTCAAGCTCTGCAAAATTGCACACTAAGGGAATGGCACCTCTGGAAATGTTAGTGATTGATGACGCGGCTCAGCTGAAAGAATGTGAATCAGCAATTCCTTTGCAACTACCTGGTCTTCGCCATGCTATTCTCGTAGGAGATGAGAGGCAACTCCCTCCTATGGTTAAAAGCAAGGTTTTCTTGTCATCCTTTGTGTTCTATAGTTTTCCAAATAATGACAAGCACCCCAACCCACACAACAACACACACACATATATAATATTATCTTAACGTCATAGCAAATGAACTTGTTAGATCTCTGAGAACGCTGAATTTGGAAGAAGTTTGTTCGAAAGACTTGTACTGTTAGGCCACAAGAAGCTCCTTCTCAATGTCCAGTATAGGATGCATCCTTCGATCAGCATGTTCCCGAAACAGGAGTTCTACAACAATCAGATATTAGATGGTCCAAATGTCAACCAAGTTAGCTATGCCAAGTCCTTCATTGACGGCAGAATGTACGGGCCGTACTCCTTTATAAATGTAGCCAATGGAAAAGAAGAATTTGATCGTGGGCATAGTCTGAAAAACATGGTTGAGGTTGCTGTGGTATATGAGATTGTTTCAAGCCTTTACAAAGGTAATTACTGTCCTAAGCTAGTTGTTGTAAGAATATGCTGCTCCTGCTTGAGAAGGTTTTAGCTCAATTTTTCATTTTTGTAACTTTTCTTTGTTCGCCGCAGAATTTACTCGAACAAAAAAGAAGGTTAGTGTTGGGGTAATATCGCCTTACAATGCTCAAGTTAATGCAATTCAATTGAGAGTCAGAAACTACAGCGAAGTTTCTGGCACAGATTTCTCTGTACGTGTGCGATCTGTTGATGGATTCCAAGGTGGTGAAGAGGATGTTATAATTATCTCCACTGTCAGATGTAACTGGAATGGATCTGTAGGTTTCCTCTCCGATTGTCAACGAGCAAATGTGGTGCTAACTCGTGCAAGGTATTACTGTTACATTGTAGCTTGCTCATGTTGTTGGTTACATGTTTTGTCTGAATTATTGGTAGTTTTGATGAAGTTAATTTTTTGTAGTTGTGTTGGTGTAGGCATTGCCTTTGGATATTGGGGAACGAAGCCACATTGACAAACAGTAACTCAATTTGGAAGAAGATAATTCTTGATGCGAAGAAACGTGATTGTTTCTATAATGCTGATGATGACAAGAACTTGGCTCAGGCTATTGCAGCAGCACGTCTAGAGCTTAACCAAACAGTGTGTGCAGCAGCAGGAGCAGAGCAATTTACCTGATGTAGAAGAAGCATGTTTCTGTTGGTCTTTAATTTCTTGATGCAGCAATTCAGTGAAACAATTATCGAAATATATGAACCATTTTTTATTACTTGATAGCTTCCGTTGGAGTTTTTTTTTGGTTGAAAGTTCCTTCTATTCTTGATTGTGGCTGTTCTTCATTCATGGATCCTCTTTTATTCTTGTGAAGTCCTATTTTTCTTCTTGTGAAACCCTGAACCCTTTCATTTTGAAGAACTTAAAGCAATTATAAACAAGCTCAAAAGTCAGTGCATATCCAATCGCTAAATTTTGGTTCATTAAAAATGTAAATCCAGCATGCGGCTGATCCCAATTTTTATAGTTGCCCAACATAAAGAAACCTATTTCAAACAATTATACTACCAAAGCTCCTGCAATCTAAAAACCCACTACCTAAATCCATTGACAAAACAAACCCATATCTCAAAGATGTGCAGCATGCATAAATCAATATCAAGCAAAAATTGGAATCATGGCCTATTTTATATAGTTTGAGTTTTTATTTATTTATTTATTACAAGCGATTATGAGAGGGGGTTTACACAAATATTCATTGAGTGCTTAGGGGTTTCGAACATCTGTCCACATGGATGAAGGTGAAAGAGCTCAACTAACTGAACTATACCCGACTGACTATATAGTTTAAGTCCTTAATTTATCTTAAAAAAAGGTATGAAGAGTGAATTGATAATTAAGGTATAGTACAATATAAGAGCATCTCCAACCGATGTGTTAAAAGTGACGGCTAGAAATAACATCTCTTATCACTCCAACCGATGTGTCAAAGTTGATGTAAAATGAAGGCCGGAGGTTGAGATGTTATTTTTGACATCCCAAAAGCAAGATGTCAAATGAATATTTTATTATTTTTTAAAAACAACTGGTTGTAACTTTCATTTATTATTTTCCTTTTTTATTTTTTTTCTTCTTTATCTTAAATGATTTGACTGTTACAATAATTATTTATTTGACATATCGGGTGGAGTATAAAATTGTGTAAATGTCAAATTGCCACATCAGCTATCAAATTTAAATTTGATGTTTGGTATTTGACATCTCCTTTGGATATGCTCTAAAGGGCAGAACGGCAGATTATCCTCTCATTTGACCTTTTAAGCATTTGGGTTTCGAATTATAAAAATTAGGCCCAATTTCTTCTGGACTCTAACACATGTTGGGCCATATCCAAATGCTATAAATTTATGAGTTCTAGGGTTTGCTTGCGAAGCAACATTTTGGGGACGCTACCGCTAGCAAAGAACAAAGACATTTCAGCGGGAAGCCGCCATGGGTAGAGTCATCAGAGCTCAGCGTAAGGGTGCGGGGTCGGTCTTCAAGTCCCACACCCACCACCGCAAGGGTCCCGCCCGGTTCCGCAGCCTCGACTTCGGCGAGCGCAACGGCTACCTCAAGGGCGTCGTCACCGAGATCATCCACGACCCGGGTCGCGGAGCCCCGCTCGCCCGAGTCAGCTTCCGCCATCCTTTCCGATACAAGAAACAGAATGAGCTCTTCGTCGCCGCTGAGGGCATCTACACTGGCCAGTTCATCTACTGTGGGAAGAAGGCCAATCTGGTCGTCGGCAATGTGTTGCCTCTCAGATCGATCCCGGAGGGAGCTGTCGTCTGCAACGTCGAGCACCATGTTGGTGACCGTGGAGTCCTTGCTAGGGCTTCTGGTGATTACGCTGTTGTTATCAGCCACAACCCTGATAACGATACCTCCAGGTCTCTCTCTCTCTCTCTCTCTCATCCTTCTGTTTTCGTTTGATAATTATATCCTAAGAACATTAATTAATAATTGTATCGTATTTGATGAAATGTAGTTTGCTTTCAATAATGAAGCATGAAATATGGCATTTTTATTGAAAATTCCCACTTGGGTATGTTCATTTACAGACTCGCAGTCTTAAGTAGCTAGTATTTTGTCTCTTGGATTTTGTTGAATTAGCGGTGTGGCTCTGAACCAATATAATTAGTAGTAAGACTTTTGACTTGGGCTGGATTATATTTGAATTTTAGTAGGATTGGGTCTCAACCAACGTTTCATTTTATTTCAAGTGTGTGTTGTGTGCTTTTTCTTGTATTGAGATTATAATTGCTTTATATTCTTGTCTTCACTTTCTACCTGTGCAGGCTTTGGTTTATACTAATCCGATTTGATCATTCGATTTTTGACATCTATTACTGAATGTACTTTTCAATTTAGCTTGTCATTAGCTTCTCTGTTTTCTTGGTCAAGGTCTGCTGCGTTGGTTAGGGATTAACTCATTGTGTCTGTTTACATGTTCTTAACAGGATCAAGCTTCCTTCTGGTGCGAAGAAGATTGTGCCAAGTGGTTGCAGGGCAATGATTGGGCAGGTTGCTGGCGGTGGTAGGACTGAAAAGCCAATGCTCAAGGCTGGTAATGCGTACCACAAATTCAGAGTGAAGAGGAACTGCTGGCCTAAGGTTCGTGGTGTGGCTATGAACCCAGTTGAGCATCCTCACGGAGGAGGTAACCACCAGCACATTGGACATGCAAGTACAGTCAGGCGTGATGCGCCTCCTGGCCAGAAGGTCGGTCTCATTGCTGCAAGGAGAACAGGAAGACTTAGAGGACAAGCTGCTGCCACTGCCTCCAAGGCTGACAAGGCTTAAGATTAATCTTATATTTTTATGTTCTGATTTTGGACCGCAGAATCTTTTAAGAGTGCTCAACATCACCATTTTTCCTTATCTAAGTTTGCTATTTTGGTGCCGATTACTTCGTGTACAAGTTATCCGAGACTTGCGGGTTTATTTCGTGGTAGAAATTTTGTTTAGTTGATGGTCCTTTTCGATCTAAATTTTGCCAGTTCCATGGAAATTAAGCCGACCAGAAGAATTTATTGCAGACAAGGTTCATACAGAAAGGAAACATGAAATTTATTTGAAATTATGTTGGAATTTATGGCCACAAAATTGAGTTAACACGATTGTAGCTGTTAGATCGCCAGACTCTATGAATTAAGGTTTAATCACAATCTATTGGATTCTGTTCTCATTAGATACAAATTTGTAATGCATTGAAACAATCTCTGTTGGCCCTTAGGCTTAACTAAACTGCTTTTTAATATTTTCCGTCTTCATTTTTTTCTTTTTACTTTTCTGGAGTGAATTTTCATTTCTCACTTCCCACGTAACAGAACTGTGACTTTAATAAAAGAAAAAAGCACTTTTTTTTTGGTCAAAAAAAGAAAAAGCACTTGAAGCTGTCGCCTTCTTGGTCTTCTATATATTATATTCAATATTCCAAATTTCTTGTATCCGTTTGTTTTCTTCCTATAAAAATAAATTTGCATAATATTTAATCCTTATTTTCCTTCCATTTTTTAAAAAAACATAAATCATTACAAGTTGTTACTTTCCTCTTAGTTTAGTCCTTATCGCAGAAGTACTTGGCTACCAAGTTGTTGACGCACAGCAAAAGGAAATATGCAGCTGCTGGGAAGTTCTCTTTCACTGTACCCTTGTAGACTTTTTTGACCAAGTGGCAAGCCATGCTCTGCTTCCGTGGTAAGTAATTTACTATATATATATACTTTAAAAGAAAATGATCTTAGACTAAGTAATTGACTTGCACTTGACTTGAAATTCCACAACTTACAAAGTAGTCATTGCGGATATCAAAAGATCAGTAAGCAGCTATGGATCATCAAGAGAGTAATGTGAAAAAGGGGGGCGTTGCCGGTAGAAGCTTAATCGATTCGGTCTTCTCTTGGTCTATGAAGGATGTTCTCAAAAAAAATCTTTACAAAAAACAGGTTTGTTTTCTGACCAATGCTTAATTTCTGTCATGTCATCATGTTTTCTGAGCAATGCTTAATTAGAAAACTAGCTACAATGGGATGAGTTATGCATGTCGATTTCGCTTTGGTTGTGTCAACTTACAGGTGGCGAAAATTCCTGAGACATTTTCGACCGTGACTAGTTACATGAAATCGTTCCTTCCTTCACTTGTTGAGGAAACACATGCTGATTTACTCTCAAGCATGATGACTCTGTCACAGGCACCTACCTGTGAAATTCTGGCTGTTAGAACTTCAAAGGGTCATAAACCTCCCAAGGACTTGTTTTATGATATTATAATTAAGGGCAGGGGAGAAGCCACAGGATCATATGAGCCGCTGGCTGGAGATCTTATTGCCTTGACTGATATCAGACCAAAATGCACCGATGATTTGAACAAGCCCAGAGATTCATATCTCATTGCGTATGTTCTTCAAGGCAGAGATAATAACCTCTCAATACTCTCATCAAAGCCTATCAATAAAGAAGGAGGAAAAAAACTTCTTGCTGTCTATCTAATCAACATGATGACAAATGTTCGCGTATGGAGAGCTTTGAACTCAGAAGGGGCCAACACAAATTTAACAAAGAATGTGCTGCAAGTGCAACCCAATTCATCACAAGTAATTTTTTTCTTCTTGACTCTATCTTTACTTTAACATCATGCATGCACATTCATTAGGCCTTCTTCATGTTTTCGAAACAAGGATGATCTACTCTGATTGCATTGTTGACCATGCTTAGTTGCTAATTGATTCCCAAAGCCCCGAACAACAGGTTTATGTTTCTTTCTTACAGGGTGGGAATTCTTGTTCAATTTGCTTTTCAAAAGAAAAATGCTCTGCTGCCCTTTCAAATAGATGGCCCTCAATGGGCTCTGATCTAAATGATTCCCAAGAAGCTGCAGTTTTGAACTGTATCAGTTTGAGTAAATGTACTCACCAAAATACCATAAAACTAATATGGGGTCCTCCTGGGACTGGAAAAACCAAGACAGTTGCTATGTCACTTTTTTCCCTCTTGAAGTTGAAGTGCAGAACACTAACATGTGCTCCAACAAATATCGCTGTGTTAGAAGTGGCAGTGCGACTGCTGGGATTGGTTAATCAGTCTCTTGGTTGTGGAAAGTATGGACTTGGAGATATAATTCTGTTTGGGAATGGGGAGCGGATGAAGATCGATAATTATGATGACCTTGTTGAGGTATTTCTTGATTATCGTATTGAAATTCTGGCCGAGTGTTTTAACCCTCGGACTGGATGGAAACATTGGTTGGAATCAATGATAGGTTTGCTTGAGGATCCACAGGAAAAGTACTTGTTGTATTTGAAAGAAATAAGGGGAGGAAGATGCGATGAGGATGGCAAAGATAGCGATAATATTTTGACAACGATGAAGAGAGTGGTAATGACCGCAAGGAAGGGAGTTATAGTCAATGATAGCAACTCAACAAAGGATGATGAGGATGATTTTCTGACCTTAGAGGAGTTTGTGAAGGAAAAACTTAGTTCAATTGGTAAGGATCTGAAGATTTGCATGGTCAATTTGTACACCCACTTACCAACTTCTTGCATTTCACTGGAGGTTGTAAAGGCCATGATAAGAGCTTCGGATTTGCTCAGTTCTCTTAAAGCTTTACTGCAGGATGTTGGTTTTGCTAATGAAAGGTCACAATTAGTTCTAAAAGATTGTGTTCATACACTGATGTCGCTTCGTGAATTTTCTGTTCCTGATTTGAATGATGTGAAGAAAATAAGGACATTGTGCTTGGCAAATGCTTGTTTAATATTTTGCACCGCATCAAGCTGTGCTAAATTGAACAGAGAGAGAATGAGACCTCTAGAATTGCTAGTGATTGATGAAGCTGCTCAGCTTAAAGAATGCGAATCAGCAATTCCTTTACAACTACCTGGTCTTCGCCATGCTATTCTCGTAGGAGATGAGAAGCAACTCCCTGCTATGGTTAAAAGCAAGGTTTCCTTTTGCCCCTTGTGCTGTTTAGTTTTCAAAATTTGAAAAGCTTTTATGTTTATGTGAATTTTGAACAATGCAATTTTCAGATTTCTGAGAAGGCTGGTTTTGGAAGAAGTTTGTTCGGAAGACTTGTACAGTTGGGACATAAGAAGCACCTTCTCAATGTCCAGTACAGAATGCATCCATCAATCAGCTTATTCCCAAAAGGGGAGTTTTACAAGAACCGGATATCAGATGGTCCAAATGTCAAGCAAAGAAGCTATGAGAGGTCTTTTCTTTCAGGAAAAATGTATGGATCCTACTCCTTTATAGATATAGTCAATGGAAAAGAAGAATTCGATCGCTGGCATAGTCCAAAAAATATGGTTGAGGTTGCTGTGGTCTGTGAGATTGTGGCAAGCCTTTACAGAGGTAAGTTTTGCTGTAAGCTAGTGTAGATGTTCTTAGCTTTTTTGTAACTTTTTTTTTTTTAATGGACCACAGAATTTACTCGAACAAAGAAGAAGGTTAGTGTTGGGGTAATATCACCTTACAAAGCTCAAGTTAATGCAATTCAAGAGAGAGTCGGAGAATACAGTGAAGTTTCTGGCACTGACTTCTCTGTAAGTGTGCGAACTGTTGACGGCTTTCAAGGTGGTGAAGATGATGTGATAATTATCTCCACTGTCAGATGTAACGAGAAAGGATCTGTAGGTTTCGTCTCCAATCTTCAAAGAGCAAACGTTATGCTAACGCGCGCAAGGTACTTCTGTCATATTAGGGGTTTTACATGCAGCAGCTTGGATCTAGTTTCTGAATTTTTGATGGTTTTTGATGAACTTCATCAATTGTTTTATGTCTGTTAGGTACTGTCTTTGGATTTTGGGGAACGAAGCAACTTTGATCAGCTGTAACTCTATTTGGAAGAAGCTAATTCATGATGCAAAGAAACGCAAATGTTTCTATAATGCTCATGAGGACAAGGACTTGGCTCAGGCCATTGCAGCAGCCCTCATGGAGCTTGGCCAACTACATATTCTACTTAATGCTGATTCTCTGCTGTTCAAAAACGCCATATGGAAGGTATGCTGCTACATTTCCCTTTCGTTCGAGTTCTACATGGCACCTAAATTATCAAGGCCTTATAGACTTCACAAATCTCCTCTGTTACATGTATAAATTATCGAGGGAGAGCTGAATAGGGGAACATGCCTTTTTAAAGGCAAATTCGTTCTGCATTTAGATTCTGTGTTTTGCAGCATTTATTCTTCGTATATTAGTATTAGCATTAATCAATCTTCTTCCTCTATAGGTTTATTTCACCAAAAAATTTCAGAATTCCATGGAAAAGATTAAAGACACTGACATCCGTGGAGAAGTGGTTTCCTTATTAACAAAGCTCTCTGACGGCTGGCGCCAAACTTGCAAGGATAAAAGAGTTATAGTTCATGGGGGGTCTTGTGGTCAGCTGTTAGAGAAGTATAAAGTGAAAGGGCAGCTGAATCTCATTTGGTCAGTAGATGTTCTTGAAGAGAACTCAGATTACGTCCAGGTTATGAAGATTTGGGATGTTCTTCCAGTTTCTGATACTTCCGAATTTGCGGAGCGGCTTCAGATCATATTTCGTAGTTATACAGCTGATAAGATGAACCTCTGCCTACTCAGATGTGTTGAGGGGTACGTATGCACTCACTTATAATTTTTCTTGTGAATTTATTCATTTTGTACATATAGAAAATTAGCAAAAGTTAAAGTTGTATATAATAGAACAGTACATTTATGCTGATTAAAAGGTTTCTATAGACATGGCTTCAATCATCCATCCATTGTTTCTCAATTGGTACAGAGATAAAGTTGTTCCGATGAGATCCCCGGTAGATTCGAGCAATTCCCGTGAGGCTGATCCTGTGGAGATCCTTTCAAAACCGTTATCTTCACTCAGTCTAACAGATGAGCCACAAACATAAAGTAGTGGGTGAGTGTTTACTCTGTACATCTTCCATATGACTACATGTTCTCAAGATTTTCACTCTCTCTTTCTAAATACAAGATATGTAAATTAACACAATTCTCTCATTTGGGCTCATTGATTGTTGCAATTAAGTACTGATTCTTTCATATAAATAATTATCAGAAAGAGTAACATGTCCACAAGGTGGAGAAAGAAGGACACCGGGTTGAGGAGGTAATCAAGCTTTGCTTAGTTGAGGCACACAATTTCTAATTTCCTATCTTCTACCTACTTACCAGATAACATTGAAATGCTTCTCCATTTAAGCCATCTTTTCATAAATAAACTTTGGTATATTTTAACACAACTTTTGAAAACGGTGTGCAGCATAGCAGCAGCAGCAACAACGGAAGAATTAGAAGGTGTTGTACCTCCGTGAGATGTCATACATATCAAAGTTTTAGCCATTACCTGATAAAGAGAAAGTAGAAATATGTTCATCTTTGATTACTTGATCAAACAATTTCTGAAATATATAATATTATATTACTTTATAGCATGCATCCATGGGTCCGTCCCCTTGTTATAAGGTGTTTAAGGCTCTAGTTTCTATCAACTTTGGTTCAAAACCCAAGAGAACTGGTACCGGAGCTAGAACAACGTCCACCAACCGTTGTCAAGAATATAAAATCTCACAGAGTGAATTTCAAGCCTTGGATAACCTTGGATGACCACTCGTTGCCAATTTATTTTGCGTTAGATACTTAACACTGACCAATTCAAAACCCACAAGCCTAATTCAATCTAACAGGTGCCAAAGTTTTGAATTTCGTCAGCTAAAACTCTCTGTTCCTGAATCGAGGGGAACAATATGTAAAAGGAGAGGGAAGTCCTTGCTCATGTGACAGCTCCAAAGACACTCCCTTAGCCCCTCTAACTTGTTCCACAAACCCCTCTGCTATCCAAAGTCGAATAAGCGTTTCTACACCGAATCAAATAATCTTCTGTAAAAATGCAACCAAGCTTAAGATGGTAGGGTAAATCACTGAAGCTTAGCCAATTTTTGGTTGACATGAGAGCACCGAAAGCTACAATGCCTAGAGTTTTCCAGCAAGATCCCTGGCTTTGAGTTCAAAGCTCTGGTGGGTAAAATCTATTTGAACAGCTAGAGAAAGCTTTCATGCAAAATAGATCCCAAGCCTCACTCCTTTTGAGTGGCTGAACATGAAGAACAATGGGTATTTCTCACCCACAAACACATCTAAGCAGAGAGCATTTATAAAATTATATAAGCATATAAATATAATAGAAAGGAAAAGTAACGCCTACTTGCAATTGTTCATCAGTCATCACCATCCTCATGCTTCACATTCACAAGTGGCCCTGCCAACAGAGCATTCTTTTCTGCTACTTACATTACATTCCCATTCCCATTCGCATACTGCAAAAGAAATATCCAGCATTCATAATATTTAACTAAATTATAACAGACCTAGCTATATTAAACTTCCTACTTGTCCATGTGCAATAAACTGAACAAAATCATTTGCTGCAACAATGCCTTTAAATTTACAGAAAATGGATCTACAGAACCTCTTCTATGGGACACAGGAGCCAAAACCAGCTTGTTGAGGGAACAAATCCATGGATTTAAAGTCTCTAAGAGTTGTTGGCACATTCCTTGAATTTTCCAGAAATGGAAAGAAATTCATGGGTGGGGCATTCTGAAAAAACATCGCAGGTGTCCCTGTCCATGTAGCAGCATCAGCTCAATGAATCAAATACTATCTTAGGAACTAAATAAGAAAATTTCTAAAACCCTTTGATGGACAGCTACTAGGAACAGAAATGTTAAGGGCAGATTAGAGATGGGTATTCTGAGTTCGATTTTGGGTTTTTGCGATTTTGGAGTTGGAACTTCAATTGTGCTTGTGATCGGGTATTACCTCTTCATCTACTTCCAGCCAACTGATGTCATGGTCGACTCTATCTTCCTTTCTTGTTCTCCAATTTCCTTCCTCTTCATTGATAATTCTGCTTTTGTGATGGGATCTATCTAGCTGGGAGAGGAGGTAGTGGGTGTCTTGAGAAGTTTTTGGGGGGAGAGGAGGCTCGTGGGGGGAAAGAGAGAGAGAGAGACAGAGAGAGTGGTGGTGGTGGTGGTGGTGAATAACATCTCTTCCTTGTTCCAGAATCCTGGTCCTCCAACCACAATAGGTATTTCTGGTGAGATTCAATTTTTAATTTTAATTTTAATTTTCTAATTTTAATTTTCTAATTTTAATAATAGTTTCTATAATTTTTAACACACGCGCTTTCGCGCTTGTGAGAGGGTTTTTTAAAAAAAGAATTTAAATTTATTTTAGAATTAAAAAAGATAATTGGTTGTTGTGTTTCATAAAAATAAGACTCATTATCTGATTTTTCTTTTAATTTTAATATTTTTAATATAAAAAAAGTGAATTTACCATATTATCCTCATTTAATTAATAATTTTAATTCTTAATGTTTAGATTAACCAAGGGCATTTTCTGATATTTTGAATGTTTCATCATTCTCTACCTTTTGCTTTAAATATATATATATATATTAATGTATTAATATTTTAATTTATATGGGCAGTTTTACTCTCAATTTAGCGATAATATTAACAAACTTTAACGGTGAGACCGTTTTGATACTAAATAGAGAGTTGAATGGCTATTGAAATGAAAATTTTAGTTCATGAACCAAAATGAAACTTGAGCAATAATTGGAAGACCATTTCAATCAAAAAACCCAAAAAAAATAAGAAAAAGAAGAACCAAGAATCAGGTTAATCCCAAGAAATTAGATATCATACGAAACTATCTCATATTTAAAATATTTAGCATGAACCATTGCATTACATGAAACTTCACTTTTTGCACTTTTAAATTCACTTTTTGAGATTAGTAAATAGATCTATATTCATCACTATTGATTTCAAAACCATTACGATCAGCATAATTCTCTTCCGAGTGTTAAAAGAGATCCCAACTTTGAACCCCTACACTGTGGATAAAAAAAAATATGGCATCAGAAGGATGAACAATAATGGCAACAATGGAAAATTAACCACACTAATTCAATATCTTGAATTTGAGCATTATTCCAGCATTTTATTTATGAACTAAGTCAAACATTTTTCTTTATAATTACCCCCAACAAATAGAAGGAATTGACGGGGATGCGTACATATAGACTTTCTATAGCAAGGATGTCCTTATTTTTCCTTACATACAAATAGTTTAAAATACGAATTTGCATTTATATGAACACGGTTATAGCTGTTATATCGCCGACTCTTCTGAATTATAGATTAATTACAATCCATTGAATTCTGTTCGCATTAGATATTGAATAAAGGTAGGACAATGGACTCTGGCTTGTGTATGAATTGAAAAACATCCTTTGGCTTATATTTTTCATCTTCGTTTTCTTCTAATTACTTTTCTGGAGTGAATTTTGATTTATCACTTATTCCTTGGCCTTAACCCCCATCTTTGTTCTTAGACTTGCTTTGGTCTGTTCCTTGCTCCATTGTCCTTGTTGGATTTTGGTCTTTCTATTTGGCTTGTCTATGTCTTGGGAATTTTTAATTTTTTCCCCCTCTTATTTTAGTTTTTCTGGTTCCATGTTGGCATGTCTGTTTTGTTGGTGGGTTTCGGCTCCCCTTTGGGCCTCTGCCGTGGGGCTTTTATTGAATCGTCCCTTAACCATTATAAAATAAAAAATAAAAAATAAAAAAAATCAGTCACTTTATAAAAAGAAAAGGCACTTCCAATGTTCTTGTACCCGTTTGTTTTCTTCCTATAAAAGAAAGGAATGTTTATAATCTTTATTTCTTTATTTCTTTATTTAATTCAAGCAATGGTCTAAACTTCATGTTATGAACCGAGACCACTCTTATATTCCTTCCATTTATTCTATTTTAACATGAATGTTTAATTCTTACAAGTTGTTACTTTATACTTAGCTTAGCCCTTTATTCATTGCAAAAGTACTTGGGTATCAATTTGTTATTGCAAAGCAAAAGAAAACATGAAATGCAGCTGGTGGGAAGGTCTCTTCCGCTGCTCTGCTCTGCTTCGGTGCTAAGCAATTGACTTGAGCTTCCACTTACAAAGAATTCATTGCGAATATCAGAAAATCAGTAAGCAGCTATGGATCATCAAGAGACTAGTGTGGAAAAGAAGGGAGTTGGTGGCAGCGGCTTAATCGATTTGGTCTTCTCTTGGTCTATGGAGGATGTTCTCAACAGAAATCTATACAAAAACCAGGTTTGTCTGCTCTTCTTCGTATCTCGTCATGTAGTAATTATAATGTGATGAGTTATGCATGCTTGTCAATTTTGCTTTGATGTTTGTAAATTGTAATTACTTCAGGTGACGAAAATTCCTGATACATTTTCGACTGTGACGAGTTACATGAAAACGTTCATTCCTTCGCTTGTTGAGGAAACACATGCTGATTTACTCTCAAGCATGGAGACTCTGCCACAGGCACCTACTTGTGAAATTCTGGCTGTTAAACCTAAGGGTCATAAAAATGCCAAGGACTTTTCTTATGTTATTATAATAAGGGGTAGTGGAGAAGCCAAAAATTATGAGCCGCAGCATGGAGATCTTATTGCCTTGACTGATATTAGACCAACAAGCAGTGATCATTTGAACAGGCTGAGAGATTCATATCTCATTGCGTATGTTCATCCAGGCGGAGATAATAGGCTCTTTATACGCTCATCAAAGCCTATAAGTAGAGGAGGAGGAGGAAAACTTTTTGCTGTCTATCTGATCAACATGACAACAAATGTTCGCATATGGAAAGCTTTGATCTCAGAAAAGGCAAACACAAATATAATTAAGAATGTGCTGCAAGTGCAACCCAAGTCATCACAGGTAATTTTTTTCTCTAGACTCCTTCTTTTCTTTAACATTATGCCTGCACATTAATTAGGCCTTGTTCTGTGTTTTCAGAATAAGGATGATCTACTCTTACTGCATTGTTTGATATGTTTAGTTGCTTGATTCGCAAAGCTCCAAACAACGCATTTATGTTTCTTTCTTACAGGGTGGGAATTCTTGTTCAATTTGCTTTTCTAAGGAAAAATGCTGTGCTGCCCTTTCAAATAGATGGCCCTCAATGGGCTCTGATCTAAATGATTCCCAAGAAGCTGCAGTTTTGAACTGTATCAATTTGAGTAAATGTACTCACCAAAATACCATCAAACTAATATGGGGTCCTCCGGGGACTGGAAAAACCAAGACAGTTGCTATGTCACTCTTTGCCCTCTTGAAGTTGAAGTGCAGAACACTAACATGTGCTCCAACAAATGTCGCCGTGTTAGAAGTGACAGCGAGACTCCTGGGATTGATTAATCAGTCTCTTGATTATGGAAAGTATGGACTTGGAGATATAATTCTATTTGGGAATGAGGAGCGAATGAAGATCGATAATTATGATGACCTTGTTGAGGTATTTCTTGATTATCGTATTGAAATTCTGGCCCAGTGTTTTAACCCTGGGACTGGATGGAAACTTTGGTTGGAGTCAATGATAGGTTTGCTTGAGGATCCACAGGAAAAGTACTCAACAAGAGATGATGAGAATGATTTTCAGACCTTTGAGGAGTTTGTGAAGGAAAAACTTAATTCAGTTGGTGAGCATGTGGAGTTTTGCATGGTAAATTTGTACACTCACTTACCAACTTCTTGCATTTCACTAGAGGTTGTGACTGACATGATTGGAGCTTTGGATTTGCTCAATTCTCTTAAATCTTTACTGCTTGAGGTTGGTTTTGCTAATGAGAGGTCACAATTAGTTCTAAAAGATTTTCTTCATAAACTGAGGTCGCTTCGTAAATTTTGTGTTCCTAATTTGAAAAATTTGGAGAAAATAAAGAAATTCTGCTTGGCAAATGCTTCCTTAATATTTTGCACCGTGTCAAGCGCTGCTAAATTGCCGACAGAGAATAAGGCACCCCTGGATTTGTTAGTGATTGATGAAGCTGCTCAGCTTAAAGAATGTGAATCAGCAATTCCTTTGCAACTACCGGGTCTTCGCCATGCTGTTCTCATAGGAGATGAGAGGCAACTCCCTGCTATGGTTACAAGCAAGGTTTCATTTTGTCCTTTGTGTCGTATGGTTTAAAAAGTTTGTAAAGCTTTTATGTTTTATGTGAATTTTGAACAATGCACTTTCAGATCTCCGAGAAGGCCGGTTTTGGAAGAAGTTTGTTCGAAAGACTTCTACTGTTGGGACATGAGAGGCACCTTCTCAATGTCCAGTATAGAATGCATCCATCAATCAGCTCATTCCCAAAAAGGGAGTTTTACAACAACCGGATATTAGACGGTCCAAATGTCAAGCAAGGAAGCTATGAGAAGCGCTTTCTTTCAGGAAAAATGTACGGATGCTACTCCTTTATACATGTAGCCAATGGACAAGAAGAATTTGATTGCGGGCATAGTCGGAAAAATATGGTTGAGGTTGCTGTGGTCTGTGAGATTGTTGCAGGCCTTTACAGAGGTAATTTTTACTGTAAGCTACTGTAGATGTTTTTAACTGCTTCATTTATGATTGTGATGCTTGGAAGGATTTTCTGTAACTTTTTTTATGCACCGCAGAATTTATTCGAACAAAAAATAAGGTTACCGTTGGGGTAATATCACCTTACTTAGCTCAAGTTAATGCAATTCAAGAGAGAGTCAGGGAATACAGTGAAGTTTCTGGCACTGATGGATTCTCTGTAAGTGTGCAATCTGTTGATGGATTCCAAGGTGGTGAAGATGATGTGATAATTATCTCCACAGTCAGATGTAACGATAAAGGATATGTCGGTTTCATTTCCAATCTTCCTAGAGCAAACGTGATGCTAACACGTGCAAGGTGCTTCTGTCACATTGCGGTTGTACATGTAGTAGCTTATACTGTCTGAATTTTTGGTGCTTCTGAGGAAGTTGATTTGTTTCTTTGTGTCTGTAGGCACTGTCTTTGGATTTTGGGGAACAAAGCGACTTTGATTAGCAGTAACTCTATTTGGAAGAAGCTAATTCTCGATGAGGACAAGGACTTGGCTCAGGCCATTGCAGCAGCCCTCGTGGAGCTTGGCCAACTACATATTCTACCTGATGCTGATTCTCTGCTGTTCAAAAACGCCAAATGGAAGGTATGCTGCTACATTTCCCTTTCGTTCGAGTTCTACATGGCTCCTAAATATCAAGGCTTTATAGACTTCACAAATCTCCTCTGTTACATGTATAAAGAGTGCTACTATTTCCACCCACCTTATCTTCCCACTCACCATATAAATTTGAAAAAACATAATCCTATTTATCCACCCACCATTATTCCTAAAATATCCTTTATGGTGCATCCCACCATTGTTTTTGTAAATCATCCATAATAAATGTATGAATTTAAATACTGAACACGAGTTCGGGAGTTGTCTGTGTAGATAGAAACTGAGGAATTGAAACTAACTTCAAATTTGGGAAGAGTTAAAAACCATAAACATTGCTTCACAAATCCAATGGCGGGTAACAAATTTGTTTTCTTGTATTTCAGTTTGTTTGTACTTTAGTTTTATAATTTTTTTTTTTTGGGTGTTAGTGCTCACGTGGTTTTCCTTTCTAGAAACCTAACTTTGTATGATCTATCTGTCCTCTTTGTCAATGAAAGCCTACTTTGATCAAAACAGAAAATCCAATAAGGATGAGTGGGTTCATTCGAAGAGAGAGATGGGAGAAGAGAGAGAAAGAGGGAGATGGATTAGGGAAGAAGGTGAAGTCTGAGGATGATTTTTTATTTTTATGAAAAGCTGGAGATGAATTTTCAATTTGAAAGCTTTTCCCCTTGTTAAAGTTTTTTTAATTTAAATATTTACATTTTACATTTTATATTTAAGTTCATTATTTTTAACTTCATATTAAATATTAAATATTTTTTCTTAAGTCCTTATAAGTCATTTTATAAAGGGGTAAATTTGTCTTTAAAATTTTGAAGATAAGGTGGGTGGGAAAATAAAATAAGGGGGTGGAAATAACAGTACTCATGTATAAATTATCTAGGGAGAGCTGAGTAGGGGAACATGCCTTTTTAAAGGCGAATTCGTTCTGCGTTATTAGATTCTGTGTTTTGCAGCATTTATTCTTCGTATATTAGTATTAGCATTAATCAATCTTCTTCCTATATAGGTTTATTTCACCAAAAAATTTCAGAATTCCATGGAAAAGATTAAAGACACTGACATCCGTGGAGAAGTGGTTTCCTTATTAACAAAGCTCTCTGACGGCTGGCGCCAAACTTGCAAGGATAAAAGAGTTATAGTTCATGGGGGGGCTTGCGGTCAGCTGTTAGAGAAGTATAAAGTGAAAGGGCAGCTGAATCTCATTTGGTCTGTAGATGTTCTTGAAGAGAACTCAGATTACGTCCAGGTTATGAAGATTTGGGGATGTTCTTCCAGTTTCTGATACGCTCGAATTTGCGGAGCGGCTTCAGATCATTTTTCGTAGTTATACAGCTGATAAGATGAACCTCTGCCAGCTCAGATGTGTTGAGGGGTACGTATGCACTCACTTTTAATTTTTCTTGTGAATTTATTCGTTGTGTACATATAGAAATTTAGCAAAAGTTAAGTTGTATAGAATAGAACAGTACATTTGTGCTGATTAAGAGGTTTCCATAAACATGGCTTGAATCATCCATCCATTGTTTCTCAATTGGTATAGAGACAAAGTTGTTCCGATGAGATTCGCGGTGGATTCGAGCAGTTCCCGTGAGGCTGATCCTGTGGAGATCCTTTCAAAACCGTTATCCTCGCTCAGTCTAACAGACGAGCCACAAACATAAAGTAGTGGGTGAGTGTTTACTCTGTACATCTTCCATATGACTACATGTTCTCAAGATTTTCACTCTCTCTTTCTAAATACAAGATATGTAAATTAACACAATTCTCTCATTTGGGATCATTGATTGTTGCAATTAAGTACTGATTCTTTCATATAAATAATTATCAGAAAGAGTTACATGTCCACAAGGTGGAGAAAGAAGGACACCGGGTTGAGGAGGTAATCAAGCTTTGCTTAGTTGAGGCACACAATTTCTAATTTCCTATCTTCTACCTACTTACCAGATAACATTGAAATGCTTCTCCATTTAAGCCATCTTTTCATAAATAAACTTTGGTATATTTTGACACAACTTTTGAAAACGGTGTGCAGCATAGCAGCAGCAGCAACAACGGAAGAATTAGAAGGTGTTGTACCTCCGTGAGATGTCATATATATCAAAGTTTTAGCCATTACCTGATATAGAGAAAGTAGAAATATGTTTATCTTTGATTACTTGATCAAACAATTTCTGAAATATATTACTTTATAGCATGCATCCATGGGTCCGTCCCCTTGTTATAAGGTGTTTAAGGCTCTAGTTTCTATCAACTTTGGTTCAAAACCCAAGAGAACTGGTACCGGAGCTAGAACAATGTCCACCAACCGTTGTCAAGAATATAAAATCTCACAGAGTGAATTTCAAGCCTTGGATAACCTTGGACGACCACTCGTTGCCAATTTATTTTGCGTTAGATACTTAACACTGACCAATTCAAAACCCACAAGCCTAATTCAATCTAACAGGTGCCAAAGTTTTGAATTTTGTCAGCTAAAACTCTCCGTTCCTGAATCAAGGGGAACAATATGTAAAAGGAGAGGGAAGTCCTTGCTCATGTGACAGCTCCAAAGACACTCCCTTAGCCCCTCTAACTTGTTCCACAAACCCCCTGCTATCCAAAGTCGAATAAGCGTTTTTACACCGAATCAAATAATCTTCTGGAAAAATGCAACCAAGCTTAAGATGGTAGGGTAAATCATTGAAGCTTAGCCAATTTTTGGTTGACATGAGAGCACTCAAAGCTACAATGCCTAGAGTTTTCCAGCAAGATCCCTGGCTTTGAGTTCAAAGCTCGGGTGGGTAAAATCTATTTGAACAGCTAGAGAAAGCTTTCATGCAAAATAGATCCCAAGCCTCACTCCTTTTGAGTGGCTGAACATGAAGAACAATGGGTATTTCTCACCCACAAACACATCTAAGCAAAGAGCATTTATAAAATTATATAAGCATATAAATATAATAGAAAGGAAAAGTACGCCTACTTGCAATTGTTCATCAGTCATCACCATCCTCATGCTTCACATTCACAAGTGGCCCTGCCAACAGAGCATTCTTTTCTGCTACTTACATTACATTCCCATTCCCATTCGCATACTGCAAAAGAAATATCCAGCATTCATAATATTTAACTAAATTATAACAGACCTAGCTATATTAAACTTCCTACTTGTCCATGTGCAATAAACTGAACAAAATCATTTGCTGCAACAATGCCTTTAAATTTACAGAAAATGGATCTACAGAACCTCTTCTATGGGACACAGGAGCCAAAACCAGCTTGTTGAGGGAACAAACCCATGGATTTAAAGTCTCTAAGAGTTGTTGGCACATTCCTTGAATTTTCCAGAAATGGGTGGGCATTCTGACGAAACATCGCAGGTGTCCCTGTCCATGTAGCAGCATCAGCTCAATGAATCAAATACTATCTTAGGAACTAAATAAGAAAAATTCTAAAACCCTTTGATGGACAGCTACTAGGAACAGAAATGTTAAGGGCAGATTAGAGATGGGTATTCTGAGTTCGATTTTGGGTTTTTGCGATTTTGGAGTTGGAACTTCAATTGGGCTTGTGATCGGGTATTACCTCTTCATCTACTTCCAGCCAACTGATGTCATGGTCGACTCTATCTTCCTTTCTTGTTCTCCAATTTCCTTCCTCTTCATTGATAATTCTGCTTTTGTGATGGGATCTATCTAGCTGGGAGAGGAGGTAGTGGGTGTCTTGAGAAGTTTTTGGTTGGAGAGGAGGCTCGTGGGGGGAAAGAGAGAGAGAGAGACAGAGAGAGTGGTGGTGGTGGTGGTGAATAACATCTCTTCCTTGTTCCAGAATCCTGGTCCTCCAACCACAATAGGTATTTCTGGTGAGATTCAATTTTTAATTTTCTAATTTTAATAATAGTTTCTTTAATTTTTAACTAGCCTCTACACACGCGCTTTCGCGCCTGTGAGAAGCTTTTTTTAAAAAAGAATTTAAATTTATTTTAAAATTAAAAAAGATAATTGGTTGTTGTGTTCTATAAAAATAAGATTCATTATCTGATTTTTCTTTTGATTTTAATTTTTTAATATAAAAAAATGTGAATTTACCATATTATCCTCATTTAATTAATAATTTTAATTCTTAATGTTTGAATTAACCAAGGGAATTTTCTGATATTTTGAATGTTTCACCATTCTCTACCTTTTGCTTTATATATATATATTAATATTTTAATTTATATGGGCAGTTTTACTCTCAATTTAGCGATAATATTAACAAACTTTAACGGTGAGACCGTTTTGATACTAAATAGAGAGTTGAAGGGCTATTGAAATGAAAATTTTAGTTCATGAACCAAAATGAAACTTGAGCAATAATTAGAAGACCATTTCAATCAAAAACCCCAAAAAAAAAGAAAAAAAAGAAACAAGAATCAGGTTAATCCCAAGAAATTAGATATCATACGAAACTATTTCATATTTAAAATACTTAGCATGAACCATTACATTACATGAAACTTCACTTTTTGCACTTTTAAATTCACTTGTTGAGATTAGTAAATAGATCTATATTCATCACTATTGATTTCAAAACCATTACGATCAGCAAACTTTGAACCCCTACACTGTGGATAAGAAGAGCCAAAAAAAAATATGGCATCAGAAGGATGACTAATAATGGCAACAATGGAAAATTAACCACACTAATTCAATATCTTGAATTTGAGCATTATTCCAGCATTTTATTTATGAACTAAGTCAAACATTTTTCTTTATAATTACCCCCAACAAATAGAAGGAATTGACGGGGATGCGTACATATAGACTTTCTATAGCAAGGATGTCCTTATTTTTCCTTACATACAAATAGTTTAAAATACGAATTTGCATTTATATGAACACGGTTATAGCTGTTATATCGCCGACTCTTCTGAATTATAGATTAATTACAATCCATTGAATTCTGTTCGCATTAGATATTGAATAAAGGTAGGACAATGGACTCTGGCTTGTGTATGAATTGAAAAACATCCTTAGACTTGCTTTGGTCTGTTCCTTGCTCCATTGTCCTTGTTGGCATGTCTGTTTTGTTTGTTGGTTCTGGCTCCCCTTTGGGCCTCTGCCGTGGGGCTTTTATTGAATCGTTCCTTAACCATTATAAAAAAAAAATTAAAATTAAAATTAAAAAAAATTAATAATCTGTCACTTTATAAAAAGAAAAGGCACTTCCAATGTTCTTGTACCCGTTTGTTTTCTTCCTATAAAAGAAGGGAATGTTTATAATCTTTAATTCTTTTTTTCTTTTTTTTAATTCAAGCAATAATCTAAACTTTATGAGGTCGAACCGAGACCACTCTTATATTCCTTCCATTTATTCTATTTTAACATGAATGTTTAATTCTTACAAGTTGTTACTTTATACTTAGCTTAGCCCTTTATTCATTGCAAAAGTACTTGGGTATCAATTTGTTATTGCAAAGCAAAAGAAAACATGAAATGCAGCTGGTGGGAAGGTCTCTTCCGCTGCTCTGCTCTGCTTCGGTGCTAAGCAATTTACTTGAGCTTCCACTTACAAAGAATTCATTGCGAATATCAGAAAATCAGTAAGCAGCTATGGATCATCAAGAGACTAGTGTGGAAAAGGAGGGAGTTGGTGGCAGCGGCTTAATCGATTTGGTCTTCTCTTGGTCCATGGAGGATGTTCTCAACAGAAATCTATACAAAAACCAGGTTTGTCTGCTCTTCTTCGTATCTCGTCATGTAGTAATTACAATGTGATGAGTTATGCATGCTTGTCAATTTTGCTTTGATGTTTGTAAATTGTAATTACTACAGGTGATGAAAATTCCTGATACATTTTCGACCGTGACGAGTTACATGAAAACGTTCATTCCTCCGCTTGTTGAGGAAACACATGCTGATTTACTCTCAAGCATGGAGACTCTGCCACAGGCACCTACTTGTGAAATTCTGGCTGTTAAAAAGGGTCATAAAAATGCCAAGGACTTTTCTTATGTTATTATAATAAGGGGCAGTGGAGAAGCCAAAAATTATGAGCCGCAGCATGGAGATCTTATTGCCTTGACTGATATTAGACCAACATGCAGTGATCATTTGAACAGGCTGAGAGATTCATATATCATTGCGTATGTTGGTCCAGGCGGAGATAATAGGCTCTTTATACGCTCATCAAAGCCTATAAGTAGAGGAGGAGGAGGAAAACTTTTTGCTGTCTATCTGATCAACATGACAACAAATGTTCGCATATGGAAAGCTTTGATCTCAGAAAAGGCAAACACAAATATAATTAAGAATGTGCTGCAAGTGCAACCCAATTCATCACAGGTAATTTTTTTTTCTAGACTCTTTCTTTTCTTTAACATCATGCCTGCACATTAATTAGGCCTTGTTCTATGTTTTCAGAATAAGGATGATCTACTCTTAGTGCATTGTTTGATATGTTTAGTTGCTAATTGATTTGCAAAGCTCCGAACAACGCATTTATGTTTCTTTCTTACAGGGTGGGAATTCTTGTTCAATTTGCTTTTCTAAGGAAAAATGCTCTGCTGCCCTTTCAAATAGATGGCCCTCAATGGGCTCTGATCTAAATGATTCCCAAGAAGCTGCAGTTTTGAACTGTATCAATTTGAGTAAATGTACTCACCAAAATACCATCAAACTAATATGGGGTCCTCCGGGGACTGGAAAAACCAAGACAGTTGCTATGTCACTCTTTGCCCTCTTGAAGTTGAAGTGCAGAACACTAACCTGTGCTCCAACGAATGTCGCCGTGTTAGAAGTGACAGCGAGACTCCTGGGATTGATTAATCAGTCTCTTGATTATGGAAAGTATGGACTTGGAGATATAATTCTATTTGGGAATGGGGAGCGAATGAAGATCGATAATTATGATGACCTTGTTGAGGTATTTCTTGATTATCGTATTGAAATTCTGGCCGAATGTTTTAACCCTTGGACTGGATGGAAACATTGGTTGGAGTCAATGATAGGTTTGCTTGAGGATCCACAGGAAAAGTACTCAACAAGGGATGATGAGAATGATTTTCAGACCTTTGAGAAGTTTGTGAAGGAAAAACTTAATTCAGTTGGTGAGCATGTGGAGTTTTGCATGGTAAATTTGTACACGCACTTACCAACTTCTTGCATTTCACTAGAGGTTGTGACTGACATGATTGGAGCTCTGGATTTGCTCAATTCTCTTAAATCTTTACTGCGTGAGGTTGGTTTTGCTAATGAGAGGTCACAATTAGTTCTAAAAGATTTTCTTCGTAAACTGAGGTCGCTTCGTAAATTTTGTGTTCCTAATTTGAAAAAGTTGGAGAAAATAAAGAAATTCTGCTTGGCAAATGCTTCCTTAATATTTTGCACCGTGTCAAGCGCTGCTAAATTGCAGACAGAGAAAAAGGCACCCCTGGATTTGTTAGTGATTGATGAAGCTGCTCAGCTTAAAGAATGTGAATCAGCAATTCCTTTGCAACTACCGGGTCTTCGCCATGCTGTTCTCATAGGAGATGAGAGGCAACTCCCTGCTATGGTTATAAGCAAGGTTTCATTTTGTCCTTTGTGTCATATAGTTTAAAAAGTTGGTAAAGCTTTTATGTTTTATGTGAATTTTGAACAATGCACTTTCAGATCTCCGAGAAGGCTGGTTTCGGAAGAAGTTTGTTCGAAAGACTTCTACTGTTGGGACATGAGAGGCACCTTCTCAATGTCCAGTATAGAATGCATCCATCAATCAGCTCATTCCCAAAAAGGGAGTTTTACAACAACCGGATATTAGACGGTCCAAATGTCAAGCAAGGAAGCTATGAGAAGCGCTTTCTTTCAGGAAAAATGTACGGATGCTACTCCTTTATACATGTAGCCAATGGACAAGAAGAATTTGATTGCGGGCATAGTCGGAAAAATATGGTTGAGGTTGCTGTGGTCTGTGAGATGGTTGCAAGCCTTTACAGAGGTAATTTTTACTGTAAGCTACTGTAGATGTTTTTAACTGCTTCATTTATGATTGTGATGCTTGGAAGGATTTTCTGTAATTTTTTTTATGCACCCCAGAATTTATTCGAACAAAAAGAAGGTTACCGTTGGGGTAATATCACCTTACTTAGCTCAAGTTAATGCAATTCAAGAGAGAGTCAGGGAATACAGTGAAGTTTCTGCAACTGATGGATTCTCTGTAAGTGTGCAATCTGTTGATGGATTCCAAGGTGGTGAAGATGATGTGATAATTATCTCCACAGTCAGATGTGACGAGAAAGGATATGTCAGTTTCATTTCCAATCTTCAAAGAGCAAACGTGATGCTAACGCGTGCAAGGTGCTTCTGTCACATTGCGGTTGTACATGTAGTAGCTTATGCTGTCTGAATTTTTGGTGCTTCTGAGGAAGTTGATTTGTTTCTTTGTGTCTGTAGGCACTGTCTTTGGATTTTGGGGAACGAAGCAACTTTGATTAGAAGTAACACTATTTGGAAAAAGCTAATTCTTGACGCAAAGAAACGCAAATGCTTTTATAATGCTGACGAGGAAAGAACTTGGCTCAGGCCATTGCAGTTGCCCTCATGGAGCTTGACCAACTTCATATTCCATTTAATTCTGATTCTCTGCTGTTTAAAAATGCCAAATGGAAGGTGCGCTGCCACGTTTCCTTTTCGTTCGAATTATATCGGACTGCTGTTCTGCATGCCTCCAATATATAGTGTTCTGTTGCACCTAACATTATCAATCAAAGCTTATAGAGTGCACAAATTTCCTTTAAATGGGGCAACATGCCTCTTTAAAGGCGAATTCGTTCTTTTAGTCCACATTAAACTTTTAGTGGCTTGGTGCTTAGGATATTTGAGTTCAGATTTTATATTTTGTAGCATTAAATCAATCTTCTTCCTGTATAGGTTTGCTTCACCAATGAATTTCAGAATTCCATACGAAAGATTAAGGACATTGAGATCCGTCGGGAAGTGGTTTCCTTGTTAACAAAGCTCTCCAATGGTTGGCGCCAATCTCGCAAGAATAAAAGAACTATAGTCCATGGGACTTGTGCTCAAGTGTTACAGAAGTACAGAGTTAAAGGGCTGCTGAATCTCATTTGGTCTGTAGATTTTCTCCAGGAGAACTCAGATTATGTCCAGGTTTTGAAGATTTGGGATGTTCTTCCAGTTTCTGATACTTCCGAACTTGATAAGCGGCTTGAGAAGATGTTTCATAGCTATACAACCGCTGAGATGAACCTTTGCCTGCTCAGATGTGTTTATGGGTATGTATATAGGGATTTGACAAATGTTCAAGTTTAATATAACAGTACATTTGTGCTAGCATGGCTAAAATCATCCATTGTTTCTCAATTGCGACAGAGACGCAGTTGTCCCAATTAGAATGCCGGTGGATTCGAGCAGCTCCCATGAGGCTGAGGCTGATCCTGTGGAGGTTCTTTCAAAACCATTATCTTCACTCAGTCTAAAAGATGAGCCCCAAACATCAAGCAGTGAACCACAGAGTCATAGGTGAGTTTTTTTTTACGTTGTTCATCTTCTTCCATATATCTGACTGACTAAACCAATGTATTTTTAGTACTTTTTCTCTTTCTAAATACAAGATATGTGATGTTATAATTTAAGTTCTAATTCCTTCATATGAAAAACTTTCAGAAAGACTAAAAATAATATGCCCAGATGGCAGAGAAAGTAGGCCACCGAGTTCCAGAGGTAATTTAATTAAGCTTTGCTTAGTTGATGACCGATGAGATAACTATTTATAATTTCCTATCTTCTTCCTACTTACCAAATGAGGTAAATTTTATAATTAAACATTGCAAATGTTTCTCTCCATTTAAGTCATTTTTTTCGTAAGAGTGGTGCTATGTGTATCCCAGTTACTGAACACATTATTGACCACCTCTCTAATGCAAATGGACCCCAAATACATTGATAAGGCCCACCCTATTAGAGCAGTCATCAAAGTCAATAAATGTAGTACAAATAACATTAATGTTTTCGTAAATAAACTTTAGTATATTTGAACACACCTTAACTTCTTAAAATGGTGCACAGGAGATCAATAATATATGTTGATCTTGAAGGTTGCGGCCATTATTACATTATACGTCCTGAAAGTGGGGCCCAATACCAGATGATGTAGGGAAAAAAAGGGAGAAATATATGTTGATATTGATTACTTGATTTAGGGGTGGTCCTAGGCACAAATAGGCAAGGCAGTCGTCTAGGATCCCCAAATTGGGAAGGCACCCAATTTGTATAAATTCATACCAGTTCCTTCGCACATGCTCACGCATATGCCAATTGATTTTCTTTTTTAATTTTAATTTTATTTTTAGAATTAAGAAAAGATAATATGGGTAGTTATGTTCCATAAAAGTAGAACTTATTATCTTATTTTGTTTTTAATTTTAATTATTTTAATATGAGAAAATATGAATTTACCATATTATCCTCATTTAATTAATAATTTCAATTCTTAATGTTTGAATTAACAAATGACATTTTCTGTTATTTTGGATGTTTCACCATTCTTTGTCTTTTGCTTTATATATATATATATATATATATAGATATATGCATACATTTAAAAAAATTATATAATATAATTATGTTAGGTCCAAACTAATTATTGTATAAAAAAACTTACTCAATCATTCAATTCAAAATTAAAAATAGAAAACTCAATAAAGGCCCACTTATAGCATAAATCAATTAATCTAGTTGAATTAATTAGGAAATCAAATACATGTATTTATCATCAAAGCCAAAACCCTGCAACATAGCATACAATAAAGTTTTCGACAACCCACCAAAAAAGCAAGAAGTTGAAAAGTGAATATAAACAAGAGGTTTCGATAGCGTACAAGTTGTATGATACAACATAGCCGGTCAATCTTATATTTTTGAAAATTCAAATATGTGAGTATTACTGTTGTTGTAAGTGTGGTGCTATTACGTACTTTCATTGTTGTTCAGCATTATTTATATTTTGTATTGATTTTTTTTTATCAGGGAAGAATATAAAGCATTAGTTGACCATTGAATTTCGATCAACTATATCACAAGAAAAATTGAATGGCTTGGCTATGTTGTCCATTGAAAGGACATAGTAGAAAAGTTTGATTATGTCAAGTTTAATTGATACTTTTGAATCAAAAAATGCAAGACGAGTGATATTTAAGTGAGATACATTTTATAAAGTTGTTGTGTAAATTACATGTGTTGAGGCCCAAAAATCCAAGGGGCTAAGCCCAAATCAATCATTAGCCCAATATGGGTAATTGGATGCAAAATAAGCTCAATCGGGATAAAAGGAAATTTATAAGAGCCGCCAACACAAGCTACAAGCCACGAATCATGCTAAACAAGCACGTGCAGAAGGAGCCAAGGACATACCGATATTACTAAATCACGCTCACATGCTCATTCGGTGCTACTTGGCCCGACTCTAGCCTATCATGGCATAATAAAACCCCAAGCACGAGCATAGAAATCACGCGCATTCTAATACCAAGCTACGTCACGAGCTTAAGTGGGCCCAAGCCACAAAATTAACCGGGGCTTACTGAGAAGGTTGTGGTATGGAAGGTGACAAGCAATCACGGGGCCCATTGAGGGTTCAAGGAACGTAGGTTTCAAAGCCACTTGGGGGCTTTGGAACTCAAGCCCGTTCCTAGAACCCAAGCATATGGGTTAGCATGAGAGAGAGGAGAAAAATTGACCCATGCTCTAGGAAGACACCAAAGAACCTACCAAGATATTTAGCCCAGCCCACATCAATAGAATTAAAGGGAAAGCCTTTCCAGCAGCTTGACGAAAGCCTGCCAAACGATAGGAGCAACAAAACCAGAGGACCCAATACCATATGTACAAGCCCAAGCCCAGCAACTTACAAAAATCTGGCGTCAAGTCCTATTCCCGTTTGAATTCCAAACAAAGGTCATAAGGGAGCCATGGCAAGACCAGAGGAAATCCATGGGGGTGAGGGAAGTGTCCATCGGACAAAAGGCTCCATCTCTCCCCTTTTCCTCTGTAAGCTCTGCCTTGGAGAAAACATAAGGAAAGCAGGTGGCGCCTTCCCCTCTATGGGAAAGCCCAGCTGCGTCAAACCGTTGGAACCATAAAGGGTTCCTTACCCATGCTCCTTGGATGGAGAAATTCATCAAAATAGGGCTAAGTAGGAGCTGCCAAGGAAAAAGGAAGAAGAAAACCAGACGAAATTAGAGCTCCTAACGCTTATAAAAGGAGACTTTTGCTACCCAGAAAAGACATCCACAACAAAAAACGATCCAGACCTTGACCAAGCTTTGTCAAGCAAATCTGGAATTTTCTCAAGCCACCCAAACCTCTCTTCTGTTCATCTTTCTTCTTCTTAGGATAGGGCTCGCACTAATATTTCTTCTGTAAGAAACCCACGCTGTTCTCTCTCTCTCAAATTGCTAAACTTGTGAAAGCTTAGCTCCCATGCCACATGCTCCTCAAGCTAAGCCATTAATGAAATCCTCATGCTTATTTGGGTGTTAGTGAAGTGATCCTGAGAGTGTTCTTTTAAAATCTCATTAGATTTTCTAAAAACCCTCTTGGGAGCTTGTTTTTCGAACCCAGGCATTTGGGGGATTTTGCTCGTTGTCTTCTCACAGCAGCCCAGGCCCATTCGTCAGGCTGCTGGAACAAAAAACCCCCTACATAAATTGGCGACTCTGCTGGGGAACAAGCTGCCATTTTACTAATGCCTCCAAGAAAGAAAACCCGAAGCAACACCATGGCCTCCCAAGATGGACCCGACCATGGTGATTCTGAATCAAGGCAAAATGCTTCCTCTAGAGGACAAGAACGTGCAAGTGAGGGAGCCTTCACCCTCACTGATCTCATCACGGCTATGCAGGCCATGGGGGAAACCCAGAAGGAGATGATGGACACTATCAAAGAATTAAAAATGCTGCTTCCAAGCCAAGCGAAGAGGATAGACGTCCGCAAGAAGAATCTGCCGCTGCTGGAAAGGGGTCTGAACAAAGGGGACCGTCTTTTGTCACCCAGGAGGATGTCGTTGCCATGCTGGAAAGGGAGCTTAGTCGAAGGAGGTACATTCCTCAGCCACCGTACCCAGCAAGTTTACTCCAGCAGCCCTATCCCAAAGGTTACGAAACACCAACCTTTGTTCTCTTCGATGGGAGGAAAGGAAGCCCGAAGGAACATGTCAACCGATTCCTTGATGCTTTGGGGCCACACGCTGGTGATTATAATCTGCGACTCCGAGAATTCTCAAAGAGCCTCACCGATCGGGCTTATACATGGTACACCACATTGGCACCAGGCTCTATGCGTTCTTGGGACGATTTGGCAAGCAGGTTTTGTAAAAAATATTTTCAGCACGAGGAGAGGGTCACCACCACGCAGCTCAACAACACTCGCCAAAAGCAAGGGGAGGATCCCGTGGACTTCGTGAGAAGATTCCGGGACTTGGCTCTCGATTGCTATGACGAAAAAGATGAGGAGGCACTTGTTGAGATTTGCATCAGCAACATTGTGGCAGACTATAGAGTATACTTGGAGAATATTGGCATAAGCCAATTTTCCCGGCTGCTGGAAGCGGTAAGAAAGACAAGCATGTCTGTCAAACCGACTGGACAAGGGGCTGGAGGAGTGAGAAGAAGGAATCACATCAGGTGTTAGCCACGGATGAGAAGCCATCTAATGACTACAGCTCACGCAAACGAAAAGATAGGGAGACGTACCCGCCATTGCCTTGCAAAGAGGAAGAGTTTCATGCCATCCTCGACACAATGATTGCTGACGGCGCAATCAAACCTCTCAGGCCCTACAAGGTCCCCACCAGGGAAGAAAAAAGTGACCCCAGATACTGTCGCTACCACCAGTTTGTAGGACATCCGACCATCGCTTGTCAGAGTTTAAGGAGGATCTTACATGGCAAAATACATGAGGGAGTTCTTGAGCTTCCCTCTAGGAAGCAGGCTATTGATGAGGACCCTTTGCCAAAACGGAGGGGGAAAGAAACAGCTGCTGTTATTACGTGTTCAGATGATTTGCTCGACGATGACGAATTGTGCCACCCATGGAGGAATGATCCAAAGCCACCAGAGGCTATTTGGGAGCCTTGTGGAAACATGGATAAAGTTTACTGGTGCAAATACTCGAAACCGTCAAGCTATGACACGCCATGGCCACTCGCTGATGGATGGGATGACTGTGCAGACAATGGGGTGTTCATGTTGGACATGCCGGAAGAACAATGCCAGAAAGCCTCGTCCGGACAGCAGGAAACGTCTGCTGTGACATTTCACACCCTTACAGAAGCTGAGGCAACTGTAATGGAGCGATATCTGGGCTCGAAGCAAGGACCCACAGCTTCACAGGCCCTCCAGAGGAATCCTAGAGTTAAGTCACTCTTTGACCAACTTGGTTTCGGGCCTCAAGCGAGGGAAGCAGCTGCTGTAGCCCTTATGAATATTTCTGCAGGAGCCAACCCCCATTGCTTCACTGCTCAACCTCAAAGGTCATTCTTGGAAAATGACAATGCTATCGTTTTCACAGACGAGGACATGGAAGTTCCATACCCGGATCATAGGAGGCCGCTTTACCTGGAGGGACAAATCAATGATGTGTTCATACGGAGGGCTCTGGTAGACACGGGTTCTTCTGTTAACATCTTGCCTCTGTCTGTACTTACAGCAGCTGGTATTCCACTATCCAAGATCGTGCAGTCCCAAACGAGCATTAGCGGTTTTGGGAATCAAAGTGAGGTTACGGTTGGATATATGCAAGTAAATTTGAAGGTAGGGCCCATCCGGTCACTTACCAAGTTCTATGTGGTGGACGTAGATGTGGCTTATCATGCTTTGTTGGGAAGGCCATGGCTCAACAAACATAAACTTGTGGTCTCTACGTACCATCAATGTGTAAAGGGAAGAATGGGCTAAGACCACTCCGTATACCAGGGAATCAAGCACCATTCAATCAAAGCGAAGCTCACTACTCCGAGGCAGAATTCTACACTGAGTGCACAGGCGCCGGAAGCAACCCATCCAAGAATTCTGGGACTTACCTGCCATCATGGACCGAGATTCGTGATCTGAGCAACGAGGAGCTCATAACCATCGTCGATCGAGAAAGAAAAAGGCACTCGGAGGCCAACAACCATGCCTACGATCATCCTCAATGCCCAAAGGTTACGCTGCCAAATGGGCGCACTGTATATCGCTTATGACGGGATTGGGGGCTTGACCGTATCCTACGGGAAAGCCCGAGTATGGTGGAGAAGCTATGCAAGCAGACAGCCGCGGGAGTCTAGATGGCAAGGCACCCTTGCCTTGTCCTTTCCAAGAACCAATGATAGCACCCAAGCACATGCAAGATGGCTCAACGGCAGTAGCTGAGCGGTTGGAAACAGTTAATTTAAGTGATGACCCTTCTGCCCCAAGACCATCTCGGTCAGTGTTCATTTAACAGGGGAAGAAAGGGAAGCTTTGGTGTCGTTATTGAAGGAATTTCGAGATGTGTTTGCTTGGAGTTATGAAGAGATGCCCGGCCTTAATCCAAACTTGGTAAGTCATACGCTGAATATTGAGCTCGGTGCAAGACCTGTTGTACAAACCACGAAGGAATTTTCATCCTGAAATTGAGAAACAAATCAAGGTGGAAGTTGAAAAGCTGCTAGCCGCTGGATTCATCAAGCCAATCAAACACCCGACATGGCTAGCAAATATCGTACCCGTGAAGAAGAAAACTGGGGTAATCAGAATATGCACAGACTATCGTGATCTCAATCGAGCCTGCCCAAAAGATGAATTCCCGCTGCCCAACATGGATATCTTGATTGATTCAACCTCGGGTCAAGGCATGCTATCCTTCATGGACGGATTTAGTGGCTATAATCAAATCAAGATGTCTCCCAAGGATGCCGAGAAAACAGCCTTTCGAACACCTTATGGAAATTTCTACTACACGGTCATGCCATTTGGTCTCAAAATGCCGGTGCTACCTACCAACGGGCCATGACGGCAGTGTTTCATGATATGATGGGAAAAGAGGTGGAAGACTATGTGGATGACCTCGTAGTAAAATCCAAAACCAGAGAAAGTCATCAGGGAGTTCTGAGGCGGGTGCTGGAAAGGTGCCGGCTGTATGGGTTAAAAATGAACCCAAAGAAATGCGCATTCGGAGTCTCATCTGGCAAGTTCCTGGGCTTTCAGGTACACCAGCGTGGTATAGATGTGGATTCTGAGAAAACCAAAGCCATATGCTCTCTTGCACCACCTAAGAATCCAAAGGAGTTGAAAAGTTTTATGGGAAGATTGTCATACATTCGGCGTTTTATTCCAGGCCTTGCTGCAATGATGAGTGTTTTCACTCCTCTCCTTAAAAAGGGAAGCCATATATATGGAGCCAGGGATGCCAAGAAGCTTACCAGCGGGTACAACAACTGATCACAAAGCTGCCCACGATGAAGGCACCTATTCCAGGACTTCCACTCAAGCTTTATTTGGCTGCGACAAATGCTGCGGTTGGAGCTTTGCTTGCGCAGGATGGCCATAACGGGGAGGAAAGCCCGTTTATTATGTAAGCCGACAACTGAGAGGAGCTGAAACAAGGTACCCAAAAACGGAACTCTTATGCCTTGCTCTTGTCTATGCTGCGCAGCGCTTGCGACACTACTTCCTTGCTCACAAGTTACAACTCATAGTAAAGTCCGATCCCGTAAGATATCTGCTCACAAGGCCGGTATTATCCGGTCGTCTCGCACGTTGGTTATTGCAGCTTTCGAATTTGATATCATATGCACAACTCCTAAGGCCATCAAGGGACAAGCTGTGATTGACATGCTAGCTCTATTCCCCGAAGTAGAAGGATCAACCCTTTCCAAGGAAGTCCTGGGAGAGCTGCCGGAAATGGTTGCTACTGTTACAGAGGAGGAACCATGGACCCTCTACTTTGATGGGTCTTCCACATCAAAAGGTGGAGGGGCAGGGTTGTGCTCATTAATCCCTATGGGCAAGCTACGGCTCTCTCATTCAAGCTAGACTTTCCATGCACGAATAACGTGGCAGAATACGAAGCTTTTATTGTGGGATTGTCCACAGCAAGAGAAATGGGCGCAGAAAAGGTGAAGATCATCGGCGATTCGAACCTGGTACTAAGTCAATTGCAAGGAAGCTTTGCGGTGAAGGAAGCACCCTTGGCACCATATCGGACAGCTGCTGAAAGGCTCATTAATTCCTTCAAGCAAATTGTGATGGAGCACATTCCAGGAGCCACCAATAGGTACGCTGATGCTCTGGCCACATTGGGATCGAAGCTCTCATTTGTGCAAGAACAGCCCAACATCACCGTGATAAGGAGAAGCACACCAGTGGTCGAAGCAATGGCCCAAGGGGACCTGCTGGAAGAGGATGATTGGAGAAAGCCACTGAAGAAAAAATTAGGTGAAGAGAGCAACATTAAAGACTTGAAAGACTATGTGACTATCTTTGGGAACTCTACAGACGTCTTCCGGGAGGTGTTCTGACCCGGTGTGTTGGGATGGCAGAAGCAAGAAGGAGGTTGCAAGAGGTACACGATGCCACTTGCGGCTTGGAACCAGTAATCAGCCTGAACCAGAGATGAAGAAGCAAGCAGCTGAACTACAATCCGATTGTCCCACCTGTTCTACGATACCCTCTACAGAGGAGTCATTCACTGTTTCATTTGCAGAAGATTGGTGGGCTCCATACTTGGCATTCTTTGTTGGAGGAACTCTGCCGACCAACCCCAAGCTTGCCTATAAGCTCAAAAAGACCATGAAGAGGTATTTTGTTGATGGGTCAACTCTCTATCGGAAGGGGTTTAATGGTGAGCCATTAAAATGCTTGGGAGAATCAGAGGCACGTCAAGCCATGCAAGAGATACATGCTGGAGAGTGCGGAGAGCACCAAGGAATGAAGAAGCTTCACCGGCAGCTACTAAGCATTGGGTATTATTGGCCTACCATGAAGAAGGATGCACATGACTTTGTTAAGAAATGCCACACATGCCAAATCTATGCTAATCTAAGCCACAAACCTCCTACATTGTTGCAAGACATGCGCACTCCCTGGCCTTTCCATACTTGGGGGCTTGATTTAATTGGGACAATCCATCCCCCTTCCGATGGCTACATATGGATCCTCACCGCTACGGAGTATTTCACGAAATGGGTTGAGGCAATTCCCCTTCGAAAGGCCACAGGAGCTGCCGTCTCGAATTTCATTCGGGAATACATTGTGTGTAGGTTCGGAATCCCATACAAGATGGTCACCGACAATGGCACACCTTTTGTTAACAAGCAAGTGAGTTCAACCCTTAGTGGGTACGGTATCAAGCATCGTCGCTCTACGCCTTATTACCCGCAGGGAAACGGTCAAGCGGAAGCTACCAATAAGACGATATTGAGGATTCTAAGCAAGATGGTATATGAGTATCAAGAAGGCTGGAGTGTTCACCTGCCGGATGCTTTGTGGGCTTATCGCACCTCACCAAGGAGCGCTACAGGTTTTTCACCTTACTCACTTGTGTACGGATCTGAGGCTATTTCACCCGTGGAAATCACCATCCCGACAGCCAGGATAGCAGCTGTCAATGATCTTGAATGGGATGCAAAGACATGCTCAGATTGGCGTTTGCTAGATCTCGAAGCAGTTGATGAGAAAAGGATGGAAGCTGAAAGAAGGATGGCACTTTACAACAAGACTGTTGCCCAAGCCTATAACAGGACCGTTAAGCCTCAAGCCTTCAAGCAAGGAGATCTCGTGCTAAAAGTTGTTGAACATGTGAGAAGGCAAATGTCAGGACCTTCCAAATTTGCCCCACAATGGGAGGGTCCATTCGCAGTCAAGGAGGTACACAGCAGCGGTTATTATCGCTTGATCTCTGTCAAGGAAGGCATGCTAATGGATCCCATCAATGGAAAATGGCTCAAGCCCTACTACTGCTAAGTAGGCATAATATCTTATTTTCGTGTTATTGCATTTCCTTTTATCTAAAAAAAGGTTGTCTCCTTCTATATGCTCTTTGTTTTGAAAAAGCTTTGTATCATCATGGTAGCATGGGGTTTGAAATGAAAATGAAGGAGTATTTTGAAAAAAAAATTTCTCTGGAAGTTTGCCCTTCTTCGTACCTCGAATTTCTTTTTGAACATGCGTTTACAATTACATATAAATATACGGCGGATATCTAAAAAAAGGCGGAGAAAAAAATTACTTAGCAAAAGACATGCCAAGCAAAGCCATTTGAATGGGATCCTAAGTCTGGAGCAGCTTTCACGCTTTGGCAAAAGGAAAAGGAGCAAGCCAAGCTAAGCACCCGCAAAAGGAAGCTAGCATGCTCATAAGGTCCGAGAACCTTCAAAGAAAATAAGCAGTGTCAAGGGGCCATCCTAACAAAATTTTGGCAACAACCACCATGCTTCAAAAGGATACCCAATCTAAAATTCAAGCAAAGGATTCTACCAACCAGGCATTTTATACATGCTAAATAAAAGCTACAATGTGTTTCTGGCAAAAGAAAAAAAAAGGGAACATAGGTTCCGGCAGCTGGAACACAACAGCACTAAAATGCCAAGCTGCCACAGTACAAGTTTTACAACATAAGTCAAAATCAAGCTATACATGCTAAGAAGTAATGTGTGCTTCAATCCCGAACGAAACTCTAGAATGTGTCAAGCTAGTCAATCCTACACCAAGCAAAATGCGACCTGCAAAACAGAACAAAAAAAAAGAATGTCAGGAGAAATCAGAGTAACATTGAACATATGTAGAATGAGGGAACATGAGGGAAGGACGAAGAGTCACGAACCTCAAAGTACCATCAAGGATGGCTAGAAGGGAACGGAGGAGGCCCCGTGAGAAGCTCTTGTCACTGCCTCCATCACGCAGTCAGCACTGTCGGAAGAGACACCTTGGGCAGAAAGGAGGCCACGCAATTCCCTGCGCTGGTTTTCCAGTTCATGCTGCTTGAAGACCAAAGCCTCTGCTGCTGCCCTTATTTCATCAGGGCCGGGATTTGACTTCATGTTATGAACAGCCCGTGCCCCAAATGCAGCACGTGCCAAACCCTTCACCAGGTTCAGAAGAGACTCTGCTCGAAAGCCCAGAGTCATAGCCTCGCAAACTGCATCCCGCCAGCAAAGGAGCCTGTGATCAGTAATGTCCAGCAGCTGCACGGTATCCATCCCATGGAGCACCAAGCCGAGAGTCCGAAAAGCAGCACATCGCGAGAATGAAGAAGTAATACCAGTCATGTCCATGAAATCCCCATACTTGTCCAGAAATTTCTTCAAAGCCGCGACTGTCTCGGGATAAACAAGAATTCCCCGGAAAAGTGCGTAACCATTAAACCGATGGTAGAGCGGCAGGAGTTCATTTGCAGATCGAAGGACCTGAGCACCGCTGTCAAAGAAAGCCATGAAGGTAGTAAATGATTCCTCCCACTCCAGCCAAGACATGCTGCGAGGGTGTTCTGCAGCAGCATTCCCGGCGACGGTAATGATAGCCTGGGCGTTTTCAGCAGTGCTCGCATTGTCACATTGAACCGCTGGAAGAAGTGCTAGGGGACTAGGCCCTGTCGCCCGGAGAAGTGGTTGAACGTGAGATGGAACGGGCAGGGTTGTATGGACGACAAAGGTGTTGCTCCGAAAGGCTGCTGGAAAGGCTGGCGAAATGGCAGGATCAAGGTCCCTCTGGAGAAAATGATGGAAGATAGGTGGTAAAGGGCTTGTAACTTGGAGCGTAGGCATTTCATCCCGAGAATCCGTTGGTGTCATGGTTGGAGAGGATCCTGCGAGGGCTGCCTCGACCAGTGTATCGAATGTGTTGAAGGAAGAAGGTACTACGGGCACAATTTCTAAATTTGGAGCAAGATGCTCAGCCTGCAAAAAGAAAGGGGTGCATGCAAGGATTAGTACGTGATAATTGACAGGTAAGGGGTATTGACAGATGAGTAGGAGAAGAAGGTAAATAGAATATTATCGGTACGGATACCTCAAGGGGGTCCGGGCAGGATCAGCAATGGCTGCAGCAGGGTTTGGGGTCCTCAGCAATGTCAATAACCTGCAGGATGAGCACGCGTCGAGTGTACAGATTATGGTGTAAGGAAGGAGAAGGGGACAAAACTTAAAACGCGTCAGTTACCTGCTCAGCGCTAAAACGGCGTGTACTGCTACCGGCGGACTCGAAGAAAACATCTGAACCACCTTGTCCTCCTGGATAGTCGCTGGAATAAGCAAATGCATCCTCACTGCAACCCTCATTGGAGTCCCTGTCAGAATCTTCACTGGCATCGTCAACGTTCTCTTGCTCTGGAACATTAGCCTCGGATTCGGTGGTGTCACTATCATCACTATCATCGTCAACTGTCACTACAGTTGGGGTTCCGGCAGCTTCAACAGTACTGGTGCGTGTTCCGGAAAATCTTGCATGTAGAATGCGCACGCTTCGACGTTTAGGGGTCACCTGAGGAGATACCGGGGGTGTGTCACTCCTCTTTCTCTTCGGGGTTGTACCCATTTTCCCTATAAAAAAAAAATATATGTATATAATAAATAAGTATCTACCCACATATCATGCACGCAAAGCAAAAAGAGGGGCATGAAGAAGTACTGGAAGTGGAGAACACTTACGGCGGAGAGGGGTAGTTTCCAGCACCTTGCCAGCACGACCCCGGCTCCCGGATGCAGCAGGCTTCGAAGACTGTGGCTGTTCCGGGGGAGTTGCTTCTTTGGTTCGAGGAGGGCCACTCGGGGCTACCTTCGGAATGAACCTTTTGGGTTTACCGGCAGTCTGCTTCTCACTCACATTTCGCTCCTCTTCTCGCTTCCTTTTGCCTGACACTGGCGTTGCACTTTTTCCGGAGCCGCCAGGACTCTGTACCCCCGGCTTTGGCTTCATCTTAGGAAATTCTCCAACGATGTCACCACTCTTGGAAATGAAGGGCAAGTTGCGTTTCTGGCTAAGAGGGATGGCTTTCTCTTCCGAAACCAAGCCCACAAGACGAGCCGTTGTAGGAGGCAGTCTGTCCCCGGGAAAGGATTGGAACTCACGGAAGGAAGAGAGACAGCGGTTTCCAGTAGGCTTGGTAGCCTCTAGAGAAGCCACCAACCCTCGCCTTGCTTGCTAGAACGAGGGGCCTGCAACTGGCTGGTATGTGGTCATTGCTCCAGAAGATCCTGTGTAAAGCAAAAGGGTCATCATGGTTAGGACTGCTGGGTACCCCTTGGTCAAGCCCGAACTGCCTCCTGACTCGGTGTGGAGAGTAGGTCACGGAAACCTCTGCACAGTGTTCTCCAAGAGTAGGTAAGGGGATGGGAGCAACATTCAACAAAGCATGCCTCCGAAACTGGTTACTCTGCGACACGGCTGCTGGAACCTCAACCGTATCACTGGCGTCAGTATAGAAGGGCACGAAAGTGAAGGTCTCTGCTGAGGTGCCGTAAGGGCGAAAGACAAAATTCTCGACATTGTCTAGCAGCTTTAAGAAATTCTGGCCTTTCCTCTGCATTCTCTTGAACCACCTGCAAACTAATGGAAGATTGTTGGCATAAAGGAACCATTGCCCCAGTCAGCCAACTTTATAGCGTGCGAGTGAGGGAGTGAATACACATCCAACCCTTTGAGACGCTCCCACAAGAACACCTGCAAGAAACCAGAATTTAGGAGGGTCTCCACACCCATGGTTCCTGATGCACTTTTTTCCAGAAGCTGGGTTCGATTAAGAAGATGGTATAGATGTCCCAGGAACATGGGGGCTAAGGGGATCGTATCGCCTCGGGCTATGGCCAAAGCCAAAGGAAATACACGCTCATGAAGGCAATCTTGAGAAAAGTCACAGAGCACGAACCGGCCAAGCCACAGAGCTATAAAGGCAACCAAACGGCAGGGACTCTGTCTGTTTGCGTCCCAAAATATTGTATCCAGTTGCTAAACCGGAGTGAAGTGCTGGGAGAGGTGGGAGCGCCTCTTCGCAAGACTGCAAGGCTATCTATTTCTTCTGGAGTGAGGGCGATGCCGAAAGGACTACGGTCGCCACAGACAGGAAGGCGAGAGATATTCGCCACATCTTCAAGGGTAGGGGTAAATTCCCCCCATGAGCACACAAAGGTGTAAGTAGCGGTGCTCCACCTCCGGACCACGTGACGAAGCATCTTCGCTTCGATATGGATGTCCCACAATTTGGAAAGGAAGATGGCATCAAGGACTTGTGCTCTGCGCAGGATGTTGCATGTGGATGGATCCCGCAGTTCACGATCGACCCATTCTGACCAACCTTTACTGATCTGCAAGGATACTGGAAGAATAGGGGAACGGCTGGAAAGAGGCCCTTTTCAATGCAGCATCTGGATATGGAGGCAGGATTAATTACAGGAGCAGTCTCAGGGGATGGCTCATCACCAACAACGGGATTTTTACGGGCATCTTCAAGTAGCAGGAGCGGCCCTTCTGCTTTAAGATCGTCATCCATGGAGTAGAGGTGGTCTAGCATGATCGGCGGAAGGTTAGTGGACGCCATGGCAGGTCTACTAAGTCACGGACACCTGCAAGAAAGGAAGAAAGAACAAAATGCATAAGTTTCAGCATCTTCACGAATTGTTGAACGCGCGCACATCTCTGTAATATCATGCCAAGACCATATCAAAAAAAAAGGGGACCAATTCAATATCATCATGCAAATCTTTCCTATGAGAGGGGATAAGATTATCTGGTGCCAAAAAAAGGAGGGGAACGAATCACAGGGATAAAATATGCGAAGGAAGCCATGGAGTGGTTGTTCCCGTTCCTTCCACCATGCGTCGACATCATTTAGAGGTTTTGTGGTTAATCAAGGCAAGATATCGCCTCGAGCACGCTTAAAATCCCAAATCAGTGGTCTATGCCCGAAATTCGAGATTAGGGCTTGGGAAATTAGATGGAACCCAGACTGAGAAAGGTGCCCTGTTCATGAGGAATTCTCAAAAAAAATATAAAGGGTGCCTCCACATGCACATATATGCGTATGTATGTGTGTATGTGTATAGATGCATGTGCCCAGAGTAACAAGAAGTAGAAAACAAGAAATGGGGGAACGATGCTTACCACTGCTATCGATGGAATTCTTCCAGCAGCTTGCCAAAGTCGAAAGAGGAGGGAACTGCCTTGCGATTCCACCGCAGAAATTGCTCCACACTGTGCCAAGCGACTCTGCTAAGCTTGGTTTTGGACGGATTGAAGAGCGAATTGAAGAAATTTGAGGGATTTTAAAGAAGAATCGTGGCTTTTCCCCGATGGTTGCGAGCGGTTTCCGGAATGTAACCAACCAGCAGTTGTGGATGAGGCCTCACTGAGATTTCTCGTTTCCCAAGGATTCCCTAGACCTGTGTATGAGAAGGAACCAGCAAGAACGAAAAGGGGGGCAACTAGTTTTAGGGCTCGCGTGCACAGAAGAGGGGAGTCAGAGACGAAGAAAAAAAAAGAGAAGAAAAGAAAAGGAAAGAAGAATAAAATAAAATAAAGCAGGATTGATGGAAGTGTACCTGGAGAATGCAAGAGACCGCTGGAAAATAATCATGGCAGCACACACGCGGGAAACGGGAAGGTCACGTCAGCAGCCTGGATTTGACTTTTCTTTTGCGCCAGGTTTGATTATTTGACCCATCTCAAAGCTACTCATGGCCCCAATAATCAAGGGGGCTAATGTTGAGGCCCAAAAATCCAAGGGGCTAAGCCCAAATCAATCCTTAGCCCAATATGGGTAATTGGATGCAAAATAAGCTCAATCGGGATAAAAGGAAATTTATAAGAGCCGCCAACACAAGCTACAAGCCACGAATCATGCTAAACAAGCACGTGCAGAAGGAGCCAAGGACATACCGATATTACTAAATCACACTCACATGCTCATTCGGTGCTACTTGGCCCGACTCTAGCCTATCATGGCATAATAAAACCCCAAGCACGAGCATAGAAATCACGCGCATTCTAATACCAAGCTACGTCACGAGCTTAAGTGGGCCCAAGCCACAAAATTAACCGGGGCTTACTGAGAAGGTTGTGGTATGGAAGGTGACAAGCAATCACGGGGCCCATTGAGGGTTCAAGGAACGTAGGTTTCAAAGCCACTTGGGGGCTTTGGAACTCAAGCCCGTTCCTAGAACCCAAGCATATGGGTTAGCATGAGAGAGAGGAGAAAAATTGACCCATGCTCTAGGAAGACACCAAAGAACCTACCAAAATATTTAGCCCAGCCCACATCAATAGAATTAAAGGGAAAGCCTTTCCAGCAGCTTGACGAAAGCCTGCCAAACGATAGGAGCAACAAAACCAGAGGACCCAATACCATATGTACAAGCCCAAGCCCAGCAACTTACAAAAATCTGGCGTCAAGTCCTATTCCCGTTTGAATTCCAAACAAAGGTCATAAGGGAGCCATGGCAAGACCAGAGAAATCCATGGGGGTGAGGGAAGTGTCCATCGGACAAAAGGCTCCATCTCTCCCCTTTTCCTCTGTAAGCTCTGCCTTGGAGAAAACATAAGGAAAGCAGGTGGCGCCTTCCCCTCTATGGGAAAGCCCAGCTGCGTCAAACCGTTGGAACCATAAAGGGTTCCTTACCCATGCTCCTTGGATGGAGAAATTCATCAAAATAGGGCTAAGTAGGAGCTGCCAAGGAAAAAGGAAGAAGAAAACCAGACGAAATTAGAGCTCCTAACGCCTATAAAAGGAGACTTTTGCTACCCAGAAAAGACATCCACAACAAAAAAACGATCCAGACCTTGACCAAGCTTTGTCAAGCAAATCTGGAATTTTCTCAAGCCACCCAAACCTCTCTTCTGTTCATCTTTCTTCTTCTTAGGATAGGGCTCGCACTAATATTTCTTCTGTAAGAAACCCACGCTGTTCTCTCTCTCTCAAATTGCTAAACTTGTGAAAGCTTAGCTCCCATGCCACATGCTCCTCAAGCTAAGCCATTAATGAAATCCTCATGCTTATTTGGGTGTTAGTGAAGTGATCCTGAGAGTGTTCTTTTAAAATCTCATTAGATTTTCTAAAAACCCTCTTGGGAGCTTGTTTTTCGAACCCAGGCATTTGGGGGATTTTGCTCGTTGTCTTCTCACAGCAGCCCAGGCCCATTCGTCAGGCTGCTGGAACAAAAAACCCCCTACAACATGTTTGTTTCTTTTCTATTACAATTGTGAATTTGAGTTCATATAATCTTTTTTTTAATTTACCAAAAAAAAATTCACATACTATACACAGAAAGTAGAATACCCCATTTAATTTGTTCGTCTAGGACCTCCAAAACATGGGATTGTTGTTGACTTGATTTAGAAATTCAATCAAACAATTACTTTGGAATAAAAAATGCTAGGCTTACCACATTTTTCATACCACAATTGTACAACCTCTCTAATAGAGGTGGGCCCCATTGTATTGGTGGGCTCCACCTCTATTAGAGAGGTGGTACAATTGTGGTATGAAAAATATGGTAAGCCTAGCATTACTCCTTTGGAATATATGAACCAATTATATTATATTACTTAATTGATAGCATTCTTCCGCATTGGTCCGCCTCCCCTTGTTAAAAGTTAGATTTTTGTTGATAATATAAAATCTCACATGAGGAGAATTTTAAGCTTTGAACAAGACACTTCACTTGTTGCCAATTAATTTCGAGTTAGAAACTCTATCCTTATATTCACAAGTTTGATTCCCCCTTTCGCCAAAGTTTGATCCCCCTCCATACATTACAGTAATTCAGAACATTGCCTTTGTTAAAAAAAAAACAAAAAAACAAAAAATGGATATCATGTGTTTTTTTTTTGGATGTTATGATTTATGGTTGCGAAACAAACAAGAAATTATATATTATTCATATGTACAAAGCAAGGCACAAGAAATTAGATATCATAAGAAGAAACTATGATATTAAAAATACTAATTAGTAACATAAATACACCATTGCATTTTAATTTTCCAAAAGAAATGCTAGCGATCTTCTCTCTAATCTTCTCTTTTAGACCTTCTCCATTCTCCTCATGACAAGTGTCACTTTCCCTTCACTTAAAATAATGTCATTAATGCATCACACAAGTTAGTTTTTGTTTTTCAAATCTTATTAAATGTATTGGATTTTATATTTCCATCACTTTACTCAGACTTTGTTACAACTTCCTTAGCACATTGTTAAAAATTTAATAAGAAAAAACGTCAAATATTTTTTTTTATAAATAAAGTTTGTTCATGACATTGTTATCATGAAAGTGATATCATCTTTCTTTTGTGTTTAACAAAACATACGTTCTCTCTAGAAAAAAAAATTTATAAAAAAGGTTCAAATTTTATTTCTTATTTCATTTTTTAACAAGGTGGTAAGAAAGTTGTAAAAAATAAAAATAAAAATAATAAAAAACTAGCTTGTTATTAAAAAAAAATTAATAATACATTTAATAAAGGTAAACTTGGAAAACAAAAAACTAGTTTGTGTGATCCATTAATGATATTGTTTTAAGTGTAAGGAAAGTGACAATTGTCATGTCATGATGGGAGAGAGAAGGTTGCTAGTATTCCCCTTTTCGTAATTCCCTTTTTCACTCCCACTCTCACCCTATACCCTATCTTACCTAGACATACTCAGAAAAATCAAAGTCGCAATGACAAGCATGTACACCCCAATATTCGTCCCAACCAACTCCTTCTTGGACCTCTTCGTGGCCCCAACCCCGGTAATCCCAGCCACTCCAATTAGAACACACCACATCACTGCCTTGATGGCGTTCTCCACCATAGCTTCAGCGAAGAACTCCAACGCCCGCTACTTGAACTCGGCTGCCCTGATCGTCTGGGCCTGCGTCGAGCGAGTAGGCAAAGATGGGACCCACTTGAGGATAAGAGGGAGCAGGTGGAGGGTGCACAATGTTTTGCGGAGGTGGTCGAAGGCTAAGGGGAGCTGGTAGGGGAAGATGCCTTGGAAAGCATGCTCGATGAGCGAGAGGCAATGAGTGAAGGTCGAGTTGTAAGCTGAGTCGAGCGCAGCCTAGTTGGAGAGCAACAACTTCACTCACTTTGAGCATTAGATTCCCGTCTCTCCTTCTCGCTTCTCTTTTGGTTCTTTTATTTGTGCACGCAGTTTGGTTTTCATGTTTTGAGGCCCCAACCAACGTAAATATGAGTGTGTTGGTATTTTATGAGTTTCTTTATTTATTTGATGAGATATATATATATTTTTGTTAATCGGCTTGTTTTTTTTCTTGTTACAACGAGGCTGAAGCCAAGACGAAACAAGAAAAAAAAACTAACAGATCACAGCCCTCTCAAAGGCCCTTCCTAGCACATCGTTCAACAAGATGTTCGAAATAGAATCCTGAGCTGACTTAAAATTAAGAAGCCCAAAAGGTAAATCATACCCCAAACTAGCAAGGTGGTCAACATCTCTGTTTTGTTCTGTGTAAACATGAGAAATCTTACATCTCCAATCACGATTCAGCTATAACTTGCAATCTTCAATTAGACAAAAAGTGGTGGGATTGGTCAAATACCTTGGCCATCAGAGAAACAATAGATAAAAGTCGCATTCAATATCAAGGGTCCTAATACCCTTATTCTAAGCCAAGGAGCCTCTAAGGAGACTCCATAACTCTGTCTTAACAATATTTCCAATTCCAATATTAACAGAAAACCCACATATCCAAGAACCATCTAAGTCCCTCAATAGACAGCCCGCAGTGATCTTCCAAGAATTAGTTTTACAGCTGCCATCCACATTCAATTTGGATTTGCTCGTAGTAGGGGATCTCCAATGAATTTGAATAACCTCTCTTGCTCGCTTACCATTAACCATCTTATTAATATCAAATCATTCCTTAGCACACTAAAGAATTGTGTGATGAGGATTGGAAGGTGGCTCATAGTCAGGATTGAAAGTTGAACGAGAACGCCATTTCCAACAGTGCCAGATAGTAATAGTGAACACAATAACCCATCGCAAACTCTGGGAAGCCTTAATCTTACTCTTGAGATTAAGCTAACCAATCCCCAAAATCAAAAGAGAATGTATGAGACATAGCAAGAGGAATACATATGTAACTCCATACCTTAAAGGCATTGTTTGTGCAATTTTCCTCCCCTGGAATATTCGGAGAAGATCCTTGCGTTTCTTGACTATCTTCGTCCTCGAACCCTGCAAAATAATGGCCATCAATCGAAGCACCAGTGTGGTGTTGGCCAATGGCCCTTTGATGCCTAAATCAGTAAATGGTCTCAAGGAGATAAATATTATATTCAAAGGATGGTGTTTTCCCTTTGGGTAGAGACTGTGGCGCGGACACCGAGAGAGAGAGAGAGAGAGAGAGAGAGAGAGAGACCGAAAATTGAGTGTGAGCCGCTATGTGTTTAGGGTTTTTAGGGTTTGGAATTAGTTACCTCATGTCTGAAATAAGCTTGCCTTTATATAGCCTCCTTATCTTGTGCCTTGTTTGGTATGATTTATGGGAGAATAATTCCTTTTTATGGGAATTATTCTTTTCCATAAATAAGGAGATGGAGGAGATCAAGAAGATTTAATTCAATCTAAATCCTTGCCTTATGAAGATATTTCCCATATTAAATCAAATTAATTGACCGATTAAATAAGGATTTAATTGACCAATTAAATAAGGATTTAATTGGCACAATCAAGATGACCTTGAGAATATTCCATCTTCCGCGTGGTGTCAAGTGAATGGTTGCCAAAAATTTGTGTTCCCACAAATGCCCCTCAGCTTTTGCATGGCGAGTGTAAGGCATGTAGGAGATGTTAAATACGTGATGAGCTTTTTAATTCCCATTGCAGCTAGGTTCCCTTTGAGAGTTGAATTTGATTTCTTCTTGGAGTTGGTGGTGAGTATTCTCCCAGTGGCGTTTCAAGGTTCGGCAGTCATGCTCTAACTCTGCATTTTTGGAACGGAGGTGGCCATAGCCCTTTGTCATCTTGGTGACATCGGCATGAAGGCGCTCCAGGCCTGGAGATGCATGTCAGTTAATGGTTTCCTTCGAGAGGACTCCACATGGAGGGTGTGTTGCTGAGTGTCAAGGCTACCTTCGCTTGGCATCTTGGAGAGTGATGGGCTGAAAAGACGACAAGGTCGGATAAGGGAAAGAGCCAGTGGAATTGGTAGAGGGTTGAGATTCAGAAGTCGTTTCCCACAGACGTCGCCAAATTGTTACGCCCAAAATCAGGGGTCAACTTAGGTGGAAGAAGTGTCGAGTCTTCAATTGGACAAGAGGGTTGCAGACCCTCGGTAAGGAGTGATCCTATTGAAGAAATAGAGAAGAATGAATCATCAAGCTTCAAGTACCGGTATGATACCTGTTGAAGGCTCTCCAATGCTTAAGTCAGCAAGTGTGGGATGTGTGATAATTTTGGCAGAGTAACAGTAAAGGTGAAAAGTAGTTACCCTTCACTTGGGCCTTATTCCTCTTTTATAGAGAAGTGAAATTGAGAGTTTGCACAAAGTTTTGATGCGGGACTTTGTGCAAATTGTTGTGGTGGCGACATGTGTCCATAGTTCTAGGTTCTGTAGTTGAGGGCATCGGCAGCCGCCTTCGGTAGGCGACTACTACTTCTGAGGAAAGCATTCCTTCGGTAGGTCAAGAAGATGATGATGTCGTCAGTGTTCTTTATGGATCACCCAAGTGTCTTTCCTTCGGCAATCGGTGCATGTGCCCCTTGACTAACGCCGAATGTGCTCAGTTGATTATGATGTAAACAAGAGCTACACAATGTAGACAACATGACGGAAGCATAATGAAGCCATACCAGAAAACGCATGAAGTCCATGTGAAGAGATCATCCCAGTAGATGCAGCATTAGTCCAAACTTGTTGGCACTATACGAAAAGCAAAATATGAAGTTTTTTTTTCAGTATGTGAAGAATCCTTCTCAGGCAATGAGTGTGTCATTAAGGTTTTCAGGCAAGCAAGCACAGGTAAAACATTTTTTTTTTTTTTTTTTTTTTTTTTTTTTTTTATTACCATAATGTTGAGATGGTACAAAAAAAAAAAAAAAAAATAATATTATTAAAAAAAATACAAAATAAAAAAAAGAAACATTGATAAGAAAAGGCTTATTTATGGATATGTCCACTGTGCTTTTCAAATTAGTCTCAGATTACCACATGTTCTTTGAAATGTCTCAATATACCACCTATACTTTCATTAAGTATCTCATGTAAGACATTCCGTTAGATTTCAAAGAAGTTTCGTTAGCTAATGTGGCCCCGCTTCTTTTCAATCTCTTAACAAGGGAGAGGAAGGGTTAGTCAAGTAGAGAAAATGAGGAATTTGGGAGAAGAAGGTTAGGTTGAGGGAATTTCAGATTTGGGAATCTCTAAAAGAAAGGCTCAAATCTTTGAATAGGAAGGAAGGCTGGTTTTTCTCTATGTGAATACTAACTGAGTCAGTGTGTTAGGTTATCTGGGAAGGGGTCACACGATTTACTCGAGAATCTTTGAAAATTGTTTGGCGTTGGACTTTAAGGTGGAGGTTCAGATTTGGGAGAAAATGGGGAATTTGATTTGGGGATTTCAGATTTGGGAGAAGAAGGAATAAGGTTCATTCCACTTGAAAGAAGGGTTCGAATCTTTGAATAGGGTTCATTGCACTTGAAAGCTGCTTCTTCTCTGTGTGAATATTGACTGAATTGAAGAAGACATGGAAACAGGAGAAGCAAGGCTTGCCCAACGATGTCATTGTGGGAAGTTAGCAGGAATGCAAACTTCATGGACCACTTCAAACCCAAGGCGGAGATTTCTAGTCTACCCAAAGTCAAAGGTAAGAATGTTTAAGATCAAATTTTCAGTCGTTGTTTTGGGCATCACAAATTGATAAAGTTCATATTGATCAAAATTTCAGTTATTGATCAAATTTTTAGTCATTATTCTAGGTTGATACAGGGAAGTTGTCAAAGATGATGTAGGTTTTTTCAGTGGTTTGATGCAGAAATGTGTGAGAGTTCAAAGTCTTTGCTACTTGGTTTGCTAAAGAAGATTGACAGGGTGGAAGAGGAAAATACAAAGATTCGAGCAAAGTCAAGTATATTGTGGGCTGCTATGTTGCTTTCCTGGTTGGTGGTGTTTGCCATGAAGATGAATTAGGAGGAATTAGGATGAATTAAGAGGAATTAAGAGTAATATATTTTGTAATTTGGTGGGTGTAATGTGATTGAGAAGCCTAGGCTACTCACTTGCCGCTAGTCCGTCTAGCGCCTTTTGGTTGGGGTCCGCCCTGGGGGGTTAGACCACTTAACCGATGGAAACTCTCAAGAAATAAGCAACCTAAGGCTATTTGTTATGATTGGTAAGTTCCCAGTAGCAGTAGTTCAATAAGCAATGTAATTTGAGACCAAGTGAACCAGTAGTAGTAGTTCATTAAGCCTGGGCTACTTGAGACCAAAGGGTGTAATGTAATGTAATTTGGTGGGAAAACAATGTAATTTGTTTTTGAGTTTTCTTTATACTATGATATGAATGGAAACCAGTAGCAGATCTTGGATCATATCTTGTTCATTGGATATCAAATGGTGACATACTAATAAACATTACACCAAAAACAGGTTACAATCATATCTTGTTCATTGGATACCAAAAACAGCTTACAAAAACAGATTACTGATAAGCATATCTTGTTCATGCCATAGCAAATGGCTACATCTCAATACCTGATCAATATAGGCACCACACCAAAAACAGATTCCAACCATCACATTATATATCAAATGGTCAATTATATCTAAGTACCTGACTCAAAAACCTTGACAGACATCAAAGCCTAATAAAACCAACCATCACATACATCAAAGTATGACCAAACCAACAACCCAATTGCAACCATGAAGACATTAAAGTCTTACAAAACTAACAACCAATTGCATAATCTATAATTGCACAACATTCAGACCATTGTTCCATGAAACCATAATTCAAAAAGAGTTTATCCTAATTCAAAAGTAGGTTGTTGCAAAAGTTCAACATCATCACATCTAAGAATGAAAAAAAGGATCTTTGACAAAATGGTTCCTTTGTTGTCTTTGTTGTTCTTTCATCCTCCTACATTGTTGTACTCAAGATAGTTTGGAAAATTGAGATGAATCACATGTTTGAGAAGCATGAGCTACTTGAGATGGTTGGGATTGAGAAGTCTGAGCTGCTTGAGGTGGTTAGGATTGAGAAGCTTGAGCTGCTTAAGATGGTTGGGATTGAGAAGCCTGGGCTACTTGAGATGCCTGGGATTGAGAAGGACCTTGGGAACCCAACCTTGGGAACCACTTGCTTGTTTCCTTTGCCTTAGTTGTATACTTTGTTGTCTAGTACTTTGCTCTTTACCATCTCTCCTTCTTACCTAAAACAAATAATAATTAGGTAGGCATGATATGAAAATCTGAATGTTGAATACATAGTTGAAGAAGTGGCACTTACTGGAAGTTTTTCCTTGGCAACTTTCCTCTTCTTAGTAGGCTCTATATTGGGATTTCTAGGTTCCTAATAAGCAAAGTCATGAAGTTAGAAACCATATCAAATATATTTAAATGTAAAGCAATTTTGTATAATGACACATACCTTACAACCAATTCAATTATGGCCTTCTCCACCACAATTTCCACATAAAGGAATGCCATACCTAGGAAACTTATATGGATTAACAGGTTGTTTAGGCTCATTAAAAGCTTGTTTCCTTGTCTTCATAGGCCTACCAGGCTGCTTGTGATATTTTGGAGAGAGTAATTGAGGTAAATTAGTCTTCATCCACTGATCTTGTCTAGTCATAGGCATAATCATTGGTTCATAGGCTCTCAAATAAGCCTCTTTCTTGTACACTGCATCGTAAAAATCCTCTGAATTCCCATGAAACCAACTTATTATAGCACAAGCATGCAAACATGGTATTCCATTCAAATCTCAAGCATGGCATGAATGAGAGTGGGCATTCAAATCAACAACAAAGTTGCGGCCACTATGGTGCATTACTTCAAAACCATTATGTCCAGCAGCCTTAAGAATGCACCATTGAGCTTTTCCTTTGTTATTCTCTAATATCTTTCTAATTCTTGGCCGAACTTGTCAATGTCATTTCTCACACAAAACCCTTCTTCCAGCCATCAACAACACTATATACAACCTAATTCTTTCTAGCTTAGTCAAAACAGGCTTGTCTCTGGTATCCATTATGCTATGGTTGAATGTCTCACATAGGTTGTTCATAAGCATGTCAAACTTGGAATCACTCTTGAAATGTGCCCTATTCCAATGCCTAGGATCTTTCTCTGCAAGCCAATCATATGTAGGTTTAGACAACTCCAATATCTTTCTTATCTCTGCATCAAACTATGGCATTATTGTGGCCTAGCAATTGCTTCCATTTGATATTGCAAAGTAAGACCTCTGTGCTCCAAATAAGAGTTTCCATACAGATGTTTCAAAAAATGTATGTGCTCTGCATTAGGGAATAGATCATCCATGGCATATATTAAACCTTTTTGCTTGTTAGTCATAAATACATAACCATGGCTATTCCTACTATTCATATCAGCACTCAATAATTCTAAAAACCACACTCATGTCGAATTGCTCTCAATCTCTACATATGCATAGGCAAGTGGAAACATTTCGTTGTTTGCATCAAATCCCATTGCAGAAAGCACTTGCCCAGGGTGAGGCCCTTTGACATGACACCCATCCAAGCAAACCACATGCCTACAACCATCTAAAAACACCTTGCAGGCTGCAAGATAGATGTAAATCCTCTGAAACTGTGGCCTATCACCTTCCATTTCATATTTAATGATAATTGTACTTCCTACATTTCTCATTCTTAACCATGACAATAATCCCACAATATTTCATATTGTTTATTGTACGACCCCTCTACAATGTCAACTGCCATGGCTTTTGCTCTATACACTGTTGCTCTAGATGGTCTATAACCATAGTCTTGGTGAACTTGCTCTGCAAAAGAAGAAGCAGTTCAATTTGGATTGAGTTTTAACTGCCCAACATATCTTTCAGCCAACCAGCTAGCAGTGGCATGTATATTTTTACTCCCTTTACTACATACATGTGTAGGATTAAAGGTTTTCACCTGCAGGTAAGTGCTATCACTAACACTTGAAGCATAGATAACAAAAGGACAACCCTCTTCACATACTACTCTTATTTTGTTACGGTCATTATTCATAAATATCAACTCCCTTCCATAATTAATGGAGCATCTCCTTACAACTTTTCTAAACACATGTCGATAGTTGCAACTTTAAACCCACTTTGAATCCTGGGTTTGCCATATCAATTTCAGGTATGAAATCTTCACCTTTTGACATTCTACTCCTCTTCCTTCTTAGTTTACCTAGTGCTTCATCTTCACTTGAAGAGCTACTTGGGCAGGTAAGTGTAGGTGACTCTTCTCCACCGTCTGACTCATTATTTTCCTCTGCATTAGGATCATTGTTAGTACAAGTATGATCCACATAACCTTCAAACCACTTATCATCCTTCTTCAATAAGTAAATCTCTTCATCACTCTGTGCATAGTCACTGTCTTCAAAGTCTGGATCACTGTTATCATCATCCTCAAAACATAAGTCTAGATCACTGCTATCATTCCCCACTTGGCTTGAAGTCTGGCTCACTACTTTCAAGTTGTTGAAGGAAAATGTGATCCTCCCAACATAATTTCACCACCGCTAATTAAATAATGGGGTTTTTATTATTTTAGGATCAACCCATTCGAGACGCAATGTCTCCTAATTACAATCCCTTGCTTCAAGGGAACACCTTTTGATTCCATCATAAAGAAGCCGAATGTGTGTGTTCGGTTTTGCGGCTGCTCCCAAGTCCAACTTCAGGGTGCCTACGTCTCCTTTGCAGGAATCAAGCCACTCCTAGTTCAAAGATTTTCAATGAATAAATGACTCATTGCGAGGGAAATTTGATTTGAATTGTATTGGAAAGTGTGTTTGCGTGAATTTAACTGAATAAACCAGGGGTTCGATTTTGATGTGTGTTTGGGGTGAATTTGGTTAAGAATAAACCAGAGATTCTGTTTGAATTTGAGATTTGGGCGATTGCATCAAGATTGAGTCTCTAGATTGCATACGTACCCTTTCGAAGGGATCAAACCAACGTAGTTCCAAAATTTGGGAATTAATAGGTAAGTGTGGCCCAATAATTTAGAATTTGTGTCTTTGAGACAGTTTGGAGATTTTCATAAATAAAAAATTGGAAATTAATGAGTAAATGTGGCCCACTAATTGAGAATTTGTGTTTGAGAAATTTGAATTTAATCTCATTGAAATTTGCATGGGTAGATGACCCATGGGAAAATTTGGAATGGTTTTGTACCATTTTTTTCATTGTCAATATCAAAGAAAATTAATGGGCAATTTAGATGAACCCACTAATTAAATTTGATCATTGACACATGCATTTGTATCCATGCATGATTTGGAGGATTTGAGATTAATGAGCTTTTGTGATTGATAATGGGCAAGTCAGCCCATATGTAAGTGTACCCATTCTTCACTTGACACTTCTTTCTGAATAGCTTCTTTGCCACAGTGATTGATTCCCACATTTCTTAGTGGGGCTTTTGAAGTGATTTTGTACCATTTAGGCTTTGATGTGGTTTTACACCGCTGGAGCTTTTGATGTGATTTTATAGCACTTCATGTGCTTTCATCTGTTGCCTTGGGAATTAATGGGCGCTTTGAATTTGAACTCACTAATCCATGATTCATGAATTTAAGATCTCGGAAAAATTGTTTGCCAATCAGATTTTTAATGGACAATTCCATTGAGCTTGAGATTTGTAATGGAATGAGCCCATTGTTTTTAATACCACCAAAACTTGGGATGCGAGATTGGAGACGTCGGGTCTTGAGACGTTAACTTTCACTTGATAGCTCAATATTTTACTAGGCATAACTTACTTTACGTTGACTCCCGGACTTGTTGCGTGGTCTTTGTGACTTTGTACAACAAACCCATGAAGCCCACTTTAACTGATTTGGCAGTTGTGGGAGCAAATTTCATCCCACTAGAATATTCGCATAAGATTCCTTCGTCTTCCCCACTTCTCTTTCTCCCTGCAAAACAGATCGGGGTAAAAGGACCACACCCAGGGAGTGTTGGCCAAAGGCCATCCGATGCCTAAGTTAGGTAGGGTATTTCAAGGAAAACCGGGTGGCCGGAGCCGTGTGTGGTGGCCGAAGCCTTGTGTAAGAGAGAGAAAGAAAGTAGTGGCTAGGGTTTGTGAGAAATAATTTTTGTAGAGTTTCAATAGAAATTTAGACGTACCTTCACCCTTGTGTGTGGCCATCTTTTTATAGTGGTCTCGGAGGCTAGGGTTTCAGAGGAATAATTCCATAGTTGGTAAGGAATTATTCCTCCCCAATTTGGCATTGATTTGATTAATTAGGGATTTGATTTATTAGGATAAATCGAATCCCTAATTGTGGTAGGTATCAAATCAAATCTCAATTTAATTAGGTAATTATCAATTTAATTGGGTAACCCCCAATTAAATTGAGTAACTCCCAATTAGGTTGAGTAATTCCTAATTAGGTCAAATAATCCCCAAATGAAAGGAATTATTTGACCTAGGGTTTTGATTTAATTGGTTCCCACAGCAGTCCTTGATTGACTCAGCTTTGAATTTGAGCGGAACTACACTATTGTAGACGGACTTAAGATGGAGATCTTTCCATGAGTGAAGCCTTGTGTTTTGGCTTTCTCGAACTGGCCTTGAGTATGTGGACTTGTGAAATTTTGAGACATACTGTATCACAAAAGGAAGGCATCGTGCTGCTTCTTTCCTTTTGATCTTTCACGTGGTGGATTAATCACCACAAGAGCCTTCTCTCCAATTTTTTTAATTTGCCTTCACCCCTCCTGATCTTGGCAAAGCAAATATGAATTAGTTTTTTTTTCTTCCTTTAATTGGTAGAACCGAACCTACATCGCCTATTTTTAATTTTCTTGATGCTAACAACAGCAATTGGAATAAATTGGACCTCCTGAGCCTTGTATTTGGGAATTCTTGAACGGCATATTAGGTGGTGTGTTTAAGCTATTTTATAAATATTTGTTCACCAATCATATTACTTGCTTTGTCATTTGAGTTGGCTTTCAGAGCTACCCACACATAATACCGAAGGCTTAATCATCCATTTTCTTTTTCTTTTGCTAAACATCCATTATTCCTCCTGGCCTCATGTGACCTAGTTGAGCAAATACGAATTTAGCAATTCGAAAACTTGTAGCAAAAAGTGGCAGACTTCACACCCCAATGGTTTTTTTAATTGCTAAAGCAACATCAGTGGTTTGAACAAGTTGGTTGTCTTGAGCCTTGCCTCCACCCCATATGACGAGTAGCAATTGAGCTCTTCTTTATGACTTCTTGACTGCCATAAGTCAGCAAAGGGAACTAGCCTTTTTTTGCTGGTGGATCATTGTCATCATAAAAAAAAATCTCATAGCTTATGTTGTTTGCTTGAGACTTTCTAATGATATTTGTGTGCCCTATCCAGCTGGTTCTTTTATGGCTTGGTGCCAAAAGCAAATACCTTTTAATTTGATCAAGACACTCAAGGATAAAAATCCTTCTCCAAGTGAAGTATGAATTAGCCTCCTTATCGCATTGGAACCCCTTGAGGATCCCGGAAAGCTGTAAGCCCCTTGTCCATACAGGATTAGGCAATATGAAATTTTCTTTAAAAGGACATGTGCACTGCAACTTTAAGGAACTAGCAAACAAAGCGATAGCTTTTGATATATTTGCTTTCCCAGACCAGCCCGTAGACTTCCCCAAGACATCTACTGCATCATCAAAAGAAGCAACCAATTGTTTCTTTCCCTCTGAGACATCTGCTGCAATTTGTCTTCTTGCTTCAGAGACCAAAAACAAATCTAGGTTGAGTATTTGCTTAGCCTATTTTTCTTTTCTTTTCGTCTACTGTAGCAATCCTTTCCCTATTGCCAATCTCTTTTCCTTTACTCAATTTTCAATCAAAGTAGACCAAGAGAATCATTCAAGGGAGGGAGGGGCTGTGTGACACAGCCCTTTTTTAATCTTTTTTTTTCTTCTGGCTGCCTTCCTTTTGTTTTGTCTCTTTGCAACTAAACACAAAAAGCACAAGAAGAACAGGCCCTTTTCCGAATAGGATTATGTGTCTCTTTTACATTCGCACCACAGTAAACCAAGGCAAAGAACTCTTCTTTATCACACCATAGACTTTGCTTGACCTCTGCTGCCAATTAGAGAGAATTCATTCTCTTGTTGTGTCCTCCACGTGAGAGCATCCTCATGCATCATCCTCTTATTTTCTTTCTTTAGTTCTTTTTTATTTTTATTTATTGAACTAACTTGGCTTTTGCATGGGCAACAACAGAAGATCTTCTTGTCAATTGGGTGACTCTGGGATTTTTCTTTGCAAGTGATGTGGAACCACAAATTCCCTTGTTGTCATTTGTTTGCTAAAACTTCCCAAGGTCAATAACCAAAGAGAACCTTGAGACTTTCAATTGGCAGGACTCTTCCTTAGAGTTCCACTTCACTTTGCCTTGCTCATCGCCAACTACACACAAAGGGAAAAAAAAACCCTCTTGCTTTCACCTGGTGAGTTCACAAACAGTAGTTTTCTCCTTTGCTTTAATTGTTATTTTGTCTTCATCAGAGCAACAAATCACCATAAACTTGGGTCGGTGTGTCGGTACTTTTCTCAGAGTAAAACCTTTCTTCTTTTTTTTTTTTGTATTTTTTTTAATCTGCATATTGTTGATCTCCAGGTAGTGAGCTTTAATCAAAGACAAACCAAATTGTCTCCGTGTCGTGGGAAATCTTTGAATTTCTTCTTGGGTAATTACATGAATTACCTACCTTTGATTCTTTTCGTTTGCTGTCCATCTCATGACGAACATCATTGAACGATTTTGGCTATTGTGGCGTAACAGTAAGAGGAATCCAGAGAATTCTAGGATTTCCTCTATGTCTTTTGAAAAGCGTTGTACACCAGTTTGGGTTTTGTGATGGCTTGCCCACCATGACAAGCGATTCTCACAAATTGCTTGTGAATCGGATGTTGAACACATATTGGAAGCATTTAATTGGAGTTGCCTATTGGAACAGACGCATCTTAATATATGATGATTGAAATCATCATGGAAGACAATCTTCCCTGTTGGTTGTGGCAATATTGAGCAGAGCCATGCGTTAGAGAGATCCCTACTTTTTTATGATGACAGAAATCATCATAGCCAAGAACATCAAAACCTGGAGTTGTGAGCAAACAAGAAAACTGTGCCATATAACTATGATTTTTACCTTCAGATGGCTTTTGCTTTCTCTAGCATGCTTGCTGTCTTTTTTCCTTCCTGCGGCTGCTCTGTGCTCTGCTTTTTCTCTTTTTTCTTTATGGTCGCAGGCATGGCTCTTTTATAGGCCATGAGCCTAGAGGAGTTTGAGATTGAGTGAACTATCACTCCTTGACCTTTCTTCACCATAAAAACTCACACCATAACCACCGTCATATCCCACATCTTTAGCCATTCCAAATAGCTCTAAGATGGACATATAGTCACCACCAAAATAAGACCATTCACTATCACTTGACCCATTTTGAACTAGTTTACCTCCATGGAAAAACTTAAATGTAACAACCTCATCAGCATCTTTATCTATGTAAGAGGTATGAGGAAGAGTCACTTAACAAAACAAAAAAGGTAACAAAGACAATACAAGGACCACACAAGAACTATCAAAGAGTAGAAAAAGTATACAAACAAAAAAACAAACAAAAAAACTCCCACAACAGTTCAATGCACATGCCAACAACAAGAAAAACGACTGAAGAATGGGTACACTTACATATGGGCTGACAACCTTCAGATTCTCTAAGAACCACCGTCTTTGCACTTTGTAGCCTTAAAATCCAACACCAAATAGTGACTAAACAGATGAAATCGTGCAACCCCCTACCCAGATAAACACATTGACTCAGTTAGTGTTCAGACAAAGAAAAAGCAGCCTTCCTCCCCTATTCAAAGATTCGAGCCCTTCTTTCAGAGATTCCCAAACCTGAAATTCCCTCAACCTAACCTTCTTCTCCCAAATTCCCCATTTTCTCAACCTGGCTAACCCTTCCTTTCCCTTGTTAAGAGATTGAAAAGAAGTGCGCGTCACATCAGCTAACAAAACTTCTCTTAAATCTGACGGAATCGCTTACGTGAGACACTTAATGAAAGTATAGGTGGTATATTGAGACATTTCAAAGAACATGTGATAATCTGAGACTATTTTGAAGGCACATGGGGCATATCCATAAATAAGCCATAAGACCATCTCCAACCCAAAAGGTGAAATGTTAAAATTTGGGTTTTGAGCCCAAAATTCATCTCCCTTGTATTTGGGCAGGAGGAATATGAGTCCAAGCAGAATATCGGGCAGAATATCAGTTTGATATTGTCTGGACTGGTAATTTTTGTGGAGCCCAATAGCCAGTTGTGTATGTGAAAGGAAAAAAAAAGTGGGCCCTGTGCTAGATACTAATGTCGACCACTCCCCTCCTTTCCATGTGACAAGTGTCATGGGCACATGAAGGAGGCATTGAAATCCAACGGCTCCATTTTGAAAGCTCCTGTTTTTTTTTTTTTTTTTTTTTTTTTTTTTTTTTAACACAACAACTATTCCAAAGAAGTTGATGTTTCCCATTTTATTTTATTTTTAAGTCCAACATATATATAATCAATGACCACGATTATTTTTAGGAAATCTCGACGAGAAAAATTCACATCCAACGGCTAAAATTGAAATTCAATGGTAAAATAAATTTTATAATTAATCTAAATTATATCTTATCTCAAAACTCATCCCAAACTCTATAAATACCCATCTTTTTGTTATACTTGCTTTTATTCTTTAAGTCAAAATTATTTTTGGATTTTTTAGATCAAAATATTCAGAAAATTAAATCATGAATGTTGAAACAAAAATAATGTCAATAAAAATTAACAATAAAAAAAATTAGGGATTAACCATTCTTAAACAATTTAATAAAGTTGCGGACTCAAATTATGAGTCTGCAATGTTGGAGGAAAAAATCATTTGAGTCCTAAAATTACATAAATAGTTGTATTTTAGATGGTGAAAATTTGAGTTCAACCTCAACATGGTTGGAGATGGTCTAAGAAAAGCCACTCACACACATTTTTTTTTAATTTTGTCTCCGCTATTAGAGCACCTCCACCGTAGGCCCCCAGCCATGGCAACAGGCCCCCCAAGGGCGATTTGGACCTCCAGTACGCAAAAGGCAGCCCGGGCAAGGCATAGGATCCACCAACCCGGGCAAGCCCACAGGCAATTCTTGACTGGGCTCAACCCCAAAGGCACTAACGTCAGCGTGACGTCACGGCTGACACCAGGGCTGACATGCCCTAATGGGAAAATGCCACGTGGCGCTTGCCGGACACCCTAATCGAATTTTATCTAGAAATTTGACGACCTTGATTTTTGGCTAAAAAAATTTAAAACAATTCAATTTTTTTTTACAAAATACCAAAAAATTGTGGATTTTTTCCCTATAAATACCTAACAATTTTATTCATTTTCCACACCAAATCTTCATATAAACTTTTCTCCTTCCAATATTTTTTACCTTCCACTCACATTTTTCTACTACTTTCCATTTGTATAAAAAAAAACAAATGGCCTCTTCTATCGAAGCAAGAGGCGCGTGGACAACTCAGGAATATATTGTGTTGTGTGAGGGTTGGGTGAAAGTTAGTCATTGCCCGATCACGGACAATGAGATGAAGTTCTGTCATATGTGGGGAAAAATTCATGGAGAATTTTGTGAAAAATCGGGTTCATCTTGGACGGAAATGGCCTTGGCTAGTAGGTGGAAAATTTTGAATAAAGAATTAGGGAAATGGAGAGATGCGTTGGCAAAAGCGAGGGACAACATTTGAAGCGGTTAAAATCTTGCTTATGAGATAAAAGATTTATAAATGCCATTTTATTCAATTTAATGTAATTTTTTTTCTTGCATATTCTTTTTTTTTCTTGCATTTCCAATTTGTTTATATTTTCTTGCAAAATGATTTTGCTTCCAATTTGTTTATATTTTCTTGCATAAGCTTTTTTTTTTCTTGCATTTTCAATATATTTATATTTTCTTGCATATTCATTTTTTTTTCTTACATTTCCAAATTGTTTATATTTTCTTGCATTTACAATTATATATTTTTAATAGATCATACAAACACCAATGTTGGGACGTTGTGAAGAATTGTCCGAGATTCAAAATAATTTCCACAGGTCTGATGGTTGGGAGAAAGGTGGCAAAGGCCAAGAGAGGGAGCACTTCGAATAATGAATGTGCACAACTTGGAGCAAATTGCTAGGAATGGCGCACTAAGAATTAAGAGAGACTTGAAAAGAGAAGAAGCGGATAAAGCACAACATGAAGCATTTGCAATTCAAAGGCAGCAGGCATAAGAACAAGAGATGGAGGACAAAGAGATGAAAATCATGGCCATGGATACGAGCCATATGTCTCATGAAACAAAGCCCTATTGGAAATTAAAACGAAAGGATGTTATGAGAAGAAAACTTTTCCATGACGATGGACCTAGCAACACAGACTGGTTAAATGTTCAAAACCATTAGGTTGTATTGAAAGGGTTGCCATATGTATTAATGTGTTGTATTGTTTCCTATTTATTCAATATGTATTAATTTGTTGTATTGTTTCCCTTTTATTCAATAAAGAAAGCTTTAAAAAAAAATAGCTATTTATTAAAAACATTTCATACATCAAAACATCGCATATTTAAAAACAAACCTTAATTCATTACAAACCACACACAAAATAAAACATAATTAAAAACAAAGCATAATTAAAAACAAAGCATAATTCCAAATAAACCACACACAAAACAAATCATAATTAAAAACAAATCACACTTCATCACTATGATTGTCTTTCATCTCCCACAAGTGCTTGATGAAGTCAACTTGACGTCTCTTGTGAACATATGAAGATTGCATTTCCTGATAACGATCAATCATGGGGTTGTTGTATTGACCGTCCCGATTTAACAATTCGTGCTCCATTGATTGTCCATTTGCTCCCATCCGCTTTTTATAAATTCTAGTCAATGTTGTGTTCATGGGATCGGGTTCGAACACTTCTGGAGCATCATAATCATACTCATCCTCCACAATAATGTTATGGAGGATGAAGCAAGTCATAATAATGCTCCTCAGCACCTCCTCATCAAGAATCTGAGCAGCTCTCTTGATAATTGCCCAACGAGTTTGCAAGATACCGAAATACCTTTCCACGTCTCTTTCCTATAACTTCTTGAAAGGCAGCAAAGCTTTTTTCCTTCTTGGATTAGGGATTCGGAATTGTTTTCACGAATGTCGTCCACCTCGAATAAATTTCATCGGCGATGTAGTATGCACCCAAGTATACAGTATTGTTGATTTGGTATGTGATCGGGGGGAATGACCTCTCAAGTCATCGTTGAATACCGGGGATTGACCAAGCACATTGAGGTCATTCTGTGATATGGCAACTCCGAAGAAGGCATGCCAAACCTGAGTGTCGAATGAAGCTACGGTCTCCAGAATTATACTTTTTTAGCCCTTTCGATTCTCATAATCTCCTTGCTAAGCAGTTGGGCAATTCTTCCACTGCCAGTGCATGCAATCGATGTTTCCAATTATGCCTGGAAAATCTCGAGCCTTGGCTTTTTGTACAAGCCTTCGGAGGTCCCTAGCCGTAGGTTTGCAGAGGTACTCCCTCTTGTAGAGATTTTATATTGCATCACAAAATCCGACCAAGCACTCTAGGATAGTGGATTTTCTCATCCACGCAATCTCATCCACCTGCTCTATAGATGCCCCATACGCAAGCATCCGCAAAGCAGCTATAAGTTTTTGCTCCTGAAGAAGACCCAAAACCCTAATAGCATCATACTTCTTAACGAAGTATGTGTCGTAATTGCAAATATCATGCATGATTTTTTTGGAACAAATGAGGCTGCATTCTATATCTCTCTCGAAAATGAGAAACATGATATAACGAATTTGGGATAAAGTAATCTCCCAAGAGATTCTTATCCCGAGACTGCCTATTTCTGTCCACATTCGGGGCACAACAACGATGGTGTTACCTTGATTCATTGAGCATACACACCGCTACAACCATTTTTTCTCCTCGTCATCGGCCTCACGATCTTCTTCAGTACGTTTGCACCTGATTTCACTCAAAATAATTAGGGTTTAAAACTGATATATTTATTCTTCTCTCAAGGAGGTATATATATATACTACATACAGAGTGGTTACAAATAGGAAATATGTACAAAATCTCCTAATTCTATTCAAATTAGATAATTACAATAAAATAGAAATTCTATTCCTAATAGGAACAAATTCTATTCCTAATAGGAAAGTTGACTCACGCCAACACTCCCCCTCAAGTTGGTGCATAGATATTGGTAATGCCCAACTTGTCAAGTGAGTCTTCAAATCGGTGCTTGGACACGGTATGGGTCAACATATCTGCAAGCTGCTCTGAAGAAGGCACAAAAGGTATGGAAATTAACTTATGCTCCAGCTTCTCCTTAATAAAATGTCGATCAACTTCTACATGCTTAGTTCGATCATGTTGCACCGGATTGTTAGCAATTTCAAATGCAGACTGATTATCACAGTGGAGCTTTGTAGCAGCATTCGGTCTAAAACCAATTTCAACAAGTAACCACCTCAACCACAGTATTTCACAAACCCTTGGGCAATCCCTCTGAACTCAGATTCTGCGGAGGACCGAGACACAATGTTTTGCTTCTGGCTACGCCACGTAACTAGGTTACCACCAACAAAGGTGAAGTAACCTGATGTAGAACGTCTATCTGTAATATTCCCTGCATAATCTGTGTCAAATGTAACCTTCTAGATCCAAGTGACCATTTTTCTTAAATAATAAACCTCTCCCAGGAGCAGACTTTAAATAACTTAAATTACGCATCACATCAGCCATATGATCCTCACTAGGTGAATGCATAAATTGGCTAGCATCGCTTATAGCATAGGCAATATCAGGGCGTGTCAATGATAAATAAATCAATCTCCCAACTAACCTTTGGTATCTTCTCTGTTAGTTGGGACCTGATCCACATAAACACCAAGTTTATGATTCTCAACAATAGGTGTATCAACTGGTTTACAATCAAGCATTCCAGTATCTGCTAGTAGGTCCATGACATACTTCCTTTGTGAAATAAATAAGCCATGTTTAAATCGAGTGACTTCCACTCTTAGAAAATATTTCAAATTGCCCAACTCTTTCATCTCAAATTCAGATGCTAAACGTTTCTACAGTTCCTCGATTTCTACAGTATCATCACCAATCACAATCATATCATCAACATAAATAATCAACAAAGTCACCTTACCAGCCCTATGTTTAATGAATAGAGTATGATCAGTATTGGCCTGTCGGTAACCAAAGTTCTTAATAGTTGTGGTAAATCTGCAAAACCATACCTGAGGAGACTACTTTAACCCGTACAACGCCTTTTTCAATTTGCACACGTTCCCCGTTTCACCGGTAACCCTATACCCTGGTGGAAGACTCATGTACACTTCTTCTTCTAGTTCACCATGTAAGAATGCATTTTTTACATCAAATTGCCTCAGGGTCCAATCCAAGTTTACTGATAAGGACAACAAAACTCTGACAGTATTCATCTTAGCCACAGGTGCAAAAGTATCATGACAATCAACTCCATATGTCTGAGTGAACCCTTTAGCTACTAATCTTGCCTTGTACCTCTCCACAGTACCATCTGCATTATATTTAACTGTAAACACCCATCTGCATTCTACATGCTTCTTTCCCTTTGGTAGATCAACAATGTCCCATGTATTATTTTTTTGCAATGCCTCCATTTCAATATTCATGGCTTCAGCCCACTTTGGATCATTAAATGCCTCCTCAACACGGGTTGGAATTTTAATATTATCCATTCTGGTCACAAACGCTTTGCACTCAGGAGATAACCTGTGATCAAACACATAATGGGTAATACATATCTTGCTTTGCCTTTTGGTGAGTAAAGATCAGGTGGAACCCCACGGTTCCTTCTAGGCGGTAAAACATAAAAATTATCAAAAGTATGAATAGAAGCACTTACCTCAGGAATATCCAGGGGAGCTTGATTGGGTACTATTAGAGAAGCTTCATGGGGGGCAATTGATTTAGTGACAGTAGTGACATCAGTTAAAATAGCAGGTTCAGCTAGTGTAGCATATTCGGCCGGTGTAGCAAGTTCAACAGGTTCAGTTGGTTCTTCCCTTTGTATCAAACTATCCAATACTACTCCCCCTTGTAAATCTAGCCAGTTATGTCCTTCACTACTAGTCTCCCCCTGAAGGACATGCTCAGGTGTATCAGAAAAGAACATTTCATCCTCAACAAAGGTAACGTCCATAGAGACATATAGACGTCGGGTTGTAGGATGATAGCATCGGTAACCTTTCTGATGAGGAGAGAAACCCAAAAAGACACAGCGAATAGCACATGGGTCCAGCTTACTCCTCTGATTCTGATGGAGGTGAACATAGACGACACAACCAAACACCTTTGGAGACAAAGTCAACATAGAAGAGGTAGAGATATGATGGGTCAGTCCTGCATAGGAGTTTGGAAATCCAAAACTCATGAAGGTAAACGATTCAAGAGATAGACTGCATAGGTAACAACATCCATCCAGAACCGCTTTGGAACTGACGCACCAAGCAGCAGAGCACGGGCAGCAGCAAGGATCTACCCATTTTTACATTCAGCAACCCCATTCTGTTGTGGTGTTTGAGGGCAAGTAGTCTCATGGAGTACACCCTTAGTGTGAAAAAAATGGGATAACGCCAAATTAACAAATTCTCCACCATTATCAGATTGAAAAACCTTGATATGGAGCATACATTGAGTCTGAATAATCTGATAAAAACGCTGAAAAATTTCGACCACATCACTTTTATTTTTCATCCCATATAACCACATCATACGAGTACAATCATCCACAAATAACACAAACCAACGAATTCCCAAGGCTGTAGAAACTGGGGAAGGTCCCCAAACATCAGAATGAACTAAATCAAATGGCATAAGCCGTTACAACTTGGAGGGTAGGATACCCGATGACTCTTAGCTAAAATACAAGTCTGACATTAGAAATCAGACTCATTGACACCACTAAATAATGCAGGAAACAAATGTCATAAATATCCAAATGAGGCATGACCAAATCGATAATGTAGCAACCAAATCCGGCGATGTTGAGAAGTTTCAGCGCTACCAGCACGAAGAACCCGACTAGTTGCCACATCATCCACATAATAAAGCCCCCCTTTTTTAGTACCACGACCAAAGATCTCCTAAGTCTGGATATCCTGTAGTAAGATAAAAGACGGATACATCAGTACAACACAATTTAACTGCTCAGTAACTTGCGGTACATATAATAAATTACTAGACAAAGATGGAACCAGTAACACTTTGTCCAATGGTAAAGTAGGTGTCAAGAGTATAGAACCAGCCCTCGTGACAGGAGCAGCATCATTATTAGCAGTCAGAACATGATCACGATGAGGCGGAAGAGTAGTAGAGAATAAAGCAGAATTATACGTCATATGGTCAGTAGCTCCTGAATCAATAATCCAACCTGTATCTCGGGTATCATGGGCATGGAAAGCCTTGCCAAAGTTACCTGGAGGTGGAGGTGTTAGAGTGCTTGAGACGGCGGTCAAAGTCGGAGGAGGAGTAGTAGTAAGGTGGTCAGCCACAGAAGTAGGGGCAACAGCCACATGAGCTTTGCTATCCAGTTGTTTCTTTTTTAAACGTCTCCGCTCCTTCTCCCAATCTGGTACCCCATGTAATGCCCAGCATGTGTAGATAGTATGTCTCTTTTCACCACAGTGATCACACTTCAGTTTGTTTTTTTCTGCAGAAGTTAGGCGACGAGGCGGAACAACAGAAGAGCCAGACCCTGTACGCTGAGAAACCAAAGAAGTGTTTTTGGAAGCAAACACAACAACAAGTTCCCCAATCTTGGTGCTGGATCCGAGCATAGTAATCTGGCGTTGAGCCTCTCGACGAACCATTAAAAATACATTTTCGATACTTGGAACTTTATCACTTCGGACCTTGTCATAAGTATCGTCAAGGCCAGCCAAAAAATCATACACACGATCTGCCATAACAGCAGCCTGAAAAGTCTTCATATCATCAGCACACTTCATCTGAAAAGGATGACTCTTGTCCAATTCAAGCCAGATTGCCTTAAGTTCGGCAAAATAGATAGAGACAGGACGACCCTCTTGCTTGAGACGGGTAGCCTGGCACCGCAGTTCATAGAGTTGAGATATGTCAGAGTCATCATAAAACATCTGATTAACAGCATCCCAAATTTCCTTAGCAGTAGTTAGAGTATGAAACATATTTAACAAATTGGGTTCCATAGTTCACAGCATCCAACTTTTCACAATAGCATCAGCAATTTTCCACTTCCCAAATTTCGGGTCTTTGGAATCAAGGGCATCAGTGTCGCCAGTTAGGTAACCCAATTTTCCTTGTGTGGTAGCATGGAGTCCGATCATCGAAGCCCATATCTCATAGTTGGATCCATTCAATTTGAATCCCATAGGTTGGTTGGTGGACGATTCGGTATGAACCGTCACAATAGGAGTAGAAGAAGAAGAGTCAGTGACATCTGACATGGTGATAGATAGCGGTAGCAGCAAAAGATTAGGGGACGACGACAACAGTAAGAGATATAAGACAGCACATGCTTAGGTGTATAGGCTAGGTGCAGCGGAAATAGGTATTTTTAGGATTAGGGTTTTGATGTTGTAGAGACGGATCGGAACCCGCTCGGATACCAACTCAAAATAATTAGGGTTTAAAACTGATATATTTATTCTTCTCTCAAGGAGGAATATATATACTACATACAGAGTGGTTACAAATAGGAAATATGTACAAAATCTCCTAATTCTACTCAAATTAGATAATTACAATAAAATAGAAATTCTATTCCTAATAGGAACATTGACTCAGGCCAACAATTTCTTCCTCTTCTCGCTCTTGCCTCTCCAACACCCTTCTCATGTTAAACATTGAGAGTAGAATGTGTTTTGTAAAATCTGAGAAATGAAATAATAGAGAAGATATGGTGTGAGAGGTATGAGTTGAGGGTGTAGTTTTATAAAGGGATTGAGAAGATAGAGATGACACGTGGTGCAATTTTAGAGGGTGAAAATCTTATGAGGCGGACCGGTCGACCCAACCCAAGGTCCAACTACGAGCTTTTTAACTGCAACAACTTAAATATACGCTATTGGAGCTGGAATTACCGCGGCTGCTGGCACCAGACTCTGAAATTTGATATTATACTTTTTTAATAAATATCCGAAAATCTTATCTGACATGGGACAAGTGGCGCAATTTTAAAGGGTGAAAATCTTATCTGAAATAAGACACGAGGCAACTGAGAGTCTCATCCAAAAATCTTATATGAAATTTGATGGACACGTGGCAACTGAAAATTTTATGCGAAAATATTATCTGAAATTTTAGGTTAGAATTTATAATAAATAGTGACACGTGGCAACTGAAAATAGTATCTGAAAACCTTATCAAAATTAATAGTTTAAGCATAAAAAATAGAAAATAAATTAAAGTGAATAGTATTTGCCTTGCCCTTATCCTTTATAGCAACTCCACTCATTTGCCCTTTGCCATGGCAAAGAAGGGGCTAGGGCAGCCACTATTCACGTGAATAGTGGTTGTCCTTACAAAAAGTCATTTCCGTTTCCACCCGTTGCCATGGCAAAGGGCAATTACTATTAATTTTTGTGTTTTTTTCACAAATTTTTTTACCTCAATAATTAATTTGGATAATATTTTCTGGTTCCTACATGTCAATACTATTCATATCTCATAATCATATAAAATTTTCCGTTTCAAATTTCAAAAAAATTGGCTAGTATTTATAGAAAAAAATTCATTAATTTTTGGGTATTTTAAAAAAAAATTTCCGAATTTTTTCAGTATTTTATTGCAAAAAAATTGGCTATCGTTGGATTGGAGGAAAAAATTCAATCGGAGAGCTCATACGATGCCACGTGGCAAGAGAAAAAAAAATTCAAATGAGTGGGCTAACGTCAGCGATGACATTAGCCCAAAACTCGGGCTTGAGCTCGGGCGAAACTAGCCCTCGGGCCAGCCCGAGCAAGACTCACCCGCTGGAACGTGGTTTTTCACGCAGCCCGCCCCCAGCCTCGGGCTTGGGCTGCTCAGTGGAACCGCTCTTAGGGTGAAACAGAAAAATGTAAGTCTGCCACTATTTACGTTAATAGTATCAAACTTGCTTTGTCCTTGCCCTTGCCCTTGGGGTGCTCTTAGAAGAGTACATAACGGCGTCGTTGCAGAATCTTCCCTCAAAACCCAAAACCCTAACTCCATCAGAACCAAAACCCTAACGCCAAAAACCACCAGGAGACAGACCAAATTTGAGCTCCTTCAATGGCGGAACCCCAAATCTCCAAGACGTACCCTGTGAAACCCAAGCACAAACCTAAGCCCCGAACCCCAAAACAAACCGCAGAATCCAAATACTGGTCCTCCTTCAAAACCAAGCAAATCCCAGACCTCATCTCCTCCATAACCTCCCTAACCTTCTCACCCACAACCCCACACTCATTCGCTGCGGCGCACTCGGCCTCTCTCACCCTCTACAATCCCCAAAACAAATTTTCACCCACCGCCACCATCTCTTCCTTCCGCGACGTCGTTTCCTCTGCCTCGTTCCGATGCGATGGTCTCCTCATCGCCGCCTCAGACCTCTCGGGCCTGGTCCAAGTATTCGACGTCAAAACCCGAACCCCACTTCGCAAGCTTCGTTCCCACACACGCCCAGCCCGTTTCGTCAAATACCCAGTTGCCGATAAGCTCCATTTGGTTTCCGGCGGCGACGACGCAATCGTTAAGTACTGGGACGTCTCCGGCGAGACCCCAATTTGCGACTTGCTGGGCCACAAGGACTATGTGAGGTGCGGCGATTGCTCACCGGTTAGTGCGGACATGTTCATAACTGGGTCTTATGATCACACAGTGAAGCTTTGGGATGTAAGAGTTAAGGATTCTGGGTCAGTAATGGAAGTGAATCATGGCAAGCCGGTTGAGGACGTAATTTTCTTGCCATCCGGGGGGTTAATTGCAACAGCTGGTGGCGATTCTGTGAAGATTTGGGATTTGATGGGAGGTGGAAAAATGGTGTATTCAATGGAGAGCCATAACAAGACTGTGACTTCGATTTGTGTTGGAAAACTTGGGAAGGATGTTGGGGAAGAAGCACAGCAGTACAGGATTTTGAGTGTGGCATTGGATGGTTATATGAAGGTGTTTGATTATGCCAAAATGAAAGTTACTCATTCCATGAGGTTCCCTGCTCCCCTCATGTCAGTAGGGTTTTCGCCGGATTGTTTGACCAGGGTTATTGGGACTTCGAATGGGACAATATACGCTGGGAGGAGGAAGAACAAGGAAGATTTGAGGGTGGCTCTGATGAGGAGCTAGAGAGGCCGCTTTCCAAATATGAGAGGAGGCAAAAGAAGCTGAAGGCGTTAAGCTCTGGGGATGCTGGGGGATTGGGACCTGTGGAGGAACCACAGGTTCAGGTTTTGAAGCCTACTAATTTTCGATATTTCCACAGAGGGCAAGGAGAGAAGCCATCCGAGGGGGAGTATTTGGTAATGAGACCAAGGAAAGTGAAATTAGGCGAGCATGACAAGCTGTTGAAGAAATTTAGGCACAAGGAAGCTCTAGTGTCTGTGTTGGGTAGTAAGAATCCGGAGAATGCTGTGGCTGTGATGGAGGAATTGGTAGCAAGGAAGAAATTGCTGAAATGTGTTTCGAATTTGGATACAGAGGAGCTCGGATTGTTGCTGATGTTTTTGCAGAAGCACTCGACCGTCCCTAGTTACTCAGGGTTGTTGATGGGGTTGACAAAGAAGGTTCTAGAGATGAGGGCTGAAGACATTAGAGCTTCTGACGATTTGAAGGGTCATATTAGGAACCTTAAAAGGTCTGTTGAGGAGGAAATACGAATACAACAATCATTGCAAGAGATACAGGGTATAATTTCTCCTTTGTTGAGGATCATGGGAAGAAGATGAAACTTGATTGCTTTTTTTCAATTTTCATGATCAATTTATCTTATGTTTTTTACTTATTACCTGCCTGAGGTTTCTTCTTATCATGGCAAGACAGTATCTGCAATTTTGTTTCTTTGGAATCTACTCTGAATGTTGTTTCTTTTATGGTGTTTAAAGTGGTCTCAGTTTTACTGACAAGAAATGTTATCTCATGTTAAGTATACTATTCACATCTCATACTTTGTCTTAAATTTGCTTAGTGAGTTGTTTATCCTTGGGGATATAATCCCTAGTTCGTCAGAAGGTTAGGTCAAGTTACGGAACATGACATGAAATGCTGTATTTATATCCTTGGGGATATAATCTGCAGGGATGCGTACATATAACCGTGTTCGTATCTTGTCATGTAGTAGCTACAATGTGATGAGTTATGCATGCTTGTCAATTTTATTGCTTTGATGTTTGTAACCTACAACTACAGGTGACAAAAATTCTTAAGACATTTTCGACTGTGACGAGTTACATGAAACTTTCATTCCTTCGCTTGTGAATGAAAAACTTAATTCAATTGGTGGGCATGTGGAGTTTTGCATGGTAAATTTGTACACTCACTTACCAACTTCTTGCATTTCACTAGAGGTTGTGACAGACATGATTGGAGCTTTGGATTTGCTCAATTCTCTTAACTCTTTACTTCGTGAGGTTGGTTTTGCTAATGAAAGGTCACAATTAGTTCTAAAAGATTGTCTTCGTAAACTGGGGTCACTTTGTAAATTTTGTGTTCCTAATTTGAAAATTTTGGAGAAAATAAGGAAATTCTGCTTGGCAAATGCTTCCTTAATATTTTGCATCGTGTCAAGCTCTGCTAAATTGCAGACAGAGAAAAAGGCACCCTTGCATTTGTTAGTGATTGATGAAGCCGCTCAGCTTAAAGAATGTGAATCAGCAATTCCTTTGCAACACCCGGGTCTTCGCCATGCTGTTCTCATAGGAGATGAGAGGCAACTCCCTGCTATGGTTTTAAGCAAGGTTTCATTTTGTCCTTTGTGCTGTATAGTTAAAAAAATTTGTAAAGCTTTATTCTTTATGTGAATTTTGAACAATGCACTTTCAGATCTCCGAGAAGAGAAGGGTGGTTTTGGAAGAAGTTTGTTCGGAAGACCTCTACTGTTGGGACATGAGAGGCACCTTCTCAATGTCCAGTATAGAATGCATCCATCAATCAGCTTATTCCCAAAAATGGAGTTTTACAACAACCGGATATTAGACGGTCCAAATGTCAAGCAAAGAAGCTATGAGAAGTGCTTTCTTTCAGGAAAAATATAAGAATGCTACTCCTTTATATGATGTAGCCAATGGACAAGAAGAATTTGATTGCGGGCATAGTCGTAAAAATATGGTTGAGGTTGCTGCGGTCTGTGAAATTGTTGCAAGCCTTTACAGAGGTAATTTTTGCTGTATTCTAGTTTAGATGTTCTTAACTGCTTCAGTTATGCTTGTAATGCTTGGAAGGTTTTTCTGTAACTTTTTTTATGGACCACAGAATTTATTCGAACAAAAAAGAAGGTTAGTGTTCTGGTAATATCATCTTACAAAGCTCAAGTTAATGCAATTCAAGAGAGAGTAAAAGAATTACAGTGGAGTTTCTGGCACTGATGGTTCTCTGTAAGTGTTCAATCTGTTGATGGTTTCCAAGATGGTAAAGATGATGTGATAATTAATATTATCTCCAGAGTCAGATGTAATGAGAAAGGATATGTAGGTTTCATATCCAATCCCCAAAGAGCAAACGTGATGCTAACGCGTGCAAGGTGCTTCTGTCACATTGCGGTTGTACATGTAGTAGCTTAGGTGTACTGTCTGAATTTTTAGTGCTTCTGATGAAGTTGATTTGTTTCTTTGTGTCTGTTGACACTGTCTTTGGATTTTGGGGAATGAAGCGACTTTGATTAGAACTAACTCTATTTGGAAGAAACTAATTCTTGATGCAAAGAAACGCAAATGTTTTTATAATGCTGATGAGGACAAGAACTTGGCTTAGGCCATTGCAGCTGCCCTCATGGAGCTTGGCCAACTTCATATTCCACTTGATTCCGATTCTCTGCTGTTCAAAAATGCCAAATGGAAGGTGTGCTGCTACGTTTCCTTTCCGTTTGAATTATGTTGGACTGCTGTTCTGCATGCCACCAATATGTAGTGTTATGTTGCACCTGACATTATGAATCAAAGCTTATAGAGTGCACAAATTTCCCTTGAATGGGGAAACATGCCTCTTTAAAGGTGAATTCGTTCTTTTAGATCCCATTTGGTTCATGGAACAGATTTGATGGGAAATCATTTTTCATATCATTTTCTAAAGGGTGGGAAATGACAATTCCTTTCCCATGTTTGGTAATGCTGAGAAAGTAACTTGGAAATATCACTTCATTTCCTTTCCCAAAATGGAAAACAAATTTGTATAGTTTCCCAATTGTACCCTTATTAAAAATATGAAAAATATGTTCATTTTGTTAGAAGTATAATACCCACCTTGTTTGAAGTTGCTCTGAGGAGGAGAATGTGAAAACTTGGGTGAGGTTGAAGTTTTGCCTTCCTTGTGTAAACAAAGTTATGAGAAATACGTTCTAGGGAAATAGAATGTTGCTGGGAGGATTTTAAGAATTATGAATTAAAAAAATAAAAAAGAATACTAATAGTTGTTGGATAAAATTGTAATTATAAATTATTAGTAAAAATAAATTAGTCAAAAAAAATGTGCATTTAATGATATCCTTACTTTCTCATGAGAAGGGAAAGTAAAATCCAAGGAGGGAGGATGGCTTCACGTTTCCCCCTATTTTTCCAGTTGCCAAGTAACGGTTTCCCATACTTGACTTATCAAAAATAGGAAAGCAATTGATTTTCCATCCCTAAGCTTCCCTTGTCCATGAACCAAATGGGACCTCAGTCCACATAAAAATTTTAATGACTTGGTTCTTAGGGTATTTGAGTTTAGATTTTATGTTTTGTAGCATTAAATCAATCTTCTTCCTGTATAGGTTTGCTTCACCAATGAATTTCAGAATTCCATAAAAATAGATTAAAGACACTGAGATTCGTCCGGAAGATTTGGGATGTTCTTCCAGTTCCTGATAGTCCCGAACTTGAAAAGCAGCTTGAAATTATGTTTCGTTGCTATACAACCGATGAGATGAGCCTCTGGCTGCGCAGATGTGTTGGGTAAGTGTAAGCGGCTTGAAATCATGTTTTGACAAGTTTAATAGAACAGTACATTTGTGCTGAAGCTGATTGATTGAAAGTATTCTATAGACATGGTTCAGAGACGCAGTTCCGATTAGATTGCAGGTGGATTCGAGCAGCTCCCATGAGGCTGATCCTGTGTGGAGGTTCTTTCAAAACCATTATCTTCACTCAGTCTAACAGATGAGCCACAAACATCAAGCAACAACATATGTTGATCTTGAAGGTTGCGGCCATTACCTGATGATGATGCAGAAAAAAGATTAGAAATATATGTTGATCTTTGATTACTTGATTTAGCAATTCGATCAAACAATTACTTCGGTTTCGGATTCCGAAGTTCGGATTCACAGCGGCCGATTTGATCCCCTCGTGCATTTGTGGTTCCTCCACAAGAAATATAACTTGGATATCATGTGTTATGATTTATGGTTGCATAACAAAAAAGAATTAGATTTGTGTACAAACAAAGCACAAGAAATTAGATATCGTAAGAAGAAACTACGATATTTAAAATACTAATTAGCATAAACCATTTGCATTACAAAAAGTTACTGGAAACTTTGTTTTTACTACTTCTCACCCACTGCTACAGTCTCCCATTCTCATCCCCTACCCAGACAAACTCAGAGAAATCGAAGTCGCAACGCCAAGCGCGTACACCCCAATCGCCGTCCCAATCAACTCCTTCCCGGACCTCGTCACGGCCCCAACCCCAGCAATCCCAGCCACGCCAATCGGAACGCGCCACATCACCGCCTTCCTGGCGTTCTCCACCACAGCTCCGGTGAAGAGCTCCACCGCCCACTGCTTGAACTCGGCCGGGCCGATCGTCTGGGCCCGCGGAGAGCGAGTCACGGCCTCGAGGGCCGAGTCGACCCGGGAGCGAGTAGGCGGAGATGGGACCCATTTGAGGATGAGGGGGTGGGGGTGGACGGTGTGCAGCGTTTCGTGGAGGTGATTGGAGGCTGTGGAGAGCTGGTAGGGGAAGACGCCTTGGAAAGCGTGCTCGGTGAGCGAGAGGCAGTGAGTGAAGGCCGAGTCGCAAGCTGAGTCGAACGCGGCCGAGTTGGAGAGCGACGACTTCACTCGCTTTGAGCTTGAGATTCCCATCTCTCCTTCCCCTCTGGTTTTATGCGCGCAGCGTTGGGTTTCACGTTTTGAGGCCCCAACGGATACTGTGCCGGTATTTTATGAGTTTATCTATTTATTTGCTGATATATATTATTGGAAAAGGTCCACATTTTTTCCCTCTCCTTTGTGGGATTTTACACTTTTATTCAGATGTTATTGATTAGTTTGATATTTATTGCAAATTCAATTTCGAGAAATTATAGAATGCTATAGTAGTATAGTCACGGGATATATCTTGTACATGTATTATAATATGTGTGAACGATATGGTTTATTTTTCTCTCTTTTAAGGAATAGTATCAATAAATATCCACTTATATTATAATATGTATATAAGATGTAACATGTGACCGTACTATCGTAGTATACTATAATCACTCATTAAATTCCCATCTAAAACTTTATAGTTCAATATTTTATGAGTTTCTTTATTTATTTGCTGATTTTTTTGGTGTTAATCAGCATTTTTCTGAATTATAATAATAATAAAAGAAAATTTATTTCAAAGAGTCACTTTTTGTTTTCTTATTTGTCTTTGTTTTAATACCTACGATATGTGGGAGGGGGGAATCAAATCCAAGACTTCAAATACATGTGTAAATATTGTTAACCATTTGAGCCACAAGACTTGTAGCTTCTATAAGTTTGATATCCATTGCAATTCAATTCCCATCCAAGATTCTGTCTAGAATAAATGTTTACATATCTCATCACATGATTATAAAGGAATTAGAAAGAAACTTGAACTTATCTTTTAAATTGCAATGAATATGAAACACTGAAAATGAAAATTGGAATTAACATTTATTTTTTTAGGAAGGCTACTCTTACCAAATTTGTATACCACATCTATCACATAAGATGATATGAGAATGTGATATACAAATGTGGTAAAAATAACATTTACTCATTAATTTAACATTTTCTTTCTTTTATAATTTATTGACACTTTTTAATTGTGATATGAAAATGTGGTAAGAGTAGCATTATTTTTATTTATTTATTTTTTATGGAGGCGAAACACCAAAATTCTTGGGTTTGGTTGTTAGTGTTGCCCTTTGGAAGTTTGAGAAACACTTTCATTATTATGCTACGTGTGATAACATTTTCACTTCCATATTATTAGCCAGGATAGCAAAGTGGCAACCAAAAATATAAAAACCAAAGTTGCAACAAGTTTGGCTCTTGAGTTTGGGTGTAAGGTTTCTTAAACCTCAACGACCTCGCTCCACAGTCTACAGGATTACAACACCTTCCATGGAAGCTCTCATGGGTTCTATCAAATTCCATATTCCTCAACTGGGTTTCAAGCAAAACTACCCAGAACCCCACCTACGCTATCGTTTGGCGTTACCTTCTTCTTCTTCAACCCCAAGCCACATCGTCTGTGGCCTCAGAGGGGGACCAAGAAAGCCTTTATGGAGGTCAAGGGTGCTCTCAACTGAAGCCATTCAGGCAGTTCAGTCTCTAAAGCTTTCCAAATCAAACCCATCAAAGCTCGAGCAGGTTATGGGCGGTAGGCTCTCCAGGCTCTTGAAAGCTGACTTGTTAGACGCCTTGGCTGAGTTACAGAGACAAAATGAAGTGGAATTAGCGCTCAAGGTTAGGGTTCTTCCCTTTGGTCATCATCTCTCTTGCGCAATGTTTAGAAAATTTATAAAAGAAAACGTTTGGCAAAATTACCCTTTACAATTTGGATTGTTATTGTTGTGCATAAACGACTAAACAGGATACCAAATCGTCAAGAGCATGTTTGATAATCTTTTTGGCTTTTGGGGTTTGGGAAATAAGTGAGAGGGTATGCTCTCAGCGGCACTAAAAGTAAATTTGAGAAAATTATGACCACAAGTCCAATTATATGGAATTTATGGATTTCTTCACACCAGCAAGTGACTTTTTATTCTGAAGTTCAATGAACTTTGGTTTTGTGATCAGATATGAATAACTGAATGTTGATTGTTGTGAGTATATCTTTGGATATATTAGTCTGTTCATAAGGATTTGAATTACGTGATGGATAGTTTTGTTGTCAAAGGATGTATCTTTTTCATTCTGCTTAGGATATTCTAAAGAATATCAAAAGTTATTAAGCCATAAGTGCTTTCTAAATGATTCTGAAAGGAATAGGAAGATGAAATTTTCTTACTTTTTCTAATTTGAATAATGCAATGCTTTTCTGGTTACGGTTCTGATTATAATTCAAAGTCCTTATTTTACTACTTAATTTGGGATGAAATAAATGAGAAAAATGGTTTATCTCCTGCTTTTTGCCACTTTCACAGCTTCAGATTTTCTTAATGTAACTTACAACAGTCACATAGTTTTTTTTGAGGCATGAATAAGAAACAAGCCCTTTGCTGCCAATTCTGGCTGCTCATTCAACCAGGTTGGAATGTTTAGTTAGTTTGAACAGTGCATGATGTGATTAAATTGTAGTTCTATACAATTAACAATCCTGTAATGGCTAGTTTGTAAGTTTCAGAATTTCTGACTCCAGTTATGAAAACTGTAAAACTAAGGGTTCGTTTTGTGATCATTTCGTTTTTAGTTTCCATTTTTTGGCTAGAGATAGAGGGGAAATGTATGAAGCAATGAGACATGAAGGGGGGTGGTGAGAGGGAGGATTGAGAAAATTAAGGAGAATGTAGGAAACAAAAATTCGAAAACGAAAACAACTTAAATTTATATATTTTTATTTCAGTTTTTAGTTTTCATCTTATGCACCATTTCACAAGCATTTCTTTCACATCCTCCCACCATCCTTCCTCCATCCTTCTTCATCTCTCCGTTCTCCTATATATTTTCCCTCCATCTCTAACAAAAAATGCAAACTAAAAACAAAATGGTCACAAAGCAAGCTCTAAGTTGTCAACTACTTTAATCATAATGTTTTCTATGATAATAGTTTAATATTGTTATTTTCAACTTGAGATGTTATATGTTATCTGAACTGGAATCAGGCTTTAGGTCTTCAAATTTGTGCGGGAGGAAGTATGGTATAAGCCAGATCTATCATTATACTGTAGCATGATCCTATTGTTGGGAAAGAACAAACTGATTGAAATGGCTGAAGAGCTTTTCTCTGGATTAAAGGAAGAAGGATTAGAATATGACACTAGGGCTTTTACTGAGATGATTGGAGCTTATATACAAGTGGGTATGACCGAAAAGGCAATGGAAACATATGAGTTGATGAAGGCATCAGGTTGTGCGCCAGATAAATTAACGTTTACAATATTGATTAGAAACCTTGAGAAGGTTGGAGAAGAAGAATTGGCGGCTGACGTAAAGAAAGATTGTGCTGAATATGTAGATTCTCCTGAGAAATTCTTTGAAGAAGTTGAAAGAAAACATGTAAGTGTTCAAATATTTATGTTCTGACCTAGTCCATAACATATGAATATGTTGTTTTGGGGTTAATGAGATAGAATCGTCTGTTGTTAAGGGTGTCTGCAGTGAATTTGTGATAGTTATTTTCTTGTAATCTCCATCTTAAGTAATAAAATTTCATGCCTTCATCATCTGGAAATGCAGGCCAGAGGCCAATCAAGTTCATATTTAGTGTTCTGCAGTAAATGTTTTTTTAATCACTTTCTATTACCATTTCAACTGTAAATCTTGGGACGCACAGAGGCTGAGTACATCACAGATGAAGTAGGCTATATACCGCAATAACATTTTATTCCTGACTTCTAGTATCAATTTATCCAATGTATAAAGTCACTCTAGTTCCTTGCAAAGAATTTTGATTCCTTGGTTCTAAAGAAATCCTAGTACAAGCATTTTATAAAAGGAGATAAAGTAAACAAAGGGTTTGGTGGGTACTTGATTTCCTCACTCATGTGATCCATGTTAGGGAAACTAGTTGTTGTGGATGTCATGTTGGTTAAAAGTAGGGTAAGGTCATCTCTTAGCATTTTTCAAAGTGGAATGTGAGCAATTTTAAACTTCATTGGAAGTTGTTAATCTTATATTTGGCTGCCTATCATTAGAAACATATCTATCAATGATACAAGTAGTTTTATGTTTTCTCTTTATAGGAGACGTACTTCTGATCAGTGTGTAAATCCATGACCATGGAAAAATTCTTCAAATAGAGCCCCAGTAGAATCTAGCTTTAACTGGATAAATTTGTGCTTCTTACATATTGTTCATTTTAGTATGAAAAATGTGGAAATATTTAAGGAGCATATGACACTTTAAATGCATTTCCTATGAAATTTAGTTCATCCATCTATTTAGAATTTTACATTTTAAGTATCTGACTGCTCCATTTATTAGTAATTTATTACTGCAGAGGACGAGAGCGCTCAATCTTGTTTGATAATTTCCTGCTCTTGGGACTGCAAATATCGGGTCTGTTGACAGTGGTATTACCAGTACAGAAAGATGGTAGGTCAGTCGCTCGTTTGCGTGCGTGTGGACGAATTCCTGGTCATTGATGCATTGTGGACCACGGACCTTAGTAATGCTCATGTGAGGAACTAGAGAAAATGGTTTAACAAATTTTTTTTTGTAATTTATCATAAGGCAGCATGTTCAGAAGCCTTTTTCGGGCTATTGCATTCGTATTAGGGAAAATTGATTTAAGATCTATAGAGTACAACCTCCTCGCAGAACAATTTTGTGATTATATATCTTGTTCATTACATATGGTTGTGCAATAAATTCGGATTATGGAAATATTGCATGCTTGTCATCCAAGTAAAGCAAACGAAGAAAATTTGGATGTATCATATATGGCAATATTGCATGCCTTTCCTCTCCTTCCTCTCCCTCCCATCCAGTGACAAATTAACTGAACATAACTGGTAATCAGCAAATTAAGTTTTGTTTGTTATATGGAATCTGAGGTTATAGGCAGGAGGAGGTTTTTATTTTATTATTTTTTGTATGCCTTTTTCTTCTTCTCCCTCTCTTTCCTTTTAATGGATCTGTAATTGTATTTTAAAAATTTCCAGAAGGAATTATGAGTCTCATAGGTCTATGCGGAGATAAAAGCAAACCCAGCCACCAGTGTGCAGAGTGCACAAGGGATTGTATCAGGATTTGCAGGCAGTTTATTAACTTTATGGAAAGCATTGGGTCACAAATTCCATCAGCTCCATTCAGAGAAAGAAGAGTACATAATAATACATCATTTTTCTTTTTCCTCCACTGATCAAAGCCGAATTCTACAACGAAATGCTTGAAAATGCAAATATTACAGACACCTGATACTATATGGGCAAGGCCCTCCACCATAACAGAAACCATCGTAATAAAACCAAATTAAGATCAGAAAAACGGACAACCAAATGAAGAAGAAAAAAACAAGCAAACAAACAAATTACAAAGCCGCTAATAGATATTACAAATTCCTTTTAGTTGGCTAAATGGCTAGGAGAGCTATTGAACAAACTGTGCCACATGAAAGCTCTTGAAAGCACCATCTCTAGCTCTTGGTGAGTCCAGTTATTAGTTGGAAGGTGTTGAAGAAACATAACCAACTCTTGGAAATCAAGCTTCTGAAGCTTATCTGACCACTGAATCAAATAATAGTGCTTTTTAAGTTATTGACATCCACTTCATTGAGCAACCAAAAAGAAAAAACAAGCAATTTCAGCTGACCACGCAATAACAGAAAGGCAGTCATTCCTCATACGTAATACACAGAGCCAGAGAATACAGAATTAGCCATTCAGATTCTCTGGAGTCAAATTAACCCAAGCACAACAAATGTAGTATGGAAAGAAATAAGTTGTTGCATACGTGCAGAAACAATCTGGAGAGAAGGCAAACATGGGCCAGGAAAATTAGCAGAAAAGCCAATAAAAGGCGACCTTCCCTGAGCCTCCCAGTCACCATTAAAAACATCATGCATGGTATTGCACGAAATTGGTAATTTGTGGGGCCTGACGTTTTTGTTCCACACATAACCATTCCCAGATTCTAAGATATGAAAGAAACTTGAAAAAGGAAAAAGAAAAAGAAAGAAGAGCACCAAAATGGTCACTTCAATGATAAGCAAGAATGCACCCACTATTTCTGTTAATGGAAAGTAGTGCACAGTATATTACTTCAGTTTTGAACAAGTTGGATGCCATGAATGCTATTCAGAAAAATCTTTGAAACAATCTATTAGGTGTCAAAGCATTATAATAGATTTCTTCCATAACCAAAGCTGAGAAAGGTATGTCAAACATATTAGCTTAGACCCCCCATAATTTACTGAAGGCAAAGAAAACACATTGTTAATGTACAAATAAATCAACAGATGCATTTTCTTACCACAGCTAATACATCCAAATATGTAACCAAGGAAATTATATCCTTTCAAAAGCAAGAATTTCTATCTTACCGTTAAAAGAAAACTGGCAAATATATACACAAGGAAGTCTGGCAATGCATCTCCTTCAGCAAGATATGTATCCCATAGGCGAGTAATAAGATGGAAAGGAATCTGAGCAGGATAAAGAAAAAATTGCCATTAGCTTTGCAATAAATGACAAAACCACAACGTTGTGACCAAATTTCACTTAGAAACATTCTCAGCTACCCAAAAACCTTAGGGTGACATTGTCCATAATATATGAATATGGTTAAAACAGGGAAATCTACAGAAATGTATGCAGAAAAGATCTTTAGGATCACACCTCACGTATTAAAAGACAGTTGAACCAGCGGAAAGCAAATTGAAGAAATTCTAGCCCTTGCTCCTCCATGTGCGTAGATACCGGTTCTAGTACAGTAAGAATAAATCGTAAGTATACACATGAAGGATAATTGTAAAACTTTGACAGGTTTCTCTTCTAAATAAGAAATATCCCTAGAAATATACTTTCAAGAATTCACATTTACCGATTAAAGAATCCTCCTTGCTACAATAAAAATGTGTACCAAAATTTTATTGCATCAGGTGGAGAATTGGAAAAACAGTAAATGCAAAGAAAATTACCCCAAAATCTTTATAACATATAATAGCCAACCCCAAATTTAGCCTGATGCATGCCTCTACCCTCAATGGTGAATAATGTGTTTAAAGGACTGTGGATCAATTTTCTTAAAGTATCCTGTGGGCTTTGTGTCTTGCACTGAAACTGTTTAGGGAAATGAGTAAACTGGGTTATTCCAAGATTCATTCTTTCTCTTCTTTGCAAGAAGGATAAAGTGGCAGAAAGGTTAAAGAAAGCCAAAGTTATGTAGGGTTGCATGGTCCTCACTGTGTTCTGGGTATTTTGGCTGCAGAGAAGCAAAATGATTTTTGAGGTTCTAGCCCTTCGCTGGCATATAGGCCCAAAGGAGAGTTCGATATTAGCTCTCTTTTGGCATCTGTTTCCACAGAAATTAGGGGCTTATCTTTTACAGATATTTGGTTAAATTGGCAAGCATCAGATGTTCATGTTTTGGTTGGGTCTGTTTTAACAATACATAGTTCTTGTAACTTTGTTTTGTTGTTTCCGTGAAGTTTGTTATATTCACTATTCCGTAATTCTATTGTTTATCCATTATAAAATAGGTACAGTTTTCAAAATAAATAATAATATAGAAGCATACATTTTAGTATAATGTTTGCGGATTTAACACAAGTACTGAATTTCCTTTCATGAATTCCTATATGTTCAGAATGCTCCATTCTTTAGCCAGCTAAATCCTACATATGTGAAGTCATGCCTGCCATACCCATCTCTAGACCACTCTACCACCTTTTAATTACTCTCTATTGACAACATAACCTACACCCCAGCAACACAACCAACTCTTTCTCAAGTACCCTATAGGAATTGGAGCCTTTTGCCTTGGCTCCCTCATTCGCCACTGGTTATTCGTAAGTCCTAATATGCATAAAGAAAAGCAATGAGACTTCCATATTGAAAACTATGACAGAGGAAAATATTTAATTCTACAAATAATTTAGAGAAATATTCAACAAAATTAATGAAAATGCATCTTGTAAGTCCATACAAAATTAAAGTATCAGTTCATGCAGAAAAAAAGGTGCAAGAAAGAGAAACTAAAAACAGAGAAATGGGGGTTACCATCAATCCGCCTGACCACTTCCTTTAGCTTAAACACAAGCCTCTGGATTCCCGGCTGGGCAAATGTGTAATGGTCTTGCATACCATCAAGTAACTTTGATAGACACCAATAGCAATCAGCCTCTATGTTAGATATTTTATCAGGAGACAGATCAGAGAATGACCAACTATCCACACTCCCTTCTAAGTATTCTGATAAGAAAACGACTAGAAAGGGAGTAACAAGGTCATTTATTCCCTGAACATATCCACTTGCAGGATGTCTAATGGCCCTGAAAGACATTAGGAAAAGCAACTTGAAAAGACATCCTAATAATCATAAGAACTACATAATTTGAGAAACAAATAACTCCAAATGGTGGCATCTTGAAACCATGCTCCATATCTCAATCAAATTTTTAAAAGCTAAATTACTGGAACCCGAAAACTGCTCACCCAACTAGTCATGCTAGCATAATAAGTATTGGCATAATCTTGTCACTTTGATAAGTAAACATTATGACTCACTCTGTCAACGTATGGTCCACATCTAAGGAAAACACTTACCATCCAAAACCGATGGAATAAAACTAGAACCTTAAAACGTCCTGATCATAAGATTCAATAGTAATGTATGTACATATATGTTCAGTTAACCGACATGTTGAGAATCAGGCCCCATGTTTCCCTGCTCTCTAAACGTACGGTGTCAATATAATCAAGCTGCAAAAATATAGTGTAGAGAATACATTGCAACATAATTACCCCAGTGTTTAATGAACCCAAGGCCTTTGGATGAACACAACAACTAAGACAATTGGACAAAAACATAAAAGACAAAGGCCAAACATATCAAAACTGGTAAATCTGTTGGAGAACTATCAAGGAATTTTTGTTTTTGTTTTTGGGGGGGAGGGTTGGCAAGTCCTGTTAAGTTAACCAAAAAAAAAATTCCACATTAATGCAATATTTCTCTCTTCCTGACATGAACACATAAGGCATCCAAAAAAATAAACAAGGACAGGTATAGTATTTTAACCATGTGTAAAGGATGCGTTCCAAGGATTTCTGGACTTGAGCTTGCTGAAAAAAAGATACATCTGGCACAGTTCTTGGGCAATCGACAGCAATCTAAAAAGGATAAAAAAGCAATTGTCAAAATCATGAAGCACGAATTACACTAAGCAGGTAGGCATTGTGGGTAAAATTTAAACCACCTGGCGAAGCATGTTTATCTCATCATCTGAACGCTCAGTATCTGGAATGTCATAATACTGGGAAACACAGTCAAGATACTCAAGGCGCTTCCTTTTCAGAACTCCCCCCCTTCTATCTGAATTAGGTGGTGCATATCCCTGTTGTCAGTTCATGTTTAATTTCAAACAAGCAACAATGTTTACCAGATAAAAAAAATCCCAGGTTATTAAAATGGCTGATAAAAATAAACTCCTTTTATAGGAAATGATACTATCTTGAACAAATTCTCTAGGACTTCCATTTCAATTACCAAAAAGAATAAAACAAAAAAAATATTAATAAACAGAAAAAATAAATAAATAAAAGGTTCTAAACAAAAAAAGAAAGTGAGTGAAAAAAAAAAAAAAAAAAAAAAAAAAAAAACAAAAACACCTGCAAATTCAAAGCAATGGGCGGAACAATGGACACCTAGGGTGCACTTGACAACCCTGACCTAGCTGCAGGCATGGATGGTTGCAATAAACAAAACCACAGAACTACAGAAGGCAATACAAAGTAAACTAAACCTAGTGGACCATGAGGAGAACCTTGCACCTTCTATGTCCATAATGCTCCCTCTCACAAGGTTTGCACAAAAACAATGGCTTTTTTGGGATTCATCACTTTTGTGGAGCTTTGCAAGGACATGCCTTTGCGAGCCTATTATACTATATGCAAGCCATACAAAGTGGAAAATTTTCATGTAATGCCCACCCTACTTGCAATCCTTCTAGCAGTCCAATGGGAAATAACATGACAGCTAAATTCTTTGGTTGAATACTATCCAATGACTAAAATTCTAAAACTTTCAATGTTAATCTTAAAAGTATCAAAGCATCGAGCTTACCAAAAGAAGTCTCCATACATCAGGTCGCATATATGGTGGTATGCCACTCCAAGCCAACTCACGCAACTTCTCTACACAAACCATAGAAAATTAAATTTTTGAAAAGAAAAAGGAAAAGGAAATAAAAGATACAGAGCTTGGTTAGCAACAAACAAAATTTGTGGAGGTAATAGATATATCAAAAGAGTAACAATAACAAGTGTGCAAATTTAGATCACATGATGAGGTTGGCCGGTGATCATGAAGATTGGGTTATAGAAAAATGTAAAGCTCCTAAGCAAGAAACAAGAACCAGAACATATTCTAACAGTTACAAGCACGACCCTGCTGGCATAACTATAATTTCATCAAATTGGAGGGAGAAAAGAAAGGGGAAAGAGTAATGACTTAGTCATTATACCCAGTATGACTGTTGTCCCTGAAAGGACCTTTGTGAACTTTATAATTCTTGCAGAATCAGTAGCTCTAGCACCCATGGTGGATTTTTGTGCTTCTTTGGAAGTATTCTCAATATTTGAGGTTGATGAATTTAGGCCATTTGAATTTTCATTATTGCTTGGCTTGTTTGGGTTCTGCACTTCTTCCTGTGTTAGAAGTAAAAACCAAGCTGTTACATTCTCAGTTAATAATTTATAGCAAATAATATGATATGGAAATTTATTACAGAAAAGATATATCAAAATAAACCTCTAGGTCCTTGGACATGCGATCACTTGTTTCAGCATCATTGTATGAGAAGCTCCTTTCATAATTTGGAGAGTGCCCTTGTATGTTTGACTGATCTAGTGGGTCTGGTCTTCTACTCAGTAACACTTTACCAGGAATACTACGCCCTTTGAGCAACCTAGAAATCATGATAAATAAACCATGACAGACATAAAAATTAGATATTTAGCAAATTTTAGGACAATACATCACATTTGTTTTGTTCAGAAGGACATTTAGTAACTGAAACACACAACAGAACCACAAGACTTCCTGATATGCTATCAAAAGCACTCTGGGTTGCTTCACTTTGTGACACGAACTAATAACAACCAAAAGTTTTATGAGAAATTTTGACACACATTAAGGATTCATGCGAACTTCTATAAATACTGATACTGCAGATATCAGATAGAACATTATACCAAATGTACCTAAAATCTAAATCCAGAGCTCATGGAAAGTGCAGGACTGGGACAAAATAAATGCAAAAATTACTGAAGAACTGAACCATAGTTCTGAAACTAAATATAATAAATGGCACAAATGAGTAAATCTGAGAAACCCAAGCACGTACTTCTTAGTCAGGAAAATAAACCCAGAAATAATCGAATTTACTGTCACCAATTTTCAGCTACATGACATCAATTTAAGGTTACGCCTATACAATGGGTAAACAAGAAAACTAAGCACAATAAGCAGGATCAAACTGCGAATTACCAATTAAATTAATATAGTCTGATTGCATCTGTTGTCCCCATTTTCTCATCAACCAAACAGAACAGAGTATTAATGAATAATTCAATTTAAGCACAGTAATTTCACAAATCCCAGAATTTTTTCTACTGATTTACATAATAAATCGAAATCACCAAAACCCATAGTCATTTTCTCAATCACCTTGTAGAATTGGAGAGAAATAAGCTATACTTTACGAGTGTGAGATAAACAGTCGAATTATGAAAGTCTAATAGTTCATGTATAAGATAGAAGCTTTTGCTCAATGAGCTTTCAAATCTGAGGAAAATCATAAATTAGGAGAAAACAAACTATAAATTTAAAATGAAAATAAAAAAGAGAAACTGTTGGGAACAGGGATTGGTACCCTTGAACATTTCGGAGGGTTTGGTTGAATCTTGAATCCAGGGTTGAGATAGCACTTTCTTTCTTCGAGTTGTTTTCTTCACTGTTGTAGCTTTGGCTGCTGTCGTTCTTCATGGTTGCTCTACAATGACCATGCTTCTCTTCTTCTCTGTGCTTGCTAGTCGTTTACTCTCAGCTCTGACCAGTCACCATATAAATATTTTTTAAAATATAAATATAAATAATAATAAAAAGCCAAAACCAAAAATAAATTTAAAAAAAGTCATGGGATTCACAACATTATAGGTTTCGTTTTTTATGTTTTTATTTTTTTCATTTGTGATTCTTAACATTAATATATGTGCGCATAAGTAGTACTCAACGTTAATATGTGTGCGTCACATGTCTTTTTTATTTACTTGTTGTGTTTTTAACAAAAAAAATTAATAAAATGAATTAATAAAAAATCAAGAAAATACACCAAAAATTGTTACAAACTCCTATGACATTATCTTCGACAATAAAGTGTCAAAAATGTAATTTTGAATAAGTGAAATTTGAAAGTAATAATTGATTTCCTAATAGAAATTTTACAGGATATTTATTTTTATTTTTATCATTTTGTATATTGATGTTTCCCAAAGCTTTGATTTTCTAATTAGGTTTATTTACACCAATGCCTCCTAGAACCACGGTCAAATCTCATATTGGCCCCGAAAACTTAAAGTGGCCCACTTATCCCGCTTAACAGTGTTTTGGTGTAACAACCCGGTCCTTAATTAATATTTAATTATTAATTTATTCCAATAAAAGACCACTATATCCCTAGAATATTTTAATAATTTAAAAGTTGACTTTTGGATCGGGAAGGAATTTGGGGATTTCAGTTGTACCGTTGTGTAGAGCGCGATGAAACGAGTCCGTAGACACGTAGTGGACTCAAATCGGAGTTGTAACGAAGGAGTTAAGATTAAAAGAAGTTTAGTGGCATAACCGTAAATATTTCGAACTTCAGTTTATATAAACCCGGAAATTTCTGGATTCGGGGGACGACCAGTCGACTTTGGGAGCTGTTTTCTCTCAGCTCTGACCTCCGATTCAGGCAAGACCAGTGCCAAACGAACCACCAAACTTCCCTCTTCCAGCCCCAGCCATTCACCGACTCGATCCGCAGCCATAGTCGCCGGAATTCGCCACGAAATAGGCGGTGCTAGACAGTTTTTGACAGAACTTCTAACCTTTCGTTCTTCGTCGTCCGGCCACCAAATCGAATGAGAGAGGTATGGTTTTCTAGGTATTTTTCATGCTCTAGCTGCTAGTTGTGTAGGATTTCAGAGATTTCAAGCGTAGATCATTCGATTGTTTAAGTTAGGTTTCAGCAAATTTTCGGGTCACTATTTCGGCCACTTCCAACCAATTTTTGGGATATGTTCAAGAACAAAAGTTGTTCCAAATGAGGTATTTTACTTAAGTTAGGAGTTTGGGCCGGTGGTTTGGAGTTTTTCAGACTGCCAGGAATTGATCAAGCCACCCACGCGCTGCCGGACCGTGGGCAGATTGGTAGATATCACATTCAATTTTAGAATGATCCTTGTGTCGTCACGAGTGCGTAGGATTTTGCGGATCTCAATTTGGTTAATGTTTGAACCCCTAACGGATCTCGCATCTTGTGTGATTTCCGGGTTCAATAGTTTTGCACCGTCAGATCGTAACCATTTTCAAATAGGTTAATCTAAACGTTCCTAGGATCGTATAGTATTTGATGGATCGTAAAACGGAGTCTCGGATACTCCAGGAATGCCAACCTAGAACCAGATTTACAGTAAACAGTTCAGTTACAGATCAGGAACAAAAAAAAGAACTACGTGTGACTTGATCCCTCAGAAAGGGTACGTAGGCAACCTACAGTTATCAGGCGCAGCCACGAGTTAGGGGCTCAGGGTTTATGTTATTGTTTATCAGGGTATTTTGGTCTTTTACGACCCACGGTTACTAGGTGTCAGTTTTAAACAGGATTCGGCCCGGATTTCAAAGTGGAATTTGGGTAGGGTCGTTTCAATTGGTATCAGGACATTAGGTTAACTTCCTGTAGACTTTGCATTACTTGTGCATCCTTATTTTCAGAATTGCTGGACAGTTATTTTGTTATTTTACCTCATTGGCGTGGGTGAGTAAACAGGTATCCAGAAGGGTTGGAAAAATTTGTTGAGGTTTTCATTTGAAAAACTTGTTATGCATGTTAATATACATATACTTGTATGTCGAGAACTGAGGTTTAGCAAGTTGAGCATTTAATTATCTGTTCATTTATCACCTGCTTATATATTCAGTGGTTGAAAAGGAAGAATTATAACTTTTGGTTTTTATCAGATTTTGGTATATATATATATATATATATATACAGATATATATATGGATATATTTTAAGCTTAGTTGAGAACCAGTTTATTGAATAAGTTCAGCTCAGAACCAGTTTATTGAAAGTTTATGTAAATAACAGATTATGGTTTTTAAACCCACCATAGGGTACCCCAGTTGCCTTGAGATAGTTTATGCCCCACGAGTATCGGGGACGCCTGAACCGTGTGGTGTGAGGATTGCGGCTCAGGCTGACTAATGGTCCCCTGAGACCTGCAAGGAATGCTGCTCGGATGGACTTGGTGTCTCCGGGACCTGCGAGGATTGCGGCTTAGATTGAAGTTTTATCTCTGAGACCTGCAAGGAATGCGGCTCGGTTAACTTTGTGTTTCCGAGACCTGCGAGGATGGAATTGACGGTATTAAAGAAATTGACGGATATCAGGAATTGATGGATCATATATTGACGGATCAGATATGGGGGTACACCTAGGTGGAGAGGATTTAAGTTTTGAGACGCTTTTAAACTAAATTAAGGATTTTATACAGTTACCATTATTTATTTAAATATCACAGCTGTTTTACAAGTAATAGATGGAGTATATATGCATATATATATATATATATATATATATATATATATACAGAGAGCTTCCATTGAGGGATCCCTCAAATAAGCTTATTTGAGGGACACCCCTTGTAGGGCATACTCCGGATTGTATTTCACTAATCCAAACCGTCTATTTTGTAGATACACATTCAAAGATCATCTCTACAAAAAATCACTTGAATCCGATATCATTTGACCATTCAATTGAGTTATTGAAATTTTAGTACTTTCTTGAAGCACCGTGTTCATTGATTTTGTAGGACACAATTGGATGTCGAAACGGTTTCTGATTTGTCTAATTTTTTGTAAGGATGATCTATGAATGAAGACTTAAAAAATAGATGGTTTTGATCATTGGAAAAAAAATTGTAGGGTACCCTAAAGGGCGTCCCTCAAATAAAATTATTTGAGGGATCCCTCAATAGAAGGGGACTGTATATATATATATATATATATATATATTTACTTATGGACTTTATTTATTTTAGTTTAGTTTGCTTTAATTTATCTTAGTTTATTTTATTTTATTTAAGTTGTTTTATTTTATTTCATATAAGTTGTTGGCTTTCATATTTTACTATTGGATATGGTATTAAACAGTTCCAGTAATACTAGCATATTTTGCCCCATGAGTCTTACAGTTATCCAGACTGTGGGAGCCAGAATTGCGGATCAGGTTGACCAGATGTCTCCTGAGTCCAACAAGGATTACAGAGCAGGATGAATTATACATTCAATGTTTTTCAGCAGAACTACTATTTGATAAGCATGCATAAGTAAGAATGCACGAGTTAAAATGTTTGAGGTTGCCAGAGTATTTTTATTGATCTCAAAGTTGACATGAATCTCCTGAGCAGATTGAATTATTTGATTTGTTGCAACCTGAGACTTGAGTGCTACAATGCTTGATTCCTTTTAGATATAATTCATTACATGCTGGCAGTTGTAATACAGATACATATTTAAACATATATGCTTGTTTTACAGGTAGAATGTTTTTGGGAATGTTCAGTTTACAGGGGAAACTCTGCCGAATTTTCAGTAGAAGTCGCACTTGAATTTCAGTTAATTTCAGTTAAAAACGGCAAATTAGTCTTTTGTGCCCAACATTAGCCAGGTGTCGGACACTCCTAGGAAAAAGGGGATTTTAGCTAAATATCATATTAATGGTAGCAGAGTTCAAAATTTATCAGAAATTCAGTTAATTAGCAGATCTTTTCAGAGTTTTATACTTTCTTAAGCCACCTCAAGTACCTATATATACATAGATATATACAGTTATTGAGATGCAAGTGGTGAGTGCAGTACTAGAAGAGCGTACTTAAGCACCGAGTAGCAGTCGTAGGCCCAGCACCTCCACCCCATCCAGTGAAGGATAAGTAAATTTCGAGGACGAAATTTTTATAAGGGGGTAGATTGTAACAACCCGGTTCTTAATTAGTATTTAATTATTAATTTATTCCAATAAAAGACCACTATACCTCTATAATATTTTAATGATTTAAAAGTTGACTTTTTGATCGGGAAGGAATTTGGGGATTTCAGTTATACCGTTGCGTAGAGCGCGATGAAACAAGTCCGTAGACACGTAGTGGACTTAAATCGGAGTTGTAACGAAGGAGTTACGATTAAAAGAAGTTCAGTGGCATAACCGTAAATATTTTGAACTTCAGTTTATATAAACCCGGAAATTTCTGGATTAGGGGGATGACCAGCCGACTTTGGGAGCTGTTTTCTCTCAGCTCCGACCTCCGATTCAGGCAAGACCAGTGCCAAACGAACCACCAAACTTCCCTCTTCCAGCCCCAGCCCTTCACCGACTCGATCCGCTGCCATAGTCCCCGGAATCCGCCACAAAACAGGCGGCGCTGGATAGTTTTTGACAGAACTTCCAACCTTTCGTTCTTCGTCGTCCGGCCACCAAATCGGATGAGAGAGGTATGGTTTTCTAGGTATTTTTCATGCTTTAGCTGCTAGTTGGGTAGGATTTCAGAGATTTCAAGCGTATAGATCACATTCAGTTTTAGAATGATCCTTGTGTCGTCATGAGCGTGTAGGGTTTCGCAGATCTCAATTTGGTTAACGTTTGAACCCCTAACGGATCTCGCATCTTGTGTGATTTCCGGGTTCAATAGTTTTGCACCGTCGGATCGTAACCATTTTCAGATAGGTTAATCTAAACGTTCCCAGGATCGTATAGTATTTGACGGATCGTAAAACGGAGTCTCGGATACTCCAGGAATGCCAACCCTAGAACCAGATTTACAGTAAACAGTTCAGTTACAGATCAGGAACAGAAGAAAGAACTACGTGTGGCTTGATCCCTCAGAAAGGGTACGTAGGCAACCTACAGTTATCAGGCGCAGCCACGAGTTAGGGGCTCAGGGTTTATGTTATTGTTTATCAGGGTATTTTGGTCTTTTACGACCCACGGTTACCAGGTGTCAGTTTTAAACAGGATTCGGCCCGGATTTCAAAGTGGAATTTGGGTCGGATTGTTTCATTTGGTGACCTACTTTGCCCCCCGATGTCAACTTCGTCCCAAGTTCCGTTATTTTTTATGATGTGGCATGGGCATAATGGGAATTTCATCCACATCCCTTTTTTTCTCAGCAAACGGCTGTTTGATGTGGCGAAGTGGTCCCCGCCCAAAGCCCTAATCCTTCCTCTCCCACTTTTGTCCACCCATTTCATCCCCAATTCTCATTGATTCCCACCATTGATGTTCAATAAAAGGCTATGTGAAGCCTTTTTTTTAGATTTATTCCTTCCTTCCTTCCTCCTTATTCCTTCACAGCTCAAACCTTCTTCCTCCTTCCTTTTTGCAACTGAAACTGGAGATGAAACCCGAACTCCATTTGGAGAAGAGGCCCACGTTGTAGCACCTTGTTGCTACTATGGGAAGTGGCTCGGCTTCAAACCTCATGGACTTAATCAAACCCAATGAGGAGGTTCAAAATCAGGGGTAAGTGATGGTGTGATAGTGCTGCGCTTTTGCTTCTAATGTTTGAAATTTATGAAATTTGGCTTGTCTTTGCAGCGACGAAATAACAGCTGTAGGTTTTTCTATTGGGTTGATGATGAGATGCCTCCAAGTAAGAAAGGTTCACGGCTTGACTTTTGAGGAGAATGGGGCAACTGGAACAGGATGTTAAGCGTATGCGAGCAAGAGAAAGGAAGCTCTGGGTTGCTTTGTTTATTTTATGGGTTGTTGTGGTTTTTGTGAAGTCCTCAAGCTGAGGCATGTAAAGTAGACTAGGGAATGTTATGTAAAATAGACGCAATGTACAGTTGAAGTAATGAAGTTGGTTTTTTTTACCCCAAGTAATGAAGTTGGTGAAGTTCAAGAAAAACATTTCTACTTAGAGCTCAAATAATTCATACCCAACATTACAGAGTTAGAGTTCAAAATACAAATTTAGAGAACAAATAATTAATACCTAAAAGCATTCAACATTGGTAGTTATAATCATAACAAGCATTCACATCATACAATTAAGAGATTAAAAAAAAACAATTGACATAAACATAGCTAGTTCAAAGCATTCATAATTAACATCATTCATCTAGTTCAAAATGCACATCATGAATCACACTTAAATAAAGTCCAAATAAAAAAAAGCATAGGTGAGAAGTACCTAACTACCAAATTGTCTTTCCTTTGCCTTGAGACATCTCCTCCTATTATGTCCAGCTTGGTTGGATATTGAACACTTGATTTCCATATTATACCGTGGTAGTTTTGTTGCATTAGGATTACAGGTTGGGGGTGGTTCAACTGCTGACCTAATCCTTTTTTTCCTTGGCTGATTGTGGTACTTAGGTGGTAGCAAGGGTGCCAAGTTACACTTAGGCCACATATCTTGGCTTGCCATGGGATGCACCATTTCTGCATAAGCTCTAACAAATGTCTCCGTCTTGTAACAAGCATTCACATTGATAGGACCCGCCCCGAGTTTCCTCGGAACTCGGTACGAATCCTATGGAATATCCGATATCGTACTGATGTCGGGCCCACTTACTAAAGAAACGAGACTTTCTGCCAAAATTTCGGCAGTCTCCCCTGAAAAATGGACTTTTCCAAAATTCTTCAACCTGTTAAAACACGTTTAAACATCCCAACAGGCAGCATGCACAAGATAAATTCATGTAGTTTACATATTAGGCCTCGACCTTACAATCAATCCTAACATGGGCAATATCATAGCAGTCTAAGAATTTCAGTTTACAAACGAGCAGTAAAGTTCAACAGAATAAAAGCAAATGAAAATTAGTCCTACAGAAGCTCTAGGGCTCGGAAGTAGAGATCTCGGCTTGGCCGCTCGATTCGAATCTATCTAGAGCCTTGGGGGTGCAAAATAGAAAGGTGTGAGTGGACAAAAACAAAGCTCAATTCACATTGGAAAACAACATAATATAACCCCACCGTTTAGAAAACAATGTTGAAAACAATATGCATTCAAATCCGACATAGCTATATGTATATATATATATCTAGTTGAGTCAAAACCATAGTGAAATCTGAAATCCCAAAGTGATACTTTATTACTCATCCCATTCAAACCTTTCTCTATTATTCCCAAACTAGTCTCTTGAAACGCGTGCTTGTTGGCACGGCGAGCGAGGAAGTATCCTCACCGATAAACAAGAATGAATGAATAGATATATATATATATATATATAAACAAGAGTTTCAGATAGCAACTGTTGAAGTCTCATAAAATAATGCTTATATGAAATTACTCAAAATAGAGATAACTGAAAATAACAACTTTATTTATACTCACAAGAGTTTCAGATAGCAACTGCTGAAGTCTCTTCGGATACAAGAACACTCGGTGTTTACAAAGATGATTTCTCTAAATTCTTTAGAGAGAATCTTTAAAAAAACTGAATTGTAAATTGTTACCTGCTTACAACTGAGGCCGAGGCCAGCTTAAATAGATAGAAACAACTATGGTTAAGTAACTATAGTAACCAAAAAGCAACTATGGTTATTTCCACTATAGAGGCATGGGAAAGAACCAATTCAACTTTCAATTTTGTCTTTTTCAGAAGGAATAACTTTTCTTTTATGCTTTTACTCTGGATGAAGTGTCGGGGAATAATGACTGTAGAGGCACGAGAAAGCAGGTGGCTGCTTTAAGATGCTTCAATCATATTCTCTGGGGCAATTATTGTGTCTGCAACTAGGAGCCTAATCAGAATTCAGATCATAGGCATCATAGAGGTCCTGGTTGTCTTCATACCAAGACTTAGGCTTAGCAGGGCTCTGCATAGGCTGGCAGCTAGACGACAAAGGAGAGTCATTTTCAATGTCCTCATCATCATCCATTTGAGAGGCTTGAATTATCAACTCGCGAGCAATCTCTTGAAGTTCAGACTTCGATTTTCCTTCAACTGAAAGAGAAGATCAGGTTGAACCAATGGGAGAGGTAGGATGTGGAATAGAATCATGGGGCAAATCATTGTAGACATATTTGGCAATTCTGTCAACTTTGAATTTGTCCCACCATTTAACAGAGAATTGGTGAGCAAAAATTCTGGTATCTTTGGTTACTTTGTAGGACCATTTGAGGATCCAAGGAACTTTGTATTTAGCAACAAAAAGCAATTGTTTTGGGAAGAACAAATCAATTTTGGAGAACTTGGCTTTTTTGGTGAAATGGCGAATTAGCTCATGGACTGAAACATGCAGAATTTCATCAACTGGACCATGTTTTTCCCACTAGTGGAGGAACCAGTAGGGAAAGGAACATTTGAACTTATTGTCAAAATTTATAAACCAGGAATGACTAAAGTCCTCAGATTGGTGGAGGAAAATAGAATACCAGGCTTCAATATAATCAGAATATTTATATTGCAATTTTGACTTAAGGGTTTTCAACTCATAAGGGTGGCTACTGAAAGAATCTTGACTCATGACTTTGTGGATATAGAGGGAATGATAAAGGATGATCTAAGGGTGATCACGATCCTTTATTGGCTTAATTTCAACTGACTGAGTCTCAAGTAATATATCTCTATAATACTTGAAAGACTTGTATGGACTAGGCGGCATATAATGAAATCCCAGAGGGAAATAGTGTCTGGCTATGGCAACTGGATCAGAATTAATATCATAGACATGCTCAACAACGAACAGGTGAAAATTGCTTTTGGGCAAATAGGGAGATGTCTTTTTGAAGGCAACTGAGGGACCAGCTGAGGGATCAACTGAAAAAGGATCATAACTGGAGATTAAGGTCGACTGATAACTGGGGCGAATTTGGCCAACTGTGGAACAAACTAGAGAATTTATTAGCAACTGATATTGGTGTGGCAACTGAGATTGCAGTGCAACCAGGAAAAGGGACTAACTGTTTGGGTGTTTCTGGCTTATTTTGACTCATGGATGGGGGAAGGATTCGGAGCGACTGGGATGGCTTGGGTTGTTTTGCTGATTCTTTTTGCTTCTCTTTTTTGGGTGCCATTGTGCATCTTGCAAGAATTCTCGAGTAAGAAAATCAGGGATTGAATTCTCACTTCCTCTCAAATATTCAATATCAAAATCAAATATACTTAAAATGCTTTGCCATTGTGCAAAAATCTGTTTAGATGCAATGTTTTGAACATCTTTTTCTAAAACATGTTTTGCAGATTTACTTTGATTAAGCAAATCATCTTGAAATTTACTAATACATAATACAATAGCTAATATTTCTTTTTTAATAGTACTATAATTATATTGTGACTGGGTCCAAGTACCGGAATGAAAGCGAACAATCTGTTCTGGGGGATTTGGACAGGCTCTTTGTTTGAGGATACCACCATAACCTATGTCAGAGGCATCAGTTTCAACTATCTTAAAGGAATCAACTGAAGGAATACCAAGACAGGGAAGTGTCTTGACATGGGTTTTGATCTGTTTGACAACTTCAGTATGGATGGTTGACCATGGGGGAGGATTACTCTGCAGTCTATCAAACAAGGGCTTACATTGCTTTCTCAGATTTTTGTAAAAGTCAGAAACATAATTTAGAGATCCTAGAAATCTCTGGAGTTGACTTTTATCAAGAATTTGATCAGGAAATTTATCAGCAAACTGAATGACTCGATCGATTGGGGAGATTTGTGACTGGCAAATATTGAAACCAAGGAATCTGATATTGGTTTGGAATAACTTGATCTTCTTAGCAGAAACAACTAGACCATTCTGTTTGACAATTTGAAGGAATTTATGCAAATGTTTCCAATGTTGTTCTATTGACTCAGAAAAGATGAGAACATCATCAATATAGACAATTGAGAAATGATTGTAAGGATTAAAAATCTCATTCATAATATTCTGGAATTCACTAGGGGCATTTTTCAGACCAAATAGCATTACATTCCATTCATAATGACCGAAAGGAGTGACAAATGCAGTCTTATACCTATCTGACTCATTCATTTGGATTTGCCAGAAACCACTCTTCATATCAAATTTGGAAAAAAAACAACTGCTTTTTCTAATTTATTAATCAGGTCTCTTTTATTAGGTATGGGATACCTAATCCATTCTAAGACTGAATTAAGTGGCTTGTAATTGATAACTAATCTTGGGACTCCTCTTTCTAACTCAACGTTTTCCTGGACATAGAAAGCAGGGCATGACCAAGGGGACTTACTTTTGCGAATTATTTTCTTCTGAAGCAACTCATGAATTTCTTTTTTACAAAACTCCATTATTTCTTGACTCATTTGGATTGGCCTAGCTTTAGTGGGAATATTTTTCTCACTAAAGGTTTTGATATAGGGACGACAAACAACATGTTTTCTATACCAAAAAGCATTAGGCAAGTCCGAACAGATCTCATTTTTTAGCTTATTTTCAAACTGCTGAATTTGCAACTGTAGAGATTTATCGCTAAGCTATTGTTCAACTCTTTTGAACTTAATTTCTTCTTTAAGAAAATTCAACTGGTTATTTTTTCTAATAATCTGTACTGATTTGGACACTGACTGCTTTTGCAAAGCTTTCAAGTTATGCAACTTTGGTTTAGATAGAAACTCAAATTTAACCTTTTCGCCTAAATAGGTAGAAATGACACCATCATAATCTACCTGGAAGGGATACAATAAGGCAATAAAAGGTAACCCTAGAATGACTTCGTCAGTGATATTCTTGACCAAGACAAATGAGGTTTTAAAGCAAATTTTATTTTGGCATACATGGGCTTTTGGTAACTCAAAATTTAACTGGAGTGATTTTCCTGAAGCAATGCTTAAGGATTCGCTAGACTTCTGGTAAAACTTAGTAGGGATTAGACCTTCCTGAATACAGTTAAGATCAGCTCCTGAGTCAAATAGGGCAACTGTGTTGAACTCAAAGTTTTGGACAAATATTGTCACGTTCGAATACCATTTTCTAAAATTGACTTGTTTGATCAAATTCACAACTTGTTGACTGTCAGAAGGTTCGTCATCAGAATTGTGAGGACTTTCTGACTGGCTTTTGGACTCAGAAGACTCTTTTTCCATAAGACGAACTAAATCTTGCTTGATTGCATAATTTTCATTTTGTAATTTATGACTTATCTGTTTTAATTCAACTATTTCTTTTTTAACTGTATTTACTTCTAATTGCAGATCTTGTAAGGTAATTTCTTTCTTTTTAGCAAATTTTTCTAAAGTGGTATTTAAACTAATCGGCTGGGGAACAGACTGAATTGGGCTTTCTTGGCTAATGACTTTTCTTAGCTTCTTTAAATACTCAGATTTCAATTCAGGATTCTCAACTTTTCTTATTAAATATATTAATAATTCTTCTTGTTCTTCTTGTTTAGTAAGAACAGAAATGGATTTTAATCTATTACAACATTTATCTTTACAACCAATTTGGATATTAGGTGAGCTGGACAGTGAATCTGAAGACTGGTCAGATTCAGACTCAGAGCTGGCCACTATGGTTTCATCATTGCTTGTTTCAGAGTCTTGCAACTCTAAAACTTTTATCAACTTTTCTTTTTCTTCGTCTGTAATTTTCAACTGTTTAATAGTATCCTTTACTTTGCTCAGAGGCATAATGACCAAACTTTTGACATTTAAAACATTTGACTTTGGTTTTATCATTATTTTTCTTAGAGTGATTATTCTTTTGACTTCTTGGGGCTTTCGACCAATTTTTCTTGGGGGAAAATTTCTTTTTTCTATAGAACTCATGATTATCATTATTATGTCAGGAGAATTGTTTTCTACGTGAATAATGACGATGTTTTTGAATGTGACTAGGCTTATTTTTCCTAGAAGGAGGGATGCTGGCAAGACCATACTGTTCACAGAAATTTCCTAATTCATATTTAGCTGATTTCCTATTGGACTATATTTGTCTACCAATTTTAAAATCAATACACATTCTCATACCAACTTGGTTGATTGTACTTATGATATTTCCATATGTTAAGCTATCCCAATCTATATGGCCTTGTTCATTACTCGAGAGATGAAGACATCTTTATACCATCTGAAATCAGACAACTTAGGGCATCTAAGATTACTAAGCTGGTCATGGATCTTGGTAGTAGTATTACTAGGGGTTCCAATGAAATGCTCAATTATTGTGTAAAACAAAGTGTTGACTTCGTCTTCTATACCTTGACCTATTTGTTCGTCGAATATAGGGAGACCATCTTCATTAAGTTTTACAGCATGAATAATCAGATTTTTGGACTCAGGGGTTAAGTGCTTATCCCACCAATACCTGAGAGTACCGGTAAACCCAGTAACTAACAGGGGTACAATCTCAGATTGTCTGAAACTGTGATTGGTGATGTAACTGTTGGCAACCATGGACATATGTTGTAACTTATTAAAGATTTCTTGCTCAGACAGACCATCAATATTCCATTCGTACAATTTATCAGAAGAAACTGAAAATTGGGTTTGGAAGTTTCTTTCTTCAAACTGGATATCTGGAGGAGTTGGTCTCGGATACCAATTTTTGGTTAAGCTAGTGGGGCTTATGTGTCTATCTAATCTTTTGATTTTGGGTTCAACTTGGACTTCCAGATTTTTGAAAGCATTTTCTATTTTTGAAATATTACTGGTTTCAGATTCTGTTATCTCAAGTTCAGACTCAGAGGGGTTCGTGGTTGCAAACAAATCTAGTGTTTTAAGACCATATTTTTCAGCTTTACTTGGGGTCAACTGTTCTAACATTTCTTCAATTTAATTTATTGTAGGTTTAATCTCAAGTGTGGGGCTTGACTTAAGATCCTGGAACTGAACTATTGGTTTTTCAATGTTTGGTTTAAACTTAGTTTCTGGGGGACTTATCTTGTCAATCTTAGTTTCAATTGTATCCAGTTGCTTCCCTATGACAATTAGACTCTGATTGGTATAATTATTCTGCTCAATTAGTCTTCTATTAGCATCATTGCTTTCAAAGGCTTTGAAGGGGCTAGTAGGAATAGGTGTCAACTAGGGGATGACTAGCTTCAACTTCTGATTTGTCTACCATTTTCCAGTTAGTTAGAGTTTTTAACTCATTAGACATGTAGCGACTTTCAATAAAATCAAGGTAGAAAATTTCAAATCAAGGTAGAAAATTAGCATAGGAGAAATAGTTATCACCAAGCATATAATCTTTCCATTCATTGAAGATTTTTTGATAGCTTTCACTATTAGGGTAAGCTTGGTGATAACTATTTCTCCTATGCTAATTTTCTGGGGTCTTGAGATGATGATTTAAGCGTTTCCAATTAATCTCAAATTTTTTTATTAAGGGTTCTAAGTTGATTATCAACTGCTGCAAAATTTTCAACTAGGAAGTCAGATTGTGTAGGTGACTCAGGTGAATCGGACTTGTCATCTTGGATTGGTACCTTGCCATAACAAGGTTGGTTTACCTGAGAGGATTTTCTCAGGGACTCAAGTTTGAAATCAATCATGGCCTTTCTAACTCTAGGTCCCGTTCTAGAGTGGAGGACGAGGCTGCAAAGGAGCGCCTAGCAGGAGCATGCCTTTGAGATTGACCAGGAGTCGGCAACTGTTGTATCTGGACATTAGACTTCTTCAGGGGCTGATTTTCAAATCTAATTTTTACCGTACCATCTAAATACTGTTGGATATAATCTAAATTATTTAGACTACGCTGTATTGGAATTGGTTGGCTCTCGGTGACTAGGGTCCAATCTTTTGGAAGGGAAACTTCTGACCACTTAATGGTCTAAGGAACTTGGATATGGGCATCTGCTGTATGAGGATTAAAACAGTTTGGTCTTTTGGGCTTTTATTAAGAGCTTGGAAATTCATATTAGTGCCTGTAACTTTGTAATAAATTCTGTAAACCAAGGCTAAAGGTTGGGTTCCTAGGAGGACATTATAACCTACAATCTTAATGTTCAGAGTTAAAGTTCTTAGTATATGAGGATCACTAAGACTTACAGTGAAATCTGGATAATAGTCAAAATTTACTGGGCCATTACATAAACTGGACTCAATCACTCCTAAGGTGCTGTCACTAAATTCAGTAAATCTAGCGTCACGCAAACAAAGAAGAATATAAGCTTTTAATCCTAATCTGGTTAGGGGCTTAATTGCAACTTGAACTAAACCAATATGCAGAAAGTTATTACCATCATTTTTATGCTTCTTAATTGATTCAAGATTAAGCAACTGCTAGGTTTCATGTTCTTTACTCAAAGCATACACTTGTTTAACTATTTTAACATGAGCTGTGCTATTAAAACTAGAAGGCAACCAATGTTTCTTATATATTTTTTGACTCGGCACTTTAGGTATATTCCAATCTTTAAAATCTAATTGTTCTTCCCAAAACAGTTGCTTTTTGTTGCTAAATACAAAGTTCCTTGCTTTTTGTTGCTAAACAGGTATATTCCAAAACAGTTGCTTATATATATATATATATATGTAGAATAGAATATAATATATATATATATATATATAAAAGTGTGACCACTACCAAGTTTGTACCGGAGAAACAATCCAACAAGAGGATTGTTTGACAAGTCCACATTGTCATGCCCCGGACCCAAGGGTCGGTGGAAATCCCGCGCCCAGTGCGTGAGAAAAATACAAATAAAAATAAAATAAAAAGAAACCGAAACATGGATTTAAAATAAACTTCTCTTATAAAAATAGCTCTAAAATCTTACAACTTTAGAGCATCCATAGTGGGGGGGGGGGGGGGGTGTAATTCAATGATGGGGGGGGGGGGGCTAAACTTTAAATACATCCCCTTTACACCTTCCGGGGGGTGTAAATATGTTTTTTGCTCCAGTGGGGGGTGTAAATTTGGGGGTGTAGCTGTGGGTCCCAGCCTTTTATGTTGACTTTTCTTCATTTTTCTTCTCTTTTCTCGAGTGGGTCCCGCCTGCAAGGGATGTAAAAATAGATGTAAATATACATTTTATTTTACATCTCCATGATGGTGATGTACAGTTACATCCATTTACATCTCCCCATTGGAGACGATTCCAGTGACTCGGGGTGTATATTTAACATACACCCCCATATACACCCCACTGTGGATGCTCTTACAAGAAATAAATAAAGCTCTACTACTCTCATCTAATTCAGCCTCAACCGGTTTAGTCTTTGTCTTGCCCACTAATTCATCTGAAAAATTAAACAGGGTGAGGGATGAGCAACCACCACTCAGTAGGGACATGAGACCTTACCACAGTAGATTGATATAACTAAATTAAGTGACAAGCAATCACACAGCCAAATATCACATTGATAATAATAATATATAATAATAATGCATGAATGCTCTTCATCTACTTCCGTTAATTCATATAACTGGACAAGCAGACCTGCACGTCCCATACCATGCTTATACCACTTGGTCCCGAATGCCCATTTATATGAACTAACACCCATTTCAATCATCCCATAATTTCCCTTTTGTTAGTCATCTTGTCTAACTCCATGTTGCCAGTCCCGAATCACCCAATAAAAATCATGTGCATTGTGGGATCCCTGAGACCTGGTACCTACCAAGAGTTAGACTCAACTACACAAAAGATCCTTTTTCCATTACCCTCTTTTCCATTATTATTTTCTCAATCCAACAACTCCAACCAATTACCATGACATGATATAATTATGCCAACATTATTCAAATAGTTCACAATACGTAAATATCTCATATCAAGAACATTATACAATATCATACATAATATAGAGCTCACGAAATTTAATTAGATCAATCTTTGTAAAAGGTCACCAATAAACCCCTATCTTGTTTTCAAAGCTAATTCCAAGTTTAAGAAAATACACAAGCTGTGACCTCTACTCTTCCAGGAACTATATCACCACTAGCTTTCTCTCTCTCTCTCTCTCTCTCTCTCTCTCTCTCTCTCTCTCTCTCTCTCTCTCTCTCTCCCAAGAACTCTTACTTTGCATGCAGTGTGTAACCTCAATTAATACACAAGGTTTCTGTGTTTTTCACAAGATGCAATGGATATGCCTATTTATACTAGAAGAAGTCGGATGCTACTAGCTTCTTATTGGTGTAATAACTGAAGCAACTATTAAACAATTAAAAGATATGCTGCCTAGTTATTCTCCAAGGAATCGAACCTACTTATTCTCCAAGGAAATACAAATATCTACTATATTTAAAGACTAAATATTTGTATGTGTGTGCATGTGTCAATAGGATGAATTTGGACTAGCCACCTTAAGTTAAAATGAGTTCCTACGTGTTGCTCTACCAAAATTCTATTACTAAGAATGCATATAAAACCTCCACATGCTAACTCCAAGTCAGGGTTGTTGATAAGGAAAAAGTAGCTTGACAAAACACAAACTACACGTCCACTTTAGAGTTAGTTAATACATATAAGTATATAAAGCACCCAATAACCATCCAATGGCATCTCAAGCAATAATAAATAAATATATAATTTAAATAAACCTTTTTTTATTCAAAAGAACATATATATATGTATAGAATAGAATAATATATATAACTATTGAAATGGTATTATAAAAGTAAAACAACTATAAATATACTTTTCCTTCTTACTAAGATAATTACTTAAAAAATATAATAACATTTATTTTTCTTTATTCAACATTTAAGAAAACGGACTCTCACACACATGCAATAGAATCCTCAATACTCGTATGCCTGTGACAAGTCCTACGAGCGCAGACTAACCCCGCTAAGGGTCTACAAAACACCCCGTCAAGTGTTCCTGGGTTCCAACATTTCCATATATCCCATATCACTAAGTATCTAATTCCAATATTCCAAATCCGGGGAGGCACATAAGGTAGTGCTTATAGCACTTAAAACTGACTTATCCACAACCCAATCCACATTTCATAACTCTTCCCAACAACCCCTGTACTCAACACATATTCACGTATAAATAGTCATTCTCAAAATAATACATATCCATTCAAAATATTCACAATCTGCAATTATTCGAACATAATTTCAATCATGTCATAATAATATTATATTCATCATTTAAATAAATAATAACTCAATAATCAAGAAACCATTATGCATATTTTTCCCATTCTTGAAAATAATGATTATAGTTTAAAAACAAAGTCCACTCACAAGTAGTCTCATGTTGCTTGACCCTGAGAGGGTCCCGCCTGTTACGTACTAGTCGGAGTTCCTATTTAAAAATACAAGGACGATATTAAAATAAAGCGCTTCAAACAAGAACTTTAAAATAAAACCCTGGTTTCCCAAGATTCGAGTGTGTGTATGACGAACGAAAAGTTCTTAAGGTCCAACCGCGTGTTTCGAAGGGTGGAATAGCTTCGGAAGACGCTAGGTCAACCGTGTGGTCAAACTTTCCAAATTTGGTCAACCGGGTCGACGGGGCCCATGACCTTTGATTCCCAATCCCTATGGGTTCAACAAGGTTTAATATACACGTCCTACAAGTTTGGTCCGAATTGAACATCCGGATCGCTCGCGATCGCACGATTGGACGGTTATCATTTAATGCAAACTTTAAATCCTTGAATCGGAGCATCTGAGACCCCGATTTACCATCCACGAATTCTTACATGACCCTAGAGATATCTAGATCAACATATTTTGAAATAGAGTCGATCCAACGGTCTGAACATATCAAACCCAAATAACACGTAATATGCGTAATCTGATCATTGGTCAAACGATAACCAAATTTAAATCCGAGCATACCGTCGTGCTTAGGATGACATGGCAATCATTTTGGGACCCAAAGGGTCACCCAAACAGTACCCACGAGCCAGCAAAGCATGGGTGTCTAGAGAAATTACAGAGACAAGAAAATCTCCAAATCGCCAGTCAAGACCTATACCTACATGGCCAAAACAACGAGTGGAGCAACTTTTGTTCTTGGACCTTGGCCAAAAAGTGACTGGAACTTTCCAGAATCATGAGCCGAAAATTGGCCAAACTTTAAGCCATAATTTGAGTTTCAAAACGCAGAAATTGATCCTAATCAACCCAACCATTAGCTACAACACATTGAGATGATGAAAAAGCATACCTAAATCGAAGAAATTGGTGGCCGGAATCACCGGAACGAGCAATGGAAATTGTGTGTCAAAATTGGCTAGATTTTTGTAGTTTGCCGGTGATACTAATGGCTCAAGCGGCGTGGGAGGGTGAGATGGAGAGAGGAGGTGGTGGTGGTTCATTTGGTACTGGCCTTGTGGTCGGAGGTGGACAGTGGCAGTCGTGGCTGGCCAAAAACCAGCCGGCTGTTCTCTCGGGAAGGGTGGTTTGTCGCACAAACAAGAGAGAGAGGGAGGGAGAGAGAGAGGGAGGGAGAGAGAGAGAGAGAGAGAGAGAGAGAGAGAGAGAGAGAATCTGGTTTTTAAAAATCCTTTTTGAAATATTTACAATTATGCCATTATGCTTCCGTTGATCATAACTTCTTCGTTACAACTCTGATTTGAGCCCACTACATGTCTACGGACTCATCTCAATGCAATCTACATCATGGTGCCATTTATTTCCCCAAAATCCTTCCATATTACAAAGTGACCAAAATAACCCTAAATTCTAGGGTAAAATTGTAATTTCATAATTTATTAAATTAAATTAAATAAACAAATACTTAAATTTGGGTCGGGATGTTACAACCTACCCCTTTATAAAAATTTCGTGCTCGAAATTTTCGTACCTGTCATTTGAAGAGATACGGGTATTTGGTCCGCATATGCGCCTTGGGTTCCCACGTAGCTTCTTCAACGGTTTGATTCCTCCACAATACCTTCACTACTGGAATAGTTCTAGTGCGCAACACATGTTCCTTCCTATCTAGAATTTTCATTGGTTGCTCCTCATTCATCAAGTCTTCTCTCAACTCCACGAGTTGATGTTCCATAATATAGGAAGGATGGGGCATGTACTTCCGTAGCATGGATACGTGGAATACGTCATGGATCCAAGATAGTTCTGGAGGTAAGGCAAGTAGGTAGGCAATGGGTCCAATGCATTTTGTGATCTCATAAGGTCCAGTATAATGGGGGCTCAACTTCCCACGTTTCTCGAACCTCATCACACCCTTCCAAGGAGATAGCTTCAAGAACACCCAATCCCCAACTGCAAATTCAAGATCCATGGACCTGTTGTCTGCATAACTCTTCTATCGGTCTTGTGCAGTTTTAAGCTTTTCTCGTATCATATTCACCTTCTCCGTCATTTCTTGAATACTTTCCACCTTCTCCAACTTCCTGTCACCCACCACATTCCAGCATATAGGTGTTCTACACTGCCTCCCATACAAAGCTTGATACGGAGCCATTCCGATGCTCGAATGATAACTGTTATTATACGCAAACTCCATCAAGGCAAGATGAGTATCCCAGCTATCCCTCAACTGCAACACACAAGATCTCAACATATATTCCCAGGTCTGAATCATCCTTTTCGATTGTCCATCGGTTTGTGGATGAAAAGCAGTACTAAACCGTAACTTAGTACCCATCACATCTTGTAAACACTTCCAAAATCGAGATGTAAACCTTCCATCCTTGTCCGACACAATGGATAGGGTGCCTCGTGCAATGTCACAATTTCATCTACAAAGAGTTTGGCAAGTTGCACCAATGAATAAGTTTCTTTGATAGGTAGAAAGTGGGCAGATTTGGTGAGTTGGTCAACTATCACCCAAATTCCATCATGCCTCTCGAAGTGTAAGGAAGTTTGAAAACGAGGTCCATTGTGATATGCTCCCACTTCCATTTAGGGATCAGAAGTGGTTGCTTAAGCCCAGTTGGTCTATGTCGCTCTGCCTTCACTTGTTGATAAATCTAGCACTTGCTCGCATATCTAGCAATATCACCCTTCATATGCTGCCACGAGTAGTACTCACGTAGAGTCTGATACATCTTAGTACTACCCCGGTGCATAGAATATATAGAACAGTGAGCCTCCTCTATGATTTCCCTATTTAAATCTTCAGTTTTAGGTACACAGAGATGCGTTCTAGTTACTAAGGCTCCGTCTTCTCTTATTGCATAATCCATTTGCGTGCCATTCTCCACTTTCAATCTTATCATGCAAAGAGTTGGATCCTCCAATTGAGCTGCAATCACCTGCTCAATTAGAATAGGCCTCACATGCAGACTAGTGAGTAGCCCATCCTGTGTTAGATATATGTCCTAGAAGCCAATATGAAATGGATAATTCTAAGGAAATAATATATAATAATCAAAGGGGTAAGAACGTTGCTTCAGATACATAACGTACACAAAGTAACAAGTCCATGGATTAAGATATAGAAGGAAAGTGGTCTAAAGAAGTTAGATGCATGAGACCTTTCCATACATATAAATATCGTATTCTAGAATATTCTTGGTCATAGGATCACCAATTGGACAATGGTGACCCGCAAAGACTGGTACACATTATGTCTGCTCATTTGGAATGTTGACTAGTCTCAAGTCATTCGTGTAGAGACACTGAGATAGATGTGTAGGTGCTCTATAGAAGATAGAGTCCACTGAACGCGATCAACTCTAGAATTCTTGTATGGAAGTCTTACTCACAAGGCTCAAACAAAGAACTCTAAGTTGTGATAATGCAAATTAATCCTTAGACCTGAGACATCACAGTTGTATTATGTATATGTTGTTTCTCTTTGAGAGCACTATACGGTCGTATCAAAGTGATGTGTCTTAAATGTGTTCCTCGGGATTCTTAGCGTGTACGCAGAGACAGGTGAATGTACAACAAAGAATCTCTGCTCTTAGTAAGAAGAGAGAATACTCTAAAGATATGATTCGTGAATCTTTGGCTAAAGTATTGGGTGGACATTGAAACAAGAACATTTGCAATTTCATCAAATTGAATCATATAATCTAGAGATGTCATATTAGGGATTTTGACACAAGTTTACCATATCCCGAGAATATAACATAGAGTATTGAATTACAGAAGGATCGAATTGCATTGTAATCACAAACTGACTAGGTTCTCTAAATGAATTCTTTTTAGCTTGGGTAGCCACGACATAGTGCTAGGTGTCACTCATGGCTTGTGGAAGCCCTGTAAGGACTAATTATAATTAGCCTTCACCAATAAGGAGAATTGTATGGATGGATACAATTCACACTTGATTCAAAGTGAATCATTCATATCCACTGCCTCGCTAATTAGAACCTATAGGATCACACACCAAAAAGGAATCGATTGGGAAATTTTGAAGAAAGTGAATGATTTTGTGACTTGGTCAAAGTCAGTGTGAAAGTCAAAGGTCAAAGGTCAAAATCAAAAGTCAAAGGTCAAAGGTCAAACGATTGACCCGACACTTGACACGGTCAACTAAGGATGACCAGGACCAACACTCGTTAGACAAGTGAGGAGTTTTTATCAAAAATAGCCAAAATTTAACCCTCAAATTCATAAATGTCAGTTCTTTAAAAAACTTTCAAATATAGCCAAAAACTCACTTAAATTGACCCAAATGCCCTCTAAATTAAAACCTAACCAAAAAGCATGCTCTTCCAAGCCGTAAGCTACTGAGCACAAGCCTCACTCTCCACCCAGCCTACCCTCAAACACAAGAACACTGCCCCTCGCCAATTACCCTTAATGGAAAGCAAAGTTAATATAGGCAAGTTTGTGTTGTGGGAAGATAGTCTATGAATAGCGAGGGCCTTGCAATTTTTCTAGACATCTTGTGCTGAGGGAAGGCAACAGCACATATGATGGTTTGTAAGAAAGTTTAACCACCATATCATATGCAGAGTAGCAGTCTTTATGATACAAATTTTGCGAGAAAGTTCAACTTTTTTTCTCAATTAAAAAATATTGTGTCAAGAAACTGACTTTAACTTTTTTTATTGTAAAAAACTCCCAAACCCACGAATCAAGCCATAGTCGCAGAGATGATTTTTATTGCTTGGATTTATGAAAACATTGGTTGTTACTTTTCTTCTTCTTTTTGGTAATTACATTGTCATTTTTATAATAGGATTCATAGGCATGATTAAGTTGATGAAGCCAATCTTGTTTTTGTGCTCCTGTAATTTTGGGTTTTAGCTTTTAGGTGTAATTGAGTTGGCATTTGGGTCAATTTAAGTGAGTTTTTGGCTATATTTGAAAGTATTTAAAAAACCTGACATTTATGAATTTAGGGGTTAAATTTTGGCTATTTTTGATAAAAACTCACAAGTGAGTGAGTGATTGAATTAGTCAAGTCACTAGAGAAATTAAATTGATTAGATTAATTTAATTATTCAATTAAAGTTATGAAACTTTAATTAAAGGTCCCATATTACTTGGAAATTCAAAAGGGATTTGACCATATGGACTTAGGCACATATGTAGAATCCTATCATCCTAGAGTTTTCAAGTTGATGAAATTGGAAGAGAGAAAACATCAAGCTCTCTCTCCCTAACCCCTTCAATCTATCACATCAAGTGAGGGTTCTAGCACCACTCTTTACTTGTTGTCTACTCATTCTCTCATCCCATTCAATCCTTGGTGAAGAGCTTTGGGGAGGTGCATATCTTTGTACCTATTTGGAGAGCTACAAGGTGGAGAACCAACATCAAAGGGAGAGCCAACAACAAAGGGACCACTCCCTCTACTTGAACACCATTCTTGGTTTCAAGATTCGCTCCAAGGGTATGAACATCTTATCTTTCTCTCAAATAGGATTTAGAGAGTCTTTGGTGCACACTTTCATAGACTTATAAAGATTGGGACCATATGAGACTTGCATGAATCCCTAGTTTATTTAATGCTTTCGCTCTTACTTTGATTTCATATTAGATATGGCTTGCTAGGTGATTTATACTCTCAAAGTTTGGTTGTAGAGTTTTTAGAAATCTCTACACAACACCATTCCCACAATATTCCTTTCAAAGTTGGTATCAAAGCTTCGAACTAGTGCATGCTACTGACTCGCCAACAGAAGAAGACATTGGGTATTCACAATATTGACGCAAGGATTATGACTAATATTGATCAAAAGCTTGAGCAACTCCAATTGTCTCTCCAAGATTCAATTTCTCAGGCCGTGGAGAGGAGTCGACATGAAGCAAGTTTTGAATCCTTGGGAAATCGTCGTCAACAAATTAGGCAACGAGGTCAAACTCAATTTGATCAGCAACACCATGGAGAGGGTTTTCCCCGAATGAAAGTAGAATTTCCGCAATGGGAAGGTGGCTATCCTGTGGGCTGGGTTTCTCGAGCGAAGAAGTATTTTCGCTTTCACTGAACCTAGAAATATATAAGGTGGAGATAGCTGCAATTAATCTTGATGGTGATGTTATTCAATGGTATGACAGCCTTGAGTCCAGCCATGGAATTCCAACCTGGAATGAGTTTGTAAAAGGCTTGCTTGTGTAGTTCAAACCCTCAGAATATGAAAATGTGGATGGCAAGCTTGCCAAACTCCGCTAAACAACCACTATTGCAGGGTATATCAGTCGCTTTGAATGGCTGTCTAATAGAGCCTGTGATTGGTCATAGCGACAACTAGTGGGTAATTTCATCGAAGGCCTCAATCTTGAGATTCGTCGTGAAGTAAAGGTGTCTAGACCCCGAAAAATAAGAGCAGCAACCTCTCTTGCTCAAATGCATGAGGAAAAAATCAATGATGGTCATCAACATGCTAAGCCCATAAATAAGTTTCCATCTGAGCCGAGTGCTGCTTGTTCTCGAAATACACCAAAGCGGCTTTCTGAAGCATAGTTAAAAGAGAGAACCTCTAAGGGTCTTTGCTGGTATTATGACGAAAGTGGAAACGGGTCATTGCAAACAAAAGAGAATTTTGATGATTGAACCTGCCATTAGTACTGATGACGTAGAGGACTTGGATGAAGAAATTTATGCTGAAGAAATAGGAGGTTCCAAAGAAGAAGAGTTTGATGTTTCTGTTCATGCCTTGGCTGGATATGCGAACCCGCAAACCATGCATGTCAAAGGTTAAATAAAGAAACAACTGGTATCCATTCTCATTGATTATGGTAGTACTGACAACTTCTTGGATTCAAAAATTGCTAGGAGACTGGCTTGTTCATCTACTAGTTGTGACAAATTTGAAGTTAAGGTTGTTGATGGGAGATCCTTGGCTTGTTCGGTGAAATGCTCTGATGTAGAAATTTCTATGCAAGGTCAGCACATAAGAACTTATATATTCTTGCTGCCATTGGAGGGATATGACTTAGTTCTTGGAGCATGGTGATTGCAAACCTTGAGTGATATAACATGGAATTTTTCCAAACTTATTATGCGATTCATACTAGGTGGGAAAAAAGTTGTTATTCATGGGAAAGGCTCTGGTGAAGTATCTACAGTCAGTGCTTATCAAATGGAAACAATCTTAAAGAAAAGGCTAGAGGTATTTCTAGCACAATTATGCAGCATCAACAAATCAGATTCTTCAATAAAAATTGCTCGGAATTGGAAGATCTCCTATCTGAATTTGCTGATATATTTGAGACACCTCAAGGGCTTCCTCCAAAACACAGCCATGACCATCAAATACCTTTAGTTCTAGGGAGTGAACCGGCTAATATTAGACCATACTGCTATCCATACATTCAAAAAATTGAAATTGAGAAAATAGTTTGTGAGATGTTGGCTACTGGAATTATTCGACCGAGTGTTAGCCCTCATTCTAGTCCAGTGTTGTTGGTATGGAAGGAGGATGGTTTGTGGCGCATTTGTGTGGACTACCGTGTATTGAACAAAATAACAGTCAAAGACAAATATCCCACCTGTGGTGGAAGAGTTACTGGATGAACTTGTTGGAGCACAATATTTTTCCAAACTTGACCTCCGAGCAGGATAGCATCAAATTCCGGTACATGAAGAAGACATACAAAAAACTGCATTTAGGACTCATGATGACCACTATGAGTTTCTAGTGATGCCGTTCGGACTTACAAATGCCCCGTCCACTTTCCAAAGTTTGATGAATTATATCTTTCTCCACATCTTCGTAAGTTCATTATGGTATTTTTCGATGATATTCTTGTCTATAGCTCTTCATGAACTGATCATTTAAACCATTTGCGCATTGTTCTCACCCTCATTTGGGAGAATTATCTATTCGTTAAAAAATCAAAATGCATCTTTGGTGCGGTGAAGGTGGAATATTTAGGAAATATTGTATCCAAAGATGGTGTGGCAGCAGACCCTTCAAAAATTCAAGTTATGGTGGATTGGCCAACTCCCAAAACAATTCGAACACAACGAGGTTTTCTTGGATTGACAAGATATTACCGAAAGTTTGTCAAGGATTATGGAAAGATTAGTGCACCTCTAACTTCCCTCCTACGAAGGGATTCATTCAAATGGGATTCCATAGCCGATAGTGCTTTTGCCAAATTGAAGAGAGCAATGTCCAGCATTCCTATTTTGGCATACTAGATTTTCAAAAATTATTTGTTCTTGAGTGTGATGCTTCGGGTATCGGGATTGGTGCTATTTCAATGCAAGAGGGTCGTCCTTTGGCTTTCACAAGCAAAGCTTTGTCTCCATTACACAAGCAAATGTCAGTATATGACAAGGAAATTATGGCCATAGTACGTGCTGTTACCAAATGGCGCCCTTATCTTGTTGGTCGATGATTTCAAATCAAAACTGATCACAAAAGTATTAAATATATTTTGGAGCATCGTGTTTCCTCCATGGAGCAACAACTACGAAATAATCTACAAGAAGTGGGTGGAGAATGTGGTAGTAGATGCACTATCACGCTTGCCTGGACAAGCTGAACTTTTTGCACTCTCAGTTCCCTTTTTTGCTCGACTAGATGCATTATCAGACTGAAGTAGTCAACCGCTGCCTTGAAAATTATCTGCAATGTTTTGTTGGTGATCGACCAAAGGATTGGGTTCATTGGCTACCTTGGGCTGAATGGTGGTACAATACAACATACCACTCTTTAATCAAACAAACACCATTTGAGGCCTTGTATGGAAGACCCCCACCGCTCATTACTTCCTATACTCATGGTAGCTCGTGTGTCCATCAGGTGGATTGCGACTTTAGAAATAGAGATCGCATGCTCGAGCTTTTGAAGCATAATTTGGTTGAGGCACAATCAAGGATGAAGCAGCAGGCTAATAAGGATCGCAGTGAACGTGAGTTTGAGGCCGGTGATAGGGTGTTTTTGCGATTGCAGACTTATAAGCAGGTCTCTATTCAAGTTCGTTCGTCCAAGAAGTTGTCTCCCCGCTTTTATGGTCCTGACAAGGTCATTGATCGTGTAGGACCAGTGGCTTACCGTCTTGACTTGTCTGTTGGGACAAAAATTCATCTTGTATTCCATGTTTCTTGCTTAAATAGAAATTGGGTGATCAAGTTTCTGTTCAGAGCTAACTTCCTGAGGTCACTCTTACTGGTGACACTAGGTTTGAGCCAAAAAGTATCTTGCAAAGCCGACTTGTCAAGCGAAGTAATCATGCTGAAGTAGACCTTTTCATCAAATGGACCAACGTGTCAGTTGAAGATGCTACATGGGAGGCTTATGACTGTATAAAGGAGAAATTTCCAGAGTTTATTGCTTCTCAACCTTGAGGACAAGGTTGGTTTAATGGGGGGTGGAATGTTAGAATTATTGGGGTCTTCGTTGATGAGTCAGTGTGTGGAGTCGTTGATTTGGTTTCCCAATGCTTGTGGCTGTTAATTTTCCAATGTCTCTAGAAGTGTAATAGTCTATATTTAGTGTGGCTCTATTTCTTTATATTGTAGATGTCGTATAGTTCTCTTTAAGCAGTCATAAACGTATAAGCTAAATGCTTGGAGGTCAGATCTCCTCGAAGTGATCCTCTCTCATCTCGTTTCTCTTTTCTGAGTGTAAATTCAATTTGTAGGAATTGGTCCTATCACTATGTTATGTGATCATCTAGCTATCTTAGTGAACTTTCCCAATCTCTCCCATGTTTTTTGGGTGCTTTTTATTTGTTGGCAAGAAGCGTGTATGTAGATAGGATGGATTAACTATGTGTCTAACTCATGGTTTGAGGCAAGATGTAGTTTGTATCCAATTTATTAAACTGTTATCTTGGATCACACAATACATTTTTATATTTTGTAACTTTATATAAATTTGTTGCATGCATTAATAAATTTCAACATTTTGTATGCCAGTTTTATTTGTTTTCATTCAACTTTTTGTATGCCGGTTTTATTTGTTCTGATTCAACTTTTTGTATCCCAGTTTTATTTGTTCTGATACAACTTTTTGTGTGCCAGTTTCCATTTCAAATATCGACTTGGCGTCTTCTTTTACGCAAATTGAAAAACAAAATACTTATATGTGGAACACAATGATCAGAGGCTACTGTAAAGCTCAAATTCCAATAATTGAGTTTTCATTTTTTTGTCCAAATGGTCTATCAACACGTCGAAATGGACAGCAGAAGTTTTATTTTCGAGCTCAAGGTGTGTGAGCAATTTACGAGAATCTGGAGGGGCATTCGGTTCATTGCCGGATTTGGGAGATGGGCTTTGATTATGATTTGCTAGTACGAAATGGGTTGGTGCATTACTATGCTGAAGGCAAGTTCCTAAGTCCTACACGCAAGGTTTTTTATGAAAGTTTTGTTACAGATGTTGTGACTTGGACCACGATGATTGATCGCACTTGTTCAGATGAGGCTATGAAATTGTTTGGCTCGATGTTGGTGAGTGATGTCGAGCCAAATGAGGTTACTATGATTGCAGTGCTTTATGCTTATTCCAATAAGGGAAATGCTGGTGTGGGGAAGACCATTCATGAACATGTACAAAAGAAGAATGTGAATTGTAGCTTAAATTTGCTTAATGCTTTGTTGGATATGTATGTGAAATGGGGTTGCTTAACAACGGCTAAAGAGACTTTTGACAACATGAAAGTCAGGGATGTATTTTCATGGACTAGTATGGTTAATGGTTATGCTAAATTAGGGGACTTACTCGCTGCAAGAAAGTTTTTCAATGACATGCCTGAAAGAAATGTAGTATCTTCGAATGCCATGATTGCGGGTTACTCAGAATAATCGACCAAGTGAAGCGTTGAAATTGTTTCATGATAAGGTGGAGACAGGTTTGGTTCTGACATATAACAGTTTATTGTGTGTGCGCTCTCTGCTTGTGGTCAGTTGGGTTGCATGGATTTGGGTCAGTGGATTCACCAGCACTATCTCAATAGAAGGCGTATTCAACCCAGTATGATTTTGGGGAATGTGTTGATGGATATGTATGCCAAGTATGGGAGAATAAATTCGGCTACAGAACTCTTTGGTGAAATGCCAAAGAGAAATTTGGTTTCTTGGAATACCATGATTGCCAGATATGCAGGCAATGCTAAGCAAGCTCTCACACTTTTCAAAGAAATGAAAACTATGGGATTGAAGCCTAATGATATCACATTTGTGGCGGTGTTGTCTGCCTGCAACCATGGCGGATTAGTTTCTCAAGACATAGAGCATTTCGAAAGCATGGCTAGAGATTACGATGTAGATCCCAAAAAGGAACATTATGTGTGCGTGACAGAATTGCTCGAAAGAGTTGGGCGGCTAGAGAAGCTTATCAGCTGATAAGCAAAATGCCAATGGAAGCAGGAGTGTTTGCTTGGGGTGCCCGTCTTAATGCATGTAAGATTCATGGGAATGTAGAGCTGGCTAAGCTTTCAACTGAGAAGCTGTTAGAGTTGGATCCTGAAGACAATGGTATTTATGTGCTGCTGGAAAATTTATATGCTAATAAGAAAAGATGGGATGATGTAAGGATTGTTAGAAGCTTGATGAAAGATAGGGGTGTGAAGAAGAATCCTGGGCATAGCTTGATAGAGGTGGAGGGTGAGTTTCATGAATTTTTGGCTGCTGATAAATCACATCATCAATTAGAAGAGATTTATAAAGTATTAAATGAAATATATCTTTTCTTCATATTGGAGTGCTATTTGCCAAACCTTTTTTTTTGAATATTTATGCATATGGGGATGATTTTCTTTAATTAACTGGTTTTTGGAACATTTTGGACTGACTAGATAATTCCTCATACAAATGCTATTCCTAATCATTATCTATCTACTTACGTTCTTAAAAATAAAAATAATCTCATACATGAGAGTTAGAAAGTAATTTAAAGTAATTTAGATTATGGCTTGTTTAAAAAAGTTTTGTCAAAAAAAAAGGTTAAAGTGGAAATGCAAATCTCATTTATATTTTTATTTTTGAGTTGGGTGATTCTGTCCTATTTTTATCTATCTCTAGTATTATAAAGCCAGGCTAAAAGTAGTTGGGGTCACAGGCTTCACCAAAAATAAATGGACAACAACACCTCTGAAACAAAAAAGGTAATTGCTGCAGTCAAAATCCATATTAATAGTTGACATGGGTATTATTGTAAAAGGCAACTTAAAAAACTCTCCCCATTGTGCAGTTCCTTTCAGTTTTTTTTTCCTCGCTCCATTAACCTCTTCTCCTCTATGGCAACCTTAATATCTCTCCAGCAGTTGTGGCGTTACTGAGTTGTTTCTCGGTTCAAGCAGAGTCTTATTCACTCTCATGGTAATATTTTTATCTTTTTTTTCATCAATTGATTTGTCTCTAATAATCTTCAATTGTTAAAACAATTGTCTTCGATATTGTGTTCCTTCAGATTTCATATTGCAATTCTGCATATATTTTTTGGATTGTATGCCTAACTTGATGATTTACATGTTGACAAACTAAAGGAAACTGGACAATTACAGAGTGAAAAGATTCTGAACTGGCATGCACATAATCATGCTCACGGAAGGACCTACACTTTGACTAACCTGTGCTATAGCCCAGGTAAGTTTGTCTTTTTAAGACTAAACTGATACACCCATCCCATCCGATGAATAAGCCTACACTGCACTCTCATAATCCCCCTTCACCTTTTTTTCTTTCTTTTTCTTTTTGGTACAAAAGGGGCCAAAGGCCAAACACAAAAAACCCCTGCTTCTTTTATTTTTTGGTCGAAAACAAACCCTCTTATTTTCTTTTTTGGTAAAAAATAACCCCCTTCACTTTCACATACCCCTGCATGTAGAAAATATAAAAGAACTATGTACTAGATGCGTTTTATGGGGTAAAACTCATTATGTCATCATGATTAGGTGTAGTCTTTTGTTATTAATGAATTTCACTTCGTACTGTCAAGTTTAATAGCTATGTGCGTAAGGTAAATTTAGCCCACCTCAATTTGAAATCCTGAGTCCATCCTTGATCTTGCCCTTTTTATTTTTGTATGGATCATTAAATAAAATTGCAAAACAGTATAATTAGTTTCTAATGCTGTGTTTGTTGCATGTTGGATTGGAGGAGAAATTGGCCGATTAGTAGAGGAAAAAGGTACTTTGGATTCAAAAGAGGTTAGCAGCCCCCTCCTTCTATTGTAACCTCATTTGATTGCCTACATTCCTTTTTTGTGCAGGGAATATAAAAAACTATGTGGGCATGCAGGTCACTATAGAAGTCTTTTATGTTTATATCGAAAGGGATAATAGGAACTATAGAAGTCTTTTATGTTTATTGTGTGTTAAATTTTTTGTGCTTTTTGGTTGGTATAACAATTGGAAGTGGACTTTAGGAGATCAAATATGGAGGGGGATGGTAGGAACAATGGAACCCAGTTCGTCACTTTCTTTCAAGATTGCAAATTGTCCTAACTAGTTCTCACTTTCCTCCATGTTATTACAACTTTAGATGCTTTGTTTTAAGTGGCAGGAGGGAGCTCTTCGTTGGCGTTCATTTGGTTCGTGGCTTGGAGTATAGTTCAATTTGGTAACCCGCTAAATTGAAATTAATTTTGTTTGGAGTTTTCTGCTTGTTTTCCCAAGCTTGGTCAGTTGCTCCAATTTGGTATTTGTGTTTGTGTTTTCTGTTCTTCTCATAAGATGCACCAAACCAAACTGCTTTCTGTGCTTGATAATTCATAATACATTTCTATTTATGTTGTTTTTCTGGTTCCTTAATAACATAACTTTTAACTCTTAAATCTTCTAAATCTCTACAATTAGTTTGATTGTTTCATGTTTTGCAATCCATCCAGGGACTAAGGGATCTATCCAGTCTCTCAAGCCGTGTTTATCGGAATATTTTGCCATCCTCTAAGGAACGAGATGATAAGAAATGGTGTCAAGATGATTACATGATACAGGAGCTTCAACTGCCACTCATTCTATTACTGGTGAAAACATAATAGCAAGACAGAAAAATGGACTAGAATTTTTTGGGTTATATGAATGAATAATAATCATTGGATTTTCTCTCTGTAGTCATAGCTTCTAATTATTGACTTGCTTGAGAGGGTGATACCACCTTTTTTTCTTTCTGTTTTTTGATGATTGTATAGAAATGGATATCTACATGTATTCATGAAATGTGACATAAATTTTGTAGTTATTTATGTACAAAATTTATGAAGAAAGAAGTTTGTGACATACAACTTAGCATGTAGCATGAGAATAAAACCTTTGTGAACATAGACCCAAATAGATGTAAATAATTATGGCACCCTCACTATAAAATTTTGCTTCATTCGTAATCCCTTGGGTAGCCTTGAAGGAAGTTGAGGTTCCACCCCAAAACCAATTGGCAATGGGGGTAATAGCTCAACTCCTTAAAAACCCAGGCTAGGTCCCTTAATATTTCAATGTGGGACAAACACTCTCAACATGCCCCCGCACGTGTGGCGAACTTTCAAGCCTAACACGTGGACAATACATATTGGGTGACGTGGGAGCACGTGTGGCCGTTGGGCCCAACACGTGAAGCCTTGCTCTGATACCATGAAGGAAGTTGAGGTTCCACCCCAAAACCAATTGGCAATGGGGGTAGTAGCCCAACTCCTTATAATCCCAGGCTAGGTCCCTTAACATTTCAATATGGGACAAACACTCTGAACAAGCTTAGCCTCACCTATATTTAAGTTAATAAACAATATTTTGAACATTAGGAGTACTCTTTTTCCTTCTTCTAAGGTTTTGTCCAACTGAGTTGTTGCCAAGCAAGGTTTTAATAAAGCACTATAGTTGTAAATTCTTATCATTTGATCTTAATTAGTTGATTATTAAAAAAATGTTCACACATATAACATTCATTAAGTAATTGGAGTATAAGAATCAATTTGGAGAAATTGAATAACTTTTATGAATCTCCTTAGCTCCTAAAACTAATTAGACTTTTTTCAACCACGCACACTACACGCGACTTACAATTTTTAAATTTTCTTTTTGCGACTGTATTTTTCTAGATGACCGTCTCAAAAGTTTTCCTTTATTGCTTGTATTTTTTCTAGATGCACATATTGGCAGTTTACCCGCGATGAAAGAAAAAAAAAGGTTGAGACGTGCATTTAGATAAATACTAGCGATAAAGAAAAGGGCAAACTATAGTAAACCCCTAACCTATAGGGTCATTTACGAGTTCATACCCATTTTTGGGGACATTTACCAGTACATACTTAACGTCACGGAAAACCTACAATTTGCCCCCTCCGTTAGTGAGATCGTCAGGAAATCTGTTATCTGCCTACGTGGTGTCTAGCTGGACGATTTTTTAAGGGCATTTTCGACATCTGTTATCCATGGATTTCGCGCCTAAACAACACGTGGCGCTCTGTAAAAAAAAACCCCTAAATCGAGTTCCAGATACTCGTCGTCCATAACCCTCCCCCCCCCCCCCCCCCCCCCCCCCCCCCCAAACTGAAATTCCACAAATTGAAACCTAATCCCCATATCGCATCAATCAAAAGCACCAAAGAAGGCTGGGTTGCTGTAATTCGAGATGTCGTGGGTGTTCGTCCTCGTGGTTGTCATGCTCCTTGTTACTGTAAGTTGAAGGCAGTTTTAATCCTTCTTGCTTTTTGGTTTCGTCGTAAAGGGTTAGATGCCTGCATTTTTATTTTTTCTAAACCTTTGATTTGCTTTTAAGTGTGCTTGAGAGTGATATTTGTGGTCCATGGTCCATTTCTATCGTTGTGTTGTTGGAAAAGAATACAAAAAAGCACTTTTTTTTGTCAAACCAAACTGTTTTGGATTCCAGACAATACTTAGTGGTCCAAAACCTCTACAATTGTTTATGTCCTTGTTTATTCACCAGTTCTGTATTCAACAATTGTTTATTGATAGGTTTAACTGTTATGTGGCTTTGTAGGTGAAGATGATAAGTTTACTATTCGAATGAACCATGGGGGTTCTATATGTGACAACCTATATATAAATGGGACTCTGGACTTCATTGATTTTTGCGAAAAGGACCAAATGTCTATGTTTGAAATTGGTCTAATGGTTAAGGAGTTAAGGTATGATGGTATAGTATTATATCACTATGAGCTTCCCAACTCTTCTTCTGTAGAAAAGCTTATATCTGATGAAGATGTTATGAAAATGTGTGAATGTGTGCCAAGAGTAAGGGAGATAGATATATTTTTGACACAGTTGGCTGATGACCCTTATACCTTTTTAAACAAACACAAACAGATTGAGCTGCAAAGGGTGGAAGGTTCCGGGGTACAAAAACAAAGGTCAGTGGTGATTGAGGATCTAGGATATGCTGATTGTAGTCCTCTTGTTCCTTATAAGACAAAGAACAATGTTGAGCAGCCAACTAAATATCCTAAGCCATATAAGGTGAAGATAGTGGAGCAAGAAGTGAATGATGTTGGGGATTTTTCAGAACCTAAGGCACCAAAGAAGGGAAAGGGTAAAACAGTGGGTATGTCTTCAAAGGGTAAAGAAGTGGCTGAACCTGAGGTACCAAAGAGGGCAAGGGCTACAAAGTCTTCAAAGGGTAAAGGTATGGTAATGGCAAGTGCAATAGAAGGGGAAGATAGTGATGCATCCTTATCAAATGCATCTAGTTTTGTTGACAATGAGTATGGGGGGGGATAACTCGCTGAGGAAAACAATTTTTTGCAACAGTGGATTACAAACCATGCCCCAGTTGAAGATACTTTTCGGCCTCTTCAAGATGAAGAGATAAATAAGGGTGAAGGTGTTGTTGTTAATAAGGGTGAAGGTGGTGTCCGTAATTATGACAACTTGGCAAGTGGGGACCAACCTTCACAGGCTGGTCTAAGTGGGGACCACCCTTCACAGACTAGTCAAAATGAAGACCAACCTTCACAGACTGGTCAAAACAGGGACAAGCCTTCTCAGACTACGGATTTTCACTATACAGATCTTCAAGACACCATATTAGAATTGGAGGATCAAGCAGTGAAGGATGAGTTAAGAAGTGTTCATTCATATGAAGGTGATGAAACAGTTGCAGGAGGAAAAATTCAAACACTATAACCATGAAACAGATAAACAAAACCCTATATTTGATACTGGAATGATATTCAGTAACTGCAAGGTTTTCAGAGAAGTTGTTCGTGAATATTGCATGTTGAGTGGGAAACATGTCACTTTCACCAGGAATGAAAAGTATAAGCTGAAGGCAGTTTGTAAAGTAGTGAGTTGTCTATGGCAGATTTATGTGGCTTGGAAAAACCCTACCAATCGAAGCTTGGTGGTGAAATACTATAATCCTATTCATAATTGTGTCAGAGTATTTGAAAACACACAAGCCTCAAGTAAATGGTTGAGAGCTAAGTTCCTGCCTAGGATTTAGTCAAATCCCACGATGCCTCCACATTCTATAGTGAACTCAGCCTCTTCTAAGTTTAAAGTAGGTATATCTAGGATGAAAGCTTACAGGAAAAAGGTAGAGGCACTTCAAATCACTGAAGGAATAGTTGCTGAGCAATATGCCATGCTTTGGGATTATTGCCATGAGCTAGAAGACAAAATCCCTAGCTCCACAACAAAGATGCACTGTGAGTTTGTTGATGGTGAAACTGTTTTTAAGTGATTGTACATTTGTTTAGAACCATTAAAAAGAGGGTTTAAGATGAACTGCAGGCCTTTTATTGGGTTAGATGCCTGCCATTTAAAAGGGGTTTATGATGGACAGTTGCTTACAGCAGTTGGAATCTATCCCAATAATGAGACTTGGGTGCTAGCATATGCTGTGGTTGAGATGGAAACAAGGGAGTCATGGACATGGTTCATTGATCTGTTGGCCAAGGATGTGGACATAGTTAATTCCCATGGATGGGTCTTTATATTTGACAAGCAAAAAGGACTGCCTGGTGCATTTGAAGACATTGTGCCTAATGCTGAGACAAGATTCTGTGTGAGGCACCTTTGGGATAACTTCAACAAAACCTACAAATGTAAAGTTTTGAGGGATCAGTTATGGACATGTGCTAGAGCTATCAATGTTCCTTGTTTTAACTACCAAATTGAAGTAATGAAGACCTTCGATAGCAATGCTTGGGAGTGGCTTGCTGAGAAGCCACCAATACAATGGTCTAAGTCTCATTTCAGAACAAATATGAAGTGTGACATGCTGCAGAATAACTTGTGTGAAAACTTCAACAATAATATTAAGATAGCAAGGGACAAGCCAATTATCACAATGCTAGAGATGATCAGGTGCTTGTTGATGAGAAGGATCCAGTGGATGAGGGACAAGATGAGTAGTTGCCTTGATCAAATATGCAAGAACATTTTTGACCATGTCTAACACAAAAAGTTAGAAGCATGTAATTGTATTGTGCAATGGTCTGGTTGCCCTAAATATCAAGAGGATGTAGGAAGAGGTGACCAATATGTGGTGGACTTGGATAATTACACTTGTTCTTGTAGAAAGTGGGACTTGTCAGACATTCCTTCTGCTCATGGAATTGTTGCCATACATTACAAAGGAGGTAAAGCTGTGGAGGATTATGTGCATTCATACTACAGCAAGGACAGTTACATGGCCCTCTATAACAATCTCATTATGCCAATTAATGGGTCACAACTATGGGAAAAGACAAACCATACAGCAATAAAGCCACTAGCCTACACTAGACAACCTGGAAGACCTAGAAATGTGAGGATAAAAAGAGCTAAAGAGAGAATAGATAAGACTGGGAAAAAATGGTTGGGAAGACAAGGAATGCAAATGAGGTGTAATATTTGTGCCTCAACTGGCCATGACAAAACCACTCACCATCAGAATATACCTCAAAAGGAAAAACCCTTATCAAGGGGTAAAGGAAGACCAAGGAAAATACCTAACCAAGACCCTGCAGTTGCTGCTGTGAGTGCCTATTTTTATTGCTAGCCTATTGATGAAACTGTTTTGTTATTTCTTCCTTATAACCTCAAAGCTGTTTTATTGTTTTGTTGTTTGAAGCCGAAAGTGTTTTTCTTCTCTGTAGGATGAAGCAAAAGCAACTGCAAGAGTAAGGAGAAAGCTTGCATATGCAAGGGCAAAGGCTGCTGCTGCTGCAAAGAAGGCTGCACTAAATGCTTCCCAGCCAAATGCAGTTGATACTGCTGGAATAGGATTAAGAGCATCCAAGAGACAGAGAACATAGGCTCTTAGTTCTTAGTTTATGCCATATATTTTATTTTGAACTAGTACAACTTTTGGTTTTGTGATGTGGCCATTTTGTCAACTTTTGGTTGTATTCCAGATTAGGTGCTCATGTTCATTTTGTAAATTTGAGCTGCAAATGTTGGAAAAGTATGTATGTATTTTGAACTCAATATATAATGGAATTTTCCTTGAAGCAATTGTTCATTTGGAAATTGCCTAACAATTGTGCATAACACTCTATGCATTTGGAAATTGCCTTTGCCTAACAATTGTTCATACATAAACATCTTTCATACAACTTGACTTGGGAGATTACAAGAAACATGCCTTTCATACACATAAAGCACTTTGATTTTCCAAAATGTCCCACAAATGGTCACAAAAAACATCACCCAAGTCTCCTAAATTCTAGACACTAAAATGTAAGTGCTAATTTCACATTCTTGGAAGATCTAGTGTCCCTCCATTCTAGTACTAGCATTCCCAACAACACAATAAAAAAAAATCTAAGAACCTAGAACACTTGCTCGTAGAAATCTTTATGCTTTCAAGGCAGCTCCAACCTCTGTTTTCAATTTTCGGTTTTCCTCTTCTTCCTTACGTAATCGTTTCAATAGTCCACATATCACAATCTTCGACCTTTCGCATACCTATGGATCATACCATTCAAAGAATGCACAACCTCTTCTTACCCCATAATCGGCGCAACCCCAAAATCTTCTCCTAGGGTTGTTGTCAGTCCACGATGTCATCAGACGACATTGATTGCTGCAGTGACAAATAGGCTGGCCTACTTCGCATCTTCAATTTGCAAACATCATCGACCTCATCAACATCACCGTCTTTGTCTTCTTGAAATTGGAACCTGGGCAACGACTTCTGTGGATTTGGGGCTTAGGTTTGAGTGGGGGCTTAGATCTGGAAATTAATTTGGGTTTTTTTTAAAAAAATTAAAGAAGGCCACGTGTTGTTTGGGCGGACAACAGGTGCTGAAAATGCCCTTAAAAAATCGTCCAGCTAGATGTTACGTAGGCTGATAACGGATTTCCTGACGATCTAGCTAACGGAGGGGGCAAATTGTAGGTTTTCCGTGACGTTGAGTATGTACTGGTAAATGTCCCCAAAATCGAGTATGAACTCGTAAACGACCAATTCGGTTGGAGGGTTTACTGTAGTTTGTCCTAAAGAAAACTTTTAAAACAACCATCTAGAAAAACACAATTGGAAAAAAAAAAGTTAAAAAATTGTAAGTCGCGTGTGATTGAAAAAAGGTCTTCCGCACGTGCAGAAGCTGGTGCAGGGAGGCTAGGAAATAATAATAAAAAGCCAAAATGAAAAAAAAATTAAGCTTTTTATAAACATTCCTGATATTCACAAAACTACAGGTTTTGTCCTTTATGGTTCTTTTTAAAATAAAAAAAATAAATAAAATCTATTTGTCCACCTCAAGGTTAACATGTGTGCTCACAAGTAATCCTTGTCATCAGGTTCCAACCAAAAATTTGATAATCGATGATGTAGCACACATGTTGATCTCACATATTCAATGATACAACGCCACAAAAATTAAATAAAAAAATCTTTAAAAAATATTTAAAAACCATACACCCATATAAACATACACAAAAAACGAATATATTAAATTAGAAAAAACCTAAGCCACATGTTCCATCACAATGAGTGTCGAAAAAATTATAAATATTATAACAAAATTGAGTTTGGGTAGTTACTTCCCATTTTTATTAGTCAAAATGAGTATTTGCAGCTTTAGGGACGAAGAAAATATCACAAGGAGTTTCTACGAATTTTCAAAGTTAAAACATGGAAATATGATAACTAAAAGGAAAATAATGAGAAGTGGCAAACACTAAATGGTGCTCGCAATTGTTTCTGATGGGTGTACCCCTCTAGTACCGCCATGTGTCTTTTTATTTACTTTTTGTGTTTCAACAAAAAATTTAATAAGAAAATAGAAAAACATATCGAAAAATGCTATAAACTCCTACGACATTATCTTCGACAATGAAGTATCAAAAATAGCACATGGGGGTGACACCACAGTGGAAAAGTGAGTCAAACTCTTCCCCTCTTCCTCACTAAGTTTCACTCGGGTTGGTCCTAAAATATAATTTTAAATAAGAGAAATTAGAGAGTAATAATTAATCCTAATATAAATTTTTTATTATATTTATTTTTTATCATTTTGTATATTGATTTTTTTTCAAAGCTCTGATTTTCTCATTTTGATTAGATTCCATCTAGTCTCAAAATTATACTCTGTTTGGTTCAAACAAAAAGGAAAAAAAAAGGTAAAGAGAGAGGGAGAGAGGAAGAAGAGGATCTGCTTTGTTTGGGTCAGGTTGGCTAATTGGAGTTATCAAGTGGATCTTGGGTTGTGCATGTTTGAGCAGGCCCCTAGTTGGTTAAGTGCTTATCTTGTTGATGATCTGCTTGAAATTGTTCATTCTAGATTGGTCTGTTTAGACCAATGTGTGTAGTTTGTTTTTTTGGGGGCTTTGCTCCCCTACTTAATTTTTTTTAAAAAAAAAGAAAAAAAAAGAAGAGGATCTGCTTTGTTTGGGTCGGGTTGAGTTGGGTTGGGTGGGTATATGAGTTTTGTTTTACCCATTTCTTAGAGCACTTCCAGCAGTTGGAATCTTGCCATGGCGGGGGGGGGGGGGGGGGGCTGGGACACTATTCACGGGAATAGTGTCTGCCCTTGCAAAAAGTAAGTTCCACTTCCAGCAGTTGCCATGGCAAGGGGGGGTACTATTCAAATTTTTGTTTTTTTCACAAATTTTTTTACCTAAACAATTAATTTGGACAATATATTCGGATGAGATTTTCTGATAAAATATTCGGATAAGATTTTTAGATAAGATTTTCGATTTCAAATTTCAGATAAATTTTTTTTTCAAATTTCAGATTTTCAAATTTAATGCTTTGGTTGTGGTTAGTTTTTTTATACATTGAATGTTTTGAATAAAAGGGAATTTTATTTAATAGTTTCTTTGGTAACTCAAAGAAAACCAATACTACTAATACAATAAAATACATGAATTCCAACTAATTTTTAAAACAAAACATTAAAATACAATGAAATGAAAAGGCAAGCAAACTAACTTAAGGGTTTTCATCATTTAACCAATCCGTATTGCTAGGTCCATCATTATGAAAAAGTTTTCGTCTCATAATAGCCTTTCGTTCTAGCTTCCAATATTGTTTTGTTTCAGGAGACATGTGGCTTGTATCCATGGCCATGGTTTCCCGATCCTTCTTTTCTTCATTTTCTTTGCGTCGATACTCCCTTTCTTTGCTTACATACTCCCTTTCTTTAGCAAATTCTATTGCCATTGCCCTATCATCTTCTTGGACTTTCTTGTCTATTTCAATTCTCAAGGCGCTTTGCCTTGCAATTTCCTCCAAAAATTTAGAGGTATTACTCGTAGAATTAACTCCTCTCTTTGCCTTCGCCGCCTTCCTCCCCATAGGCCTCGGCTCCTTTTGAATGGGTAAGTCTTCACTCATAGGGGATTCCATAGGCGAATCCGAAGCTTGTGAATCATGAAGTGGCGTCTCGTTTAACACCACCGTTGGAGCCGTTGGAATAATGCTAAATCTCTTACAATGCTTCACCACCTCCCAACATTGGGTATGGGTGAAACTTTTTTTCCCTAGTCCAGTAGCACCATAGAACATTTGAGCTTGCACAATCTATATAAAAAAAAATTGAATAAGCAAGGAACTTAAAAAAAAATTGGTAATGCAAAAAAGATAAACATATGAATGAAAATATTAGAAATACAACATATAAAGAATGCAAGAAACATTCAAATAAATATTAGAAATACAAGAAATATATAAAAAATATATAAAAATTGCAAGAAACATTCAAATAAATATGGAAATACAAGAAATATTAAAAAAAATATAGAGAATGCAACAACCATTTATATAAATATTACAAATACAAGAAATAATAACAAAATATAAATAATGCAAGAAACATTTAAATACATATGGAAATACAAGAAATATTAACAAAATATACCAATTGCAAGAAACATTAAAATTAAAATTAATAAAATGAAAATTACAAATAATTACCTCATCGCTTAGATTGTCCCCGCTTGCATGGTTATTCATCGCTTTTGTGAGGGCATCTCTCCATTTCCCCAACTCTTTGTTGAGAAGTTTCCACCAACTTGACAATGCGCTTTCTGTACAGGTGGAACCCGATCTTTCAACAAATTCGTGAAGAATTTTTTTCCACATTTTACTGAATTTCATCTCATTACCCGATATGGGATCATGACTAATTTGGACCCAACACTCACACAACAAGACATCTTCCATGATGCTCCATGCCCCTCCGGTTTCTTGAGAAAAAGCCATAATGATAGAGAAAAATTATACTTAAAAATGAAAACAATTTAGAGTAAAAAGTGAAGAAAATATTGAATAGAAAGTGAATAATAGTTGGAGAAGGAGAAGATGTATGAGAATTTGTTGTTAAAACTGAAGAGTAGGTGTTGGTATTTATAGAAAAAAAGTTAGTATTTTTTGGGATTTTTTTAAAAATTTTTACCATTTTTTTTCATCATTTTTTGCCTGGAAAAATTCCAGGCCGTCGGATTGGCTGACAAGGCGAAATCGGAAGGACGAGAGGCTGCCACGTCGCATGTTACCGTTGGGCGCAAAAGCTGACGCGCGATACGGTAAAAAAATTTTACAACCGCGTGGTGACGTCACGCTGGCATCAGCGATGACGTCAGCTCGCACTCGAGCTACCTCCGCCTTCGGACCAGCCCAGGCAAGTGGACCCCACACTGCCCGGGCCAGCACTTGTTGCTGGAACCTGCTTTTGGGCTCCCCCCCCCCCAGCCCGAGCCCTGTTTTAATCTAACTAAAGCCCTGTTTTAATCTCCACGGTCCAATTTCATCTAATGGCTCATTCGGCTGGACGCTCCAAGAAGGAATCGTGGTCCACTTTATCCA